AAAACGCTTTAAATTAATATATTATAAATTATTTAAATTATTTAAATTATAATCTTTTAATAAATAAAATTAATTTTTAATTTTTAATTATTAATTAATTATTATATAACTTTTATTAATTAATAAATAATTATTAATTATTTATAAATATATATAATTTATTATTTTTAAATAATTAAAGTTATAAAAGTTATTATTTTTATTATTTAATAAATTATTTAATTAATTAATTTAATAATTTTTTAATAATTAATTTAATAAAATTTTAATAAGTTAATTAATAAATTAATTAATAGTTTAATTAATAGTTTAATTAATTATTTTAATAATTATTTTAATAGTTATTTTAATAATTATTTTTATTATTATTACTTTAATTATTTATATACTTTAACTTTATATAATTTTTTTAAATATATAAATAATATATTTTAAAAGTTTATTATAAAGTTATATAATTAATATATTTATTATTTAATTAATATAAAGTTTAAATTTAAGTTTATTTATTATATAAGTTATATAATTAATAATAAAATATAAAAATTTAATAAGTTTAAAGAAATATTAATAAATATATAAAAGAAAAATATTTTATTAATTTATTTTAATAAACTATTAAATATAAATAAATAATAATAATAAAAGTATTAATAATTATTAATAATTATATATATTTAAATATATATAATTAAATAAAGTAAATAATAATAAATAAATTTAATTATATTTTTATAAATTTAAAAGTTATTTAATAAAAGTTTTATAAATAAAAGTTTAATTAATATTATTATTATATTTTAAAGTTAAAATAATATATAAAATAATTTTAATTAAAGTATATTTTTAGTTTATTTTTAAAAATATTATAATTACTTTTAAAAGTTTAATTATATAATTTAAAGTTATTAATTTATTTTTAAAAGATTGAATTTTATTATTAAAATTATTAATTAAAGTAATTTAAATAATAAATAATTATTTTATTATAAATTATTTTTTTATTTAATAATTAATTAATTTTATATTTAAATATAATTTTAAATATAATAATTATTATATAAAAGTTTTTAATAAGTTATTTAATAAAAAATTATTATTATTAAAATATAATTAAAGTATTTAATATAAATAACTTTAAAAAGTTTTATTATTATTATTAAAATAGTTATAAAATTAAAACTTATATTTAATAAACTTTTAATAATATTAAAAAGTAAAATAAATAAATAAACTTTTAATTATAAGTAATAAAAGTTATTAAATAGGTTTTATATATTATTATTATAAGAAAGAAAGAAGGAAAAAGATTAAATTAATTAAAATATTTTCTTTAATTTTATAAATAATTATAAAAGTATAATTTTAATAAATTAATAAATAATTATAAAAGTAATTTAATTATAAATATAATTATAAATAAATTAATTAGTTATAATATTTATAAATTAATAAATTTTAATTAAAAATTATTAAAATAAATATAATTAAAATATTTATAATAAAAGTTTTTAATAATTAATAAATTTTAAAAGTAGTTATTATTTATAATAAATAAATAAAAGTAAACTTAAAATTAAAGTATAGTTAAATTATTATTTAAATTAAATTATAAATAAATTAAAATAAAAGTTTAAACTTTAATTAAAACTTATTAATTAATTTAATAATTAAGTTAGAAATTAAATTATATTTTTATATTTATTATAATAATATAATATTTATAATAATAATTATAATATAATAAATATTTATAACTTTAATTATATAATATATAAATAAAATTAAAAAATATTATTTTAATATAAAAATTATATATATAAATATTAATATTTTATTATATTATATTAAATTATAGTAAATATATATTAAGTTTCTATTTCTTTAAAAAGTTTATTACTAGTTCTTACTAACTATATAGAGCTATTAGACTAATATACTCGGTCTGTTAAAGTGAGAGAACCCCCGGCCTGATCCCTCAGTCCCTTGAGCCGCGCAGAGCGTGAGCTGTGTGCTGTGTGCTGATGAGGGGCTGTGGACTGGGTGAGAAACAGTGGGGCTGGTGGAGTGCCCGACCAGAGCCATAATTGGACAGGAAGGAATAAGGTGTGGCTCGTGGTCTCCCTGCATGCAAGGATGTGGGGCCACCCAAAGACGGGCAGATGGGCTGGCAGGGGCAGGGCGACTGGCAGGGGCAGCCTTGCCAGCCTCCAAAGACAGGCTCGCATGCAGAGCCAGCCAGCAGCTGCATGCACTCGAGCTTGCCTTGCTTGCCTGGCCAGTGGCCACGCTAAATCCGACGGCACTTTCCCAAGGAGCCCCCAACGAGGCGGCTTCTTTCCCTGTTCCTGACAGTGAATGCCCATGCTATTCTGGCCGCTGCCTCTCTCGTCTCTCTCATAGTACTCGGTAGCCACCCGGCCGGCCCCTCCTTGTCCAAGCGAGCTGTCCACATCAGGCGATTGGCGCATGGTCTCAGTCAGCCTGCCTCGCTGTTCCGCGGGTCGAACGCGGGTCGAACGCCCCAAGGCTGAGAAATGTCTCGGTTGCTGTTTTATGCCTGTGAAACGTTGCTTCACGGTCATCCGACAACGCTGGGCTCCCGTTTTCGGCGTACGACATGGGCGAGTGAACCAACGAGGCATCATGTCAGCGAGGCCCAGATTCTTTGGCGGCCATACAGTACTGGAGAAAAGCCCAGGCCTGGGCAACTACCATGCATACTCTTTATTGCCAGCCCACAATATATGGGCATCTCGTATCGGGCAATACCACCGTCTACACCGTACGGGATTCCCGTGACTTGCCGACCCACGAGCTGCTGCTTCTCCGGTATGACAGGCACACAGCAGCTATGAACTCGGAGGATTTCACGTCTCTCAGACAGCCCCACAGGCTACTGCAGTGCCCGCCCCGCAGCTATGGCTTGCTTGGAACCTGGCCAACAGCTGGACGGCAACCTCACGTCCTCTTTCGAAATCTCCCGCATTGAGCTAAACGACAGTGATTGCCCACTTCTCATAGAGATGTCGCTTGGGTCGTTGGAGCCTGGCCGGCATTGCCCTGATCCCACTGTTGCGCCCCGTCCTCCCGCTCGGATTGGCTATTCTTGGTCACGATGTGACCTCCACGGTCCTCAAGCTTCTATATAAATCGGGAGGGGCCGAGAACTGGGTCCCAGGTTCTGGTCTTGCTGGGGTGGTGGCCTGGTCTCCCGATTCCCAGAGGATCTCACCTGTAAGCCCCGCCTCTGCTGCTCGTTGTATCGGCTTGGCATCTGCACGCCCATGGGACAATGTGGTGACACGGACTCGCCCCTCGCCCCCGGAAACTCGTCGGCGGGCTGCAACTCGACAACGTCGTCCGCGTATAGCCGGCGACGATCACGCCGTCTGCCCAAAGCCTCCAACGCTCTCGTGCGACTGTGAGCAGGCTCATGTTTACTGCTCGCCTCGGTATGCCCTAGCAAACCTTGGGGCTCTTATAGCCTTGCCTGACCTGCCTGCCTGCACGCTGCAGCTGGGCTAGTCTTGGCTCAACACGAGTTTGTGCAGTCACTTCTTGCTTTTGTGGATCCTCCGCAAGAGCTCGACCGCCTGAGAGCCGGTAGCTTGGCTCAGAACCAACAATCACGTCCGCTGCCCGGCACTAGCCTCGGTGTTTTGACGTTGCGACTCGTGGTGCGGACTGTCTATGACTTCCATCACATGATTGCCCCACTTCCCTCTGCTTGTTTACACGTCAACAATCAAGGTATAGGTCTGGCCTCCCCTGGGCGAATATCACAATTATCCTGTGTCCGCAGTTCCCGCAACGTTGGCAAAAACGTGTCTGCGAGCTTCCACAATGCCGCAGTCCAAGACAAACTCAATTCATGGGCTTGGGCGGGCTGTTGGCTAAGTGTGCCCCTCACAAACGTTCTACCAGAGGCTTCTCGTATCTGCAATGGCTCCCTGACTGCACCAAGCAGTTGATTGGGACCTATCAGTCAGCAGCGAGTACGCATCCATGTCGGCACACCTGGTCTGGAGTCGGGTAAGACACCCCAACCCCAACTGGACTCTCGGCAGAAAATAGATTAACTACTCTTCTAATGCCCAAGCCTGTCGTCATGTAGCTCTGGTCAGATAGTGGGTAGCTTCAGCCTCGACGCCATTGAGAACAAGGGTGCCCACCCCATCATTGCCAGAAGCCAAGGATACCTGGGCAACCAAGGTGTACTACCCACCAATTCGTCACCGCGCTGCATGGCGGCTGACGGGTACCAGCCATGTGTATTATTTGCAGCAGACTGCGGTAACGGGAGGCGGTCCATTCTTGCGGACGGGGCATGCAGCTATGCACCCAGAGGATGATCCTGTTTGTCATGGATCCCACTCGAGGGACAAGCAGGATGAGGTTCAAGCTTACTTGAGATCGGCCCAGGATCGGCCAAGTGCGCATGAGCTCAGGATCCTGGATTGAGCTATTCTCTGCCTGGCCGACGTGGCCGCGGTCGACCAACCCCAACCTCCTCTGGGGCCCACGCCAGTTGGGATGCTCGACACTGCGATGTCTGTGCCGTACCACCGCGTATCCGACTCGTTCACGGCTACATCCATGTGTTTCCTGGTGTCTAGTCGGGATGGCGAGAGAAACGCCTTAGGACCATGCATCCGAGGAGCTGCGGCAAATCAGGATCCCCAGGTCCTCCCATGTCATCACATCTACGCCTTGTCTTCGACGGCGCATGCAGTCCTCCCACGATAGTACCATATAAGCCCCCTTCTGCCTGTTACCGGTCCTACAGCCCCCTCCTTTTCCTCTCATCATACTGCCTTTGGTTCGCCAGCCAGCTCGTTCTTATAGGACCTTGTAACCATCTCGCTCAGGTTACTTATACCCTCGCTGCCCGACCTCATCTCTCATCGTTGCCAGACTTCCTTCGTTGACTATCTAATCTCGCTACACCACATTCACTGGACCGCCTGTCTGCCCTCTTGTTGACTACGACCGCAAACATGAAGGCCTTCACACTCCTTGCCTTGGTGGCCCCGACATTCGCTGAGGAACTCCTTGCTCGCGGAGGAGGTGGTGGTGATTGGGGTTATGGCGATAAGACGACCAAGGTCACTTATACTACGAGTAAGTACAACACAGCTTTTAATGTTTTGACTCATCGGCATCTATGCGTGAAGTAAAGGCACTCTCCTGAGAACCCAGATGTGACCCTGCTTTATCTACAGCCCTGACCTCTGCTCATCCCTCTATTTAGCCGTGTGAAACTCATATCCAATGTGCTGACCTGAAGCCTAGCCACCGTCTGCCCTGTCACTGAGACAATAACTGACCACGGAACTACCAATGTGCACACATACTGGACCACCTCCACGCAGACTATCACAAGCTGCCCCGGGGGGGAATGTGGCGCTGTGGTCACTGTACCTGGTCCAACTGAATACACCACCACTACTGATGTTGAGATCACGTACACCACTGTCTGCCCAGTTACGGAGACAGTCACCGGCCCTGGAACGACATACACAAAAACATATGAAACCACCTCAGTCGTGAAGACGATTGTGCCAACCACCTACTATGAGACGATTCCAGGACCTACGCACTACGAGACAACAGGCGTTGTGGATTATACGACCATCACCTCATACTGCCCAGTTACGGAGACCAAGACGGAAGGTGGAAGCACCTACACCGTTACATGGACGTCGACGTCGACTATTGTGACTCAGGTCCCTACCAAGGTTACCGAGACGGAGCATCTGCCAGACACAACCAAAACAGCCGAGGTGACTGATTACACCACCATCACCTCGCTCTGCCCTTACACGGAGACCGTGACCAAGGGCGGCAGCACCTACACAACCGTCAAGACCAGCACCGAGGTATGTTCCGGCTGTTACATTTTGTGTGGTTGCGCGCCGCTAACTCCCAATAGACCATTACCACAAAGGTGCCAACCACCATCCACGAGACTGCTTACACTACCTCCCTGACCACTGCTTGTAAGCTATCCCCATGACCGACTGCCCTAGCGGCTCATTGTCCTGGTAAAAGCGGAGGTGGCTAACCTTGTCACTCAATAAAGACGAAACCACGGACGTGGTTGTGACTGTCACCCACCCAGAGTACTCTTACACGACAGTGGTTGAGGGATCCACTACAATTGTCACCAAGACCGGCACCAAGTATGTATCTGTAACACAAGTTCACACAACTACAGAGGTCATTGCCGTAACCCAAACCAAACACGTGGATACAACCATTGAGACCACCGTGGGCTCCGGAGAGACCGTCTCGCAGTACACTACCTACCTGGTGACCCAGAACGGCACTGTCTACTCGACACGTTCGCTGCAGCCGACCACGGTCCAGATCCCGACCACCGCCACAACATCCAACTTGGTGACAGCACCAACCACGGCAGCAACCTCAGCGCCGGTCGTGACAGCCGGTGCGAACTCCCAGAATGGCCCAGCCGCGGCCCTCTTTGCTGGTGTCATTGGACTTGTGGCGCTCTTCTGAACGTCATGCATTCTCATATTTGACGAAACTTTTTCTACCAGTTTCTCACCTTTTTTTCCTTATACGATTCTTTACACTCATTGCACATTCAGGGGCGCATAGCATATAGGTCGGTCATGGCGGTTATTCATGAGTTCACGGCCTCTCACATTCCTTTACGACATCATGAAGCGGTATACCCTGGGACTTCAAAAGGTGGCAAAATTTTGGGATTTTCGGCAACGGGAGGCGGCTAATGCGATCAGCGCATGAGCAGAGAGGCACTCGCCTTTCTCTTTCTTCCTCTATGAAAGCACACAGACGTGCGGTTTGGGACGGTCAACATGGGGGAGCATGGACCAACGTGGCAGGGCAGTGCCATGGGGACTTGCTCGGCTGGTCGTAATGAAGATGGTCTCTGATTAGACAGAACTACCTAGGTACCTAGTAGTATTGATTAATTTCAACGATTTAGACAGCGAATTCCGAGTGTTCACGAGATGCTTGTGAAAGAACAATAGTCCGGGGCTCGCACGGACTGGTGTGGCCTCGACAGGAGTCAAGACATCATGACTGATTTAGGAATCCCGACTCTTCGTCTTCATGGGGTCCAGCAGAAGCCTCACAAGAGACGGCGGGCAAGCTAAGAGGGAGTCGCTCCCTCGTCCCTGACTCATTCTATATGAACAGCGGGACGAGCAAGGTGCCTACAGACCCAGCGGTCGGAAGCGGGAGCCGGGGCTTGGGCTTGAGCTGTTGTCGATCTGTCTGCTGCCTGGGTTTCGAAGGGTTGAGGAGTGGACAGGGCCAAGATTGGCCCGCATCGCCGATGAGCTGTCAGATGTGCGCTGGTGGGCCCGTACCTGACAGTAGACAGTAGACAGCAGGCGGGGGGGTTTGAGCAGTCCAGAAACCCGCTCGGTCTAGTGCAGGGAAAGAAAGGCAAGGTGAGAAAGGGAGTGGATGGCATCATGGTATCTCGGTCGGACCGCGTGACCACACCACACCACCCTCTTCGCCTTGCTCGTATTCACCATCCCCTTGTGGTTTCCCAGGGCTGGGCACTTGCAAGCATCATCACGTTTGCCGAACGTGCCGCTGGCGTGGGCCGGTGTGGTGGGTGGGCCGGTGGGATGTTGGAACGTGGGACAAGATCGTGCCGTTGCTGCCGAGGTGGAGCCCTGTCCTCCCCCCCTCCGTCTGGGGAAGCCCTGTCGAGTGTGGCCTGTGGCTTGTGTGTGAAAAGAGAGCAAAAAACAAGGTTGTATTTGCTGAGTGGGTGACTTGAGTGGGCCGGGCCCCAGTCAATGCTCGGACCCGCGGCCCTAAAGAATCCCTGCCGCAGATCTCACGTCACCTAGACCACAGGTCTAAGTGTGGGAGGGAGAGAGCTTAACTCCCTGTTTCGTTCCCAGCCTTGTTCGTCCCAACAATGGTCAGATGCCCAGGTCAACGAAGCTTTTCCGCCTTCCAGGCTTCCATCCCGGGCCGGTGGAAAGGCCTCTCTATAGGTCAGGCACACCGGCTGCGAGCCGACAGGGCTAGCGAGGACGATAGCCTCGAGAGGGCGCGGCAAGGCACAAGGCCAGTCTCTTCGTATTCCCAGGATGGCGTCTTCTTGTTGGTATGGACCTTTTGTCCCAAGGAAAGGAAACATAGGGCGGGTTACTTGGGGCCCGCGAGCCTAAGGAAGCGGGGGCTGGGCCCGGAGGCTCGGGTCTCCCACGCGATGTGACGTCCTGCACAGTGCTCCAACCGATTGCGGAGCTTTGGAAGCTATTCAGGAAGGGGAAAATGTACGCTCGGGCCAACAAGAAGTGTGGTACGAGGTACTGCATAGTGTCTGTCAGGTCTGTTCGCGGCCAGGGGAGCTAGCAAACAAAACCTTGACGAGCAACCTTCCTCACTTTCATGTGTGCTCTTGGGAAATCTTGGAAGGGGGCGGTCATCATCATAGGAAAGTTATTCAAGGCCTTACCAGAAGTCCTGCATAACACTGCCATGTCAGCACTGAATCACTTGTGATGGTATGGACTATGTGCCGTTCTTTATAATGTGGACTACTAAGCACCACGGTCGACGTGAACAACGCCAAAGCGAGCGCGGACTCGGCGAATTCGCGGGTGTGGCTGCTCAGAGTTTGCACTTTTGATAGTATACACTGACTTGAGACTGGGCCGCCCCATACAAAAAATACCCATTCAGCAGGCAGTACACCTATGCCAGGGAAGCCTGACTTGTAAACCTTAGTGAAGTACTAGGTGTTGTTCCTATTCTGCACATTTCGCCAATGCTTACACAAGCGACCAATAGTTTGCTCCGCTCCAGTCTCACCCGAGCTTGAAAGTCCGAGCACATATCGTCGTGGATCTTGATAGTGTACTTGTACGAAATAGGTTGCTCCATGAGGATGGGTCGCAGGACTAGTGGAATTACTAAGGTATGTGGGCTGCGGTTTTCGAGTAGTCGACACCAGATCTCGTCGTGCAGACGGAGAGGCTCGAGGTACTTTTTTCTAAGTATCCCCTCCTCCAAGAGATTTGGCTCTTCATGGGGCACACTATCTCTTCCCATTGGGCATCTACCGTTGAGCGCGGGGAATGTTGTCTGCAAATTGTATCTTGGGCTTGAAGTTCTATAGGTAAAGAGAGTACCTAGTGAGTAGATGATAGTTTGACAACAACTTCAATGAAAAGCAAAAGAGGCAGCCTTGGCGACAATGTTCACGAGGTCGTGTCATCCTCTGGCTTGACCTCAACTGGCACCACGGACATCTTCCTGTTGGTAAGTGTTTGGAACTCCTCCAGGGACATGTTGTCGACAAACTCGAGGATGTCTGGAACACCACCTGCCATTTCCAGCATCTTCATCTCGTAATAACCCAGCTCTGACTCCTCGAGCCTCTTCTTTGGAAGAGGCTCCTCACCCGTGTATATCCAACACCATCCCCCGTCTGTCTGCTTGGCTAGCTCCTAACCGGCATTGCTGAGTGCAGCGGCATTCCATTGCTTTTTGTCATCATAGCCAAGTCCTTTGATTGCGAGCCGGATGCGGACTGAAGGGTGGATCATCTCGCATGTATCCTCTAGATACTCGGGCAGCTCCTTTCCGTTGTATGAGTTGAGCTTGTGGTACATGCCAGGGGATCGGGTAATGGTTCCGGCAAGTGTGTACATTGGGCTATGAGCTCGGAGAATAGCACCCGTCGCCCACGGCCGCACGGGGTGGTTGGGTTCCAGAATGGGGTCAATGGCCCATTTGTAAAAGGTTGTTGGCTTGACCCTTGAGACGTTTTTTGCAGCTGAGTTCTTGAGGCTGTCTGGAACGACACTACTTGCCATTGCGATGATCTTCGGGGGTTGTCCCTTTGGCTTCGGGGCCTCCTTGGTCGGAATCTGGGCGGCCGAGGGATGCCCTTTGTAATAATTCTCTGTATCGTGTATAGCGCGACGAAGGGAGCCGCCGTCAAACTCTACACCAACACTGACGAGTTGATCCATCATCCCTGGGGGTCACGTTTAGTAAGCTTCCAGTCGAATAAAGGCACGGGCTGGAGTTGGAGCGGCCGATATGCTGGTGGGATGCTGCTTACAAGCCATGGTCATATTGGCGATGCCTTGATCAGGCCATCCTCCACCGACGTTGCCGTGGTTTCCAGGGAACCATACCTGCTTCAAGTTAGTGAGACCCTTGTTGGACGCAGGACGTTCCCAAATTGAAGGGCTGAAAGGCGGCCTCGGCTCGTCCAAGGCCAAGGCATGGAAGGCATTCTCGATACGGTCCGACAATGTGGTGTCGTAGAACCGGAGCTCCGAGGTTGTGTGGTCGATGCCGAGCTTCTTCATCCAGGCAATGGTGGGGACTCCGAGACTTCCCACCGTGTCAAAGACCGCGACGGCCTTGATGGTGATGAGCTTGCCGAAGCCGCCGCCCTCGTAGGCTCGCGTCAGGCCCTTTTCGATGAGCATGTTGCGGTAGGTCTCGGCGGCGTTCTCACCCATGGGCTTGTTGTCAAAGGGAACACCTGGGTAGGGATCCTTATATTTCTTGGTCTGCCAATTCTGCATGTCTTTGAAGACGGGAAAGAAGAACTCCATTCCCTCACGGGTGAGGAGGCCAAGACTTCCGATCATGCCGGCGATGCTTCGGGCGGTGAAGGCGCCCCGGGAGAAGCCGATGAGAATGATCTCGTCGCCGTCGACATAGTTGCCGCAAATGAATGCGTAGCTCTCGCGCACGTGCTGTGTGTCTTGTCAGCCAAGACATGGAAGCGGGAACGTGTCAGGAGTTGACACCGACTTCTGCAACACCGTTACCAAAGGCGCCACCGGAGAAGGCGTCCGCCATGGTGCTTCCTGTCCCCACACCGGACTGGTAGTTGATGACCTGAACCGAGCCATCTGAGCAGCCGCGGTTGAAGGACCGTGCCAGACGGGTAACGTTGGACGGGGGCTGCGGCTTGCCCTTCTCCCAACCCTTGTCCGAATTCATCCAGGTTCCATCACAGCAGACGATGAGTCGTTTCTTCTGCCGGCCAGGGGGGACGGCGACGGAACCGCTCTGGGGTCTGGAGGCACTCATCCTGAGGAGGTCGCTTAGGTTGGTCGGTGCTTATCGAATACCTAGGAATCCTGTACAGATAGATCCAAGAAATCAATGTTGACGCAACACGAGTCTTTAGGGGGTTTGTTTGTTCCAAGGGGATGTGTACTGGTCTCGAGCAGCAGGTGGGAGATGTGGCTGACCATTGCTCATCGAGCTGGGAGGACCACGGGGCAAGAGCCACCATGGCACGATCTGTTCGGCCAAGGTTGTAGAGGGTAGGCTTCTCGTGCCTGTGGATTAAAGGACGAAAGCACGACTTATCGGCAGTTCCTTCCCGAAGCTTTACCGTCAACCATTGTAGTAGGCAGGTCCATGACAGTGTGGCTTCTCTCGATCTCGATCGACCCAGTGCATTTACAATAGATGGGCCATGCTACAAAGCCATGGGACCATATTGAGTCCAGCAATTCGTGCAGGCACGAGCAAGGACTATAAGCTCCCGCTCTTTTGCTCCTGTTGGGGTTGATACACAACGTGACAAGCTGTTGGACGACATGATTTCAGGCAAAGCATGGGAAGGAGTAAAGAGTTTCATGCTCTGGATTCTCGCAAATCAACAGTCGATTATCACCAAAGCTGCCCATCGGTTGATTTCCGAGAACTGGGTGGAACCACAGAAAACATTGGCATCTTGCTGACTGCTCGATGAATTTCCTCACCTGGTGAGGTCAGGACCAACATCGTATGCTGAAAGCTTGGAAGCTATTCATCGAATTGATAGCAGTTGTAGTATTACATTATAGTATCCATCTGCATTACAGTATCTTACTTCTTCAATCCCGAAAAGATGGATAAAAGACCCCATTGCATTCAAGTGTTTACAAGCATTGCATATTACATGCCCTGATGTATGCTTATTGAATGCACCTTTCCCAGTTTGGCCCACGACCGATATCAGCAGATGTCTTCTATCTTTGACTGATCAAAAGCCCTTGGGTAACTAGTTAATGATAAAGTGACAGCGCCTTTAAAGTGTGGTTAGCAAGTCGGCTGTTCCAAATGATTCAACCTAAATAGATCGGCCAGGTCAAAGTCCAATTCCCAAATGTAATTGAATAATAGCCCTGGCTGATGCGGGATTTGCCTAATCGGGAAAGATGGTTGAGTCGAGTGTGAGGGTGTGCATGCCAACCCAACGTGGGGGTTGCATGAGATCAGCTGCGACACCAGACAGACCAGACCACAAGACAATGTCCCACCTCGGTCAAGATCCTGATCTCCGCTTTCTGTCCCGTCGAGCTTTCACCTCAGCTCTGTCCAAACTCATGTCCCTGTCAGACCAAACCCGCCCGGATAGTTAACTGGCCATCCTGTGTAAATGGCGTCAGGTCAGTCCACAGCTGGGGATGATGCGACTGGTGACTTCTTTGAGCGTTGCGGGCTCCCTCGAGAATCATGTGTGCGGTGTTGGGACCTGGCACGGCATTTGTTTCCAGACGAATGCATTGCAGAGACGAAGCCGCAAGGGTATTGTTCTTACACACTGAGCGTTGGGGGCGAGACAATTCTTCAGTTCCGACCAGAGGTCCACAGGCTTGACATCAGGATAACAACAGCGGCCCAGACCATCTACGGGAGCCTCGCACCGCCGACTAAATCACTCGACGTCCTGAACATTCGGAAATCATGCCATTCAGACGGTATCGTGGAGTTTTCACATCAACAGCCCGTGGACGAGGCAGTCGTGATTGATGACGGTTGCTCCAAGTCCTATGCCTCACTACATGTCTACTCCATGGCGAGGATACCAGGCATTTCAGTGGCCGAGCTGCGGGCCTCCTCGGAACTGTCCACGTTACCGGCAGCTGAGTTACGGCGTCGACGACAAGATGTGGTCAGTGAGTTCGCCAGGTTCGTCGCCGTCAGTTGGAGTTCCGCGCTTCCGGCATCAGACCCGACCGTATCCAGAATACGGGGCAGGATAGGAGGATCCATCAGATGGCGGCTACAGCAAATGCATGCCCGCCTCCCGGCACGATTTCAGTCTTCCGTGGGCAGTGTACTGGATCAGTTGGACGGCATTGAGTCGCTTCCGTGGGTGCTGACACACGGGGACGTTGTCCCGGCCAATATGATGGTCCAGAACCCACAAGACGCTTCTTCAGGGGCAGTGGTCTTATCTGGCTTCCTGGACTGGGCCGAAGCGGAATATCTCCCATTTGGCGTAGGTATGTATGGTCTCGAGGCTCTCCTGGGCGAGCCTGACTGCGAGGGCCGCTTTGGCTACTATTCCGAGGCAAAAGAGCTGCGGGAATGTTTCTGGACGAGGCTGGAGGCAGAAATGCCCGAGCTGAGGCTTCGGTCTGGGGCTGAAGGCTTCAGGGAGAAGGTTGAGGCCGCGCATGTCATTGGCGTCTTGCTGTGGCACGGAATCGCGTTTGATAACGGTAGACTGGATCGGGTGGTGGACGAGAGTAACCCCGAAGATGCGGAGGAGGTAAGGATTCTCGACCTTTTCTTCTCTTGTGACGAGGAATCCAGGGACGAGCAACTCACATCGGCACACCCTTTGCGACCGGGTAGTAATGGATCTGCCAAGGCTTTCGACCTCGGTCGAGTGATTCGTGATGCTTGGGCATGTCTTGGGCGTTTGAATTTCGGGGATAGACGCATGACCAGTTCGTAACAATGCCTTCTTATATGTTCTCATATTATGGTAGGGTCAAATCATGGGTCTGGCTGCTCAAAAAAGGGGGACATGAGAAAAGTTGGACTTTCAGCTGGACAAGAAGAGACGGGGAGCTTGTCTCATGGCTGGGCGATGGTGGTATGCTGCCACGCAAACCAGAGCCGCCAGGTCCCAGGTCCGGAGCTATTTCTGGGTTCAGTATTACGGTTCTTACTGTTCTGAATAGACCCCCCGGCAAAGACCCTCTCCAGTCACGAGTATTTCTGGTGTTGATCACAACACCTCCACCACCGCTGATATGACCTTAGCATATTTTAGTCTAAACGTGGCGCAGGGTGGCAGTCGGCAATACCAGGATGTAGGGGTTGGTCGACCCCCGCCCAGGATCTGAGTGGCAGTGGCAGTGGCCCTACGACGTGGACGCGACAGCCAAGAGCTTATCAAGACGCGTCTCCCAGGGCCTCTTAATCCCCACCTCTCCTTTGCCTCGCAACAGAGCCGACAGGACGGGAACAGCATCATGGCACAACTCAAGGACCTGCCTGTGGAGATCCGAACCGAAATATGGGCCGAGGCCTTGGCCAATGCAGACACGGACGGCATGGAAGTCGTGTACTACTTCGACCCGGAGGACTTTGGGATGGAGAGACAGAGTGACGGCCGCTACGTGCACGTCGAATCCGACTGGGAATCTGAACCCGAGGTTGTGCTCGCCTTCCCGGCCATCATGCATGTGTGCCACGAGTCTCGCGAGTACGCCAAAAAGCGCCTATCATTCAGGGAGGACACGGTCATGGGCATCGAGATCCCGTGCCGCCCTTACCGGCCAGAGACGGATGCCTTCTTCATACATACCCGCCACCACAATCACTTCCTCACGGTCTTGACGAAGGCCCAGGACGATGAGGACAAGGGAAAGCTCCAGGAGGGCGAGAAGGCCTTCCACCGAGGGATATCGCGCCTTGGTATCAGCTCACCAATGCTCTTGGGGTCCGACATTGGGGACGTGCTCGCCTCATTCGTCCCTGAGATGACGGCACTGCGGCATCTGTGCTTCGTCTTTGGCAACATCTACGACCTCGACGTGACCAGGCCGCTGAGGATGTACGAGTGGTGGCTCGAGGACGAGACAGAGGTGATCCATGGGGTGCCGGGTACCAAGGTCCACGTGCAGGGAACACTGGACAGGATCAGGCGGGAAGTGGCTTCCTGGGAGGTCTCTGATGAAAGCACCGCCCCGTGGGATGAAGAGAATGGCGAGTGGCTCTTCGTGGTTGAGGCGGGGGAGATATCACAGGTCAAGGGTTGGGCCTCACTCTAGCATGTACTCCACGACATACACAGTAGACTACTTCAGTACGTGGAAGTTTGACTCGCTCGCCCTACTGCAGCCGTGCCAACTTTGAGGAACGGTGCGGGGAAAGCCTCCCGCAGCGGCACCCTGAACTGGTTGTGTTGTCCGCTGGCAATTCCGGCTGGCGGGCCCTTTTTACCTGTGCCCTGAAACCGGCCCCCATCTGGACCTTCCCACTTCCCTCGTGTGGGGGAGCGAGCGCCAGGGCTGCATGCGCAGGCACGATTCGGGAGGCCTTATTAGCCTTGGCACCTGCATGTGGGCTCCCTGTCTGTCTGACTTATTCCTGACTGACATGTCACTTGAGTGACGCCACATGCGTGGCTAGTAGCCGTGTTGCTGTCTCTAATCAACCATCTTTATCGCAAGATTCCATGGTACGTGAGTAGAGCCGTTCTGAGCAGGAACTCTCGCGCCTGGCTCCTGCATACCTATGTCACCAGCTCGCCCGAGACCCACACCGGGCACAGTTGTACGGTACACGCAGACCGTGACACGCAGAGGGTTTTGTATGGCAAGCTCATCATCTCGCACAAGCTCCCCGGCCACTTGCGACACGGTCATTCGAAGCGAACCCACTTGACAGGGCTCGACTTCATCAAAGCAACCGGCCAAGCCTCCTGCCCTGTTTCTAGCGGTGAGGCGTTTCTTTTCATGACATGAGTCTGTCCCCAACACTCACTCACCTGCTGCCAACTTGACAACGTTGCACAATCCCACGAGAGACGTTCGTTTGACCTCTAGCCATCCAAAATGACAGAGGAGGCCTCACCAGCCACCCCGCCCAAGGACGCCCTTCACCAGGCCGGCGGTGGTGTAAGCGGCGAGGAACACCATGGCCGCATCAAGACCGTCAACGACTCTGTCTTGCGTTGCCTCACCAACGTCTTCAACTGCCATGCCGACGAGAACAAGTCATGGCACAAGGCGCAGGCCGCCACCTTTATCCGTTGCACCCAAGCAGGCGATCCGGCGTCTGACCACGAGGCGCTGCCCCCACAGCTGGCCGCCAAGGACCAGCTCGACTTCAGCGACTTCTTGCACTACATGACATCGGATGCTAGCAACATCGTCCGGCCCTGCAGGACAGGTGACCAGGACCTCACCTACCCCCTGTCCAGCTACTTCATCAGCTCCAGCCACAACACCTATCTCACCGGGAACCAGCTCTACAGCGAGTCAAGCACCGACGCTTTCAAGAATGTCTTGCTGAGGGGATGTCGATGTGTCGAGATCGACGTCTGGGATGGCGACGACACCGACTCGGAGTACTCGAGCAGTGACCTCGACGATGACGACCCCAAGAAGGCCGAGATCTATGCCAAGCGGAAGCAGAAGGTAGAAAAGGCCAAGAAGAAGCTGCCCAAGTCGATCCTCTCAAAGCTGGAGAAGACTTCCTTGGGGAAGAAACTCGACAAATATGTCGACAAGAAGACCGAGCACAGAGGTGCCTCTTCGGCATCATCGTCACCGTCAGCCGACCAGGGAAAGGAAAAGGAAGCCAGGCCGGTGGCCGAAGGCGATGAGGACAAGCAAGCCTCCTCCGGTGTGCTCCAAAAGGTGCCCTCTCTGCCGGTGGCACCCACAGAGCCGCGCGTCTTGCACGGGTACACGCTGACCAAGGAAGTCTCTTTCCGAGACGTGTGCATGGCCATCAGGGAACATGCATTCGCCGTGACAGACCTCCCACTCATTGTGTCACTCGAGGTCCACGCGGGGGCGCAGCAGCAGGAAATCATGGTGAGTATCATGAAGCAGGTCTGGGATGGTCTGTTAGTCCCACCCCCGGACAAGAACGCAGAGGTGCTGCCGCCCCCAGGCGATTTTCGTCACAAGATCCTTGTCAAGGTGAAGTACGCACCTCCCGGCGTAGACACAGCTGCAGTATCGGACGAGGATGCAGGCCCCGTCGACCCTGCCGCAGCCGAGAAAAAGAAGAAAAAGAAGCCCTCCAAGATCATCCATCCGCTGAGCGACCTCGGCATCTACACCCGCGGCGTGTCGTTCAAGTCGCTCTCGCAGCCAGAGGCCAAGATGCCAACACACGTGTTCTCACTGGCCGAGAAGGCCGTCGAGGACGTGCACGAGAAGGAGGCGGTGCAGCTATTTGAGCACAACCGCAAGTACATGATGCGGGCTTACCCATCAGGTTTCAGGATTGGCTCGTCGAACCTAGACCCGGCATCGTTCTGGAGAAAGGGCATCCAAATTGTCGCACTGAACTGGCAAAAGTGGGATGAGGGCATGATGTACGTGAACCGGCCTTAAGATCCACACAGGATATTGACGCTTCACTATAGGTTGAACGAGGGCATGTTCGCAGGCACGGGCGGCTACGTCCTCAAGCCAGAGGGATACCGCTGTGCCAAGCCCGGCCAGGAGACGGGGCCACAGCCGGTCGTCACCCACCGCACGCTGGACCTCGAGGTCAAGCTCTTCGCGGGGCAGAACCTGCCGATGCCCCTGGACGAGACATCGGCCAAGGGCTTCAATCCGTACGTCAAGATGGAGCTGCACGTGGAGGAGGGCGGCGAGCGGCACGGGAACTTGGGGCCCAAGGGCGAGGAGGCGGCCAGGCGGGCGGCCTCGAGCGACGAGGACAAGGAGGGCCAGTACAAGGCGCGCAGCAAGACGATCAAGGGCACGTGCGACCCGGACTTCAAGGGCGAGAGTCTTGAGCTCAAGGGCATCCCTGGCGTGGTCGAGGAGCTGAGCTTCGTGCGCTTCATCATCAGGGACGACGAGTCCTTCCGCCGCGACGACCTCGCCGCATGGGCGTGCGTGCGTGTGGACCGGCTCAGGACGGGTTACCGGTTCGTGCACCTGCTGGATGCCAACGGCCAGGAGACAGATGGGGTGTTGCTTGTCAAGGTCAGCAAGAAGGTGTATTAAGCAGTTTCATCTCAAAAGGTAGCGATCGGCGTCAGGCGGTAAGGGGTCTCGCACTCCATGTTCGCGTAGCAAAGCCCAGTCAGTGGTTAAGACAGGTCGTGTTCGGATGGTTCAAGACGGTCAAAGTTCAAATGCATTTTTCTTCTGGCTCGTCCTGCGTGGCCGTACCACCAGCATAATTAGACAGAGGGCCAGTATCCCCAAGACAGACTGTACCTAACCGAGAATGACCTTGAATCCCGCTCTCGCTTCGTACCGTACCTTGGGATCTCCCACCCAGAATGACACCGAACTCCAAATGCTCCCACTTTATACCCCCTGTTCAACCAAGGGCGAGGTAAAAGTCACCGCCCCGCCACCTCGGACACCTAGCCTCGGTCCTCGACACACGACACACGATGTCACCATCGCGTGGGCGAGCCTACCAGGCCCAGAGGACCTTGTGATGGAGGACCCTGGGCCCGAGCCTCTCGTACTCGAACGGCGTGATCCACGAGTCGTTCATGGGCAGCTTGCCAAAGACGCTGCCGCCCTTCCAGACGACGACCTGCTCGTCCATGTCCCTCGCGCTGCGCGACACGAGGATCCGGTCGGCAATGTCCGGCCTCCGGGCGCGCAGCTTCTCCTCGAGGTAGCTGGTGAAGTGCGGGACCTTGGCGCCGCCGCCGATGACCATGATGGAGCCCAGCAGGTCGCGCACCTTCTTGTCGTCCGTCTTGCCCGCGTTCTGGATCGACGTGAGGATGGCGATGTCGAGCGGGACCACCGGCATCACCTCGTCGCGCTCCTCGGCCATCTTCTTGAGCGGGTTCTCCTCCCGCTCGACGAACATGCCCGGAGGCGGCTGGGAAGCGTTGGCCGGGCCGGGCCCGCTGCCGTTAGTCTGGGGCACCGGCGTGCCGCCGTTGCGCGATGGGCTGCCGTTTCCGTTTCCGTTGGCGCTGTCCTTTCCAAACACGAACGGAGGAGGAACGGGCGTGCTGGCGCCTTCGGGCGCAGGTGAGCCGGCGTTGGAAGCCTGCGGTGTTCCGTCGCGGGTGAGGTGGTTGAACGGGTTGGGCTTCTCCTTCATGGGCGTGGAAAATTCCGCACCGGGTTGGCTGGCACTGGGTATTTGGTTTATCGAGGGTTTGTTCAGCGACAAGATGGCCAGCTGTGCTGCTGAGAAAGGGTCGTCTGGCACTTCTACGTCGTACGCGTTGTAGGAGCGGTCGATGAGTTTCCTTCGCCCGCGGAGCTTCGTCGAGTTGTCGAACATGTCAGGGTCGTAGAAGCCCATGGGGGCGAGAATCACCTCGTCGTATGTCTTGAACTGGTACTTGCGCGTGGGCTGGTTGGGTGCGCGGAGGTGGAACTGGAAGAGCTGCACCGAGATGTCGGCCTGGGTCATGGTGCAGTGCTTGATCTTGAGCTCTTCTGCCAGCAAGAAGTCGTAGCGCCTTCGGAGGTTGATATCTGCATAGGGGAAGTTGTCGTAGAGCATCATCTTGATGAACGTCTCTGTCACGTCATATCCGCCGTACTTGAGGTTGACGCGCGAGTCCTCGATGCAGAGCCCGTCCTCGACGCATGTGATTGAGGTCTTTTGCGCGCCAACGTCGACAACGCAGGCCTGCGTATAGCCCGCCCCGAAGGTTGCTGCCATGCTCTCCTGTATGAAGCAGGTCTTTGAGAATTCGAACCAGTTCATGCACGACCGCAATGCCTGTTCGACGTATTTCTTGTCGTACAGGTCGGGAATGATAAAGACACAACTGTAGTGTTTCCATGAGCTGTTCTTGGTCAACCCAAGCTCCTGTCGGATCGCCTTGTCAAGCAGGGTCTCGAAGTCGTCGTATAGGTGCTCCGCTGCCGTGTAGTCGTCCTCGTTCATCCAGCCATGTTGAATCGGCCACCACAACTTAAACTTGGGGTTGGAATCGTCGGGGACCCTCTGGGCCTCGTTGCCAATGAAGCAGGACGCAACAGAATTCGGGTCCTCCAACGACTTCACATCGGTCCATTCGACCTGCAGGGGGTCATTGTGGACCGGAATCACCTCGGGATCAGCGCGCCGGTTGTAATTAACCACCAGCTCCTTGGAATTAGGCAGGACCTTGCGCTTGTTGGCGCGCATATCGATCTTCAAGTCGCTGCACATCTTGTTGTACCTTTTCGACCATTCCTCTCCGTATTGTTCATCTGGTGTCTTGGCCTCAAACTGCCTCCTTGGCAGGGCTTCGTACTGCTCGGACTCTGTCTGCGGGAACCTAGTCGCCAGGGTCATGGGTATCGTCTTGGGAAGTGCATCGCTGGCAAAACCTATCCGCAGGTTCTGGCTTCCAGGGTGAATGATGATGATGCGTGAAGGGTCGGAGGCGTTCTTGCCGGGCACACTGCCGTCTTCGGCCTGGGCTTCATACTCGTCCTCTTCCGGCAGACCCAGCGGGACCTCGCCCTTAGGGTTCAAGGCTCGCTCTCGATCTCTGTCCTTTGCGTTTTGTGCGATCCTATCGAGGTTCGCATCGAACTGGAGTCGCAATGGTAGGATTTGTGTGTCACGCTTCATGTACTCGCTGCACAGATGGCTGCGGTTAGCACATTGTGGACGGCCGGCGGCGGCGGAAAGAGGAAGAGACCCACGTGTAATAGTTCTTTTGGTTGATCGGAACCACATCCGGCCAACTGCTCTGCTTCATGCCATTGTCGGTTCGCTCGAGACCTGGGTGGTGTTAGCCAGGGCGCATGGCTCCCTTCGACAGGCGAGGGCTGCTTACCCTCCCGCGCGAGAACGCGCTCGCTGACTTTTCCAACCATGGCGGGCTGTGGCTGTGGACGGTGGGATGGACGGCAGCGGGGATGAGGATATGGATGGGATTGCCGGTTGGGGTGAGGGTGTGGGTGTTGGATAGACAAAGGGTTGAGGGCGTGAATTACATCTCGAAAATCTCCAGTTGGCCTGGTAGTTGGCGGCCCAGAGCTCCAATTGCGCCTCCTGCAGCATCGCGCGCAGCGACAGAACCCTGGTCGAGAAACGCTTGGAGTGCTACTGCTGCTGTCCGTGGCCATTATCGGCTTAGCGCCCGTGCCTGCTCCCCGACCTGGCCCTGACCCGTGCCTCGTGCCTCGCAGGAGTGCAACACCATGGACAGGTCCCATTCTTGCAGGCTTGCTGCATCCACCTGCATTCATCTCGTACTGTTAGTCTGTCCCTCTCTCTCAGCTCTATATTGAATGACACCATTCATGGACTCTGGTATCTGTGAGAGGATAAGATCACATCTTGCTCTTTCATCACCAACACAATTCCCGGAATGCACATTCAAACACCCCGGGTGATTTATCCCAGCTTGACACCGAGGTCTGAGAAACAAGATGCTCACCACCAGGTCAGGTCACTTACCAAAGTCCTGTCTTGCCAAGAAGCACTCTGCTCCGGAATGGTATCTCCCATGAAATGAATATTCTGATTATCTATGATCCCCATTTTCGGGTCTAGATGTGATCACCATCGTGCTCTATATGTCCCAACCTTGAAGCTCCCAGGTAGCAGAGGTGAGGATGAGTCCTTTCAAAGCCAAGACTGAGTGCAAGCACCCGGCAGCAAACCAGTACAGAATCAATTGGGCTGCTATTGTACAGACCATCATTACTTTATCCTCACCCCAACTGTATAAACACAGAGTTGCAGCTCAAAGAAGTCAAAGAGGTACAAAGTTCAAGTGGTCTGGTGCAGACACGTCCATGTGGATACTTCCAAGAGAAGCTGCCTCCAGATTAAGTTTGTGCTGCACAAACTCCACAATACCAGTCCTCCTGTGGGCCCAAATCTCAGCAAGCCATTGATCATACTCATCCGATTGCTTGTCATCAATTCAATCTGTTCACGTAGATTTCCTGGTCCCGAACGATGCTCCAGACTCCCTCCGGACCTGGGATGGGTCACCTGACACGGATGACGTATTGTGATGGCAGCCATCCGAGACGCGGCCTGCCTGGCAACTGAACACATATCACTCGGCAACTCGATTCAGCAAACATCTGTCTACCCAAATTCACAGTAACTGACACCTTGCTCTCACCCACCTGTCCTTGTTCTCATGATAAAGAGAGCTGCATGGGCTCCACAGACTGCAAGAGGTCTGCCAGTTGCTGACTGCGACACTTTAAACAAGCAATTCAGGACAACAGCCAGCAAACAAGCACCACCAAACAGACCAGTCACACTGCGACTTACTCGATCAAATCTGTCCTAAGTGACAATGCCACCAATTCCCATCTACGCTCACAGCCCCATCAACGCGGCCAAGGCTGCCGGAGCGTCTCCCCAGACAGCACCACAAGACAAGGGCGGCCAGAATGCAGTGCCTGACTCGGCCCTTCCGACCACCACAGCAGCCACGAGACCTGGGCCTCCAGCCGCGGGCCACCCGGGATACCCGGCAGCGCAGCCAGGGGCTGTCCCAGCCATCCCGGCCCCAACGGGCACAGCTGCTGGGCTCCAGCAGCAGCAGCAGCAGCAGCAACATTACTCACCCGTCCAGCCCACCCCAACTCAACCACTCCCAGGGGCCCGGGGGCCACCGCAGCCACAGCCCGGGGCGGTTCCAGTGCCGCCCGGAGCAGCAGCAGCAGCAGCAGCGACTGGAGGCCCACACCCACCCAGGGTGACAGCAACACCCACAATTCCGCCTCCGCCCAGGGCCGGGGAGACTACCGCCGCCCCACAGCAGCAGCAGGCCATGCCCTACCCACCTCAGATGGCCATCCCCCCTCCCGCGGGGTCCTCCACCGCGTCAGCAGCGGCGCCCGCAGCCCAGCGCGGCACGACGACGGCCTTCCCAGCCTTTGCGGCGCCACCAGCCCCGGGGCCCTCGCCGCTCGAGCACCCGCCGGGCTACCAGCAGAACGTGCACGCGGGGGAGATGGACCGGTTCCAGCGGGCGAGGCAGGACGCCCTGGAGGCGGAGGAGCGGGAGAGGAGCGGCAGCTTCGGGAGCCTGGGCGCGGGGGTGGGAGGGGGCAGAAGCGGCGCCGGCGGCGATTCGGAGGAGGGTGTCTGGAGCTCCGCGAAGAAGCTCGTGGCGACGGCCGGGGAGAAGCTTGCTGGTGCTGAGGCCGAGGTGTGGAGGAGGGTGAATAAGGGGTGACGAGGCTGAATCTCCGTATGTCATCAGGGGTGGGGGGGGGGGGGCAGGAGGCGGAGTCGGGCCTTTGCGTGGCTGCGAACTCTCGATAGGGGTTTCTCCTTAGGGGTGGTCACTCATGACGTGACGAAAGAGGGTGTTGACCCGCGGATGTATCATGTTCAGCAGTAGCCTGTAGTAGTTGCGAAGCGCACAATACAGTATAAGCTTGGGCGGTTGTGTGTGCGCGCGCGCCTCTCATAGGGAACTACTTCAGCCTCCTCCGTGCTAATCTCGATGACTTTACCTGTTGGGCTGGGTGTCCGCGAGTTAATTGTCAAGACACCTTCCCTTCCGGTCTGGGCACCTCGATGCCCCCCCGGGCACTAGATGCCTCGGCATCCTCGGGTGGTTGCGCCGTTCTTGTAGGATATAACCGTTCGATATACTTGCTAACTCGGCCAGTCTAGGTGTTTCTGTGCACTATAGCACAACGAAAAAGACCAAGCCACCCCCCAGGGGAAAGGAGGGGCGCGCCCAGGGCCAGGAGGTGGGAAGCCGGACCGGGGGGAGGGGCACAGAAAACCCGCGCAGACGAGGCCGGCTGTTCCGTCATCGGTCTAGACAAGCGCAATTATTGACAAAGTAAATAGAGTAGGCTGCGACCAAAAAAGGACACAAGGAGGGAGAAATAAGTTTCTGCCGCGGTTTTGCCTTTTCTGGCACGCTTCTATTTGCGGTAAACTCGCGGGAGATTAAACCTGACCTTGTGCATGCAGGTCGATCACTTCGCCGGGTTCCAATTTAATTGAGGCCATTGCTACAGTATCTACATACGGGACCTGCCCGCCCTGCAGGGCGACGGAAGGGGGCCAAAGCTAAGAACGGATGATGGGTGTTTGGGTGGGTGGACTAGTTAGCGCACGCAAGGCAGGAGGGTGAGGCTGTGTCCAGACATCAAACGACCAGCCCAAGCAAGACGGCGCGGATTATTCGTCGTCACCGGCAATGGGGGTCGACCCGTCGATCTTGGGAAACATGGCCTAGGAAGGGGCGCAGTGGGCTCGCCCCCAAAGGGGGGTTTGGAAGGTTTTGTTTCCACCCCCAGGTTTGAACCTAACCAGACAAGAGAGAAAAGGTTTCGGGCAGTGAGACTTGTGAGAGAAGGACAATCTCGCAAGCTGTGCCTCTGCCAGGATGGGCTTTGCCTGAACACGAGGAATCCCGTTATGGTGAACAGAACGCACGCCGCCGGACAGATGAAGAAAACCCAAGAAAGAAACGGGTAGGGGTCAAGGGAATGCTGCCGTTGCAATGGTCCACCGGCTCACATTTGCGCTGGCTCACTCTGCGCAGTGGAGCGATAGGACTCGTCAGTATGCGCGAGACGGGCCAATCAAGGTTTCCGGCTTACACGCGATGGCCGTAGCCTGACACGCTGTGGTGTGAGTAACCTCACACGGCGCGGCAGGGCTGGAAGCCAGGCTGGGCCGGACAGGAACTGGCGGCCTCACTGCTGTATGGAGTACACTACTGTCACTCACCTGGGTCAGGGAGGTGTGGGGGAGGGGTCGTTGGTGGGCAAGGGGCATCGCGACATGTGCCCAGCCAGCGTCGTAGGGCCGCATCGCGTCACCATTGGACACCTTGTGATCTCCATAAGAGTTGAAATATAGACCGCGGCGCCGACGGCTGCTAGCGAGCGATCCCGGTCAGCTTCCCAATCCAGCCGGGTTTGTCATGCGACACATCGCTAATCTCTGGCAGACGGCCATCGAGGGGAAACACGCCGGCCCCTGTTACGGACCCCCCGGAGGACAGGACGGTGGTGACCATGGTCCGCGGACCCACAGAAAGAACAAATCTTCGAAGGTGCCATGGAAGCACTTGGCCCTCGGCAGGTTGGGTAAGGTGAGCAACAAATCGAAACGCCAACGGCCCAAGCCTCGCACAGAGAGATCCTGGCTGCCAGGATGCTAGGGCTGCTCGGGCGGGAAACTTCGCCCGACTGCCTCAGAATGGGAGACGGCGCCGCGCAGGCCGCGGGTGGCTTGCAAAAGATGCGATGACGGGTTGCGAGGCGCGCCCAACGCCCGGGCGCTGCAGACGTCAGCCAGCGCCCGCAAGCTCTTCCCGGACAGGCGGTAGCCGCCTACCGGGCTGGAGGCCCTAAGATGATGCTCGGAACTTGGCCCAGTGGTGTGGTGGGTTCTGGTACAGAGAAACACAAGTTGATTCCTTCGTTGGGGTTCGGCCTCAGCCCCAAGGCCGTACAGAAGCTCGGTCACAGTGCAGCTCGGGTCCCAGCCGCACACATTCGAGGCACACGGGTCCGCGGCGACGAACTGAAATGCGTTGCATGCAGGTACAGCCCATAGCCCCAGGCACAGCGGGTCTCGTGGAGGCGCGGACAAAGGGGCCCTTATGGTTCATGGTGAGTTCCACGGGCGAGTCTTGGTTCGGTGATCAGTGGTGGTAAAGCGTTCGAATTCGGTGCTGACGGCGTTGGTGTTGACGCTTGAGTGGCCAGAAACCTGGGAAACTTTTGAGCCCGCGATGGAGCTGTGCAGAGCGCATGAATGAAGTTGTCGAGGGGCCCCTTGCCCAGACTTGGCTATAAACCGGGCTGATATTGCTGTGTTGTCGGTGGTAGAAGGCCCGACAGGGAGGGTTACCCATGCACCCGCCCGCCAGCCCGCACGAGGGGAGCCTGGGAGGTGCTGGGAGGTCGGCACCAAGCAAGCAATACGCGGGCTGATCAACGGCGAGTGCCATCTTAGTATAGTGGCCCCTGCGAGGGCCTGACTGCCGCGGCCGCTGAGTCGCTGCTGAGGATCGACGTGGTGTGGCCTCTGCCTGGGTCAAGGGAAAAAGGAATGGGGCGATCAGCAAATGTTGGGTTCTGATTTGCCTCGTGCTAGATAAAAGTCTGCTCGCGGCATCGATGCCAGCCAGGCTGCCAGGGCTGCGGTACACAGCAACAAACGAGCCAGGCAGCCTGGCAGCCTGACTCTCTACGAAGTCATGATGAGTGGTACTGATTCCCAGTGTGCAGACTCGTAAGCCTGCTCTAGCAGCTGGATCGATCGGCAATGGAAGTCGACACGCAGTCGACACGCAGTCGAGACGGAGTCGTGTGCCGTGTAGGTGCTACTCGTGCCGAGCAGAGCCGTGGTCAATACGTGGTTAGATGGCAGGATAGCCCAGGCCCAAGGAGCAGTGAGGACTTGTTAGCAGTGTGCAAAGGCGAGTCAAGGCTTGCCATGGCGCTCGAGAGCGGTGATGTACGCGTCCTGGCTCACGAGACTGGCTCAGTTGGAGTGGGCGACGTCAAACATGCCAAGCGGCGCCAGAAGACAAGGCAGACCCCGAGACGACTTGATCTGCCGCAGTCCGAACAGTCCGACAGACAGCGTCAGGACAAGACCGGAGCAGTAGCAGGAGGAGGAAGGAGTACGTGAGGCCGTTACCGGGTACCGATTGGATCTCCAGGGAAGCTGATTCACCAGGCGCTGTCATCGTATCACTTTTGCAGACTGTGACAGGGCCCAAACTGGCGATGAAGGAGGAATGCCCAGACGGGCAAGGTGCGGCAGGACCACGGTACACGTCGGCCAGGCTGGACCCTAAAGAAGTCTATTTGGGCCGGGCAGGGGGGCCCACGGAGGAAGAAGGTTTTGACAGAAGCTGACTTGGGAGTACGGAGTACCAACCACAGTACTCGTCCGTCCATAGTATTGGCCAAGTGCTGTGCTGTGATGGCAGGGTGGTCGCGATTGGCGGGCAACAGCCGACGAGGCTGATGTTGCAGGAGAAATCGGATTGAGATTGAGTGCACTCTGACAGAAACTGGCCTGGTGTTGGCAACGCCAATCTGGAGTCTGCCCATGTTGAGGTCCAACACAGGTCCAAGTTCCAGCCTGGGCTGCCTGGGCTGCCTGGGGCCCAAGAGCAGGAGCCCGGGTCTGAGCACAGAAGTGAGAAGCTCGAGCGCCAGGGTCAGGGCAAGCAAACCCAGCAGGCCGGCAAGTCGAGTTCTGCCGGTGGAGGTGGTGGTTGTCGTGGTTGCCGTGGTTGTATCCTGGTAGGGGTGGTGGTAGTGCAGGGTGGTAGTGACGGGCGGCTGGCGACTGGGAGGGAGATGGACGGCGGGCGATGCGATGGCAGGATGGATGACTGATGACTGATGACTGACGGCTTTGGGGAGGTGAGCAAGTGAGGTGGGCACAGCTACTCAGCAACTGTACTAGACTACATAGTAGTCTGTCCGCAGTTGCAGTCTGCAGCGGGCTGCATGGGTGGTGGGCCGCGTCTGATTTGCATGGGTCCGAGTCTCTGACACAGGACCTGAAACACCTTGACCCCTGAGACTCTTTTCTGGTGAGCCAGTGAGCCTCCCTCGCCTCGCCCGGCCATCTAATCTAGACACGCCACGCCACGCCGCTACCGAGGACACCTCTTGGGGTAAACCACGGGTGTTTACCACCAGGTACAGTGCTGACGGTTGGGCAGGGCTTAGTTTCCTAGGTACCTAGGTTGGGTGGTGCAGGTGGTGGAGGTGGTCAGGTAGTGTACCACAGTAGGGCTCTGCTGCTGCTGCTGCCGCTGCCGCTGCCGTGTCCGACAGCGCGCCTCACTGACCAGGCAAATCCCAACCACTGCTGGTTTCGAGTTTCTCACCACCTGTGGGCATGTTGAAACCTGCGAGGCAGAACATCACTGAATTATGATTCTGTCCTCTGTCTGTCCATCCGTCTCAATAACTCAATTACTCAGTTGGCAGACTCCATGATGTTCTGGACCGAAGTGCTGTGGCACTCACTCTCTCATGGGGTCGGAGTCGGATTGCTACCCTACCTGACGGCTCGGTGCACATCTTCAGTGGGCCGGGTACGGCGGTACATGTACGTACCATCGGATGCCCAGGCGCCCCACCTGCCCACCCTCCTGGCCTCCCACCTCTGCCCACTCCCACGGTGCCACAGGCTGCCTGGGCCGGCAGCAGAGGGGAGGGCCACAGGGTGACTGAGGGACTGGACCCCAGACCCAAGACCCAAGACCCAAGACCCAGACCCCTTGCCTTGCCTTGCTTCCTTCCGCGTCTGCAGGGCGCCTCTGGCCAATCCGACGTGTCGGCCTCATCCACTCAGAATGAACCTCAAACCCTAGCCTGCCCTCCCTCTGGTGCCTCTTCCAACGACACATGTTCCGCTCCGCCAGAACATGACCGGCCAGACCTCCGGCAGCTATACCCGCCCGCCCCTCATATACCCTCTTTTCGACGTGTTTCCTGTCAAGTCATGTCAGCCCAGCTACTGCCGGGTCGTCAGCACTCACCAACACCTGCATCGTTGTTGCTGTGGGTGAGAGAGCGAATGACACGCGAGTGGGCGAGTGAGGGAGTGGCTCGTGTGTCTGATGCACTTCCCCAACCCACCCATCTTTCTGTGTGCAATGCAATGCAGTGCATTTCGGTGCTGCCTGCTCCCCCTGCTGCTACCTCGGTACTGTGGGATCGTACAGCGCTCACTTTCTCATCAGCCCATCAGCCCATCAGCCCATCTCCCAACTAACAACATTGCTCGACCAGCACGGTCCAACGAAACACCACCCCTCCTCCCCCAGAGGTGGGCGGGCTGGCTTCGGACGAATCGCCCGCTGGCCTCCTGGAGACTGCTGCCCTGGATCGCGCCGCCAGGTCTGCGCTAGAGAGCCGTGTTCCAGGTTCCCTCCACTCCACGTCCTCAAATCATCGCTTCTGTCTGACGTCTCTCGGCACCTTGCCGCTTTCAACTTGACCTCAAACCCAGCCTCACCACCGCCCGTCAAGAACCCCCCAGAGGCTCGACGCACCAGCCAGCCCAGCTCCGGGCGGCCGAGTCTAATTCTCCCCAGATCTACCGGTCCACTCGCAATCCTCCCCCAGCACCGCCCGCGCCCAGAACACAGGCGGGCCGTGAGCTTACGTACCTGGCCTCCCGGGCGCCTCTCTATTTTTGCCGTGCAGTTGTGGTCGTGTGCCCCAGATGCCCCGTACAGTCCATGTCTGGTGAGATCAGAGGGCTGGCACGGCCTGGCTGATAATACAGCCTCCGTGTCATTCGGCACCGGCCAATCGCAAAATTCCTGCTGGCCTTGACTTGCCCTTAGCCTGGATATCGAATCACCAAGAGGCTCCAGAATCCCAGAATCTGGCGGCCTTGATCTACCTAGGTACTCCGTACTGGGCCCCGCCGTCTATCATATCGGACATCAAGATTCCTGATCGCCAGGACCCATCCTTGCTCGGGGCGCCTGGCACACGCCTATCGAGGGCATCCACAGGCTACAGCACAAGACCGCCTGCTGTTGACACGGTAGATACCACGCCGTCGTGCTCTGCCTCCAGACGCTACCGCTGCATTTCACGATTCGCCGCCAGAGTGCGATGGGTGGGCCCGCGTCTCCAAGACCCAAACCACTCTAGTTGTCCAGAGCCCGTTGTTTTCTGTTCCTGATGCCAAACTGTGCAAAATAGCCTTTTGACTAGACCAGGCCTTCGTTTACAAAGTACGAGGTCCGCCTGGCGCTCGTCATCCCTACCACGTCACCGAGTATGACGGCATCGTGGAGTTTTCCGTGGGCCACAGCGACAGCTTTCGCCGGCGTCTCGTTGCGGCTGAAACCGCCGACCTGGCCGTTGTTCAATCTCTCATCTCCCAGTCTCCCCAGCACAGTCTAGCCCGGTCTGAGCAACTCTGCACAACCCTCTCCCGCCTGCTCACTGGTAGCTGCCGAACTTTCCATCTGATGTGGGCATGAGAACTGAGACAAGCGCCCCCTCGTCGGTATCCATCGACACCCCCCTCCCCAACGCCCTCAAGCCTTGCTGCTCCACTATCAAGGGCTCAGGGCTGAACACACAGAGGGGCGGATGGACGGACTGGATGAATTAGATCCTCGACGCATAGTATACAGAGGATAAACATTCGTTCCGCCGTCTCCTCCTCCACCACCACCTCCTCCTCCTCCTCCTCCTTCTTGGTAGGTCGACAGAGGTGACGTACCGAGTACTGCAGGCAAAAAGGGCATCATCGCCCGCGTCAGCCAGCCCAGCCCAGCCCGTCAGGTCGTGAGGCCGTGACAGCGTGGTGGTGAATCCCGAGTCCCCTGTCTGGAGGCTCGGCCTCCCTTTCTTCTCTTGATCAATATCCCCACGTCCCTCGTGTGCAATGGTCGGCCTCGCCCTTGCTCTTCCCTCTCGCAAGCCGCGACCTTGTTGCAGAGTCCGTGGGCAGACATGACGAGGTACCCAGTGGACCCTTGCTCCCTACGTCCAAAATAAGAAGCTACGGGGACCGTCCCTGGCTCGTCGGCCTTCTCTGCTCCCCACTGAGAGGCAACGCTAGAGGTCCTGGACGTCCAGTTCCCACACATCATCGAGGTCCAGATGCAACCCTGTCAACCCTGTCAACTCTGTTTAAAGTTGAATCCTTGCCAGACTTGCTCATTTGAGCCAGGCCAAGCAGATCTCTTACTGCCCACCCTCTCTCGACTTCGCGGACGACAGGGCACGCTTGTATCAGGGATTCCGGCTCACCACCTACCGACGTTCCGAACCTGTCCTTACCAGACCATTGGACTATTCAGGGTTGATGCCTCTTGATGCGACGGTACATTCTTTTATACTGCTGGGGTCCCAGTGCACTGCCCCTCCATCTGGCCCTTCTCTGCCCATCTCCCCCCCCCCCGTCGTGCCCACAGTCCCTCCAGCACTTTTTTTCCCAGCCCGCCGCCCAAGCAGCCCAGTCACTCCTTTTCCTGCTTCCTCAGCCTGCCTATAGCGCCCTGCACGCTATTGATCGCTGCTCTATAATATAGCAAGAGCTGGCCCTCTTCCTCGCGCGCTGCCTGTGCCCATCCGTCACGTCGTCAACGAGTTGTACTTTATACAATTCATCACACTCCTTTAAACCCTGTCAACCCCTCTCAAGGCAATAACACTGGCCAGCGGCCACCCGCCGTCGACCACAGGCTCTGCTCGATCTTTTTCCCATTGTTTCACACACAGAGGTTGCTTGACTCGAGATCTCGACCGATATCCGATCCCAAGATCTACGCGTTCCTTACTTTAACCACCCAGCACCCCTTACCCTGACAGCTCCTCAGAGGCGACATCCAAGCAACCAGCGCGGACCTTTGGGCCATATCGGACATTATTTTCTCTGGCCCTGTTCCCGGCCTGCCTATATTACCAAGTAAGTTACAAAGATCGCCTGAGGATATATGATGATACACTCATCGACACGTTGGCAATGTGGAACCCCCGGCTACTCATCCCCCATCTTAGTTTGGCTCTTCCGTCTGTTCATTCATGCTAACATGACATGGGATTTCACCCAGCTGCTCGCCCATTCTTAATACACACTTATATACTGGCGTCCCCTTGCAAGGAACACTGCAGCAATGGATTCGAGTCAGGCACAACTGTAGGGCCGCCTCATATCAGTTGTCCGCAAGAGTCTCTAGCTTACACAACTTCCATCGCAGAAGGCAGCAGATACCCTCACCCTCATTCGCCTTTCATCTCAACCACAGCTACAGAAGAGACATCCCCTCATCACGGTCCAGCCACATGATGAACATGACCGGAAGTGAGATGCCAGTCAAAACTGAAGCCATGGCGACAACGCCGCAGGGAGTATGGACCACGCCAAGCACAGGAGGCATGCGACCACGACCAGCAACCATCCACGAGGGCTTCTCCTACTGTGTTGACGAGAGCTACCAAGGCCTGCCAGCCTGGGACTCCTCGACTCTGCCCATGCACCAGCACCAGCAGCAACACACCCCCAGTGACACAGTCTCCTCGAGGCCAATCTCGGTTCATCAGGAGTTCTATCCGCCCACGACTCTGGACAACGGTAAGCCTAGGATCTCCACTCTTGAGCCGCGTGCACAGGCTGACCACAAAACGCAGGTCACTGGATGCAAAAGCCCGTAGAGGACAACCTGGAGATGCACGGTATCGACACCGACATGAGTATTGGTCAAGCATACACCACTGACGACGCTGTCCCGATCCTCGATCTTCGCTACCCCGGACAACCTCTAGAAGGTGACGCGGTGAACTTCGATAACGGTTTAAATCCTCGACGTATGTCAGGCTCGTCGTTCACCATGTCCACATCCGGTGGGCTGTCAGACATGACATCTTACGAGGACTTCTCAGCAGCTCTTTCCGATGCGCCCTCGTTCAGCTCTGAATACCCTCCGCCATCAAACAGGAACTCCATGATGTCCTCCACGCAACTCTCACCAGTAGCGTCGCCTCGTATGACGCCGCAGAGTCGATCCGAACTTGTGAGAACACAGAGCCGGGGCCGCGCCTCGCCCTCTCCACGCCCAGGAATGCGATCTGCGCCATATACCGTGGACAACTCTCGGAGCAACAAACGGTGGTCCACCGGCTCCTACGGCACGATGCCAAATAGGAGGCCGTCGCCTTTTGTGTACCAACATGGACCTGAGGCTTTCGGCCCGCGCATGTCATCAAGGCATTCGTCGCCTACCGTTCAGACTACTCAGATGCCACTGAGCTTTGGAAACCTGCAAGCCACTCAGCAGCAGCAGTTTTTCATGGGCCAAGCCCACCCGGCCGCATTCCAGCGAAACAGCATGTTGCTGCCTTCTCAGCTGCCCTCCCAAGGCTTCCACCCCGATGCGCATCATTTCGAGAACCCGCCACCATTGCTATCCCATGGCCTCTTTCGAATGCTTCAGAGCAATGCCGATCCACACTCGCTCCACGGTCACTATACGGATCTTTCGGACCCTCCTGATTTGTTCGCATCGCTGCACGAGGAGCAGATACCACCGCCCCCCGAGGACATGAACCCGTCAGACCCAGACTTGGTACCTCACGAGCAGGAGTTGCGCTTCGATGGAGATTTGTACACGCCTAAATGGGTCCGCGGCCACGGCAACAAGCGCGAGGGATGGTGCGGTATCTGCAAGCCAGGTCGCTGGCTGGTGCTGAAGAACTCGGCATTCTGGTACGACAAGAGTTTCACACACGGAATCAGCGCGGCGACTGGCCAGCCCTTCAATGAGCCGCAGGAGACAAGACGCATGGACGGCAACCCTGACGTTTGGGAAGGTCTTTGCGGTAGTTGCAACGACTGGATAGCACTTGTCAGCAGTAAGAAGAAGGGTACGACCTGGTTCCGGCACGCATACAAAGTAAGTCTCCAAAAGCGAAGCCATAACTACGACAGTCCAACTGACCGCTTCTCCTAGTGCCACACTCATCCCAAGATCAAAGATGCTCCCAAGCGCCGTAGGGAGAGCAGCCATCAAAAACTGGCCGCCTCAACCATGGCGAAACCCAAAGTCGAGCCAGGCCAGAAGTTACAACAAGAGAGCCCAGTGACGCCACAGCCGGCACCCGTCTCCATGGCAATGTCGAGTACTCCGACACACGCGCAAATCACGTCTCATCCACAGCAGCCACAGAATCTACAGCAGCATCACCAGCCGTCGGAGCAACGTCATAGCTACCACCAGCATCAGTACCAGCAGCCAATGGTCCCACCGCCCGTTCCCGCTCACATGCAGATCCAGGTGTCCGCCCCGGGGCACCAGAGGAATTCGGGTTCGCCCATGGACGGAGTCACGAACATGATCTGAGCCGTTATGTGAGACAACGCGCAACAGCCACGCCCGGTGCGAGACACGTGTCACGAAACCTATTTTCTTCTTTCAAGACAAACGCCCAATTCTCTAGAGCCATCGAATCATCTTTCAATCGCACATAGTTCACGAAGTGATGGGGAGATACTGGATCAACGGGGGATACCATAGACTGGCATTACGGGTCGGGTTGGGTTGGGACTTTTGGATCATTTCTATTTTCTTTATCCTTATACGCAAGAGTTACAGGGCGAGCACACCACAGAAGAAGCGCGCAGCAACATCACTCTTGGATACCTACACCTCGACCTCACCTGGCATCTCAAAAACGACTCGGGATCATCGGGAGAAAATAGCATCCTGTCTCTCTTTTACGTTTCCTCTTTTCTCTTGTACCTTTGGTTCCCAAGTCTGTCTTTTATGGCCATTGATGATGTAGCACGATATGATGCTTCCGGTTGACGAAAAAAAATGGAGGGTCGCGGAGATGGAATCCAACGACGGCAAACAAAATCACCCGGCCCTCAGCTTGCAGCGCTCTCTTTTTTCTTGCTTTCTTCGTCTCCTCCGCGTTGCTTATATCTCTTTACTCATCTTCTTTCACTCCTTCAACACTCTTCTCCTAGTTCTAAGTTTATTGATGCATCTCCTTTTACCGATTTCTTAGGTAGTCTAATACTAGATAGTTCCAATTAGGTCCTGCCGCCCGAGAGGGAAGAAGGGGGGCAGAGAGCGAGGCGCAAAAAGGCGATGTTTGGTCAAGTTTTCCTGGGGACATGCAAAAAGAGGAGGATACCCATAGGGCCATCTCGGATGGTAGGACAGGCAAGGACAAAGCTAGGGTCTGGTTTCTTCCCACGCGCCACGGACATACGATTGGGCAAGCTTAGCTGAATGAAAACTCGTTTGCAGTATGCATACGCGGATGCTGGAGGTGCAAGTGCCGATCAGGGCATCAGGTCGGACCCTATGGCTTCCATGTGATTACCGGTTCAGAAACCGGTGTGATAAACCGGGCACGACCCGCGCCCAAGCTCTCCACAGTGCCTCCAGTATAGAGAGGTGACGAAGACTCAGGTCCGTTACAAGAGGTGATATCGACGGCCCAGCAAGGGCTTCCAAGGCTAGTAGTGGTGCGTCGAACCCCGCCTACACGAGGGGCCCCATCGGTCCGAGGCGGACAACCATCACCAGGCAGTCAGTCAGGTTTGGCTACCCAACCCATATTGGAATGTGATACCGGACCGGCACCGAACAAGTGCATGTCCCCCGGTGCAAGGGAGCGATCCAGAAGAAGGTTCCGGGTAAACCTCGACCATCCTTTTCTAGCCTCGACTGCCCCGGCGAGGCAGAACCTCCGCCCTGTCAGGGCTCATCCTGAGTATTCTAGCCCCCTTGGGGTTATCTCGGATCTTTGGGCCTTGATCTTGGGCCTTGGGTTGATGATGGGATCGGGAAGGGAATGGCAAGGGCAGGGAAGGCTGGGATACTTGCCAGCGAGGCTGCACGTACCCCCGTCCCCATCCGGCATCCTCGGCGGACAACGAGGCAAGGCCAGCCTGGCAGCCTGGCAGCCTGGGTGACAGGAAGTGGAGTCGGGGGATCCGAGAAAGGCTGAAGGAGAAACCCGACCCGGCCCCCCAGGCCACGCCTTCCGGCTTATCAAACAAACGTGGGCTATAGCAATTGACTCAATGCCGCGGCTGTTCGGTTCCTTTCTTTCTTTGCCGGCCCCTGCTTACTGCTTCTCTCACTCCCGTTCCCGTCTGATGTCAACGCTGAAGCGCAGCCGTAAAACTGCCGTGCGTCATGATCCCTTGACCGAGATGTCCAGTGATCAGCCGGACTTCAGCCCAGATCTCGGTGCTAAATGGTTCACGCCTCAAGTCAGCCCCACGAAACTCCTGATGGCGCCAACTCTCAGCCCTAGAGATCTGTCCAAAGGGTACGGAGTACGGAGTACATAACGCAGCTACTGCGAGGCATGTACAGACGTACCTCACCCGCGGGGCCCCGGTCTCGCAGGGGTCCCTGACCATTTACGTGAGGGATGTGTGAGAGTGCGTAAGGGCACCCTGGATGAGACGACATGCCAATCGTATTCCTGCTATGTAAACTCTCCGTGCTCTCGAGACCCACAACTGCCCCGAACAGGCAGATTTATTTGACAGCGCCGCTAGGCGAGGCTGCGATCAGAGCTGCCAGAAAGGCGTGGGCAGTGGAGGGGGGAGGGGCGCCGAGGGGGTCGCTGTCAGTTCAAGCTCAGGACCCCCGAGATGGCGATGAATGTGGCATCGAACGTCGATCTACCGAAACCCGGGAAATAGAATAAGCCCCATGTACCCACTATCCAGACAAGCCCCCAGATGCGGATCCGGGTTCCTGATCGGAGCCATGGGAGCTGGGAAGAAGCATGTCTGCTTGGGCCACCTAGAACCGTCGGCATAGACTGCAACGCGGCTCACTAGAGCTCGATCGAAGACAGACGAACACACAAGAAGAACGGATGCATAACGAGCGGTTGAGCAGATCGGCCCGGGGGGCAGTGGGGGGCGGGAAGGGTGACGTCTGCTGGCGATGATAGGAAATGTCTCGGAGTCTGACAGCTCGCCGGGCAGCAGCTTGCCGCAGCTCTGCGGGCATGCTAAAACTTGACAGGCGTTGAGGGTAGCACCCAAAGTAGACAGGCAGGTGGACAAGGAACAAAGCGCGCGCTCTGAAGCCTTGGGCGATGGGATTCCCGATTGCGAGCGGGACGTGGCTTTCCTCAGTAGCGAAAACGAGCCACCAAACTCTGCCTGGGGCTGCTGGGGCTGCTGGGCGTGAGGGCTTGCTGCACTGGCGCACTCCTGATTGCCAGACGCGAGGTTCGGGAGCGTGGCATTCCTGGGATTGGGGGGCCCCCAGTAGGCGGCTCGGCCGTCTCATCTCTCATCTCCCAGATTCATGCGGAGCCTTGCTCAATGACGTTGGCAGGGCACCAGAGGACGACGGTTCCTGACCGGGCGCAAATCAACAGCCCTGTCGGGACACGTTCTAGTGTGGGCTGGCGCGTTGTTGGGATGAGTCACCTTTTTTGAGGTTGCTCGGAGGACTCTTTTGGGAAATGTGTTGCGTCGTCGTGGAGGGTGCATCCTCGGTCGCACATGGTCACGGTGTGGGGGCAGGCGAGGGGTGAGCTGGGCCAAGCTGGGCGAGCTTCGGTCAGTCGATTCGGCCTCGATGTGCGTGCGCAGCTGTCGGGGTATCATCAGATGGCTGAGGGAAGAGACGAACACGGCAAGATGAGGCAGGCACCAGAAGGTTGGCAGGACCGCTGCATACAAAGCAGAGGAAGGGGCTCCCCGACGCCGTCAACTGGTGTCTCCAAGCAAGCTGGACCAATCAGCACGCAAGCGCGAACCCTCCCCTCGCCGACGTCCTGCACCTCCCCCACGAACGCCAACACCATCTCTCCTCATGAGCTCAACATTCACAACTTCCTCCACGCCCGCTATTATCAATCTGCGGTATATCTAATAGTCTTGCAGTTGGCGCTAACAGTTGCTCAGCCTCCCTCTCCGAGACCCCGAAGGTCACTTGGGGCAGTACCTGATTCTGAAATCTCACACGGCACCCAATCGCGAACCGGCCCTGCCGGCCACGACACCTCGGGCAAGATCGAGCGCGATGGAGCCGTTCAGTGCCATTCCAGCCAACTACATCCCACACGTCATGGTCGGCCAATGGCGCCGGCCTGCATATGCAAGCACTTAAACACCTGCTGCGACCGGGTGGGGCTCGACCGCCGGCCCTCGTCGACACTACTATTCAGCTATTGTGCTGCGACGAAGCCACCAGCTGCCAGCCTGCGCGGGCAAACATCTCGCAGCGTTCGCGCCCTCACGAGGAACATGCAGCTGCTCATTTCATCTCGCCTGCCTTTTGTGGGCATTTTGGCCGATTACTGGCTGCCTGGGCTACGCCGGCATTGTCCAGCTGCAAGAGGCCTGCAGGATGCAGGATGCAGGATGCAGGCATGCTGGATGCAGACAAGACCGCCAGTAGAGGTAGAAGCAATCTCTTGCTGCCGAGCTCAACGCCATCTTTCGCCCATCATCATTTGAGCCTCGATCAGACCCGGGCCAGAATGCTGTTCTATGGGCCGAGACGACGGTATCAACCACTACTGGATACAACTGTCCAACCACTAACTACTTATTGGCCATGAGAGCCTGCAGGCCCCGGATCCGAGCTACTGGCTTACGTGCAGCAAGGCTCGCCAATGATCTAGGATCTGTTGGGACCCAATGAGCCTCTGCTGTTGGTCTTCCTTCTACTCTTACTAGTGACTTGCCCGTAGGCAGCTTCGAGGCCCAGTTTGACCTAGCCATATGTCCAAGTCTTATCACTAGCTCGGGCAATACTTACGGCGCCTCCTTTCCCTTCGTCGAGACTCCTCGGGAGTTGAGAAAGACAGCCGCTAAAGCCTAGCGCCTCGAACTGTAACCCGCGACATTCTAAGCTTGACTGAGACAATCCAGATCCAGCGGGGCGCCTCATCAAGACCTGCGGGCTCTAGAACGCAACCATTGCTATGCTGCCATATGTTGGACGAGAGTGTGGCCTCATGTTACCGATCCAGGCTGGGCTGGCTGGTAGAACCGCTTGTCATCATCATGCCTCGGGCTTATAGCCATAAAGAGCCTCTCGCAGAACCACCACGCTGCAGACCATCAGCTGAGATGAGCGCCGAAACTGCTGCTACACAGTATGCCCGGCATGCAGACTTCAGCCTCGTTCCAGGGCGGAACACTATGGCACGAGATGGCTGCAAGCCCCACTACCGCTTACGCAGTATCTTGACTCATCCTCCTGCCGCCGACAGACCAAGCCGTGGAGCTGGCGGGCCAGCACGGCCTCGAGCTTGTGTGCACGAGCTCGGCGTTCTTGAGATGCTCCAGACAGGCAACAGCTTGCTGCTGTTACTACCAACCCAGGCTCTTGGCAGCGATCTGCTGCTCCGCTCTAGGCTGGCTGACCCACATTCAGCACAGTCTCCGCGCGAGCTCTGCCTGGAGCACAACGGGTCCGCCAGGCACGGAACGGGAGGGTGCAGCAACAGCTCGAGGCACCGACCCACCTGTTGGCAGCTACCTGGTACGGAGTAAGCAGGTAAGCTGTCGACGTTGAGGACGTCCCAGAGGACGACACGGTAGCCAGTCCACGCTTGCTGGCACCTTGCCTCTAATTTGTCGGTCCGTTTATGCCAGGCAGTGGCTGGCTCTAGTCCGGTATGCAATCAATACATGCTCGTCAGATCCATTCCACCCCTGCCCAGGATTCCGCCGGTGTCAAGGGACGAAAGGCCACTTGCCCGAGTGTTGGTCTAGTGTGCGACAGTAGAAGTAGGCCGGCCTGGGTGAGCCTCTTTGCCCCTGAGCAGAACTCGAGCTGCTGGTACCGGGCGTTACTCTTTCGTGACGAGCTCTGATCGTCCATGCGAATAATCTCGCTGCTCTTGGGGTTTTTTTCTTCTTGTTCACCTGTTTTATCCTTTTTCCTGCAGCCGCACGATCGTTTGATTTAGCCGCCTCCACAACCCGGGACGGTGCATCGTGCTCAGCTCAGGTACCTTGCAGCACCCCTTCACCCTCCAGCTCGCCCACCAGAAAGCCTAAACTGCTCGTTACACCTCTATCCGCTGCGTCTGGTCTCGTGCTCCATTGTCAGACGGGTCAAGAGCCTCAAGGCCAGGAGAGACGGTCGTCACGGTCCTCTATTGGCACGCCAGAGACATACCGTCGACACGGGCGCTTGTGATCGGCGTGAAAGCTGGTCTGGACCGAGAGTACGGAGCACTATACACAGTACCCACCGCCCGCACAGCAACCGCACGGCACTGAACTGCACTTGCACTGCACAGCACAGCACAGTTTGAGATATCCGGCTCACAGACTCCACCAAAATTTTACCTGCCGGATCCTGAGCCAAAACTCCATTAGCGATCCCGCTCGCCCTGCCGTCCAAGCCCCGGGATTGGTCGTAGCCATTCTGGAGCTGCCCGTTGGAAGGGCAATACCGGCCGGGCCCTGGATTCTTCTGACAAACGACTTTCTCACGACGACGGTTTCCTTACTGTATGACCTATTCTTGCACCTTTCGTCTTGACAAAACTCTGGTGTTCCAAGCGCTGTGCTGTTTTCCTTTTTTTGGGGGGGATTTTCTTCTCACGAACGCCTCCGAGACCATGACCTGTTTCGACGGCTGACCTCACCTCGGCCATCCAGCTTCTAGAGTTGAGCATCTAGAACATCCTGCCTCACTTGATGATCACCTCGGGCCCCGCCCCTTTCACGACAACCATTGACGACTTCACTAATGAGCAATGAATGACACGCAAGGCTACAACGCATCCTTTGTCTGAAACGTTGGCACCATCGTCTGTCCACCAATACACTGGCCCCGCGAGCTACCAGCCACACGCCTCAACCGCCCGGTCGGAAAGCATACATCCGCTTATACCCTCGCCGTTTGTCGGCACATCGGGGCAGTAGCAAGGACGAATGCCACGAATGCCACCACCACCAGCGCTCACGCACAAGACCGCATAATACCTCCTCCACTTTTTGTCACCACAGCCTGGTGATGTCCTGCGGGAGGGACACGGCAGCTAGACACACACGCCAAAGCTGCTATGAGTGGCGACGATCAGGCAGCACCCAGGTATGGTCACCCTCCTATCGCCCAACGCCGCCCCCCGTGCTAGGCACGCGCTGCAACCCCCGCAGATGCTGACCACTTTCTCCCCTAGCTTTGGTGATCCAAACGCTCGGCCACCAACTCCACAACGGACTCCAACTTCGGCCACAACGGCCGCCTCCTCGAGTCCTCTGCTCGAGACGCCCAAGCAGAATTCGGGTCGTTTCGACGAGGCCACCGGCTGGACCCCTCGTTTTGCTGAGGACTACTCCGTCTTCAATTCCACGCCCGGGAACCTGAGGGGCTCCTCAGGCGCGTTCCACTCGGACTTTGCGCCGCTGAGCCCAGTGGCTCCAGCAACGGGAAAGAAGCGTCCGCTCTCAGCTGAAGGGTTGGCCCTCGAGATCGCTACCCATGCCAACCACTTGTCGACGAATCCCCAGAATCTCCCGCCGGTTGACCCATCGCGGCGTCTCCCCTCCTCGCCTGACCCCCTAACACTTACACACAGCGGCCCCAACGAGTCGAACCCCGCGCCGACAGCCTCGCAGCAGCCTGGCCAGCGGTCGGCCAAGAAGTTCCGGTCGAGCAGCTCCTCGGGAGCTCCCAGCAGGGACGCACCTCAGGCACAGACTGCCACCCCACCCCCGTCCTCCCGGGGTGGACGCAAGATCGCGCCCAAGCTCCAGACCGACATCATGCAGCACCAGAACTTTGTGCAGCCGGACTTCTCGAATGCGCCGCCGCCGCAGCACCCTCAGCTCGATACATCGTTCGTGACAGGGGGTCCGGAGGATGTCTTTGGCTACCCAATGGGTCCGGCCACGGCGCCACCAATCACCGGCCCGAGGCCCTTCTGGGGGATGGACATGGACACGGCTGGGATGGGCATAGACGTAGATATGTCGGCTGCAGGGGCAGAGATCTTCCAGAACTCCCAGGCGCAGGGACCAAGCGATCAAACCCTCAACTCGTTGGATTGGGGAAACGCAAATCAAGCATTCCAGCACACCAATTTGGCTGGGCAGCAGCAGGAGCAGTCTCAGGTCCCGGCGGCCCAGCAAAACCAGTCGACAAGGCGTGAGCGCCCTCTCGCGCCGAAAGCCGTGACCACGTTGAGCCCCAAGTTCAGCCAGACATCACCTGGTCAGAATTATTCTTTCGGCTCTTTCCAGATGTCCATGGACGATCCGTTCAGCACTAGCCCTGGTGGAGTTGACCCTGGGTTGCTGTTTAGCCAGCAATCGTCCTTGTCAATGCCAATGGATCCATCGCCACAGCGGCCTTCTTCTTCGGCCCCTATTGTTAATCCAGGGCCTAATGAATTGAGTGCGCCTGTGTTGACAAATGATATTCGACGGTCCAAAAGCATCGGGGCCCAAGGCCAGCGCAATCAGCCGGCTCGCGCGCCGCCGGCGGTTTCTCCCACGAAGAGCGCCGCCGTCAAGCCAGGCCTGTCTCGAAGCTTCAGCGAGAGCTCCAAGCCCGGAAAGCGCACAGTTGGCGGTGGTCGGCCCCTGTTGCCCAACCTGGCTCCTGCGCCTGTGGCTGTGCAGCAGCATAGTCTGCCACCTACTGTCGCCAGCCAGAATAGCGCCTTGACGCACGCCCGAGGTGTGCGATCCGGTGGGCGGAGATCGCCTGTGAAGTCGTCGCATCACCATCGGCTGTCCAGTCTCACGTCGATCCCCGAGAATACCATCAGAACACAGGCTCGGCAGAGAAGTGCCAAGTTGGCGTCTGTCAAGTTTGTCATCGGCGAAGATGGGCGGGCCCGCACCGAAACGGTCGTCGATGATGACGAGGACGACGTCGAGCCTGTCGTTCCCAGCAGCAACCAGCCAAGTAGCCAGCGCAATTCCTGGTCGGGTCTTCCAGTCAAGCCCGACGTTGAAAACGACGAGTGCTCCTCTTCGTCGGACGATGAACCCATAATTATACCAAGTCGCAACACATCATTTAATTTCCCCGAACCGCCACGGAGCTCGGGCTCCTCCATGTCAAGGCCGCCCACCGCGACAAGCAACATGTCGCAGAATCGGCGGCAGCGCTCCGTCAGCGAACGAAGCTCTTTCTCTTCCTCCTCGTTCCGCCGCAACCCTCGGAACGGCCCGGCCGCCAGCCTTGTTGACCATATGGAAATCGACCAACAAGAGGCGCCGCCGGCACCACCATCGACCCGGCCGTCCACCGGCGGCAGCCTTGGAGATGCCGCGGCAGAGCTGAGGAAGGTAATGCAAGCGGGCACCGGCAAGCGTCCCGGCGTCCCGGCCGCGGCCCAAGTGGCATCAACGGGCAGCGGGGGTGGCAGTACGCATCGGCTGCGGCTAACGCCCGGCCAGAGGAGCAGCTCATCGACTATTTCGGCGACGCCGTCGCCGACGCACAACCCGAGCCAGGGACAAGTGCGGTGCGTGTGCAACCGGCCTGAGCCCGAAGTCGATGGGCTGCTGCATCTGATCAAATGGTATGTCGAACACCCCCCTTTCTACACCACCCACCCTCTTCCTTGTGCCCAGCTCTCCCCGCGTAAGCGCGCGAGCGTAAAGCCGCGTCCGCGCTTTGCGCCCTGGTCCGCTTGATCTGTCTGTGTGATATTGAACCAGTTTCCCCACCACTTACTCGGGCTACGCCGCGCACGTCGAATGCTTTAAGCTCCAAAGTGCTAATACCGCCCCGTTTCACAGTGACTCGTGCGACCACATGCTGCACGGCCGCTGCGTCGATGTCCCCACGCCGCAGGACGTCCCGCATGTCTACATCTGTGCCTTCTGCGCCAACACGCCTAACATGCGCGGAGGACGGATGCGGTACACCGGTAGGAACCAGAGTGACGGTGGTGGCGGTGGCGGGATGATGGGCCCGCCCGCTGCGCTGACCGCTGCGTCTGCATCGTCGCCTCTGGCACACAAGTCGTTTCGATCGTTTCGTTGAGGTAGCGATGTAGTACAAGGGGCGAACAGACCTCGGCTGTTATATCTGTCGTCTTGATCCGCGCACGCGCCAGCACGGCGTGGTGTTGGACCCGCAATACATTTACATGACACTACACGTGCTGTTTGGGAGGCAAGTGTCATAAAGGGAAATTTGAGATACCCCCTTACCCCTAGACAGGCTGAGCATTAGGATACGCTAAAAAGTTGTCCACGGAGAAGATACGAAATACATACATTCAGCATGCGCTCTGCCATGGATCTCCGCTATTAAACTTTAACCCAACTTACTCCGAGGCTTTGGATGTGCACGTATAGGGTTCAAGGAGCCTTATGAGAGTGAGCGGCATGGAGTCCAACATCATGATGGCTTTTGGGAACCGCATTGTCGGGAGATCTCAAAGAAAGGGCCTGTGACTGTTCCAACGGTCCATCAGGCAATAGTGGTGGCAAAATACTGGCCAAAGACGACAGGTGATTGACGCGAGCTTCTCCCGGGCACATTCAAACAAACATGAGGTGCTATATCCTGCCTTATACTAGTCTCACGTGAACAAGACCTCATGGCGCCCTATGATCACTGCAGGGGGCGGTTGGGTTGTGCTCTGTCAACATTGCCCCACAGCGAATGGATTGTCGTGGGTGGTTAGCTCTTGAAACGCATGGGCGTGGAGTCAAGCCTCGATATTGCTGTCTACGCCAGTTAGTTCCGGCCAATGGGTCGTACATATGAGCTACCCAGATCACTCTGTGCGAGGGTACATGATTTCAAGCAGTCACACCATGCTTCTCTGGTATAGACTTGATACCTAGAATTTGGAAACGAGGGAGTGGGCACAGGCCGTACTGCATCCCCTCTGCCTCAAGAATACATAGTTTCCGATCGCATCGGCAGGCAAGATTTGTATCTGTGCCGAGGATATTGACAAGAGCCAGACACTAGGACTCAAGAACATGGGTGTCATAAGAATGGGTTTTGCTTGACATCAACGGTAGTTCAACTCCGGATTTGCCCTAAAATTACACCGACATCGACACTCGGGGACAGGGCACTCATTATGCCTTGCAAACCACTGCCTCGCGTGGTCCAAGTGCAGGACATGCTCACACTTGAGACAGAACGTAGGGAAGCGGGAGGCCAGCTTGGTCGCCTCGGGATCCGCAGCGGCCGCAGGGGTGTCCGACCTCGGGATGCCCACGACCTCGAGGCAGACGACGCATCGCGGCAGGTGCCTCTTGCAGTTTGGGCATGCGATCCCCGGAGTCGCCAGATTCTCCGCGTACGGGGTGTGGACGACACCCCTGCCGTTGTGGAAGGGCCCCGGGATCGACGCAGACGTGGGTCCTCCTCCGGTGAGGGGCGCCGCAGGCGAGGCGCGTAGTAGCGAGGTCTCGGCGTCGCAGTAGACGCAGCGCAGCGCGATCTGTCGCGAGGGCGCCTTGATTGTTGGGCGGCCGTCGCGCTTGCTGCGCTTGGTGCTCTCGACCTCGAACTTGGTGCGCTGGTAGAAGGCCTTGTGGCGCTGCAGGTACTCGCGGTAGGCGTTCCGCCATGCCGTGCACCTGTAGTCGTCTATGTAGCGTGGCGCGCAGAAGGACATGACGAGCGTGGCGGTTTGTATGTCGTGGAATTTCTCGACATACTTGGCCAGAATGTCGACCATATTCTCCGTGATTCCCGTCAGTACGATGCCCTCGACATCGCCCTCACTAACAGCCTCTTCGACTTCGGTGGCGAGCCATTGTGTGAGCTGATCGTCATCGAAGTTGCGCACAGCTACGAATGTGCGGTCGCGCAGGGGCAGAGATCTCTGGTTGGCGATGGTCGCCCAGTCACCGGTTGCGATATAGGACGAGATTGCGCGGAGGTACGGGTCAGCCTTCGCAGCGACTGCCTCGTCAAAGTCCAGTTGTTCTGCCGCCACGTCCCGGTCTCCCTTGCTTACAAGTTGAAGGGCGAGTGAGACGAAGAGAAGTTCCGGGTGTGCCTTGCTGGCGTCTTTGAGGATCCGCACTGCTCCCTCCGAGTCGCCTCTGAAGAGAGCGTGCGCGGTCATTCGAGTATACCAGAAAGATGCTTTCTCGATGCTCCTGCCACTGATATCCACTCTGTCTTCCGCAACGGCAGATGCGCCCCACAAACAGATGTCCAGCATCAGTTGGCGATGGTAAGGTTTCTGTGTGTCGATGCCGTCAAAGTTGTGCAGCCCGCGCCTCTTGCATATGCCATTGATGCAGCGTTGCCAGATGGCTGTGCCAACGTGGGGTGCTCCTTCGACAATCCTGGAATTCGGTCTCTCGCCTGGCCTCGGTCAGTCAGGTCCACTTCTCATTCCTTTAGAAGACGGCCATACCAAGGTTGTTGGTCCATATCGTGTTGACACCGAGGTAGCTGAGATCCAATGGATGCGACATCATCCCGCCGTCCTCACATGCTTCTTCGGCACCTGGGCTGGAGTCAGCGATTTTCAAGCCATCAGGACACAGAACCAATGTAGTTACCTTCTATCCAGCCCCAAACACCCTTCAGCCAAGGGTCGTCTGCGACAACAGCACGATTGACACGACAGTCGAAGAGATACTTCTCCTTCGCCCTCAGGAGCATAACATGGTCCAAAACTACTTGAGCGGCTTTTGGAAACCCAGTGAGTTCCGTTGTAGATCTGAGGAGGTTCTCGTGGAGAGATCGGTTCGAGGAACCTGGTGATGGATCCAGTGAGATCGAGCTCAGCTTCCTGGAGGGTGTCCCAGGGTCGGATTCTTTTGAGGCAGTAATATCCTGGATGTATGCCCTCAATGCTTGCAGCTTTTCTGCAGTAGTCTTGGCAGCCACAAAACTATCTGGAAGAGGCATTGCGTTTGCCGCCTCGTCGACCAAGAGGTCATCTTCCGGGGCATAATTCTTCAGGGCTTCCTCAGCTATGGCACCGACGTCGGCTTTTTCTGGGCCAAATATAGGGATATCAGAAAGGGCGTTCTCCACAAAGAAAGGCCCTAGTGTCTCGATAGTTTGGCTGGTATCAAACTTCATGATGTTATGATACGAACTTCCCTCTGCTCCATGGTAAGCACGCCATGCCCGTCCCGCCAGGGAATACGATTAGACATACCTGCTAGACCTCTATATGGCGCCTTCCAAGGCGTCAGTTTATACGGATAGGTCCTAGTAAAAGCTGGCACCTCGAGGATTTCGAACGCCCCGCTTGCGCGGAGCACGAGGAGCCTCGGACGAAGTGCAGCAGATGGCATGGTAAGCCAGTCGAACGAGACGATGCGCTCGTTTTTCCGATCAACTTCCGAGTAGAAGTTATCCATCTCGTTCGACTTCCTCACTTGGAGTAGCTGTGGGCTGTCTGATTCCGAGTCTGTGGATAGATACTCGGAAGGCTGCGTCGAAAACACTTTTAGCTGGCCGAGACGGGACAAGACAGCCAGCATGCCCCTGTGATCGCGGCAGTAGGCAAGCTTCCGAATAAAAGAGTTTCTGTCGGTCCTGGCCTGGGGATCGCTTTCTATGTCCACGGCCCTGTCAAGCTTCAAGGCGCCACCGAAAGGCATGTCGTCTGCATCCACGGCATCCAGGTACGACTGAGAGGCGACATTGCGGCTGAGTGCTCTCCGATCCCACACCATGACCCCTGGGGAGTCCAAAGCGGAGGAGGCAAAATAGTTCTGGTCTGCATAGTCGATAGCAAGATTGTTGTTGTTTTTGGTCTGGAAGGTAACAACCGCCTCATTCCCTTCTGTGCCCTGGGTCAGCTTGTAACCTGCAACTGGAGGCGAGGGGCACAACCTCGGAGATCATGGAGCCGGAGGCCAGAGCCCTTGATGCCGACCACCAAGGTCTGAGGGTTGTCCTCGAAGAACTTGATGCTCGAGATGGAGGCATTGTGCTCGAGTCGCTTCCAGGGTTCTCTGAAAGGCTCTGTGCTGGCGGAAAAGCCCGCGCCGGAGGCATGGATGGTGGAGAGGCGATTAACGTCCCATATATGCAGGCACTGGTCGTTCCTGACCCTGTCCAGGCCCACAGCAAGCAAGCCAGTGGTGTTGAAAGCAACTGCCAGACATGTGCGGGCCACCTTAAGGCCCAGCTCCATGTAAGCATTCGAGCTGTCGTCGACCCTTAGCAGATTGACGATACCAGTGGACGTGCCCACGGCAACCAGGCCGGGCGTTGAGGGCGACCAATCGTAAGTGGTCAAAGGTGGCGCATCATCGTGCTTGGAGACCTTGCGGTAGTCGAAGCGGCCGCGGTGCGCATGGCCTGTGGGTTCATAGAGCTGCACCACCCTGTGCTGCAGGTTGATGTGAAGAAACGAGTCACGATTCGCGTTTGGCGACCACTTCAACAACCCCGGTTCAGGACGGTCCATCGCTGCGGGTGCCTGTCTCTATCGCGAACGAGGCCGAGGGACGCCGTGGATGCTATAGCTCACGTGAGCATTGGCTGTGTGCGTGGGATTGGCTTATAGAGCATTGTATCTGGGGGCAAGCAGCCCGAAGGCATTTGGTTTCCGATGAGAAGGCCAGAAACAGTCACCAGGTCCGCAGCACTTGGTAGTCAGGGGAGTGGGTGCATCTCAAGCGCTACGGCGAGATACATTGGTAGCTCCAGTGCTCCAACAACCCGTACCCACCTTACAGGGATTGGGGAGGTACATTTCCGGTGCCGATAAGATAAGGACCCCAGATGTCCCCTACCAAGGCCTGTGTCTCCATTGAAAACTTTCGACAGACGGACCGGACCACCTTGGTCCAACCCAGCCCTGGAGATCGCTTGCACCGACTTCCCTCCCATCAATACTCGGCCGCGCAAACACGCTGCCACGCAGACAGCATGGGCTTCAAACGCCCCCACTCCGACGTTGACGGCGGCGGGTCGTCGAGACACAACGGCCCCAACAAGAAGACGAAACCACACTTCCAGAGCCACAAGCCAGCCGCCAATGGCAATTCATCACAATTAGGCGCTTCCTTGCACGAGGTCAAGAGGCGCGCGCGGAATATCGAACGGCGCTTCGCCAAGGGTGACGACCTCCCGGCAGACGTGCAGCAGAAGCTCGAGAGGGAACTGGCGCAGTGCAAGGCGCAGATCGAGGAGATACTGCACAAGAAGAAGCGCAGCGACATGATTTCCAAGTACCACAAGGTCCGCTTCTTTGGTACGTATTCGTCGCGCCTCCGAGCCCCCGAGCCTCCTTGCCTCCTTGCCTCCTTACCGATAAACATTGCTGACGCTCCATGTGCAGAGAGGAAAAAGGCAGAGAGGCTGCGCAAGAAGCTGCAGAAACAGGCCGACGAGTGCACCGACCCGGAGGAGAAAGCCAGGATTGCGGCGGACCTACACATCGCCGACGTGGATTACCACTACTCCAGATACTTTCCGTTCCTAGAACGATATGAGAGTCTATACACCGCACCGGAGAATTTGAAGGAGGACGAGACAGAGGACAAGCCTGCCGCATTACGAGCGCTGCATTCTGAGCGGCCGCCCATGTGGAAAGTTGTGGAAGAGGCAATGAGGAACGGCCAGGCCGCGTTGGAGGAGCTACAGGAGCGGAGGCCAGAGAAGTCGCAGGATGCCCAGCCAGAGAGACCAAAACCAAGGGCGGCCAAAGAAAAGAAGGTGCAGCGCCCGGAACCCAGGCCTGCCCCCAGGACGGCCAAGGCGCAGGAGCCGAAGAAGAAATCAGAAGCAGCACCCAATATGGAACTCAACCGTCGACAGAGGCGTGCCAGGGGGATATTCAATGAGAAAGGGCCGGCTGGCAGCGGCGAGACTGGGGATGATTTCTTTGCTTAGCCCCGCATCTTTTTGGCGTTGCAGCTTGCTTCAGCACAAGCAGTCTGGCATGATACCCACCATGCATATATGGTAGTCAAAAAAGTCACCTGGGAGCTTCGAGTCCTGTGTCATGAAGAACAAGTAGTGAGCCTTGGTACAGTGTATTTTTGAAGATGGCTCGCTCATGCGGTTTCTACTGCGCGGGGGAGTTGTAGCCATTGGTGGTGGTGGTGGTGGGTGTTTTTCCACTTGCGGAGGCCACTCATGTAAGTGCTCGGGGAGCATATAGTGCTGTCCATTGGGGGGAAGGACCGATCTGTTCCACAAACACAATGCAGGCGCGAGGAATAAACGGTCGCTATGCAGGCTCCCATGTCCTGCCACAGATACCCCGCCGCAGTGCAGCCCGCGTAGGCAGGAGGCCTGCCACTTCCTAGACCACGCCTCAGGCCGGCCAACCGCCCTCCGTTCCCAACACCTCTTCAGCCTTGTGCCTCAGCGAGCAACCGACCTGCCCAAGTATCTACAGAGATAAATAAACAACCGGGGCCTCTCGCCAGAGGGGCCTTGACTTGCTCGGACAAACACATTACACATTACTTCCTCGACTGAGTCTTTCAATACCCGGAAACATCACACACACGCTCGTCATGGCGACCTCGAACGGCCATGACCCATGCTTCCCAAACCCCATATACCAGCATGTCAAGGACTGGGCTGCCAAGCAGGAGGCTATTGAGAAGGAGACCAAAGCACCGGCCCCTCTGAACGACGTCGAGCGGGCGTTCCTCGAGGGGCTGCTCAAGCCGTCGCCATCGCTATCGCCAGCCCCGGATGACGGGAAGGACTATGTCAGCCTGCTATTCCGTGAGTATTCGTGAGGTGTGTGTTGGAAAGCATGAATAAGCGGTTACTGACGGAAGTCGCTGTTAGAGTACAGACAGGCGAAGCCTGCCGGCCACAAGACCAACTTTGTCGATGGCGCGCATCCCATCCCAAACGCTCAAGGGAGCGCTCAATGGACCTGCGCGGTCGAGCTCAGCGAGACTTCGGTCTATGAGCCAAGGATCAAGTCATTTCCAGCTGCCGGGTTCGGTCTCGACGCGACGGGCTCCTGCCCGCCGTTCGCAAAAAAGAAGGATGCTAAGCAATGTAAGGCTCCCCTTCCTGCCGTGATGAGAACCATCCCTGACGCCCTTGTAGATGCCGCCAAGTGCGCAATGGAGTGGCTGGCTAAGCATGGTCTCTTGCCCCCTCATCTAAGACTCCCCGTCGCTCCCCAGGAAACCCTCGCAGTCCTGCAGAGCCAGCCGCCCAAGCGTCCGAACGAGGGCAGCAACGGCGTGCTGTCGCCGGCCCCGAAGCGTAAGCCCACGGGGACCAACTTCACCGTAGACGTCAACGATGACAGCCCCTCGGCTGCACAGCGTGTATCGATGCTCTGCCAAAGCATGGGCCTGCAGGCACCGAGCTACAAGCTGACGCCCGCACATGAGGGCATTAATTTTATCTACAATGGGTACGTGGACTTTGGCCAGGACGAGGACGCCTTCGACTTACCCGAGGACGTGGGGCAGATTGCAGGCGTGATGGGTAAGGATACCGCGAGACAAGACATGGCTGAGCAGCTGCTGCCGCACCTCCTGAAGATGTATCGGGAGAGGTGCGGAGAGTATGCGTCGCACATGGCCTCACTTCCATCGTAGGATAGGTTAGGTCTGTTTCGCACATGATTCACAGCCTTCAGAATGAAGTGGTGCTGGTTACACATTCCAAGTAGCCCTTGGTCCTATGCCCAGTCGCAACTCACGGCGCGTTTGACGCACCCTTCCCTCGGCCTCTTCCACCGCCCTTCCCACCTCGCCCACCTCGCCCACCTCCCCTTCCCCTGCCTCCCTTGGCAGGCGGTGGCCGGCTCTTCAAGTCCTCAGGCAGGTCCGCAACCCACTCGCCGTCCTTCCACAGTGTCCCGGCATCCTCCTTGCGGCCCACAACCTCCTTGAAGTACTTTGCAGGCACCACCCCCTCCTCCCCAACGCCCTCAGTAAGAACAACACCGTTATCACTGACCCACCACGTGAGAACCCCATCCTCAAGGCTCCGCCTCACGTCGACGTAAACCAGGACCTCCGCGTCCCGCCGCATCCCCGATACCACGCCTTGCTCGTCGTCGGGGAGGCCAGTAGAGCAGTGCACGTGTGTGCGGCCCATGCGCCGCAGCCCCCCGGACTCGACGATCCGCGGCCAGAAGGCAAAGTAGGTGCCGTGCACGACGACGGGGGGCACGTTGTCGGCCTCGAGGGTGATGGGCCGCAGGAGGGCCTCGGACTCGAGCTTGATGCTGTGGCCCTGGTTGGCGCGGATGAGCCAGTGCGACGGGTCGGTCGACCCATCTGTGGCGGCGCCCTCGCCGCCGGCCGCCGGCTTCATGGCGAAGCGCTGCTTTTCGTTGTCGGCGCACACCTGGATGACCTCCTGCACCGTTACGTTGAGGGTGCGCAGGGCGCCCCATTGGAGCTGTGACTGCTGTTAGCCTGGGTGGACATGGACAGGGCCGTTGGTGATGCATCATCATCCATCATCGTCCATCACTTACCACCCGATCCAGAGGCGCATAGCCCTCCTTGTCCAGCTTGATGCCCGCGTTGAGGGCCTGGTGCCGCAGCAGCCTCGACAGCGCCATCGATATCTGCTTCTCCCTCTGCTTCCCTCCGTCGCCGGCCTTTCCCCCGCCAGCCCCCTTGCGTCCGCCACTGCCTCTGCCCCTGCCCCCGCCGCCGGCCCGCACAGAGGCCTTATCCTCAAACTGCTCCGCCAAGCCGTCCGCGTCCATGGTCGGCCTCCTTCCAGAAGCACAGGTTTGCGACAAGATCCTCCTGTGAGTGTAGTAGCCCCGAAAATCGTTTGCAGGCCAGACGAGGGAATGTCGTGGTGGCTGCCTGTGGCCCTGACGTACTGCCACAAGCCCACAGGATTTGTGGCCCAAGACCCTCGATGCTGCTGCTGATTTCTTCACTTTGAGACTAGTCCACTAGGTTCAGCAACAAGCTCATTGATACCTTAGTCGAAGTTGGTCACGTTCCACAATAGGTGGTGTGGTTGTTTGTCTTGTAGTTAAAAAAAGTTGGAGGGTCCGGGTTGCTTCCTGTGGAAAAATGTCGACTGAGCCTTAATAACCACTGCAACCGCCTAGGATTTCGGCCTGAGTCAACGGGCTCTGACAAGAGACCACAATGCTCACCACCCGACTCTAGGCCCACAGCACCTATGAACATATCCAACACGGGACTTGGATAGCAAGGACTGCCTGCTTTGGTTCAAGGTGCTGCTTTGTTGTGTTTCACCCATGCGCTGCAGGACAGGAGCACAAGAACATGCCCGGAGTGTGGCACACATTCCAGATTTCAGCGAGGGAGCAAAAGTGTGCTTCGCATGCATATAATACATTAATAGCAACCGTCTGGTGCAATGTACCAAGACAGGTAAATATATATACACCTGAAAGGCTGTCCTCTTCTTCCAGTGCTGGCGGGTATCGATATGCGCTCTGCGCGCTCAAACTCCTGGCAAATATCTGCAATTGGTACGAGTCCATCTCCTCTAGCAGGATCTTTGACGAATCGCCCCTCAAGTCGTACGGACATCAATTTCTCGACAAAGGAAACTTCTTTGCCGTGTGTTGATGTTCACCCCAATCCTGTCTACCTGCCCACCGTGTCGTAAGATGCAGCCAAAGTGCTGCAGTACTTGTGGAATGCCTGCCTGTCACAAAAGAAAAGGAAAAGCCCACCCCTCGCCATCCGCGTCATGAACAAGACGAAACTGACGAGAGTCGTCCGGTAATGCTAAATACGCGAAGTGCAGAACACACCAAAAGAAAAATTTCGAAATCTGATAACACCAGTAATGCATGCGTGAATCTCGGCTTCTTGCAGGAAATGCTTCTCAATGCTGAAAAACAACGCTTTTGTAGTTGCACACGTTGCAGTGTCGTGAATCGTCAGGCGTCGTATATGCGCAAGATGTGTCGCACTCATCTGTAACCACCGAAATTCGAGGAACTCCCTGAGATGCTAGGAATCCCACTGTGTCGTTTGCGGTTGATGCTGGTTTCCCGGCCCACCACTGAACTGTTTGACTGGCCGACCGAGTACCGCTGTCCTCGCTCTTCGGCCAGTCTCTCCGCAACAGAGTTGTCTGCTCTCTCGAATCTCTCACCCCTCTCCTGCGCAAACCGATCAGAGCCCAGGAACCGGCGGGAGCTGGGGGTCGTCGGGGTGGCAAAACGGGATGACGTAGCGCTTGCAGAGGGCAGGTTCGAGGTGATCAACCGACGCCGGGGCAAGGCTGAGCTGGCGGATGCAGGCTCCTGCATCTGGAAAGAGCCCCTCGTGACATCTTCTCGATCTCGCAGGGGAACATCGACCCTCAAGCCGGAAACCTCCGTGATAGCCCTCGATGGTGCCCTGCTGAAGCGCGACTCCGGCTCCTCGTCAATGTTACTGCCGCGGGCAATTGTGGTGACACGCCGCGGAGGAAGCAAGAAAGAGGTCTTGCGCCCTTCTTCGGGCTCGTCCGTGCCCGCCCGCCGGGTCCGGAGGAGCGAGGTCTTCCTGCCCTGGTCATCAGGCTCCTCTGTCACACCCCGCCGCGTCCGGGCCACGACAAGAGATGACTTTCGCCCAGGAGCAGCAGCCTCGCCGCCCATGGCGCTAGGTGCATACCTGGGGCTAGGTACTGATGGAGCCGTGAAGTTGAAAGTGGCTCGCTTCTCCAGCCGGGTCGCGCGCGGGCTGACGCTGCTCTCCACGCTCGGAACAGGCTCGTCAGGCTTGGATGTCTCTCGTCGCGGGGCGCCAGTGAAGACTTTGATGGGCGGCGGACTGCTCAGCTGCTCCTGCTCCTGCTCCTTGTCCTTGTCCTTCTCCTTCGACTTTACCATCTCCCGTGATTCCGGTTTTGGCTGCTGGGTCGCAGCCTTCCGCTGGCTGCCCTCATCTGTCAAGGCTAGGCACAGCTCAGTGAGATTCCGACACATGCTGTCGACTTTCTTCCGCAGTAGCCTATCCGTGACGGTAGCCTGGCCACTGCCCCCAATAGTGCTCGCACCGCTCGAAATTGGCCCTGGCTGCCCGACAGTACCCATCATCTGGGACAGCGACATCGCATCGTTGGCAGCCGCCTCAACAGCACTGTAAATGTCAGAGGTCACAAATGGCTTTGTTTTCGAAAGGGCTGATTTCAAGATGGGTTGAGCATCCCGATGCTGCGAGGTCATGCTCAAAACTTCGGTCTGTGCGGCACCATTTGTGGAAGCGCGTTTTGGCGAGCCAGACACCGTAGTCGCGCCGGTCCCCGCCGTAGGGGGCCGTTCTTCAGAAGCTCTCGACATAGCGGCACCTGATGTTCTCGGCAGCTTTCCGGTCAACTCCAGCCGGTGGATACGGGACTTCAACTCATCGAGTTCGTCCCAAACGGTGGAGGGCGCGGCTGTCGAGTTGGATGACTCTGACGCCTCGTGATGAGGCGCACCGGGGTGTTGAGAATCACTACTCTTCGGGACCAGAGGAGAGGACTGGAATGATTTGGACAGACCGCTCGGCTGTCTGTGAGAGGATGAACGAGAATGCTCAGACGTCGGCGGCCGCCGCGCAAATATGGAACTGGCTTCAGAAGCGTTGTCAAGGCCGCCGTACGTCCGAGGCGTGATGGGCGACGGTCTCAAGGACGATACGGTAGAACGAGCTCGGGCGGAATCCAGGCTCAGGTTGGGCCTCTCGATCGCGCTGGCTCGGAAAGGCACTTCCCTCTCGGCATGCTGTGCCGGTTGGTCCTCCGTGGCTCGCCTCATGCGGGACGCCCTGTCTTGCTGGTCCGAAAGGCGCCGTGGAACCCGAGGGGGTGATGCAGGGGCCTGGAATGAAGAAGGAACCACGGTAGAGAGCGGTCTTTGGCGTGCGGATCGCACGACCCGAGACTGTGACTGATTAGCTTCCATGCGGGATTTGAGACATGCGCCACTTGACGGCGAGTGCTGTGCAACACGTTGCCCATGGGAGAGATAAAAGGGTGATATCCCGTCGGGATGGGCATGGACGGACCCGCAGCACGATTGGGATGTTGAGGATGACAGTCTCCACAGCGACTCGTAACATGCAGGTACTCCTCATTCAGGGGTCCGGGCATCGCCCTTCATCCCACAATTGGGCCACTTGTGGGTACAGAGGTTCGAGGCTCGAGAGCATCACCACGCGCGCGCAGGAGTGCTGCAGGCAACCAGAGAGAGGGCAAAAGGGGTGCTCACCACTGTACTGGCCCGATCATCCTCGTCGCGACCGTTGTTCCTTGGTCGGGAGGCTGGTGCAGGAGGGTCTTCGTGCGCTATTCTCATGAAGATGTCGGCAGTGCTCTCGCTTTCGACGGTCGCGGTGACCTCGTCGTCGGCATCAGCAGGCCCGTCTCTTTGCCATTCGCGGGTGTCGCGACCCTCGAGAGCGCGCAGCGACTGGTCCCTGTGATTGGAATCCCTGGGGTCGTGGCCATCGTCGTAGGAGCGGTAGGAGGCGTTGTTCATGTCGAGCTGGAGGCTCTTGCGCGAGCCTGATGAGCGGAACGAGCGGATGGGGGGGATGACTGGGCGCCCAGGGGTCGAGGCAGAGCGAATGGGTTTGTATGACACGGGCGGTCGTGACGTAGATGTTCGCCGCTCGGCGGGGCTGTCATGGGGACTGGCGCCGCTGACTGCCGCCGGTGACGTGAAGGCTCGCTGTCCCGGAGCCCGCTTCTTTGTTGTTGTGGTGCCTGGAGTCGGTTGCGCGCCTTGTGGGTGGTGAGTTGTGTGGGGGGAGGTGGCGCTGTTGGAGCCGGGGGTTACGTTGACTGGCTGGGTCGGCGGCCTGGTGTCTGGTGTCCAGAACGAAGGCGATCCGTCGGTGGAGGATTGAAAAGCGAGGGTGTCACCAGGACTGCTGTCGACTGGAAATGAGGCGGGTCGCTTGGCGGCAATTGGGGTGAAAGGGGCGGAGGTTGAGGCCGTCTGGTAGGTACTGGCCCGTGATCGTGCCGGGCTGGGTTTTGTTCTCGAGGTCACGGGTGATTGAGATTGGGGCGTGCTTGGGGGCAGTCGCTGGCTGGAAGGAGTGTGTGGTTCTGTCAGGTGGTGGTTCTGGTGGTGTTGCGCATCAGCGGTGGTGTTGGTGGTGGCGGCGGCGGCACTAGCAGTGCTAGGCCTATTTTCTGGCTTTGGTGCTGGATATGCGACCTTTTGGCGGTCGTCTTGGTGCAGTGGGGACCCTAGCAACCCTGCAGATGAGGGGGGATGTTGCTTGCTGTCCCGCTGTAGCAAACCAGGTAGGGGCAGCGAGGAGCGGGAGCGGTCGCTCAGGCGGAATGCGGGCAATTTAGACGAATTGTGATTGACGCGGTGGGCGTGCACTGCAGAACCAGACGACGGCTGCTGCTGCTTCTGCTGCTGCTGCTTCTCTGGGGGGGTGTCTGTGGTCAGCGAACATGTCTCCTCGTGCGCGCCCTCGCCCTCGCCCTCGCCCTCGCCCTCTGCCTCGCCCTTGTGATGGTGCTCGTGCTCGAGCTCGTGCTCGATATGGCCTTCCCCCTCCCGGTCGCCTGGCTGCGAGGGCGCGGGGGCGGGCGCACGAGTGCCAGGAGCGACAGGATTGGCGTCGCTGCTGTGGAGGTCAGCAGCGGCTGGGGCCGCGGTTTCGGTTTCGAGTTGGAGCTCGAGCTCCAGGTCCTGGTCTGACTTGTTACTGGACCCGACCTCCTCAAACACCTCGACGGTCGACGACGAGGAAGCCATGGCCTGCACGCGAACTGCTCTCTCCTTCTTCTCTCTATCTGTCTCTGCTTTTTTTTTTTTGGTCCCAGAATGCCTGTCCCGTCTCCGTATTATCGTCAGGGTCCCATCGGCTGCTCCCTTGCGTGTCTGCCAGTCAGCCCAGTCTGCCTACCCTGGCGGCGGCATTGATTAATTCCAGAAGGGCGACGATAGTTCCCGAGACCCTGTCGTAGCTTGTTGGGCGAAGCCCGGGATGTCTGAACCTGTGCCTGGATTTGTGTCTGGGACTGGGGGCTGAGTCCGAGTCCGATGTCCCGGCCTGTTGAAATTGAGACACTGTCAAATGCCAAAGCCGGTTGCCAGTGTCAAAAAGTCTGTCAATGTGATGTGGTGCTACATCAAGGTTTCCGATAGTCACCTGGGGCAGGAGGTGACATAAGCCAGGTCAGTCGTCGATGACTCGGGTCGTCCGATCAATTGGTTGAGTAGGGGGTGAGGGTGGCCTCGAGACGATCTGGTTGAAGATTGACGATTATACTTGGGCAGGAACGGGTAGGGGTACTATTGGGTGTACCTGGGTATGTATGTAAGTGTGTAGTTATCTCGGCCCAAGTCCAACGGTGCGCGTATGTGGTATGTGCGTGTTCGCGTCCCGCAGACCACACTTTAGATTAGGGAACACGGTAGATTCGGATCAAGGTTCGGCGGGAGCAGATTGCTGGAGGTCTTTGCGCGACAATATGGGTCGTCGAGTGAAATTATGAATACGGTTGCAACCACGGTTGCACAGTAAACCTGTTGTCCGGGACACGAACCAAGGGGAGACAAGAGGGAAAACAGGAAGGTGTGATGCCCGAGATGCTCGACGTTCTACACTTGACCTGGCCTGGCGATCCACGGTCGTAGGCTGGAGCGCAATGCACACGTAGGGTATGGTATGCGATGCACGAGCCTGCGATGTGCGATGTGCGCTGCTCTTGCTGCTGCGGCTTGCTGCTCATGTCCCGCTTGCTTGCTTGCTTGCTGGCTTGCTGGCTGGCATGGCACCTGTCGCCGCCGCCGCCGCCGCCGCCTTGGTGGAAGGCTCATCCCTCCCTCATCAATCACATCTGCAGAGTCTGTTCACGAGGTCCTAACCAGGGTTCCCGCCCACCGGTGCCAGCAAGAGCCCTGGACGGGACAGCAAGCGGAGAACAGGTGTGCCACGGACTGCATCCTGACTGGCTGCGGACCCCTCCGGCGACGAGTACCACAGTATTGCGGCGCCCGTGCCACGGGTGATTTCCAGACTGCAATTTGCATACGTCCACACGCCCGGGGCAACACCTGGGGATGTGATGATGGTAACCCGCCGAGACTTTCGACTTGTTCGTGAGAGGACGAGGTCGGCCCCCTCACAGTGCAGTACACAGGCCTGTAGCAACCCTGAAACCCTGTACGGTCCGCGGCCAAAATGGCTGACAGCGCGTCGTGATCTTGGATGCAACACACAGGATCTGCGAGGGGCAGCCCTGAACATAAGGTTCCATCTGTCTCGATGTCGCAAGCAAGCCGCAGGGCCAGAGACCAAAAGTCCATCAGTCCATCGAAATTGCCCCAGAAAACTCGCATACGCATCTGGTAATTATGGGTCCGCAGAATCACCCTGATCCTTCTGATCTGCGTCTCGTTCGGGACACGCACCTGCAGGCCCTTGTCCTGGCTCGTCGAAAATTTTGGGCATCTATCTCATTTCGTTATGATTAATCCCGAAGGGAGGGAGGAAAAAGGAATAAGACTCTGGCTGCAAAAAGATTGATCTCCGTCCTTGCAATCAAACTTCAAGGCAACCGGGATCAACCATCATCATGGCAAGCATGGGCAGGCCGTCACACGCGGGCCACTTGCTAGTCCCGCAAATCAAAAAAGAAGTCTCCGAAACTCTCAGACGCAGCTCGCGCCGGTTACCCCCCCATCTTGGAAGAGGGACCTGAAACCCGGCAGACGGTGGCGTGGGCCCGGGTGAAGAGCGTTGCCCGCCCAGAACACAAGCAAGATCTTCATCGAGGATGTCGGTCATTGATGACTGGCTGGATTGTTGGTTCGACGCCGCAAACCGTCCCCGGCTCGAGCAGCCTCCAACCGCAACGGGCTAGAACGCTGACATCTCGTCGGCTCTGTGCATCGAGGGCAGGCGCTAGGGCCTCCACCCGGCACCTCCCCCTTTTGAGTTGCATCGGGGGCGGTCATCTGGCTAAATTACGCGCATGATGGGGTGTGATGGCAGGGCAGTGTGGGCTGCGTGGCCGCTCTGGAAGGCCTCGAAGGCACCTCTCACACCCGCGCTGAGTGGACGGCTGCCCTCGTGGTGGGTGGGCTCGAGAAATATGTCGCGACGAGTTGTGGAGCCTCCTGTACGTCAGGACCGTGACTGTCACTGCCCCTATGATATCGGGCTAGTCCACTGCGTTATGGTATCCCAGCAGCTCAGACAGCCCAGACCCAGACAGACAACGCGGGCCACCAGGGCGAACCGAGCGCGGCTCGCCAACTTGGGCAGACGTTCAAGAACGGGCCGGCTTGATCTGGTTTGGCTTGATTAAAAAGACCTGGCGCCCCTCGTGCCCAGGCTGTCGTTCCCCTCCGCTCTGACCGTTTGGGTCAGGGCTAGCTCTCCTTGAGATAGATCCCTTTGTTCTCCAGGCCGAGAGACTGGCGAGGGGGGGATTGTCCTGCGTACGCAATGTCTGCGTACGCAGTGGTGTAAAACTGGCCCTGAACATTTGCCATGTGAATGGACCCACCATGGGGCTCGCCGTGCATCCTCCTCTCCCGTGCTTTTTCTTCGGCCCTCTCGCTACTCGAAGGCTCCTTACTGCCGGACCCGATTTCGAGGCGCCGAAAATGGGCCTAGTAACGTCTCTCCGCTGTGGTGATGTCGGGGCCTGGTTTCGACAACGGCGTTCGAGGTTCCACGCGAGAGACGCGGGTGCCCAGCCAGACCAGACTACCGGACTGCCAGGCGGCATGCCAGCTGTGTTAGGGACACTTTTTCCAGATTGGGACAGCGCGCCGGGGGTCGTCGATGGTTTATCGTTTGTAGCTCTCGAAGCCAGCCCAAACATCTTCAGACGAACCTTGGGAGAAAGAAGCGTCATTGTAGACTTTCCTGCAACTTTGCTACCGCCTTCACTCGGCCCCCGGGGCCCCGATCTTGCTTCGATGGCCCTTTAAGGTTCGTCGGTGCCTTAGCTCGAAACATCTCAATCCCCAGAGAAACCAAGTGTGGACTGTGCGCTGTCTATGCAGGCGTCCGCAAGTCTGCCCCATGTGAGATCGACGAACCTTGTGTGATCAGACCAACCCGTTGTCCCGAGGTCTCATACCCATATCAGCAGGCAGACGGTAATATTGCGTAAGTTTTGAGAACACTACGCCGCGCCCTGCACAGCTGGATCAGAGAATGAGAACCCAAAGTGTGGATATGCCGAGGGCTGCCTCGGGGCTCGGTTCTCTTTGAAGGATGGACAAGATTCGAAGGAGGGCGGCGCGGGCTCCAGTCACGTCAGCTTTCGGCTCGCCAGTTTAGCGACAGTGTCAAGTGCGCGGAGGTGTCGCTAGGATCGGAGCAGAAAACAAACAATTCAGCCGTCGGTCAGGCAAAGACAACACGGTCTGTCGTCCACGAAGGGGCAACCTCAACCACCTCGGCACGCCCAGCTGAGCTGTGGTGCAGTTGTTGTCGCATCACCGTCACGATGCCTCTACCAAGGCTGCACCTAAAGAAACAAGCGAACTTGGCATTCTAGCGAACCTTCACCTAATGCGCCACCAGCCACCCAGCCTCTGCCCAGCGCGTCTCAATCCGTGTCCTGAGTCGTCCGAGATGCTTACTGGCCATGCCGTCGCACTTCTTTGTGATGACGAGGATGATGACCCGGGCAGAGGCCTTGTATCTCTTGAACCCCGTGATCAAGACTCAATGGCGACTATTCATAGATCTCACCGAAGCAAGGGGGAAAAAAACGTCATGATGCACAGGGTTGGAGGGCACACGACCAATTGCTGAGCATGGACGATGAGGCTCAAAATAAAATGTACGCCGTCCCCACACGGCCCCGTTATTGGGTACGTGGCAGACACCTCAGCCTCATCAATTGTCGGGGTGCCCGTAGCCGCCACGGCGAAGAAAATTGGCCCGACAAGCGCGGTTCAGGCGCGGTCAATAGTCTCAAAGCAAGGGGCAGGCGTGACCAAGAGGTATATCAATGCATTGTTGAATACTGTGGCAACTTGAGCAGGTAGGCAGGCCTATGGTGTTGTGGTTGTGTTGTGATTGAATGCCTGTCGTCATCGAAAGTTCGCATGTACCTCGGGTCAGCATTTGCGAGTCAAAGATTTGGACAATCCCGGGGAGGATCTGAGGTGCCAAATTGGGAGTTTCTTTTCCGTTGTGGTCCCCCAAGCCCCTTCGTTTCAAGTTGTCGTATCAGAAAACAAGCAGCACAGGACAGTGGCAATGTCCCCGTGGTCGGACTGTGCTCGGCAATCGATCAGCAATTCACAATGCCCACTGGCCAAATTGTGGTGGCAGCTGATCGAAATAATTGCGGGAGTCCGTGGGAGCGCCGTCTCTTTGCCGTCGGGTCTGACTGCCTTGGTGTCAGTGTCTGGGAGTAATAAGACGGCGCGACAAGATGGCAGCGAGAAAATCCGGGCCCAGCACCAGCTCGGAAGCCGGTCTACGACGGGCGGGCTCCATCGGTCGAGGTTTGGGACTCGGGTGTGGGCCGCAGGAGCAAGAACAGACGTCGTCTGAAGATGCCGGCTGTTAGAGAGTCGACCCGTGATGGGCAAGTCAGCAGTCAGCAGGGCCGTCCGACCTTGATTCGTCCAGACAGACCGAGGGGGGGGGGGGGCAAACAAGCCATAGCACTCTGTGTGGTGTTTTCCCGCCCGCCGCCGCCGCCGTGTTTCGTTTCCCCTGTTGCTCGGTTACGATCTCCGTGTTAGACGCCCGACGGGGGATGAGGCTGAAGGTTAAACGAGCCTGGGATTTTGGGGACACAGCCGTGGGATACAACGGGGCCTGCCTGGGCCTGGACCGGGCGTGATGCGAGCGGTGAAGGTGTGTTTCTTTGCCCAGGCTGAGCGCACAAGGCCCGATTCGTGAGCAAGCAAAGCCCACCACCACACCAGTCTCTGTGGCATGCTCGGCCGCCACCAATTCTCTTCTGCTCTGGCAGGCCCGTCTTCAAGGTAGAGGTGCAATAATGCACGGCGCTGCCGCGCTGCCGCGGTGCCGCGGTGCCATGTCATGGAGCCAGACATTCAATCCCTTTCGGACCGGCCTGGGCTGCCTGGAACCTGGAAGGTGGAAGGCTGATGGAGGATGCGATACAAAGCCACCGACCTCGGCTGACAATTGGCCACTGGCGTCCGTGGTTGAGGCGATGCATGCTGCATGTGCCGCATGCTCGGGTTGCAGCGATGAAGTGGGACTGGCTGGACTGGACTGGACTGGCTCACTGGCCTGCAGGGCTGGGTGGCTGACTGGCTGGCCTGGTGGCCCGCTGGCATGCCTGCATGCAGTCCACAGCACAGTACTGCGGTACGCAACACTGGCGTATGCCGGGGTGTGGTGTATGTAGGTGAGATTGACTGTGCAGCACAGCACAGTATGTAGTGCACGGCATGGTGCCGTCCTGCGACGATGCCTAACCAAGGGCGGAAGTTGAAACTCGCCCGGAGGCGATCAGCGCACAACAACACACGGCAACAGCCCACCAGCATCCACAGCAACACAACCCACAGTATGTCTGCCAGCTGCCAGCCTGCCAGTCATGCCAGTCTGCCCGTGAGAGGAGAGGCTGAGAGGGAATCATTCCCATTGACTCGCTCGCCGCCTGTGGGTTGTGGAGAGCACGGTTGGGATACGGGCACCTTCTTTTCTTTTTTTGTTCCCTCTCCTGCTCTATTGCCCTGGACAGGTGAAGATCGGTGCCAGTCTAAAATTACAAAGTACCACAGCTCATTACTCTCTCAGCAACGCCTGCTGCCAGGCTGCCAGGGCTGCGAGGGACAGAGAGCATCACCCATCCGCCGGTACGTACCGTGGCACCCAGGCAGGGACTGTGGCAGGTAGGTACTTGGGTACGTATGTGCGTGAGTGCGAGACTGTATTTGGCCGACAAAGCCATCCCCTGCCCATTGGCCCGTCGACTGAAACGCCCGCCTATTTTTAGATGCACCGTAGCGGCTAACGCCTGCAGTCACGGCACAGGTCATTGGCTGGGGCGGCGGGACCCACCAGGCTACCAGACGCAGCTTCCCTGACCGTCCCCATTGTTCTCCGAGAAGAAGGCATCTCTGGGCCCCTGCCCTGCCCTGCGACCCCGGCTCCCTCCTGCCGTCTCGCACATCAGTGGCTGGAGGGCTGCTGGACTCCGCGCTTGAAAGTGGACTTGGGCGCCTGCGTTGCTCCCTCCCCCCCTCCGTGTCCAAGGCTCTGCTCCCTCTCGACGAGCGAACCAACCCACCCGACCAACCAAGCGCACGGCAACCGCACCAAGCAACGCACCACGACGGCAGCTAACCTGGGGAGCCCGCCTGAGACCCAGACTCTTCAGATCTGTCACTCGCCTTCCCAACCCTCTCTCACTTTCGTCCCTCGCCTCGAAGCATCTGGCGCCCGCCCGTGTACCCCCCCTCACTAGTCTACCTGCTCCGTGCCTTGTACAGATTATACCACACGCAACAATCACGAGTCGGGGCCTCGTTCAGTTCAGCCAGTTCAGCCCAGCCCACACTCGACAGACGCTGGCTCCTGCTGCTGGGCCTGCAAATCAGAAGCGACCAGGCCAGATCCTTGGGCCCAAGCCCAAGCCGCCTGGCAAGCAAGCGCACACACGCAGCCAGGGTCCTCTTCTCTTCCCTCGTCCCTCCTCGCCCGTTTCCGTCCCCAATTCACGTCCCCAGGCAACCTTGGAATTCATACTGTATACTGTATGAACCGGGTGACCCCCCCCCTGCTGCGACTCTTTTACCCTTTTTCTCCTCCGCATCCTGGTTGTTACTGGCTTCCCCTCCCAGGGCCCCCAGTCGAGCCAATTCTACGCCTCTTTTCGACCTCGTCACCTCGTCCTCTTCTCTCCATCTCCCCCAATCCCGATTAATCCTCCCGGCGACTCAGCGCAACAGCCCGCAACACACAAAACCAGACAGCATCCCTTTTCCTCCCGTGCGGTGCGGTGTGCAGAAGAGAAAGAGCTTAGCTGAGCCGAAGTCGAGTCAAGAGTCAAGAGTCAAGAGTGACCAAGAATAGAGGGTATCGCCTCTCAAGGACAACAAAGACAGAACTACGGGGCCCACGACCTCACGATATTTCGTCCCGACCCGGCCCACCACCTCTCGTCTCATCTTCTCTTTCGACCACCACCTCCCCACCGAGCATCATCATTGTTTCCTCTTGGAGTTGCGGTCTGGATACATCCAAACATGTGGTGATATCTTGTCTCTTGCTCCATCTTTTTTCTGCATACCCAACATTTATTCTCCTTCCTTCCCCCCCCGCTTAGCCCTATTGTTCCCAGCGCATCCCATAAATAAAACAAACAACCTCCACGTCAACGAATCCTTCTCGCTACTGCGCCCTCACCGGTCCGCGACTTCCGGTATCTGAGACCCATCTGGTCCAAGGTCGATTCGGTGGAGCAAGGCTGGTCGCGTCAGAGGTCAAGGCCAACTCGTTTATCTAAAGAGGAGGGCTTAGGTTTCACGTCACACAGGATACAGCAGCGCTGTCCCGTTTACCGACCTCAACAGTCGACATCTTTCTTTAATCCCCCCCTTCCAATCGGCTTGTTGCCCTTACAACAGGCGGCCCGGCTTCACAGGCAGACCACTCGGTTGTAGCACAACGGCTACGCGACACGAACGGTATTGCATTTGACCGCACGGGTCTCGACAAGGCCGGCCTGAAGCAGGAAAACCGACCATTTCGAAGACGAATCACTCAACTCACTGCCTAGGCACGTCTTGCAGCCTGTCAGACGACCATGTATACAACATCAGCTCGTCGACTATACGAGGATCAAATACCATCCTTTATGTCAGTGTTCGACCTAGACCAGGCCATGCAAGACCAAGATACAGTCACCGTCGTCGATCCCAAAATGGTGGGCGTCGAGCCAAAATGCAACCCACAATTGCCCTCCGACCCTTCACAACTCCTCCAGCCCCCAGCAATCCCACCCAACTATCAACATCGGGATAGCACGTCAACACAAACCTCCGAGTCCGCGGACTCATCCCCAACAACGACTGTGTCGTGCACAGATTCGTCATCACTTTCCGACCCCTCTCCTTCGTCATCGCCAGACTCGCCAGTCAATCTGGTCCCCTTGAATGCCTTCCCATCGACCAATTTCGGGGGGCTGCCGTCCATGGCGACCCTGGCCGTGTCAGAACCTAGGAACCACCTGATACGCCCCATGACCTCGCCTGCGCCGCGGCGACCCAGGAACATGAAGGGCCTCTCCATCCAGCCCCCCTTTGCGGCCTCGGCTGCCTCATCATCAATCACGTCTGAGCCGTCGTCCCCCTCTTTTATAAAACCAACAATCCCGGCCATGAAGAGAAAACCAAGCCAGCTCAGCTTGAAGACAAACTCGGATGATTTGGCCGGCCGCCCCACCCTCGAGGTCCCACAGAGTCCATCCATACCTGCCCTTGCGCAGAGAAGAGCATTAAAACATTCCACCTCATCCCCGCACATGCTGAGTGGGCTCAAGTCATCGACATTTGGTCCCGCCGGTGGTATGACTTTCCCGACGGTCTTCGAGCGCAACGAGTCGGGTCTTTCGTCCTTCCTCAGACCCGGGAAGGAATCCTCACCGGACAGGAACGATGCGATCCTGGAGGAGGATTCGCCTATTCGGAGTCAAGTGGCCAACCGTGCCGCTTTCGACTTTGAACCTTATCATGAGAAGGAGAGCAACGAGGACCAGAAGTCCCCAACGTACCCTGACGGGCCCATTGCCATTTATGGAAATGATGTTTACCTCTACATGGAGCCGACCGCCGAGGAGGCTTCTAGGTTCGACGTCATCATCAATGTCGCTCGTGAGGTTCCGAATCCTTTCAAGGACGCATCGGACAAGGATGAACACATGGGTGACACATCCCCAATCCCTGACACGGCTGTGACGAGCTCGAGCTTCGCGACCGCCTTTGAGTTCCAGCCTGACGAAATGACCCCAACCACCCCGAAGGCGCAGTTTACGCCCAAGGAACCCGAGTACATCCATATACCTTGGGATCATAACACCGACATTGGGTCAGATTTGATGTTCTTGTGCGAGACGATCGAGAGGAAGACCCTCGCGGGCAAGAAGGTCCTGGTGCACTGTCAGCAGGGAGCTAGCCGCTCGGCCAGCCTGATCATTGCCTATGGTATCTACCAGAACCCGGAAATGAGTGTGAACGATGCGTATTATGCCGCTCAGACAAAGAGCAGATGGATCAGCCCTAACATGCGGCTGATGTACTGCCTGCAGGATTTCCAGAAGGAGGTCTCCAAGAGGAAGTTGTCTCCGAATTCGGCTTACAAGCCAAGGAGCGGTCGGAGCCCGTCAAAGCACCGCTTGACACTCTCAGTGGACGCCATCGACGTACCCAAGGAACCGAGGACGGCACCTTTGCCAGATGATGATGTCGCAACAAAAGGGTCGAGCCCAAGCAACTCGCCATTACGCACCCGCGGTAACTCTACACCGGATCAAATTTCCATCTCTCCGGGTCCATCGTCGGCACCGTCGAGTTTCTCGTGGTTCGAAAAGGAGGATGAGGCTAATCCAGGGAAATTCGGGCGATTCAGTCCTTCGCAGATCTTCCAAACACCTCCACCACCACCTCCAGCAATTCGGCTTGAGAGCGGGCATGAGAACCCATCATCGGACAATTCAGGATATTTCCCTAAGCCCCCGCCATCCCCAGGTTTTGGATCGTTCCTACCAGATATATATGAAAAGCCTCCATCATCGCCTGGGTTCGCGGCTCACAGGTTCGGCGATAAGCGCGGCCTCGGATTCCCGCCTCTGAGTTTTGGTTCGTTTCCACAAGCCGGGGGCGTACGGCAGCTGCCAAAGGCCGAACGCGCAGTCCAAGTGGTGAACGCCCTGCCCGAGGACACGGCGCTCATGTCACCGCGAGCTGAGATTATCACGGACAATCCCGTGCATAATTCTTTCGCCGGCTTCCACGGCCTGCGATTTGTCGAGAGCCCCCCCACGCCAAACGAGCAGATATTCTCTGCAAGCCCAGTGCAGGAGCAAGCATTGTTTTCACCCCGTGAGTCTTCGTTTCCACGAGACACTTTCAACCACTTTGGACGTCCTCGCCAAGTCTCGGACCCTCGAAGTCCACCCACCAAAGGCGAGGCCCCAATCATCAGGTCCATTGATGATTACATATAGACCTGATGATACATACAAGAAGCACCAGCCATTCCCGAATGCGCATATGTCGCTCATCATATCTATCAATTCGCGTCGATAATAAACCAACCGCAAACCGCACGCATCAAATCGGAGTTTGGGGCATGTGCACTTCATCATCAACCCTACGGGGCCGGGCACACCAAGCATCCACCAGGAGCTTTCATTGAATCAATTTCAACTTTCTTTTGTCGAATGTCGCTCTTCCTTTTGGGAGGTTACCGATCGCTCAGTGGCCAGAGAGGTCACTCACTCTATTTCATAAATGGAAATGTATAATCTGGAAGGGAGCCATGTGTACTTCACTTCTGATAGGCGTACCAAGGGGCGAGTTTTGGCGGGGCTTAGGCCGACCCCATCATCTCAAGACAGCCCACCCAGGGAATGGTCTTGTCTTTATGGGCGGTAGGGCTGTATGCTGTCAGGATTGCAAAGGGCGTATGATGAGGAAAAGCTTTCAGCATTGTGGTTTCTTAGCTGTTCTGTGTCGTGCCTTCTTCAAACCACGATTCCCCAAACATAAGAAGGGTCAGGATGGGAACATGGGGGAGATAGGAGATATCGTGACACTCAGTGCTGCTCAGGCTCATGATGGAAAGGGGGGGGCCTATGACTCGAAATTTATGAACCACACGACGGGGGGAGCAACTAGTGGAGGAGATACCTGTGAAAGCTGGGGGGGGGGGGGTTCAGCTCGAGAATGAGGAACATTTTCGAGAATAGTTTAAATCGGGAAAGGCACACCACGGTGTGCGCATAAAAATATCATGAACCTCTCAGAAAGCCTTCCATGTCTCTACCTGCCCTCGACTCGGTGCGTTATGCAGTGAAAAATGGTAGCCAGTGTTGCACTGTATAGGATGCGCGCGCATATCAGTTCAAAAACTCGAGAAATTCCTTTTAAGCTCTAAGATTTCTTCTCTAGATACTGGACGCGCGCCATTTCTCTGCCAACTACGGTGCCAGACCAGCATGCGCTTCCAACGGTCTTACTGCGCCTTCTCCTCCCTCGCCTTCGCGGCCCTCTCGGCGGCCTTCTTGGACTCGGCCTTCCTCTTGAGGTACGCCTCGAAGCCGATGCCGCCGAACACGAGGGCGACACCCATCCACTGCTTGGTGTTAAGGCTGTGGCCGTAGTACACGACGGACAGGATCATGGTAAGCATCTTGCGGGTGACGGTGACGGTGACCAGGGTGACGGACCCGAAGTTGGCGACTGTGTAGACTATTTTTTGCGCGAAACAATGTCAGCAGCAGGAAGGGAGAAGGGGAGTTGGGGGTTGGGGGAGGAGCCTTACAGATAAAGACCTGCCCGACGGCGCCGCAGAGGCCGAACCCGATCACATGCCGCCACGCGCCGGGGTGGCGCGCCAGGAACCCGAGCGCGGCGTACAGCTCGCCGCCGCCGCCGGTGGTGTCTGCCATGCCGAGCCACTCGCCCAGGGCGGTCTGGACGAGGTAGGGGCTGAGCAGGAGGTATGCGCCGGAGAGGACCGAGCTCATCATGTTGTTGGCGCACATCATCTGCGGGCCGCGGTAGGGCCTGAACTCGGAGACGATGTAGTCCTGGGTGCTGTTTGTGAGCCCGTCGAAGAGCAGGTTGATGCTGAGGAGGAGCATGCCCCAGGCCGTCTGGCCGCTGTGCGAGGGCGCGGCGCCGCCCTTGTGCTTCTTGCTGCCCGAGTGCAGCGTGAAGACGGCCACGCCGGCCGTCACGGCCGCGACGATCAGGTACTTCTGCAGAGGGTACCGCCGGCGGAAGAGCGTGACGTGGAGGAACATGACGGGCAGCAGCTTGCACGACTTGGCGAGCGTGAAGGTGATGTAGTTGACGTGCGCGAGGGAGGCCATGCCGAAGGGGGCGGCCAGCGCCTGCGTGAAGGCGACCAGGAGCAACGACGGGAGCATGCGGTTCGTGGGGATGATGGGCGGGACGGGCTGGCCGCGGGGCGTGGACCACCAGAGGTACAGGGAGCCGGTGATGGAGGACAGGATCGACTGGACGGTGAGGAGGAAGACGGGGAACTTCCACATCTCGGTCGAGCCGTCGCTGTTGGTGTAAGGCGTCGTCGTGACGCCCTCTTGGAGCCATGCCCAGCTGATGCTGCAGTGACGGGGGTGGGCCGGGTCAGTCTTTGATGTTCCGCCTTTGACAAGCAGTTTCGAGGGCCATTCAGGCGGGCACCACAACTCACAAGGAAGCGTAGATGCCTCCCACGCAGATCAGCAGCTGGAGCATCCCGGAGCCCGAGTCCTCTCTGTGCCCTGGTGCCAGCGCTTTCACCTCCTGCTTGGCCTTGGCAGCCATGTCTGCGGTGTTCTTGGGAAATCTGTCGTGTTTGCTGATGTATTCGGAAGAGGTTGCCCTCTGCACCGGCATAGCTTGCTTAGTCCTAGCCATGTTTGCGGCGGTACGCGAGTGGGCTCGTCGGTGATTCCAGGGGAGGGCGGGTGCTGCGCAAGGCGATACTCGGCACGGGCAATCGGAGATGAGCGGAGGCAAAGCGCCCTTGTCAACAGCCTCCGACTTTAGGGAATGACTGGAAGTGATTAGAATATATGCAGGTAGAAGAGTGATCGTGGTATCCGGGGAGACGAGAATGGGAAAAGAAACTAAACGGGGGGAGGCCCGACCGCAAATAAAATAAGAGAACAACGGCCAGACTGCGAAGCTGACAAGCTGGCTTCAATTGACTTCCCAAGAGATTCCAGGCTCGTTCATATGCGACAATGCATCCCGAAATTAACTTATCGATAAGCATGCACGCCGAGCTCGAGTGGGGGCGCCCCTTCTCCACTTGGTCGCTCCTCAGGGTCCTTGCTCCCGCTGCCCATAAGCACCTGGTCGCCCACAGGTCAGTCAGGCGCGCACACGCACCCGAGCATTTCCACGTGGGGTGCAGGACAAGCCCATAACTACTACTGGTTGCATGTGCACATAGGGTCAGCCCATCTACATACTTCACGTCACGTCGATTCACTTGAGCAGGCGAGACTGTTTATTTTTGGTTCGCGAGCCTTGTCATTATGGTTCTGTCATCTGCGCTAGATATTCTCATCCATTTTTCCTCGCTCCGTGAGAGCCATCAGTGTAACGAGTCGTGGGACTCCTGAATCGGATGTCGTAGAAAAGAGGTCAAAAGCCTTGGAGTAGCAGCGAGTTAAAACTGTGGAAGTGCGGAAATTTTTCGGGTTGCTGCGATATTACGTCGATAGGATAGTGATTGAGCCAGGCCAGGCAAAGGTCTGGTTGGTTCGTAGGTGATGGTACGCCGAGACGATGGTCGACGTGGGGAGAGAGAGAGAAAAATGGGGAGGGAAGAATAACATAAGAGGCTCGGAAAAGACTCGAGTCCCTGGGGAAAGGGGGTATCTGATCTGCTCTGACGGCCAAAACTGCACATCTCGACGCAAGTCGAATCCTGGAGTGCCGTCCTGCCGTGTCGTGTCGTCAAAAACGAGATTATGGCGTTTCTCGTTGGTCCGGTGGAGACGTCGATTTTGGATGTGATGCAGGCCATGCTGTGCTGGAAAAATACTCCAATGCGGTCGGGCCTGGGCGTGTAGGTGTCAAATGGTGTGGTCTGCGGAGCGAGTAGTCCGTCCCAGTCGATTCGTGCGAATGTCTCGTTCGGCTGCTCTCAGCCAGAACCCAGGCTTGCCGTCGTGGCCTCCTCCGGCCCCGCCCCGAAACAATACGTAGCGTAGGTAATGAGTGAAACCAGTTCCAAAGAATTTAAAAAAGCCAAATGCTTTTCGAGGGGGAAAAAGAACAATCGTCGTAACATCATTTTACCCTGGCTCCTCACTCCCCGCCCAAAATTCAGCCTTGCGGCAAGTCAGATCTGGAGAAGCCCCAGTCGTTTTGAGTGTGAGGTGGCCAAACCCGACCATAATTATGAGACCACTCGGAGTGTGAAGTGTGCGAGTACCTCAACATAAACCTCCGTCAAGGTTCCTCCCGGGCGCTAGCCAGCCGACGCCCTTACTCCATCGGAGGTGCCTGGCTGCGGCGTACCTTCTCAGCCTCCAGGTTCTCGTAGAGCAGGAACAGAGCCGTCTCGTTGGCCTTTGCGCTTCCCATGATGGTAAACATCCGCTCGCCGGTGTCATCGTGCGGGGCCTGGGTTGTGTCAGTTCCACGGCATAAGTAAGTCGTCACATGGTACAGTATGCGGTCCACTCACTTTCGCGATAGAGATACGCGCACCAGAGGTCTTGCGGATCTCGCTGATCTTGCTACCAGCACGTCCGATGATGCAGCCAACCATGTCAGCAGGGATGCTGATGTTCTGAGTCTGGATCTCCTCGCCGTTCTCGTCATGCGTTGGCGGGCCGCGACCGACCATGTCAGAACTGGGGCGGTTGAAGCTGCGGGGTGGCGCGCCATTGCTGAAGTCTGCGCCGTTCCCAGTGCGAATGGCGCGGGATGGGGTGGCGTAATCGCCCCGCCCACTGGCATAGGCGCTGGGGCCGCCGATGGAGCTGGTAGGAGCGGTGCGCACAGCTGGGTTGTACAGGACCGTACCCGCGCCGCGTTCCCAGTCGTCCACCAGGCACTTGCAGATCTCCCAGATGGCCCTCTGGATACCCTCGGGCGTGCCTTGCACCTCCACGATTCTCTCGGTCGACTGCGGCAGCATTTCCTTCTGCGCGACCATGCGTACGCCTGACACGTCCTGGATGTGCTTGATCTTGAGCCCTTGGCGGCCGATGATGGTGCCCATCTGGTTGTGGGAGATCAGGAGCTTGATAGCTGTGTGACGACAATGTTAGCCACCTCCCGTAGTGAGGTCCGGCCGGGTTCATGGGGTGGGGGTTTGGGAGATGCGTACGATGCGTTCCGTTGCTTGAGAGGACGCCGCCCATGCCCATGGAAGGTGCACCTTCCAACAATGCGCGGGCGACAACCATGTACGCCTTAGAAATAGCGTCGCATCCACCAGTGATGGTCAGAACGCGGTCGTGAACGCCTTGCACGACCTTGCTTACTCCAGCCTTGACCCCGGTCTCGTCGCGCAGCTCCGCGACGTTCTTGCCGCCCTTGCCGATGATAACACCGGCCTCTTTGGAGGACACGATAGCGCGCAGAGTCAGTTGGGCTTGGGCATACTCCTCGTCGGTCCGAGGCGCAGGTTCTCCGTCGGGTCCGAGTCTGGGCTCGCCGTCCTCGAGCTTAACACGGTCCAGGCCGACGGACAGGTCGTCTCCGTTGGGAGAAAGGTTGTCTTGGTTGGCAGACATGGTAGGGTGAGGTTGTCGAAAAGTGGTTGTGGGCGGTGGGGATTGGCGGGGTTGTGCGCGAAGCCGATTGAATGTGACTTGATTTCGAGTGGCGGTCGCACGATGGCGAGTGTAGCAGGGCTCAGAGCTGGCGGTGCAGGGCGGGTTAGCTGTGAGGTTTAGCGCCTGGAAAATCAGGTGGTGGAAAGCTTAGGAGCAGGGTGAGGTTGGCTGGTTGAACTGGCGCAAGGGAGAACGCAGGCAGGTCAAAGGAAAAGAAAGGCCCAGGTTGGTTCTTGGTCATCTGTGCGCTTGGAGATTGGGTGGGCGGAGTGTGGGAGGGTGCATTTGCAGAGAAAGCTTCCCTCGACGGACAGGGACTGAAGCTATGGTGGTGATTGGTGGGGCAGGGTGACCTACGTTGAGGTACGTAACGTGCAAGTAAGGATTTGCGGCGGGGCAAACTCGTCTGGGTGTGGCGGTGGTTTTCTCGGGTCGCGGGCGCGAGTGGTAAAAGGCCAGAGTCCCTGCTGTTGAGCGGGGAAGATAGTAGCGATAAGGCACCGTCGCACTGCGTACTGCGCGCTGCCTGCTGCTGCTGCTGCTACTACTTGCTGGAGTCGCGCGGAGGATGGAGGATGAGAGGACAACCAGAGATCCGGACCTCAGCACGGCAAGGTTCAAGGCGATGGGAGGGGCGGAGGCCTGAACGGTCAAGTATGGCGGGTCCAGGTGACCGTGACCGTGACTGAGGCTGTTTAAGTGGGGATGGCGATCGCGTATTCAACCAAGGTAGGGGAGGTGGGTGGATGAGCGGGACGAGCGTGGGCGGCCGTGAGACGACAAGAGATGACAGGTGGGATGTCGGGGTGAGCGTGGCGGAGGAGGGTGATGGATGGTGAGGTAGACGAAGGGAGAAGAAGGGGAGGGGAGGACAGGAGGAGGGAGACAAAAGGCAGGCCGGGATGGGAATTGCTTCGACGCGACAAGAAGACGGGAGAGAAAGAGGAGGTCAGGGCAGGTGCAAAAACAGAGGCAGACCTAAGGCGTGCACATTATGCAGGTGCGTGCTTGGTGTGGTCCTGGATGGCATGGTAATAAGGTAGGGATGGGATGGCAGTTGCGGTGGAGCACTGAAATGTGGGGTATACGGTACCTTGGTCTGGGCCTGAACTCGCGATGAGTGTACAGGGTCACAAGTACCGTCTACTTTGCGCGCAAAAGCCTGGCTGCTTGCCGCTGCCCCGACCTGGGCTTGCTGGGCCATTCATGGCCCTCGATTGGGAAGGGTCAATGAGATGCGAACCCTTCTGATCGACGACACCTCAGCGTCCGAGGAACAGCAGTGCAACTGTCAGATTTTCCCAGGTTCTGCCAACGTGGCCTGCAAGCCACTTATTTCAGGATGACTTCCGACAATTGCTTCTTCCACAGCGTAACTGGCTGATCTGGCGCCCGCGGCACAAGAATGCAGCTCGTATAGGAAGGCTCAGGAGGCCCACAGTTTCCAGCCGCCAACCACCGGTATACTATGTACGGCTCCGTGTCCCAACATGGAAATGGCAGGCACGGTTGCTGCTGCTTTTCTGTTGCGTGCGTGCCTGCATCTTGTCGATTCCTGTGGCTTCTTTATCCGGCGCAACGCTGTTTCATCGGGAACTTCGCTACAGGTAGGTAGCTGCGGCCCTTGGCTTCCCTAGGGTACCCATACCAGACCTGTATTGTCCTTTCTCACCACGCCTTTTGCAGCGTCTCTCGACTGCCCAGTCTGCCACAGCCAGTGGGTCATCAGGCTGATCCGTCGATATACATACCTACCAGGTGGTACTTGATGGCCAGGGAGAGAAAGGCAAAGGCAAAGCGAAAGGGAAAGGGACAATATCGAGATGCCACCAAGACACTCGGCTCGAATGTATACCTCGGCTAATAGACACAGGCACAAGGCCAGGCACCAAATATGTCGATGTTTCTGGTTGTGTGCATCAAGACAGACAGACGTGTTGCCCCATCAAGATCCCTGGCTGCATTGACGGTCGCATTGGGATATGCATGGGACCTGATGAGGAGTGGGAGGAGGGCTTGACAAACCAGGCCAGCCCGGCACTTCACCCTCCCCTCGTCCAATCATCTTACACAACTGATATTGACTAGGCCCCGCTTGGGGGCCAAACCTTGCGGGACCCCGACGTTCAAATTCTTCCACGCGCAAGAGCCACGACGTGGTCTGATCTTGTACTCACCGAGGAGACTGTCCCATGGAGTCGTTCCAATAATGGCCTCTCTGGTACCCCTGCAGGTCTTCATGACTGTATTGTGCGCGCACTCGAGTACAACATGCCGACCAACCTTCGCGTCCACGATGCATTTGACTACCTACCTACCTACCTAGGTACCTACTTAACCTACCTAGGTGGGTACCTAGATACCTATCTTCCCTGTGGACATCGCAGGCCGTGTCTGAGTGCACACGCATCTCCACGCTTGAAGCATACGCTTTTATGACGCACAAAACTAGCTTTCAGAAACGGTTGTCCTTGAATTCTGGGTTGGCTCAGCCTGTCGTCTTGAAAGCGACGTCGGGTTCTTACCAGCGCCCTCATCACGCTCGTGCTGATCATGCATGGCATCTACTAAGTTGGCCCTGTCAAACCGGGCCAAGCTTGTGATCGCAAATCGGTGCTGGCAAGTATCGACAAGCCGCAATGTGGATGGACCGTTGCAGAGGCGAGTCAGACCCAATGTGAACAAGGGCCACATCCCAAAACTTCAAGTTGTCCAACAGATAGTCCTAACATTGTCCGTATAACAATTGTATCGTTTTCTATACTGTTCGATTTGATCAATGAAAAGCTACATGAATATCTGACGCCATTACGGTTGCCTTGTAGTTGCTGCGCATCAGGCAAGGCCGTCATCACAAACCTATACAGCTTGTTCTCTATCGTCATCCAGCCATCCCAAAGACAACAACAAGATCTGTTCAAGTAGACCCTGGTCAAGTACGCAGAGTCTACCAACTGTAAATGAGGAATCATGGCATCTTCTCTGTTATTACGAAGATGAGTGGCGAAAGCTGGGAAGTAAGCTGCAGAATAGGTGCGAGTGAGTATGGTGATAGGAAAGGGCAGTTCTTAAACACTGCCACGCTCAACACTTCGAGGCACGCCAAATCTGGTGTCATTCTCAATTGCATGAAAGAGTCTCGATGCACGATGTTTAGAGCACTCACTTCTCTTGTTGGGCTTAACAGGAGTCATTCTTCGCTACTGTCCAATCACACCGAGTAAACTTCTGTCATCCTGTACACACGGTTCTGTTTGGTAAACACTCTTCTTCGAAGAACGGAAGCTTAATTGACAATACCACTCCGGCAAACTATGAGGTTGCTGGGTTTCAATGAAGTCCGACTAGTGGCCACGGCCAGGAAGCCGGCCACAACAGACCCATCTATCCGGATCTGCATGGCCGCATGCAAAAAGGCCAGCCGAGGATATTTGGGGACGAATCCGGCACTTGGCATCCCATCCCGTCGATCATTCTCAGCCTCCCTTACGAGTAGCGATCGAGGCTACATTAACCGGAAAGGAGCTCGCCAAGCCATTCTTCCCATACATGCAGCGCGCAAGCACCCCAGAGTTTTCCCTGTCCTTGAGAAGTTGATTGGCCAGGGTTAGCTATGAGGTAGTTACTACCTAGCCTCTCTGCTAAAAGTACTTTTGAGTAAATAGTGGGTGCTCTCCAGGATTCTTGTAGATCTGTAGACGACGGCTAAATGAGGAGGAGAGGTACTGTTGACTAACTCCATGTACTTGTGAGGAAAACTTCGGGATGCTTGTGCGCTGTACAGTTAGACTCAGCCCTAATTACTCCTTCCCTGTTGGCTTCCTGGCCTGTTAGAGTTTGGCTGGCTAGGTCTTCTCGCACGGATGTTCCAGGGTTGGGCTGCACTTCCTCAAGTTTTGCAGCTCAAGTTGTCCAGCGATGCCTTTGTCTTTTGGATGCTTTTCAAGACGACCTAGCAACACATTTGCCGATCGAGAACGCATAGACACTGTCATGGCCACTCGAATCCGTTTGGCAGCGCAACTATCGCATGGAGTGAAAGGCCTCGGTTCAGTTCAAGTTGGTGGTGGAGTTTGTAGATCATAGATTTATTGCCTGGAACAATTCCAGATATATATGTACAGATCAGGTGAAATATTCTACAACATCTGGAATGGATCGCTGGCTAGGTTGTTCAACAACCTCTTAAAACGCCATGCTATGTTCTGAACAAGCATTCTAATTACTCAAAGAGGGATCCGCCCTCAATCGGTCTCCCGCACCACAAAACCTCAGCGAGAACGCAATTTCCCCTCGTTGCCAAGCCAGAAATTCCGGCACGTCCTGTGGCCCCAGTGCTCAACCCACCATTCCCCGAAACTGTCTTCAACCTCAAAGTCCACGCCTTTGACCCGCTCATCCCGCTTGAGTCCACATATGACACAAGCCTTCGGTGCCGTGGGTACCATCTTCGCGGTGCTGACGGCCATGTGATCGTTGATTTCAGGGATCTTGAGCGGCTCCATCTTCACGGGTTGTTTTTGCATGCCGATGTTGGCCTGGGCCACCGCGGTCTTGAGCTTTCCCACATAGTCGCGCCACAGGCCGATCACATCTGCGGCCTCGCGGTCCTCTCTAGCGGATTGCGCCTTATCCACTCCAGCCAGCTTCATCCCGCCCTTGGACCCTGCAGCAGAGATGGACATGCCCTGGGCCAGGAACTTGTCGCGGTTCCACCGCAGCCTCCGACCAACGAGGATGCGAGCTGCCACGGTGGCTAGTACCATGTACCCCTTGAGAAACGCTATAGTCCCTGGATCCGCATAAATCCGCGTCTTGACGGCCGGTGGTTGGTTGGCGGTCGGCTTGTAGAGCTTGGTCTCCGCTTCTTCGAGCAGCTCGGTGAAAATGGAGAGAAGTATGGACGGAGGGGGAACATTTGTCGGGGGTGGGCCAAGGGGTTCAACGGGCGATGACTTGCGCGGAGCAGCTTTTGGCGCAGATGGCTTTCGGCTGACCTGAGCCGGCTCGACGGCGTCCCAGTCCCAGCTCGAAGATGCACCCGAGTGTCCGCCGCCTCCCTTGTTGGCACTAGAATTATCAAGCGGAAGGTCCGCGAATGAATCCCAGTCCTCCTTTTCTCTTGCGGAGTCGCCGTCTGGCCACGCGGTCATAGGATCCGGCGAGGCCTTGGAGTCCTCCTTTAGATCCTGCGGGAACGAGCCAGATACAGGTGTAGTCACGGATAGACCTGGGAAAGGATTCCTGTCTGAGAAAGCCGGAGACTTGGGTGGTTGGGGGTAAAGAGAGTTGGGAGAGTGCGGTGGACCACCGATGCTCAGTGTGGACAGGAGTTGCGATGGAGGCTCTTTGCGACCCTGTTTCTGCTCGGATATGGGCGCAAGAGCTGGTGCTGGCTGTGTAGCAGGTGGCCCAAAGTCGAGGGACATCAGGTCCGCTATCGCAGGCTGGGTAGGAGCTGACGTTTTGAACGCTGTGCCAACCTCACCGGTCTCAAAGTCCCCAAAATCGTCGTCCTCGTCTTCTGGGGCTTCTCCGTCGAAATCGTCCGCATCAAAGAGAACGTCGGCATTGTTGTTCTTTGGCTTCGCCTTGCTCACTTGCGGCTTGGAAGCCGGAGTCGGGGCTTGGAGAGTTTCTCGGGGCGTCGACCACAAACCGGAGGAACTAGTATTTGTCATGCCCAAGAGGGGGCCAGTCTTGAGGGACACGGGTCCAGAATTTTCTTTCCCACCTCCTGGAGGACCCCAATTGTTTGCCATGATATCCAAAGTATTTACACGGGTGATTCGGGTCCTCATTGGCAGTGAGTTTGAGGTGGTCGCAAGTGCAGAAGCTGGGGCAACGGAAGGCATCGCCGTGGCCGAAGGAGGTGCCTCCTCGAAGTCTCCCCATCCATCATCGTCGTCGGCAGGTTCGGGGTTCGTTTGCTGGGCAACTACCGGAGCTGGACTGGGCGTCCCGAAGCTCGCCCAGCCGGCGTTGGCGCTCTGATTCTGTGCAGTCGACCATGACTGCTGCTTCGGCGGCTGGAAGGACTGTGGTGAAGCAGAGTGTGGCGTAGGGCTGGACAAGAAAGCAAAAGGGTCGGGGTTGGACAGGTTGGGCTTCTGGGTGGGCTGCTGCGAAGCCGCCGAGTTGAAAGTGCCGAACTCAGCGAAGAGGTCGGCAGACATGGTTGAAGGTCGCACCCTGTACAATCAGAGCCGGTGGAGGCATGAGCTTCGGCGTTGCAAGCGTGGGCGACTGGTGTCGAGAGAGCGTCAAGGGGGTGGCGCGATGCGTGCCGATGGAGTTGAACCAAGGGAGACAGCCGGGCCGGACGGTAGGAATCCACGCGGGTTGGGCGAGTACAGAGGCAAGATGCCGCACAGAGTCATATTCCCACCTCGGGAGTGGACGGGCAGCGGGCTGTGCGAGTTAGAGGGGCATGTGGGTGGCGAGCAAAGGAGTGGTCGCGGGTGTTGGAGGCAGGAACGCTGGTGTGCAGTGAGAGCAGTTCGCGAAAAAGGGTCAGCCGTGAGTGGGCAAGCAGGCAAGGCAGCCAGGCAGCCCAGGCTTGCCAGGATCACAGCCTCCTGCAGTCTGGCCTGTTGGTGGGGTGCCTGCGGACTGGGGTCAGTGAGAGCATCTCCCCAAACGGGGTCCTTGATTGGGCCTGGTCAGCCCACTCCAGTGGCCCGAACCCCGACCCCTGCCGCCGATACCAGGCATTTGTCCCACCCGTTGCGGCTGGGGTGTGTTGATCTGCAGCCGCATCGCTGTCGGCGCCATGCGTCGCTTGGTCACTTGGAGAATTCTGGTCAGAAGAGAGGGAAAAAAACACTACCTGGAGCCTAGGGAACTGAGTGCCTAGGTATGCACTGGCAGACGACACGGCTGTTGAGGCGGTAGTCTTGGGAACACGACAACCTTCATAAGTTGCCATTTCCGTCCAAGAGACAACTCCCAACACATGTGCGAGCTGTTTTCTTGTCCACATCGCACCTGATCTGACCGCCCGCCAGACATCGTCATCGCGATGAGACCCCTGGATGAGTCCAAGTATGCCCTGCGCCGGAACAGATCGACCCAACCCGCAGTCATATCGGCGCTAACCATCCTTATTGCAGGACTCGGTGGGACGAGACCCTTAAACAGAGCTCCAGTTTCCCCGACTTGCAGCGGGCTGTCAAGTTCAACGGGCCTACCAGCCCATGCGTCTCTGGCTGTCGATCTGTCTGCTGGAAGGTGAGCGAGGCCCGGGCCCGTGTTCAGCACACATCTGCCAGTCGAAACTTGCCTCACTGACAGTCGCTCAGGCCTTCTTGCTCTTCAAGGACGTGAACGCGTCCAACTGGTCTCACGTCCTGCTTGAGAACAGGAACTCTTACAGTGCCCTCCGGGAACACTACCTCAAGTACATCAAACACCCGGAGCTTCTCAACCAGCTTTCTCTCGATCCGCTGGCAGATGACCCTGACGTAAGTAGCCCTCGTCGTTCCTGGTACGATGTGATTGATATAGTATCATGATAGTAACAAAACCGAGCAATAGTCACCATGGAACGCCGTCAGGGGCGATGAGGCGATCCGTGCGGAGATACTGCAGGACGTCCAGCGTTTACCTGATGAGCCTTTCTATCACCAAGAGAGCACCCAGACACTCATCCTGGACATCCTGTTCATATGGGTCAAGCTGAACACCGATCTGGGCGGTTACCGACAGGGCATGCACGAGCTGCTGGCACCGCTCCTCTACGTGGTCGACAAGGATGCCATCGACCGTAAGAACGTCGGTGACGCCATAGCAGATCCCAACATGGTCGAGATGCTGGACTCGTACTTCATCGAGCATGACACCTTCGCTCTATTCTCCAGGCTTATGGACCATACCAAGCCCTTTTACGAGGTCAGCGTGGACGCCGGCGGCCCCATGCCCGGGGAACAGAGTGCAATAGTCGAAAAGAGCAAGATGATCCATGAAGTCGCGCTCATGAGGATCGACCCCGAGCTCGCCAAACATCTCCAAAACATCGAGATCCTACCCCAGATATTCCTAATGTGGGCTTCCTTCACTGTCTCTCCTGCCCGGGATCTAAACGCTGACTGTTGTTCCACCTAGTCGATGGATCCGGCTACTGTTCGGAAGAGAGTTCCCATTCGAGCAGCAGCTCGTGCTATGGGACACCATATTTGCCTTTGACCCCACCCTTGAGTTAATAGACCTCGTATGCGTCGCAATGCTCCTGAGGGTACGATGGACATGTAAGCAGCCCTTTCCCCGGGGCTCATGCCAGACTGCTAAAACCACGGCAGTGCTCGAGGCGGACTACACAAATGCGCTGCAGCTATTGCTGAAGTATCCCGCCCCTGAACCACCGCACGGGCCTCATACTTTTGTCGACGATGCTCTGTACCTGAAGGATCACTATCATGCCGCAGGAGGCTCGTCGATAATCATGAAGTACACGGGCAAGACGCCAGTGCCAGTTTCCGAGACGAGCCCCTCGACACCCGAGGAACGTTTCCAGGGCTTGTCGCTTAGGGACCGGGCTCGCGGGGCGCGGTCCCCTCTCAGGTCACCGGCGCGGTTCATCCAACAGCGAGGGGTAGAGGCTCTTTTCCAAGGTGCCGCCAAGAACGTCATCGAGCGCGGCGAGAAGCTGGGCATTAATCAGGCTGTGCGCGACGCCATGGGAGAGATCCGGAAGAACATGCAGGGCCTCCAGGAGGCAAGAAACAACTTCACCGAACACAGCCGCTCCAGATCAAATACACCGAGAGATAACATTTTCCCCAATGGCACCGCCGCCTCTCCAGTTGAAGAGTTGAGGAAGACGTTGGCAGAGTTGGAGCAGAGGAACAAGCAGCTGGCCATCTTCCTGGACGAGGCAATCACGGGACTCAAGGAAGTGTCCGACTCGAAATTCGAGGGCGAAAAGCAAAAGGCCCTCGAGAGCGTCGAGCTGGCCGCCGCAAAGGCACAGCTCGTCAAGGTCTACCTGGAAAACCCATCGCTCGAGCTCCCGACAGAGGAACCCCGGGAGGACGACAGGGGACCGCCACAGATCGTAGTGGACGACGACGCTTTGCCCGTGCCCGCAGTAGTAGCGGACGATATCAACCCTCCGGTAGCTAACAATATAATCAACGACGCCACCTCGCCGAGCCTGATGGTCGCAGCGGACGAGATGATGGTTGACCCGGCGGCGCCAGGCACGCCCCCGAGGCAGGAGGCGACGATGGAGGGCGTCGAGCACTCGTCCCCGCTATCACCGACGTCGCAGCCGCCTCCGGCGCTCCTCCGGCCCACCGCCGTGCCGACGCGCTCTACCATGGCGCAGTCCTCCTTCGCCCTGATGCTCGAGCCGGACCAGAGCCCTTCCGCCGCGTCCCACGGGTCCCCGGGCTACTCGCCCTCCTCGTCGCTGCCCTCGGCCGGCACCACGCCCACGCAGAACACACACATCCACTACCGCAAGAGCCCCCGCGACAGCGTCAGCCGCGACCGCAACGCATTCCTCTTTGGCGAGGTCACGGACCAGTCTGCCGCGGCGGCTGCCAAGGCGTTCACCTCTGAGGATATCTTTGGCCTGGAGCCGCTGCGCAGGCGGCCCAGCAAGGCCAGGGGAAAGTATGAGGACTTGTTTGGGGGGACGTTGTCGGATAGCTAGAATGATCGGGTGCAGAGGGGCGTACACGGCTTCCTTTTTTGTTCTCCTAGCCCGATTATGTGTTCTTTGCGCTTTCATCTCCAGCGAGAAGGACGATGTGCTGTACAATTGGTTGCTTTTTGGGTTGCAAAGTAGGTGGGACTGGAATCGCAGCGGTGTTGCCCGCCTGACTTCACCCCATACCCTGGGCGGACACTGACCCGACTTGCCTTGCGTTGCGTTGCGTTACGGCAGCTGTATTTACATTACCTCGACACATATTCCTTTTCCGGTAGAGTTAGAGTTTGGTATGAATAGATGCACATAAGATTGCTATGAAAACAGTCTTGATCTGGGGCGAGTCTAGCGTGTTGATGTTCCAGCCTTTGCTGGGCGTGAACGTCCGTCCATAATGAGACAGATGGGGGAAAAAAAAAAAAAAAAAAGAGTCTGGAATAATGGAAACAGTATAAAAAAAGCAATGCTCCTGAGTATCCATCCAATCCTGTGCCACCCCAGATAACCCCCGTCCCTGATGCGTGTAATTGACAAGGAAATGATGCCGTATAAGCAAGCACAAGCCCCGATCTCCGTGTCCCTTTGCACGGAATCCCGGTCGATCAAGACCACCGACCGGTCTCGTGCGTCTTGCGACAAATGCGCCTCCCGCTAATTCGAGGTCAAATGATGTCTCAGCCTTCTGTTCCCCCTCGGGATCCCCGCTCACATTACGGCGCAAGCCGCCGTCCGGGCCCTTCTCCTCCCGCCACCGGGGCCGACACCAGCGCCGCCTTCCTCTTCGTCATGCGCCATCTGCGCTTCCCTCGCCCGCCTGCGCCTCCTACGGCCGCCGGCACCCACCACGCCGGCCTCCTCATTCGCCTGCATGTACTCGGCCCACTTGCGCTCGAGCCTGTTCGCGGCCGCCAGGTCGCCACGCAGGACGCGCTTCGTCTGCTCGTCGATGGTCATCTGCCACCCGTAGAAGGCCTTGAGGGCAATGATCTCGGTTGGGTAGGTCGAGAGCCTCTCGCCGTCCTCGGAACGCGGGTTCTTGATCTCTGCGTTGCGGCACAGAACCTCCCGAACCCCGGTCCAGGTGACGTGCTGGCAGTCGTACACGACCATGCTGAGCCCGATCTGTGGCCGCTGGGTCCGGTCGTTGGTCCTCTTGGCTCGCTTGCGGACCATGGACGCGGCCTCGGCGAGGACCAGGTCGGAGACACGGGTGTTGTCTAGGTATGCCGACTGCAAGCGTTTGCAGTTGCGAATCACGGGAAGCATCCCGGTGTCACCCAGGTTCTCGCAGGAGCTGATGCACAGGTGCTCGAGATTCGCCGCACAAGGAGACTTGGCCAGATGCTCGGACAGCAGGTGGTTGGTGATACCGCGACAGTCTTCCAGGTCCAAGTGTGTCAACCGAGGCGTGGTGGCCAGTATCGGCTCCAAGGCCGCATCAGTCAGGTTAGTGCAATGGGCCACTGACAGGCCCTCAAGTTCTGGAACGCAATGGCCGAGGGCCTGTACGCCACGCGTGGTCAGGGCTTTGCATCGGCTGAGGTCGAGATGACGAAGCTTCCGAGGAGGCACGATTGGTCGGTCTGTCAAGATGTCGATCGGGGGGTTGGTTCCGTGGACAATGATTTGTAGAGTCACGTCGTCGAGGTCGTTGCATCCGCTCAATATCAGCCGCTCTAGTTTGTTCGTCTTGAAAATGGCCGACGCAACGCTCGAGTCGTCGAATCCCTTGACCTCTCCAGCTCGCAGGTCTTTGAGCTTCCTACAGGCCTCCACCACGATTTTGATACCCTCGGCATCCATGTGCTTGCACCAAGAGACATTGAGAAGTTCCAGGGACGGACAGGACTGAGCGATGAGCTTGCAAGTCGTATTCGTCACCGCGGTGAGGCCGGTGAGGTTGAGGTGGGCGAGTTTGTCATTGCTTCTCACCAGGTTGTGAAGTGTCGTCCGTTGTAAGTTACGGCAGCCTTCCAGGGTGGCATTGATGAGGTTCCTACAAGACTTGACAATAGTTTCTGCCCTCTTGTAATGCTCGACTTGGACACAGCCTCTCAAATTTAGGTCCTTGATGAACGGCCCAGCAGCAACGATGATCTTGGCGAGAGACTCTGCCGGTATATCCTGATAGAACTCGGAAGCATCGAACGAAGTCCATAGCTGGCCGTCGTGGCAGAGCTCGTGGAATTCCTTGCTTACAGCTGAGGCCAGGACGAGGTCCCTGGGCTGTAAGAATGCCAACACGTGGATCTTGATCTCCCGAGGAAGATGTTGCCAAATATTGAAGATGGTCCGCTTTGGTCTCAGGTCCACTGGCAGCGGGACGGTCAGAGTCGAAGAGGCGGCCATGTCGATATTGGTGACTTTCCGGGTTGCGAGGGCATGCTCGACGCTGCCATCATGACTGGGGGTACCAGGGATAGACGTGGGCGCGGTGGACAGCCCACCGTGGGAAGACGTGGAGAAATACCCCGAGCTTGGCTGGCCAAAAGGCGAGGGATTGGTCGCCAGGCTCACACAAGAGAAGCTCCCAGGGCCATGGTACGGGCTGGTGGAGGCTCTCGCGCGGCCGGTTCGAGCCAAGGACGGCGAGGAGGACATGCGCTGAAGGCCTCGGAGCAGCCTCTCGCGGTTTCCCTTCTTCTTTGGCGTGGAGTCGGGCTCGAGGATCTCAGGGGCATCTAAAATAGCCGGATCGTTGGTGAATGCATCGATTTCCTCGGCATCTATCGCCATGACCGCCATGGCTGCGGCAGATAGTGATTCGCCCATTGTCCGGCTGGTGTATCACACAATTCGCAAGAGCGGTTTCGTTAGTTTACAGTCATCCAAAAAGCCCTCAGTCCTCCCAGCCTTGGCGTCGCCTCAGAAATCGCCTGCGTGGCGAACTTTCCCTACTCCGCTTAGGATCCAGAAGGCCGGGGTCGAGGGCTGGTCCGTATACACGGAAGTGGGGTCGTTGCTAAGCTCAACACCGCCACAGCGTGGCCTCATTCATGAACAAGGTGAGGTAAAACGGGATGAGGCGGTGGAAACAACACAGCCAGTGCAGCGGTTCTTGAGTGAGCCTTCTGCTCGACTCAACTGGCCATTGCCAGGCAGTCCGGCCGGGGGTCGGCGTGGGTCGGTCTTCGCGGCACGGAGCCTCCCAAGATAAGAGCTGGACCGATTTGTCGAACGATTGTTGAAAAGGCCTAGGTCCGGAATGTGTCTCCTATCTCGTCTTTTGTGAACAAAGAAGCTTTTGGAGAGAGGCCTGCCAGCTTCCTCCGCGCCGATCCGAAAAAGGCGGGGTGGCGTGTTGGAGGAGGGGGTTGGGCGAGTGCCGGACACGTGCGAGCTCTTGCCCCCCAAGGTTGTTTGCGAGAGCTTCTTGTTGCTCTTGCTCCAGCTCTGCCACAGGACGGGGAACAGCTGAGCAGCCCAGCAGAGGCCTCGGGTCTGGATAGATGAAAGGGCAAGAGTTTTTGAGTCTGATGCGAGGAAGTCAGCAAAGGGACTCGGACAGACAAATCGCGCGGGCTGCAGGTGGATTTCACGCATGGGATTTGGGGCGGATAAGACATGGATGGCATTCTGTCGGGTAGGAGGAGTGGGGTTACACTGGGGTTCGCCAACGGGCGCTGACAGACCCGGCTCTTACCTCTGGTGCGCGTGCTCGTGTGGGCCGCGACGGGTCACGGGTGAAGGAGGAGGTGGACGGGTGGACGGGTGGAGAGCAGGAGGAGGCGTCACGAAATAAAGTAGAGGTTTACACGGTGGACGTGAGTGGAATCGAGTCAAGTCCAGTCAGTCCAGTCAGTCCAGTCAGTCCAGTCAGTCCAGTCAGTCCGAGGGCAGGGTGAGAGGGAAAAAAAGTCAACGGGAGAGGCTCGACAAGTTTAAAAAAGAAGGGTCCTGCGCCGACGCAGCTGGTGGCTGCATGGCAGCCATGGATGGCCCCCCATCCTCCACCTGCTAGTGCCCACCCCTGCATGCTCCCCAGGTCCTCTGGTGTTGAGGGCTTTCCCATCGGGAACAGCGTCCAGACCCTCCTTTTGCTTGGTCCATTTTCGTAGTAGCCGAGGATGCCAATCGATACCCTGATACGCTCTGCAGTAGTGTGGGTTGGCGTGGTCACCATCCACCTATCCACGCGGGCATGGGGGCAGAGTCGCCGGCCCGCCAGGGCATCTGAGTACAGACAATACCCACCAGAACAACCCGCACCTCACGCGCAGCTCGCTGCAGGTGACCAGCCTGGCAGGCTCGTGTGGCACCCCCGTGGCCTCTCTTCAAGAGCACCATGCTGTCCGTGACCACGAGGGAGCCAGATCCCCTGCCAATGCTCCTGTTCTATTGGTCGCTCTAGCAGGGTTCTGCCCTTATCTCCCCCAGCGGGCATGAAGGACGCTGTGTTTGCATACATTCATGGGCAGCACTCGGTTCATCATGCAGCGCCTGACTGCGAGGTTGTCTGCTTGTCTGCCAGTGCTGGCCGTACGTCCTGGAGCTCCCCTGCTTCTCAGGGCATGAAGACGCAGAGGCATTTTCTCAAGAGGGCGAGGCCACCCCGGGTAAAGGCAGGACAGCGTGGCCGGGACGAACCGCCTTCCCTGGCGCTGCTCACACAAACTCTCACAAACTCTCTCCTAGCTAGCCATAGTCCAAACATCCTGCGCCTCCTCAAGCTGCGGCGCGTCATCTCAGCCAGACGGTCTGACTCGTGAGCGCTGCTCTGAGCGCTGCTCTGAGCGCTCGTCCCGGGTGCTGTGTTGCTGGCCAAAGCCCAGGTGCATAATGCGTAGCAAACCTATTGCTGGATTCGAACCACTGATTACGTCTTACACAGTACTGCATTGGGTGGCGGACCTGCTTCCTGCTTCCTGGTTCTGCTGGTCCGCTTTCCCACCCGGCGCTCTGGGCCAAGCACGTCGGGGAATCCGGCTCGAGGGGAACCTGGCCCGCCGCGCCTAATGCGGGGTACAGCGGGGCTTTGGAGGGGCTGTGATCCGCCGCCGTCGATACTACGCTAAGTGCCTAGGTACATAGGCAAGTACCTATCTGCCTACATACACGCGGAAGCGGGGACAGCTGCTAGAGAAGTGGTCTGCCGTGATGTACCGAGGTACCTCCCTAGTCTGTCTAGTATGCATGGTATGCATGGTGGGGCACCGAGACGGTGGGGTACATATTGGCATAGGCCAACGTCGGGGTACAATCCTCAATGTAAAAGAACATAGACTCTTTACAATATGATCGATAGATCCTTTCAGTATAATTTTTTGTGACAAAGTGCAGTTATCGGATATATATACATAGGACGGACAACATCCTGTGGGATAGTCCCCTCTAGGCTGGATTCTTTTGGTCTCTTGATGATTGCTCTTGGCAGTCGTGAAACCTAAGCGCATCCAGATCAGTGAGCATTTCTTTAAGCAGCTGTCGATTTTGATATCATAGTTATTGAGACCTGTAAACACATGATGTGATAGACATCGGAGAGACGCCAGGCGGGCAAAACATCAACGTCAAGCCTAGTTGGCAGGAATGTGATGGGAGAATGAGTCGCGTGTGTGATTCCAAGACAATGGCCGAGCACTCGGGCGATTGCCAATGGGACATGTTCCGTCCTGCCTCCGGTCCGGGGCCGGCTTGTGATGACAACTGCACTTGCCTCCGCATCGGCCGGCAGATCTCCCGAACGTGGAGCATCGGGCGAAGCTGGCAGGTTGGGTGATGGACCATCTGATCAGCTGCAAGCCTTGATGAGTATTGCCCTGCAGGAGGGCCTGCTGACAGTGCTCAGCTCATCGTATCAAGGCAACAAGGATCTGCGAGTCCCGTCTATTTCGTCTAGCTACCTGCTACCTGCTACCCTGGCACCTAGGTACTAGGTAGTTAGACGCACGGGCAGAAACTGTCTCTCATGACATGCTGTCTTTGCTCTTATCTACGCGGGAGAGGTGGTCCAGCCCCTTGACAGTTTGTCTCAGACCATGGTATCTCGGTAACGCACCTACACAGTACTGTGTGGCATGCATCCGTCCTCGTGCGAGCAGGATACGACTCTGGGTGCCGGGCTAGGTGGGTTGGTAGGGTGTCAAGTGGGTGTTACCCGGCCTCGGAGACAAGCGTAGCAGCCGATCCTGGATCACGAGGTTGGCTCGCTGGATGCTCACAACCCGTTGAGGGTCATTTGGCAGATGATTTGCAGGTGGCAGGCAGGCAGGCAGGCAGGCCGGCGATGGCTGACACTCGGGCAGCTCCATCTTCAGCACCCGGATGCGATAAGATCGACCTTGTCCTGCAAGGTCAAAGTGGCTGCGGCAGGGAAATCAAGCCCAGCGTCTTGGCAGCTGCGGCGGTAGGGGAGCGGTAGGGGCATGCCGTGCACCTGCGCCGCCTGTCTTGTTCTCTCTTTCACGTGCAAAACGGCACTGTGCAGTCTGGCAGTCTGGCAGTGTGCACGCTCCGGTCACCAAAAGAAAGTTGGCGAGTAATCACTAAGGGCCAAGGGACGAGGGCCGCGATGATCCTCCCCCTTGGACGGTCCCTGGCTCTGGCTGATCAGCATGGGTGGTGATGGATAGCATGATCCAACAATAACAGCCTCGGACGGGTTGACCTCTTGCTCCCAAGACCCTCCTTGAAACGGGCTGCACGTCTGGAGAATCATGACCGTTGGGTAGGCCTGGTTTTGGCCCTGTGGGGGGGGGGGTGATGAGCGGCCTGTCTGTCTGCTTGCCAGGACCGGCACTGTCCCTCAATACTCCGTGCTGATCCGAGGTCCTGTTGGGCCCAGAAGCTCCAGAAGCTCCATAGGGGCCCGCGCTACGGAGTACACCTGATCTGCCTGACTTTGTACCCGGGCATCTACCTATGATTCAGCACGGAGACCGTTATGCTGCCCAAGATTGCAAGGCCCTTTTTTCGCTGTCGCCTCAACGAGCTGCTAAGAGACTAGAGACACACGGTACTGCAGCCCCCTGCTACTAAGCTGGTAGGTACTGCCTGTTGACGGCGTGGAATAGAGTTTCCCACCTGCATTTGCCCCAAGGTTTATTGCACTGTACGCAGCATCTGGGCCTTCCATCCTCCCACGCTTCCAAGGTTTTGCCTGTGTGGAAGGACCGAGCCTCCCCAAAACCCTCGCTCAAACCTCGAATAGTTCTGTCTGCGAGTCCCAAAACTGCCGCGACCGCCCCCCAAGGATTTTCTTTCTTGTTGCTACTCTTCTCCCCTTTCCACAGCGCCCACCTCCCACCGCCCTCCCGCCCGCCCGCCAGCCCGACTTCTGACCTGGCGCCCCTCCCCACGGTTTAGATCTGCCTGCTTATACGCGGTCTCAACGCTAGACATCGGCTGTTCGACGCCCCGAGTGCCGCAACACCACGCCAGCAAGCCAGCTCCCTCACGGCTACCCTCACCCAGACCACAGCCCCCCAACCCCCCAAGGCCGACCTAGAGATAGACCAGGTTTTTTTTCACAGGATCGCCCGAACGGCCTTCCATTGCTTGCACGACTGCTTCAATGCAGCAATCGAGATACCCATTAGACCGGCATTGACTTGTTTTCTTCCCGCGTGTTCCAGTTTTGCGCTGTCGCCGTCGTGAGCAGTCGACCACCGCGCACTGCCTCCTGCTGCCCCCTCGAGGCAACAACAGACGCCATCGCCGCCCGTACGGCATACGGAACGGAACGACGAGCCCAGCCGTCTCGGGTCTTTGGTCGCCCATGAATCTGGCCCCTCGCCCGGTTGACTGTCACCTCGAGTTCTGAACTGGCCCCAGATGCCGGCTTCCTTAGGACCTACCCACACTCATCTATTCTGGTAGCACTTGTTCTCCCGGGCCTCCTGTTGCGCATCTTGCGCAGTCGACCCGCCGAGGCGCCGTCCGACAGAACCTGCGGCAGCCAGCCCCTTCTCGACCCGAAGCCAGCCCCGAGGCCCCAAAGCTTCGGCTGTACCTCCACACATACGATGCCTAGAATACAAGAGCAGGGTCTTGATCCAGGTGGGTGCGGCCCTGTAGTGATGTGACATGGCTTGGGACACAGCGTCCTTGTGAGATGCGGACGCTGACGCCAGTGGCCTTTCTCCCAGGCGCCGACACACAGGGTCACAGCGGGGAAGGTGCAGGCAGAAATACGGACAAGCTCTCACCGCCCGTGCAGATGCAAAAGAACAAGAGCCTTTCCAACCTGGCCCTCGCGGTGCCAGACAACTCGGAAAAGGCTCGAGTACGCATGTCCTTCGATGCTGGCCCAGCTGCTTCCGAATATGACATCCTCGCAAGGTGAGCCCAGCTGCCCCCCGTCCCTTGGTCCCCCCGGGGCTTGCGCCTCGAGTCCCCGACCCTAAACACCAAGCCTCCATGTAAAGTGACATGTCCGCGTGCCTCGGTCAAGTGGCGGGAGGGTCAGGTCTGTCAGCCTCCTCAACGCAGTATACTACCATGGCCAAGTCGCCCCCCCCCCCCCGTCAAGGAGGAGCTTGTCACACTGTTTACTGTATACCAGCTCGCAAGGCAGGACATTTTGGATCCTTCAACTTGGCTTGCTGACCCACCTCTATCACAACCATGTGCTCTCACAGTGACCTCACGCATCCATCTGCTATGCTTTTGCCTTCAGATTCGTTCCCTTGCATGCTGTCGCTACCGGTGCTTTGACGGGACATCTCCTCTCCCATCAGCTAACCCGTCGAGTCATCAGATCACCCATTATGACAGACCACGATCACGGTCTGGGATTGTCAGGACTCCGCCGGATACGCCAGTCACAACCTGGTAGGAACGGCACACTCGGGCCATCCAACCCGGCTTCTAGGAGTCCATCCTTGAGTCTCTCACGGTCCACCTCGATGACCATGTTGCAACCATTGGCCTCGGGGCCATCGTCACCCGCCTTCATCGACGACTTGGAGCGTTTCCCCAGCGAGTCCCTGCACTCGTTTTCCTTCGCACACCAGTCCGAGGAGTTCATACACAACCGCCAAAATGTACTGAGACGTTCGATCGAGTTCATGAAGGACCGGATCGGTCGCTCTGCCACCTCCAACCCAGCCCTGGCAAGCGCCCAGGCACGGGTGACCGGGGACATAGAAACACAAAATATGCTGGAACTTTTGGCCAAGGCGCAGCTGATGGGCCTCAGCGATCCGTCGCACCCTCTAGGCCCTCTCACGGGGCCTGCTGATATGTCGGGCGAGAACATGTTTGAAAAGACCTTCATGCCCAGGACCGAAAGCCCCGAGCCAGTTGAGGACCTCTGGATGTCTCCCGATGATCCCAACCCTCTAGGCCTGCAGCACCGTGTCCAGGAGGATAAGGGGAAAGTCTCGACCAAAGACGTACGTCAGACATCTCGCGTAGACTCGCTGTCGTCAGCGCCGGAGGAGGGAGATTCGTCTGAGAACTCGTCACGGACACCGACAAACGAGAGCGGAACCACCCAGAAGACTTCGCCCCCAGAGTCGAGGCGGCCAAGCGTCCTGAAACGGACCTTCACCGACACCGTTCACGCCTCGATGCAGCAAAAACTCATGGACGCCATGGCCCAGCCCTATGTGGCCGGACAGCCGGGCAACCCTGAAAGCATCCTCTCCCCCAGATCGTCTCAGTCTTTCGGACCTTCACTGCACGCACCAACCGCGAGGGGCTCGTCGGTGCATGGCCACTCCAGCAGGTGGGTACCGGCTGCTCAGGCGATTTTCACCACCGAGGCCAAGCCCCCATGGACGATACTCGCCGCAAACGACCTGGCTTGCCTGGTCTACGGCTTTCGAAAGTCGGATTTCAAATCCACCAGCATACTGGACATTGTGCAGAAGGAGCGCAGGGGGTGGCTTGAGAACAAACTGAAACATGGGGATTACGAGAGCGAGGCTGCAGCAGAGTCAGAAACAGAGGTTGCACCGCCGCCGGCGCAGTCGAGGGTGTCGTCCACCCTGCTGGGATCGCGGGGCGGCGGTATCACAGCTAGGTTGCTGAGCAAGCCGAGCTCGAGAGCACAGACCCCGAGAGTGAGTCCTGTGAAAAGGCCAGAGACCTTTCATAGTGGCGATTGGCGACCTCCAAAATTGAGCGGTGGGGGGCACTCGAACCATAAGAGCAACAAGTCTAGGGGCGTGCTTCTGTGTGGGGATGTCGTACCTATCCAGAAACGCAATGGTGCCACCGGGTCGGCTAGCCTGTGGGTGAAGGAGAAGAGGATGGGGTTGATATGGGTGCTTGAAGAGATACATGAAGATGTCGCCTACCTCACCCTCGACGAGGACGGTGTTGTGACCAAGCTCACAGGAGAGCTGCTCTCCATCTGGGGCGATGAGAGCTTGAAACCGGGCCTGGATGTCGGCAAGCTGGTCCCGCGGATCCCACGTCAAGGGATTGACCCAAGATTTGGTGCAATCGACTATGCACAAATCGCAAAGCGAAAGTACTACACCTGCCGCAACTGTGACAGGATAAACATCCCGGCAACAATCAACCAGGTGCAAGGGAAGACAGAGTTGCGCATTTCGAGCTTCCCACACATCGCAGGTATCATTGTCGTGGACCCAGCATCTTTGACGGTCAAGAGCTCCAACACGGTCTTCTGCGGCGCACTTTTCGGCCACGAACAGCCAAATGGAATGGACATTAAGTCTCTCCTGCCAGGCTTTGACAAGGTGCTACGGATCCTGACCGAGCAAGACGGACTTCTCCTAGTCGACGGAATTGTTGTTCCTGAGCACAGCTTCCGAAAGGCCTATGCGTTCCTCGGGCTCCGGGAGGGTCGGCCGGATGCCACAAGCAGCTTCCTGCGGCCGGAGGGGCTCCCTGCCAAGCATCGCGATGGGTCGGAGCTCAAGGTTGATGTACAGATGAGGGTTGTCAAGAGCGAAAAGCAAACCATGCTGCACGAAGGGGCTCTGTCAGAGGCAAGCGACGGGGAGTCAGCCGTCACTGAGGATGAGTTCCCAGTCACTCAGACAGAGATGGTCTTCGCTTTATGGATCACGTACTCCAGGCACATTCATGCCACCAGATCAAACCTTGGCGCTGCGTCTCCCCTGCTCTCGGGAACGGCGACCCCTCTTCGACAGCCCAGCCCGGGCCAGACCCCTGCGCCGACGCCAGCAGAGCTCCACCTCTCTGACTCTGACGAGCCCAAGAAGGAACCAAGGCCGACGTCAATGTTCACCAAGTCGATTAAGGATGCCGCGCTGAGCGCTGCCGCGAAGATCACCGGCACGAAAGCATCTGACAAAGCTCCGGAAGAAGACAAGCAGGAGAAGCCACCCGCTCCCAAGGCGGCCGAGTCATCGCACAAGAAGTCTATTGAAGATTTTGCTATCCTGGAGGAGATGGGCCAGGGCGCGTATGGCCAGGTCAAACTGGCCCGATACAAGGACAGCGGAAAGAAGGTGGTACTCAAGTACGTCACGAAGAAACGGATTCTCGTAGACACGTGGACCCGGGACCGGAAGCTGGGCACCGTGCCCCTCGAGATACACGTCCTGAACTACCTGCGCAGAGAGGGCCTCCGGCATCCCAACATTGTTGAGATGGAGGACTTCTTCGAAGACGAGGTCAATTATTACATTGAAATGGGACCACACGGGCTCCCTGGCATGGACCTGTTCGACTACATCGAGCTTCGTACAAACATGGAGGAAGATGAGTGCCGAAGCATTTTCGTCCAGGTTGCACGGGCTGTCCACCACCTGCACATCAAGGCAAAGGTTGTCCATCGTGACATCAAAGACGAGAACGTGGTGCTGGACGGAGAAGGGCACATCAAGCTTATTGACTTTGGGAGCGCGGCGTACATCAAGAGTGGCCCCTTTGATGTGTTCGTGGGCACTATAGGTATGTCTCCCCATCGGACAGTTCCAAAGTGTCGCCTCATGCTAATCAAACAACAATAGACTACGCAGCACCGGAAGTCCTCGCCGGCAAACCTTATAAAGGCAAAGAGCAGGACGTGTGGGCTCTCGGCATCTTGCTCTACACCATCATCTACAAGGAGAACCCGTTCTACAGCATCGATGAGATCATGGATCGCGATCTGCGTGTGCCGTACACAATCAGCGATGAGAGTATCGACCTCATCCGCTGCATGCTAGACCGCGATGTCGAAAAGAGATACGATATCAACCAGGTTCTGGAGCATCCATGGTGTCGAGCAGGGGACGACTAAAGTACGACGACCAATGCGCACGAGGAAGGGGCTTCGTGCACCCCTCCACGGCCACTTTTCGAGGGTTGATCTCTACGTACGTTTACTGCAAGGGGCACGCCAAGGGGTATCTCGGGTGCTAGGCGGGAGCGGCACACGCAGAAGTTGTGCTCAACGAAGGCCACTGTTCGAATCCAGATGTCTGTTGCGCAAAGGAAACCCGGCGGTAAACTGGTCAAAACGGGTGTCCGAGCACACAGACAAAGACTGAACAAAGCGCATGTTCCTTAATATGTGTGGTGGATCCTATGCGCACCTCGACCAGCGAGTACCAGGACGAGAATGTCGTTTTCAGAGCGACAATGATCCCTTACGAAGGGGCACGATCGACGGAGAGGAGGATCGGATTGATACCTTGCGGAAGGGCACAGGCGCAAATGAGTTCAATGCGGTGGAAGGGATCAAATGACCGCGTGGACAGCCTGATCTGTGACGGGAACGACTCAAAAGACAAATATATATACACATCTCCCTATATATCCAACAGACACAGCCATGAGCAGTGGATTCTACCGCGGGAAGCAAGCGGCACAGTCGAGCCCAACATGTGCTTGGGGTTTCCCTGATGTCCAAATCGTGACATGTTCGACAAACAACGGGGCTTGAAGAGCAAAGAGGAAGCAGGGCACGGTGCTTGGGTCCTGTTATCAACCTTTGTATTCACCCGCTTGGAATCCCTGGGCTCTCAGCACTTCGGCGCCTTGGATGCAGGCAGTTTGAAGCCGCGTCTCGCTTGGGCATTTCTGTAAGGCAGGTTTGATTTATATGCGCGTGCGGCCTGTATATTGCGGTGTTTCACTTTCTCCTTCCTAGAGTCGCCTGACCCGATTACGTATATGTGGTGGAACCGTTTATCTCTCGAGTCCTCATCGACACAGTTGGTCGTTTTCGTCAGACACCGGGTTTAGGCAGGGTCATCAACACCTTGCTACGCATTCCCCTACGGACCTTCGCATGGGCACATGCTCAACTTGCTCAACTTGCTCCAGAGGTTCTGTCTACGCGCGTGAGAAAAGTCCCACGAAGCAAGATCTCCACCGAGCGGCGGCATGCAGCGACACTGGGCGACCAGCATTTACAAAGTACTGCGCATCCAGGCCGCAAGACCTCAATAGATACTGCGTCGGTGTTTCAGGGGCCTTGAGAAAATGTGCAAAAAAGCAACTGCCTCCAGAGGAGGCTCTGGAGGCTGTTGTGGTGATACTCTGCGCCAGCCCGGAGTCGAACCGGGGGCCCATCGATGGCAACGATGGATTTTACCGCTAAACCACTGGCGCTGTTGGGTTTGGTTATTTGATGAAGATTCTCGCGACGATGGGGTATTATATGGGGCGTTTTGTGTGTGTGTGTTGTATATGTGTGGGTACCGTGATCAATCTCGGTGGAGTCAGTGCGAGTGCCGTCTCTCAAGTTCTGGACACGGGTGAGTGGGGAATACCCTGACTCGTCTGCTCTGTCCCATTCTTGGACGTCCGTTCTCTCTGACAAAACGTGCATATCAGAGGCACACAGTAGGCAGCTTCGTGCTGGATCTGAGAAGACAATGTTGAGCCAATGTCCGTCGTTGCGGCCAGACCGAGGACCGGACATGGTCAAGCTTCGGCCACCGATTGATGGTGTCGTCGGGATGGTTTGCTTTTTTGGACGCCTGGTGTGTTGGCATTCGTCTTCGGCCTGGCCTGGCCCGATGGTCGGGTCGCCTGCGAGGCATCGCGAAGCGTGTACGGCCCGAGCATGGTGCCGGAGTCCCTCTACCGGCAGGATTGATGCCTGACGGATGCGATGTAACATGCACATATGCTGGGCCGGGAAAGGAGCAGCAGCCCGCGTCGGCGTTGCCCCCTTGGCCCTTGAGATGCCCCCCCCCGGCGCCGCGGTACCGTTGGGCGTAGCGAGAATGGCTGTCTGTGGATCTCATGCTTGTTTGATGGCGTACGGCCACGAGCTGCAGCAACAGGGCGGTGTATTCAGCTGGTCTGGCAGTCTGGTCGCCTCCGTCTCCAGTCCCGGCGTCGGTGAGGCGGCGAACCCTTGTTGACAATCTTGGCCGGGCGTGGGCGTCGTGCCCGTGACCCGTGACCCGTGACCCGTGGGCATTGCAGCCGGTCAAGAAGCCCTCGAGCGAACCAGGGAGCCCGAGGGGGCTGTCTCGGTGCCCTTGATGCTTCGGGAAAAGCATATCAACGGGCTGGAGCAGGCCCAATCTGTGTGCCTGCATCTGCGGGGGTGGGGGCCAGAGAGGTCAGAGAGGTCAGAGAGGACAGAGAGGGCAGAGAGGGCAGAGAGGGCAGAGAGGGATACCAACGCCCCGAGCATGATGTAGGGCACTTGCTGGTGTTGATGTTGTTGACTTGCATCCCAGGGCGGAACCCTTCCGGGCTGGAGCTGGAGTTCATTGAACCAAAGGGAGGTTGTTCCGCCCGTGCCTGCAGGGGCATGTGTGTGCACTCAGCCGTGCAAGCCGTGCCTTCTTCAGCCACCACATGGGGGTCGCTTGCGGGTGTCGTTTCCCCACAGCTGCTAAGAGTACCTAACTTGGGGAATAGTACTACGGGCGAGTAAGTATCAGTCGACCAGCCGACCAGTTGACCAGTTGACCAGTTGACCTAGTAGACCATCTATCTACCTGCCGTAGCAGGCGACCTCGGCTCGGCTACCGTGACCCTAGACCGGTACCACAACCAATCTCTCCCTCTCCCTCTCCCCTTCTCCTCCCTTGTCGTTGCAGATAACCCCGTACATTCAGCCACCAGTTACACTCTCCAGTTGCACTTACACTCACCCAAGACACGGACAACCTTGCTGCTTCTACCGTTTCGATCCTGCACATCGCCACGCCACACATATTCTCCCCCCCCCCCCACGCCAGCCAGAACGGGGCACCTGCTCGAAAGAATGTCACTCGAGGTCATCTACGTGACACGGCATGGCGTAAGTGCGATATCTCCAGGCTCAAAGTCAAGGCGCCTCACAATAGCATAATGTAGCGCAGGCCGGTACTGCTTGCAACCCGCAGATGCCTCCGTCTCAAGCCGCAGCGCAAACCGGCTGACCTCGCTGCCTCGATTTGCAGTTCAGGTCCAATTGGCTCGTGGACGCCTCTGGCAACTACTCGTCCTACCTCAAGTCACCTACCGGCATCGCCACTGATCCAGCCTTGACATCACATGGCGTGGAGCAGGCCCATGAGCTGGCAGCCCACCTGATAAACATTGATCCGCCCGTCGAACGGGTCTATTCCAGTCCCTACTATCGCTGCCTGCAGACGGTCGAGCCCTTTGTTAGCCTGTGGGCCCGCTCTGCCAGATCAGATGCCGCCAACAAGCCCGCCATCCTGGGCGAGACTGGCCTGTCCGAGTGGTATGGCTCTGCATCATTCGAGCACCCAACCTCTGCCAGCAGCGACACGCTGGCTGAGCTGTTCCCGGCCTTTGACAGGTCCTATGCTCCGGCAGTGGCGCCCTCGAGAAACGGCGAGTCCATCTCTCAGCTTCACGACCGCGTTGCCTCGACCATGGACGCCCTCATACGGCGATGCGACGAGGCCGGGGTGCGGGCTGTTCTGCTTTGCTCACACGCCGCTACTGTCATCGCCCTGGGCCGAGTCCTGACCGGAAATATGCCTGACAACGTCGAGACTGAGGACTTCCGGGCCTTTACCTGCGGCCTGTCCGTATTCAGGAGGCGCTTAGCTGCAACATGCGATGGGGATTCTGCCGCGTCCGCCCCGGGTGTTCGCGCGCCGACTCCACAAACTACTGCAAGCCCCGATAATTACAGTAAGAGCCAGGCAGATCCTTTTTCAGCACAGGTCGATTGGAAGGACGGGAGAGGAGTTGGAGGAGGGTGGCTCTGTGAAGTGAATGGAGATTGCAGCTTTCTCTCCGGGGGTGAGGAGAGGGGATGGTAAGCGGCTGTTCCACACTTCCCGCCCTCACACAGGACTGCTGTGCTGTGTGCTTTGGTCCATTCTGCTAACGAGCCAGGCGCTTCTCTGGAGATGAGTCTTTCGCCAACGCCGGCCAAGGTGGCTCGCAGCAAGACGCAGGGGTCGAGCTCGGCGTCGTTGTCGAGGGGAGGAGTCGCAACCCCAGATTGTAAGGCCGGTCCCCTGTCTTGTCCGAGCGCTGTCCCTGGCAAGCAAGCAGCCAGTGCATATAGCGCAGGCAACTCTTGGTGAGACTTGCTTCTTTATCGCAGGAGCATAGGCACAGGGACAGGGAGCATCATTCGATATTTCACTAGTCTCATGCAGATGCTGAGTCTGGTTCGAAGGCCACTGCACGCTCTGCCCTGGTCTTGATCGACTGCGTCGAGAGAGATGAGGCTCCCACAATTTGCCAGGCCCCCGGGGGGTTTCTGTGTAACGCAAGCTGTGAGCACGGGTGCTTGGCCCACAGGTAGAAGAAGCCTCGAGATCGGCGCGACATTTTTTTTTCCTTCTTTTCTTTTTGCCACAAACCTTCTTCTCAACGGAAAACGCCATTCCCAGGATGTCTGTGGGGACGAACAGCGCACTGCCTGGGGTCTGGAGACCCTGAGACAACTTCCGTTCTCCCGCAGGCCGCATCAGAACCGACCAGCAGTCCAGCGGCTGTGAACCATCGGAATTGCGCATGACGCACTCCCTTACTGGTGAACAAAGCAACTTTACTTTCATCGGGCAAAAAAGCTCTCAAAGTATTGATGCCGTGCTTGCACCCTGGAGATGTTATTTTTAACTCTGTTTGCCGCTCTTAGATTGGGCACATTGATCTGCGTGGTTGAGACATTAAGAAGCAATGTGGACGGCTCAGCAAGACCAGCGAGCTGCAGAATCTCCCGCAGAGTATCAATTTGTACCCGGATGACACATCGGCCCGGCAACGTCAACACTGTCTTGGACCGGCGCGTTGATCATGTGAGAGAAGTCTGGAGGCAAAGAGAGTCGTTACATTGGAAGCGAAAGTCTGCACACACCAGAAGCAAGCACGAAGCTACAAGCGTCAGCAGCATGTATCTGCATACGAAGGCTGTATTTGAGTCTGGACAACACGGCCCACTCGCAGGAAACTGAAATTATGCCTTAGATCTGATCACGGATTTCGTCAGTGACTGGGCCACCAGGGCCACCAGCCACTCACATAATGCATGACATTTGATAACAGGATCACTTGCTGACCAAGAAGCAATCGATCTGCCAGAGATATTTGAGAGCACTGCCTGTTGAAGACGAGACCAACCAATAATACACACTCAAACGCAGACTTGACCTAGCTTCAAGAGGATGGGACTACTGCGAGGTCGGACTAGGAATACACCCCCACGATTTCGCGGTCCAGACCTTGGACAAAAAGACGCTGTGGCAACAGACCAATCAGAGCGAAGCAGGCGGCTGTCAACTGGCTGTCAACTACTTTCAGTGAGAGACCTGTCACAGCGTTGGCATCTGCCAACTATCTCATATTTTCTTTTTCACATTCGGGCTCTGGAGAATACGGCCTCGGCACCGAAAACCACCTTGATTCCTGGCCTACACGCTAAGTGCTGGCCTTGAAATTATTTTCTCCGCCGGCCTCGCGAACGACCACCACTAGCTTCGACGCGAGGATGGGCCTTTCGGCTCCCTTCAGGAGCATCTGACTTGGTATTGTGCACGTGTGGGGCGAAGCGTGATCCCGGCGGGCCGAATTGTGGCTCTTTGATCTTTCGCTGGCGATGCAAGTCTATCAAAGCGATCTCTGTCGCGACCCAAAAGTCTGTATCCCCAAGAACTCAGTCGTCAGCTCTGAATCAAGCCCCATGTCACAAGGGTCTCGAGCCCAGGTGAATTAATCGGACAATTTCATCATGTGCTAGACCTAAAGCGGGATGCCCTACAGAGATCGAGGATGAAACCTCGTCTTGGGGATAACACGGCCGACAAATGGCATTTTCCGTCAGAACTGGTGCGACGCACCAGAACGGCCACCACCACCACCAGTGAAGCGTGTCCCTTGCCTGCATCTTTGATGAACAGATACTTCTGCGTTGATTCGCTAACCATTGTCAGGCCGTTGACGTCTGACAGGAAGGTTGTTTTCCAGCACTAGCTGGTTCTTCACTAGTCTAGGGAACGTTTCCATGCCGGCCGTGTAATAAGCGACACTGATGCACAAACAAAGCGTCTCTCAACTACACGACATGCCATATCTGCATGTACCACCTCTGTTATGCGAGAATTACTCTCGCACTCAGACGCGAAGGTTGCGTTAGCCCAACTCCAGGGCCCATTTTACAAGGGCCCATGGGACGGCGAGGTGCGCAGGGATGGAGGCAAGAACCTTCATCTTGCAGCTCCCAAGGATGCTAGGCGATCATTCTGTTCCGCGGCGAGGTGGAATACCCCAGATCGGTCACAAGTGACAGGATCTTCGGATCAGCAGTGTTAGATACGCGAAGCCCGCTACCCCAGATGTCGTATATAGGCGGGACCTTAGAGATCTCGCCTCCGGTCACATCTCAGTTTCTGCTCATCTCTTTTTGCCTTTCAAGATTTCTGCGCTGTCTGGTTCAAGCTCACGCCCTGCCCTCTTGACTCCCCCAACAAGCACCATGATCCAATTGCAACCAAGCCCCTTCTCGAGGCATGAGACAGGCAGAATTTTGCCTCCTCCCGGTCACAGCCAGCAGGACCGCCTCAGACTGGAGGGCCTCGCAGACGCCGCCGTTTGCCTTCAGGAGCCGGCTGTCTACTCCCCTGACAGCCCCCCCACAAGTCCATTCTTCCAAGAATACACATTCCGTATGTATACTTGAACCAGGTGCTCACTGTGTGCTTGAATACCTGTGCTCACCCACCTCCAGGACACTCAACCACAGCATCTGACGAATCTAAACCATATAATATCCCGTCCATCCAGAGCTTGTTCGCCATTGCGGATGGAGACCGACCTCGCAGCTATGGGTTCGATCCTCCCGGGCTCGAGCCAAGCTTCAGGAGGCCAAGCACGGGCTCCGAGGCCTCATTCCAGGGAAGCTTCACCAGTATGCCCGAGTTGTCACGCCTGTCGACAGCAAGCCCGCCTCCCACGCTTGCTCCGAGGACCCCTGAGGCCCACCACACCATCGCCCCCGAGACTCACCTCAAGATCGAGCTTCGACTGAGTGATCTTGCGGACCAGCTGAAGCGCCTGGAACAAGCAAACAAGAGGCTGTCTCTCCAACCTGCCCGTGGACGGAGGCCGTCCTCCCGCCAGGCACCATACTCCACCGCGGGGTCCGATAAGGATCGCCGTGGTAGCAGCACCAGCAGCAAAGGTGGCCAGTCCGGCGCGGCGCCCAAGGGAAAGGGCCAGCCAAAGAAGCCTCACTTTAACCTCCGGTACCCCAAGTCGGTCAAGCTGTTCATCCTCTACCACAAGGAGGACTGTGGGTGGGGCTGGAAGGCGATCAACGAGCGGCGGGTGGGCCTGCTGCCGGTGTTGTACCGCGGGGGTTACAAGCCCGAGATCGAGGAGAACCGTGAGGTAGCGGGCATTAACGGCTTCTACTACCGGCTGAACGAGGTCATGCCAGCGCTGACGCCCGACGGTAGCGGGTTGCGCTTTGTGGAACAGGGTGGACGGACCTGGGAGCTGACGGAACCTTGCAAGTGTCGCGAGGGGCCGGCTCGGGGAGGGGAGAGGAGGAAGGGCTGCGGTGGTGGTGGCAGGGCCAGCAAGGCCTCCAAGGACAAGGATGACGCCGAGGCGGCGAGGCCCCGGGGTATGGTCGCCAGGTACCCAGAGGAGGTTGTCTACTACTGGGACGAGTTTGTCAAGCACTTTGTACCGCAGGCCCGACACGCCGAGGTCTATGCGCGGGCGAAGAGATATTGTAAGTGCTTTTCTCACACATGATGCTTGGGACGCGGTCCTCATTGCCACTTTCCTCTTTCGTCATCACACACATGCAAGCACAAAAAAGAACGGAGGATGTGGCTAACAGTCCCGCGTGCAATCAGGCGAGATCCGCGCCGAGCAGAGAAGGCAAAAGGGCGTGCCGCAGTGGACGCCAGACAACGAGGAGGACAGAGTGTGGCACACAAAGCCGCCCAACTCAAAGAGCAAGATGCCAAGGGCGAAGGCCGGCGAGGCAGACGAGACGCTGCCGGAGCTTATGCGCGCTTGCGAGCTGGACGCTAAGATGGAGGTGGATTAAAAGACGTCTCGTTTCCAGGCCCCTGGCCTGCCACCAGAGTTCGTCCGGTACGAAGTGGCAGCAGGGCAGGATGCGTTCTCCGCACCCCTTCCTGCATGGGAGCGGCTGGTACACACATGGCCGCAATAAAATAGGCGCCACACTGTCATCATCGACAAGCAAAATTGGTGGCATACGTCGTGAGAGAAACAAAAGTCGAATTTGAAGCACTTGCTGTGCGGTTATTTTGAATACATATTCATAGTGGGTTGGGTCTGTGGTGGTCAGATCCGGTCAGCGAATTATTTGTAATGTCTGTCTGTACATGTCTGTACAATTGAAGGAATCGGATTCGAATCCGACGGTTGATAAAGTTTCCCTCGCCTGACGAGATCTAAGTGTATCCCTCTGGTTTCAAGGATCATAGGGCTCTCAATGGCCCCTAGGCTCTCCGAATATTCCGTTGATCAGGGACGTCCGAGCGAAGCAGACGTCCGACCCCCAAGGCGGGCATGGAACAGACCAGGGTCCCCGCCGTCTTCTCCGTCGTTGTCGAGGGCGATGTCGTACTCCTCAAGATCAGACGCATTACCGGTGCGGTACTGGTACGCGGCCCGGTTATACTCGTCCTCTGAGTCGACCTCCTCATCAGGATAGTCTGCCGCGTAGTAATCTTCGGCTGTGAGAGGATTAGTAAAATATTCTGGGCATTTTCCTGACCGAAAAGCAAGTCGTAGGCTTACCATTCTCGTCCTCGTCGTCCTCGGGGTACTCATCGTCGCTGTCGCCCTCCTCCCCATAGAAAAAGTCCACGTCAGGCTCGTTGTCAAAGACAAGCAAGCCGACCTTCTCTGGGTCCACGTCCTTGCTCAAGCTCTCGGCTGCCACACGGACGTAGGTCTCGATGACATATTCATCATCACTATGGCTCTCGTAATCCTCCATGGCCGGCATGGCTGGTAAGGAATCTGTCTTGGCAGCAGCAAGCTCTGGATGGCGCTCCGCGTAGCGCTTCGCGGGAGCCTTGGGCTTGAACTTGGACGATTGGGGCGACGCCGCTGCCGACGCCCTCCTTGCTGCTGCTGCTTCTGCCTTTCTGTCGCGTTCCTCTATCTTCGCCAGGTTTTCGCCAATCTGCTGCATGACGAAGTCGTTCATGCTACGAGTGAGCTCGTCCAAGTCCGAGTCCTGGTCTTTCTGGAGCGACTCTGGAATCTCCCTCTTTACCAGGGGCGTGTGCCTGCCGTCTGTCCGCTTCCGGTCTGAGCCGGGTAGCTTCTGCTTCCTCGCAGGCGCGCCATTCTCAAAACCTTCATCCTTCCCTATCTTCTCGGTCGTCGGCAGACTATCCACGTCAGTCATCTGTACGTCCTCGGTCCTCGACCTCTTGTGTCCGCGCTCCACGAAGACGGTCGTCGGTGTCTTAAAGCGCGACCTCTTTCCAGTGCTCACGCCGGGGCTGAAAAGAGGCGAGGGGACAAGCGAGCGTCGAGACATGTGGAACCGACGTGGTTCTGTCGCGGGCTGAGATTTGGATGCGCTCTGCGCCGTCGTGGGGGCAGATGGGGCGGCGGGTGTCTCATCTTGTGAGTTTGGGAGGGGTTGCGCCGGCGCATCTGGCTTGGCCTCTTGCGGCCGGTTGCGCCTGTGTGCATTGCTCTTCTCGTCGCCGGGCTTGGATGCATGGATTGTCGGCAGGAGGTTACTGGTTGGCTTTCTAACAGCGCCGCCCTCCTTGTCGGCGGCACCCTGGATCCTCCGCTGGTAGATGTAGGCATCGCTGCGGGGTCGCTTCCTATCGCCGTCAACACCTTTGGGCGAGGGTCAGTATGGCGAAGCAGACAGCAAGGCAGAGGAGCACAGGGTGCGATGGGTGTTACGGACGGAGATAGTCGACGACGCCCTCGTCGTGGTCGTCATCATCGGCAGCCTTGCGCTTCTTGACCAGGCGCTTGACCTGGATGATTTCAGGCGGAACAGACATTCTCGAAAGGAATGTGGCGGTGTTTGAAGATTAGATATTTGCAACAGACGTCAACAATGCTGCCGGGAGTTTCGTGCTGGAACCGGTGGGGCAATGCGCCGAGGCTAGGCTGAGGGAATGCGAGTCTGGCTTTCTCGCAAGTTCCAGGCGGGCCAGCAAAAAAAAGTGGTTCAGGCCTCTGTATGGAAAGTCAACAAGACCCCTGTCTTATCGTTATCCGTATCCCTGCTCGCGAGGTGACGTAGCCATGTCGACTCCACAGAACAACACACGTTCGATCCATCCAGGTACTGCAAATGTACCCGAGAGCTGGGGCGGTTGAGAAGGCAGGTAGTCATTGCATCTGAAGCCATAAATATGAGAGCCTCACTGGAACCCTCTCGTGGTGTTTTCTGCCCCAGCTGTGTGGATTTCGCCCGGTCTTGCTGGTCAGGGATGCTTGACTGTGGATAATCGTTGGGACGTCTGGGCTAACATGTGATTATAAGATGCGGGCCCACCGGGAGAAGTAGCAGGTAGGTAGGTAGGTACCTATGTACCTACCTAGGTAGGTAGGTAGGTTCCGAACAATGGCATTTGACATGTTCACGTGGGGTCTAAGCAGAGCTGAAGCTCCCTCACAATTACGGGATTGTCCCTGGGTTCTGTGTGACAGTGAAATTCAATGGCATTAATTCGACAACCTCAATCAACCTATGGCGGGAGGGAATGGGCGCGACAGAGACATGGCGTGAGCTAAGAGCTACATGCTGGCTAGGCGCCAAACAAACCTTGGACAGTAGTGTACTGCATAGCTCCGTCGCAAACGGCTGACGGGCTGCAGCATGAGGCACCAATCACGGTCAGACGATGTAGCAGTGACATGGGAAACTTTACGATGCCGATGTGAGGTAGCAGATAAATAGGCCCAACAGACTGCAGCCCATCATCTTCGGTGCATCTCTCTAATCAGTACGGTCTGGGCTGAGCTCACTGCGTACCGAGTACAACCCAGTACTTATCACGCAGCTCCATCACCCAAGCTTGGAAGCCACTTTTTGTCCCCATGCGCACCACACCCCAGGAAAGCTGGCCGCCCTGCCGCCCCGCAAACCGAGTCCGAGGTGGGAAACAAGCTCGGGGCACAAGGAGTAGCTCATGCGTCTGCGAGACGAGCTGGTCAAGCCACTGCCCACCCGCCCCTCTCCTTGAATCCCACTTCTCCCAACAGTCAAAAAACTTCACCAGCCATCATTCCTGTCCCTTCGGCACTCGCCTTCATCACAGGACAGGCCATCTCCCTTTGCATCGTCTTCCGGGTCTTATTTGACTGTGGAGGACGGCAGACTCGAAGCTGCTAGCTGCTACTGTGTAGCCAGGCGAGCTTCCCGCCCGTGCTCTCTGGATTACAAGCCCGCTTCCTTGTCGTTCCGTCCCCCCGAAGCACCACTACGAGGTCATCTCCCATGCATGCTCCCCCCCAACCTCCATCATCATTCAATTGAACGCGTGTAGTCATGGCGGACACCAAAGTCCCTCTGACGATTACCTACCGGGCACCTCAAATTCAGCCTCCACTCTTTGTCGCCGGCACTTTTTCCCATCCGCAATGGGTGCCCCAGGAGATGGACTATATTACTGGCGAGGACGGACAATTCACCTTCTCCAAAGCATTTGATGTGGAACCCAACTCGAAAATACAGTACAAGTTCCGCGTTGGCCCTGGAGATTGGTGGGTTCTCGATGAGAATGCACCAACAGGTACTTCAGCCGCTACCACCGTCCTCGCCCCAGGGCTAACGACATACAGTGACCGACGACGCCGGAAATAGAAACAACTTGATCGAAGCTCCGTCTGCGGAAGAGGCGAAGCCGGAGGAGCCGGTTCAATCCACAAATCATGACGACGATGTGTCGAGTTCGAATCATGTTCAGCAGCCGCAACCTCTTCCGATTGCAAGACTCGAGGCTCTCAAAGAGACTGAGAAGGTTGACCGATCGGCGACCAGCACTCCCGAGTACGCAAGAACTGCAGCCGAAGTTGCAGAGTCAGCTGCCTTGGTCGACCCGCCCACCCCTCTGCCCGAGCCAGTAGATGCCGTTGCCTGTGACACGCCACAACAGGTCGCTAACACCGCTGCTGAGGTGGCCGATACAGCTCAGAATCTCGATAACGATTTGGTGAGCATTCCTCAACTGCACCACCCACGGGACACCATCCAGCTAGCCTGCGGCCCTTGAATCTAATGAGCCCATTAGCCCGAAGAGCACGCGGAAATCGTCGTTCCCGCACGCGAGACCATCGCCGACATCAAAGCGGACCTTCAGAAGGGTGATCTTGATATCGCTGGGTTCAGTAATGACCATGAGCCAGCACCCTTGTTTGCGCGTACGTACATGCTCACCTCGTTCAGTTCCCTTCTGCGGAGACCCCGCTCTGTTGGTGACGTTCTTGTTGAGAGTGACTGACGCAATGCAGATGAATGTGCCGGCCTCTACGAAGACGATGAGATTCCAGGTGTACCGGAGGAGGAGCACGCCAAGATTGTAAATGGCAAGACTAGTGACCAAGACAAGCAAGACTTCTCAGACCCAACTCTCGAACGATTCCCTTCGTCGAAAAGCGAGATACTTGCTGCTGTCAGGAAAGTTGAGACTGGTCTTAACGCCAACCAGACACTGAACGAAGGAGTTCCGCCATCCCCTATCTTCAGAACAAGAACCCGAAGCAGCGGTGACGGCCAGGAGGAGCACACTTCCCCCGAACCGAGCCCAGTACCTTCCAAGGAACCACAGCACTTGTCTGTGAACCCGGCACAGCCGCAGGAGAACCTGGGCGAGCGTTCGCTCTCGGCGGTCTCCCTCAATTCTATAGCCGAGGATGAGGAGGCCGATGCGCCAACGGTCGAAGAGATCGCACCCATCGTCGAGCAGGCTGAGACTGCTGAGGAGGCTATCAAGGTCGCAAAAGAGGCTGAAGGCGACGTTGCCCTGGATCCTGCGAAAACCGCCTCCCGGCCAGTAGTGACTGTCCCAAGCCCGTCGGTCAAAACCAACAGTGACCTGATCTCTCCCGTCAGCGACGAGGACGAGGCTGTCGTGATCAAGGATGACAAGGAGAAGGACAAGAAAATAGAGAACGGCCAGTCAGGCTCTCTGACGCTGGAGAGAGTGGCGACTCCTCAGCCTGAGGGGGCTGGCGGCCCGGACGAACCTGCTCCAAACACTGCGGAGCCGTCCAAAGACGCAGCTCCACTGGCAGAACCCGAACCCGAGCAGGCGTCTAGGCCGGTGCCTCCAAGCCCAAAGATCGTTGTGTCGAAAGCTGAGGAGGACATAGAACCTCGAAATGTGCTAGCGGAAGCACCAGTAACCAACGGGAACGGGCACAAGGATGTTCAGCCTCCCTCGTCCCGGGGCGGTCAGGAGGAGACTGGCTCTTCAAGCGAGCCGGCGGCCACTTCTTCTGCGATCGAGGACAATCAGCCCTCGTCGTTGAGGAAGCGATCTGCTCCTCAGCCGGAATCCAGAGATCGTTCTGTTACTCCAGCACCGATCCCTGATAATGACTGGGAGGCGGCCAAGAACGGGAACTGGTTCTCGGCCTTTTTCAGGTGGATGTTTGTCGACTGGGTTGGTGGTTTCGTCAGTAGGCTGTGTGGAAGCAGACGCAAGACTACGTAAGAAGCCACCCCCTGCCAGACAAGACCCCCATTGATGTTGTTCGTCTTAGACTTGTGACAACCGGTGTGGCCTTGGTCGCAATTGGAGCCGCTTGGCTGTGGAACATGAAGGGTGTTGATTTTGTTGAATTCAAGGACGATGCATGGCGATTGTTACGGCGAGCAGATTGACTTTGGCGACCCGAATCCAACTTGACAGGTTATGCTGTTGGGGTCTGAAGCAGGTCCCTCGCCCAGCATTGCGATAATTGTTTTGATTTTTGATTCCTGCACAAGGATGCATATTGGGTGATATGGAGGGGGGCGTCATTATGGGTAGTATGAACACACGGCTTATAGGATGATAGCAAAGAAATGCGATGGTTGCTAGTATGTGGTGTGAGTAGACCGCTATTTGATGCCGCGAAAGTGGCACTGTCGCGTGCTCGTCAACCTCTCGTGTTTGAATACTGTACCTCTGAGTAGGCATTTTGAAAGAGCTGGGGCCCACAGCGGTGTGGGGTACCCCGGTCCACGGGCTTGGGATCTGCAGCAGGGATGCTACTGCCTGACCAAAAATTTCCAGAGCTTCGATCTATTCCAAAACCGCTTGTGCCGTCTCTTACTTTCGCACCCACGATTCCTGGCCCACATTGTCAATCATGTTTGGCAAGGCATTGTCAGAAACCGTGTGCCCGCTCTGTCGGTTTGCGCTTGATTCGAGGAGGCCAGCGATACGAAATGCAATCCCTCAGCCATGGGCTAGCTACCGTTTCGCGTCGAGCTTCCGACAAAAGCGCTCCACGCCCTCTCGCATGGTACTATCCGACAGCGTTGCGCGCAGGCGAGACGACGACGGCAGCAAGAAGCCTCGACGGAGAACAGTCGACGGCCCTTTCTCGGGTATGAACAGAACCGTTGCAAATATCGATCCCATGCGACGGATTGCGCAGGCGCGGACGCGAGACAAGGACGAGAAATCAGGCAAAGAACGCGATGGCAAAGACGGGAAGCCCAGGTTTAAGGCCCTGCGGATGCAAAGGGCCCTGACATCCTTCAGCTACGGGCAGAGGATGAATCTTAAGGACCGCATGAAAGAGGTGGAAAGCTTCGACCAGTTTGATCTGCTGCCGGCGATCAAGGAGGGTGTCTTGAAGGACATGTTCAAGGACAAGGCCGAGATCCAGCCGACGCCGGTCCAGAGGCTTGCGATACCTGCTCTTCTGGGCCAGCAGATCGGCACACCCAGGCGCACGAAAACAAAACCTGTTCCCAGCGAAGCAAGGCAGGAATTCTTGCTTGCAGCCGAGACGGGGTCTGGCAAGACGCTGGCTTATCTTCTCCCCTCAGTCAACGCGATGAAGACGGCGGAGGCACAAGATCAGGACATCGCGGCGTACAACAAGCGCATAGAGGAGGAAAAGGCGCTGCGGGATGATCCGGCGTACAAGGGCAAGTCCTTGTTAGAGCCGCACCCAACCACAGCGCGGCCGCGCGTGGTCATATTGGTACCGACCGCAGAGCTCGTCGACCAGGTGGGTGCGGTGGCCAAGAAGCTTTCACACTCGGTCAAATTCAAGGTGGAGAAGATTTCTGCCAACTTCGACGCGAAGGTAATTGAGCGTCGGATATACCGGCACGAAGGGTTGGACGTCGTGGTCGCCACACCTCATCTGCTGGCGTCTATTGCAGAGTCCGACCCCAACGTCTTGTCGCGGGTGTCGCACCTGGTCATCGACGAGGCCGACTCGCTGCTCGACCGCAGCTTCAGCTCCGTGACGACCAGCATCATGGACCGGGCCATGCCCTCGCTCAAGCAGCTGATCATGTGCTCGGCCACCATCCCCAAGCGGCTGGACAGCTACCTGTCCACCAAGTTCCCCAAGATGACCCGCATCGCGACGCCGAACCTGCACGCCATCCCCCGGCGGGTGCAGCTGGGCGTGATCGACGCGAGCAAGGACCCCTACCGCAACAACAAGAACCTGGCGTGCGCGGACGCGATCTGGTCGATCGGCAAGGGCGCCTCGATGCACGAGGGTGCGGTCCCCGGCGAGGTCGACGTCAAGCGCATCATGGTCTTTGTCAACGAGCGGGAGAAGACGCAGGAGGTAGCCGACTTCCTCGTATCCAAGGGCGTTGACGCCGTCGCCCTGCACCGCGATACGCCCGAGCAGCGGCAGAGCGAGATGCTGGCCACGTTCACGTCGCCGGTGCCCGTCCGGAGGCTGATGGACGACGTCGAGAAGAGCAGCCCAGTCAAGGGGAAGAGGCACCTGGCCAACACAAAGGTCATCGTGGCGACGGACCTGGCGTCCAGGGGCATCGACACCCTCGGTGTGAGGCACGTGGTCCTCTACGACGTGCCCCACACGACCATCGACTTTATCCACCGGCTTGGTAGAGTGGGCAGGAAGGGTACGCGCGGTGGCAGGGGCATCGTCATCGTGGGGAAGGATGATAGGAGGGATGTGGTTGCGGAGGTCAAGGAGAGCATGTTCATGGGCCAGGCGTTGGTGTAGACATAATTGCCGCGAGGATATACAACAGGATGGACATATGGGGCAGCGTTGCATAGGCGTCGGCGGCGTTGACTTGTCCCAGGCTTTGCGTATCTCATCTCCAGGCTATCGGAAAACACAGGTGTCTTTCTCTCTTTGGGACTCGATCTCACCGTTCAGCTGGTAATTCCGCAATCGTGAAAATAGGCGTCTCGGCACCGACAGTTTGGGCACGTCGGGGGTTGGGACCGGACTTGACAACCAACCTTGGAATAGACGGGGCACAAAAATGCGGATCGAATCGCTCCTGTGTTATGAGCCAAATGGTGAGAAATACATGTCTATGTCTAGCAGATATATAGAATGGGATTATCTCGCCTACCTACCCAGGTGCTTGTGGGAATACATCCCCGATGAGCTTGCTTGGGTGTCGGCTGCGCATTCATCTTCCTAGCCTTCCAGAGGCAAATCTCCTATATAAATAATCACCTCCGCTAGTACCTCTTATATGATAGCCTCCTATGAGACAACCTCTGACAGAATAACAACCCAAATTCAGGGAAGCCACAATACCCCTGATACGACATTTTATAAATATTTGATTGAAAGCGTGGTGGCGTTGTAGTAAGAATGGCAATGCCCGTGTAAGTGGAATTGTAATGAGGCGAATGAGTGGGGCACAAGTTGCAAGGGGCATGTGGGGAATCGTGGCTGGTGCAGTCGCTGCTCCTCCAAAAGGCAGGGTGCATTGCAGGGTGCATAATTGCTTAGCTCTTCCGCCCTTCTGAACCTGTACAACACGCACAGAGAGTCACCATGAGCAAGCCCGGTCTATCTTTCGGGCTCAGCCTGGGCAAGAAGGCGGCACCAGCCAAGTCCCGTCCTCCTGCACGGAAGACTGCGTTTGGTGGCGGCGACGACTCCGACGACGAAGGCCAGCCCGCGTCCAAAAATGAAGAGACCATCACAGAGCTTGACGGCTTCACGCCAGCAACAACAAGTACCGCGGATTCTCCCGCGTCTTCAAAACAAAAGAAGGGCACGATACCACAGGAGCCACCGAAGCTAAAATCAAAAGTCGACGCCAGTCGGCAATTCGGCGATCTCTCGTCCGCGCTCACCTCCAAGAAATACGCTGAGGCAGCCGAGGCGCTCGACCCCTCAGTCTACGATTATGATGCCGCGTACGATGTTATCGATGCGGCTAAGAAGCAGCGCGAGGCCGAGGCCAAGAAGGAGAATGCGCAGCGCAAGTCACGGTACATGTCGGACGTGACCAAGGCGGCGGAGCAGCGCGAGCGTGACCGGTCGATCGCGGAGCTCAAGAAGATCCAGAGGGAGAGGGAGGCCGAGGGGGACGAGTTCGCGGACAAGGAGAAGTTCGTTACGGAGGCCTACAAGCGGAAGCAGGAGGAGGACAGGATTGCCCAGGAGGAAGAGGCGAGGAGGGAAGAGGAGGAGAAAAAGAAGAACAAGTTCGGCGGCATGACTGGGTTCCATAAAGAAATGCTCGAGCGCGAGGACCAGCGCAGGGCCGAGATGGAGAAGATTGTCGCCCAGGCGGCTACGACGGGCGGGATTCCGAAAGCCGAAGAGCAAGGGCAGGATGAGGACAGTCTGGAGAAGAACAAGGCGCGCGAGATCAATGCGAAAGGGGGGTCCGTCATCGTCAACGAAGACGGCGAGGTCGTCGACAAGCGCCAACTGCTCAAGGGCGGACTCAACCTGGGCGCCAAGAAGAAGCCGGAGGCGCCCAAGGATCAGGGCCGGTCGTCGGACTCGAGATCCCGGGATCAGTCGAGAGGCCATTTCGCATCTGGGGGCAAACAAGCCATGCGCGAGAGACAGACGCGCATGCTCGAGGAGCAGCTGGAACAGTCGCTCAAGAGGGCCCGCGAGGAGGAGGAAGAGGAGAGGAAAAAGGTCGAGCAGGAGACAAAGTCCAGGAAGACCGAATCGGATATATCGAGCGCCAAAGAGAGGTACCTTGCGCGTAAGAGGGCTGCGGAAGAGGCCAAGAAGAATGGCCAGCAGGACGGACCATAGATTGTAAAGAATGATACCCCAGGATCCTTTTTGAAGATTTTGATGGTGTTGAGCTGTTCTATGTCTATTTCACCAGCGTGCCTCTTATAATGGGCCGCACGGATGCATGCTGATATCATCGTAATACATCAGGTCTCCTTGCTTCGAACTGGCATATAGCCAAGCGTGTTCTCGATGGGATTGTGCCTCGGTGTGGAGACATCACCACGGGAGGTCGTCCCACAGAGCAGTCCCTCAAGGCTGGTCCACTGGAATGGCGGCCAACTTTATTTTTGAAGAATATATGCGGTCCCCTGCGAGCGGTGGTCATCTGCCTGCGATATCGACTGTATTATCGCCCACGAGCCCCCGGCTCCCGCGTGCACAATTCTCTTCCAGCTTGTCTCTCACAATGAGGACTGTTCTTGTTTTATTCTCTGGATGTACGAGTGATTGACAGCGTTCCAGGCAGACATCTGCAGATACAACGGTCAGCGGCCAACATACCAGGGTAAGGTCCCACGAGAACAGAGGGAGCAAAGAACCAAAGTGTGGCCATCGCCTATCTCAACCCAGCAGCCTAACGAGCCGTCAAAGACAAAAGGTCGCGGATGGGAGGGACACTCTCCAAGGGTTCATATTTTATCCAGAAGCGACTCACATATTTCTATAAACACCGCCGTCGTCAGTACTTGTGGATAGAATAGTGTGTGTGCAACTGACTGCCGGAAGGGCAGGCAGGCGAGAGTTTCGGGCTTTGGGCTTTGGGCTTTGGGCTTACCTCCATGCACGAAGTGAAGCAAGATTGCTCACCGCTGGAAACAGATGAACCGGGCTTTGGAACGCACTTCTCGAAGCAAATGTCGTTCATTTTCTGTGCAACTGTGTGAGCTGGCGCAAGATCAGGCCGGGGACTTCGCGGGCAGAGGAGCGCACCTCGATGAGCATCCGGGCGTTCGAGGTATTGGACTCGAGCTGGACCTGTTTCATAACAGTCTGCTTGATCGTGTTGGAGTCCATGGCGGGCCTTCTGGGGGTCAATGGGCCGAGGCGCAAAGAGGGATCAATCTGGCTGTTGACGAGGCTGCCGCAAGAGGTTCGATGATGGCATCGGCCTTCCGAAAAATCCAAGGGATCCAAGAGGGCTTGTGGCGGTGCGCTTTCGCCGTAGGCGTTTCGGCTTCGGCCTGGTCTCGGCCCAGCCCCTGTCTCCAATTCTGCTGCAGGGGCATAGCTCCCCAAGAGCCACCGCTCCGAACGGCAGGCAGCTGATCCCGGGCGGTTGGAGGACCCCAGGTTCGAGTAGCGCATGCTGCAGAAAAAGAGGCCAGCTAGCGATTCAAGATACGACATTGGGCGGGCGGGCGCACCACCGTCGGATTCACGTCTGACCTGGACCTACTTCACCAGCCGACCACACAACCAGCAAGCGAGCGGCCACTGCCCGCTTCTCCCTCCCCCCGAACGAGCCAATTCTATCTCTTTCGTCTCGACTTTTCTCTTCCGACAATCCTGGCAGTGCCTTTTATTCACCATGTGGTTCAGCGCGGGCTTGTCAGCCTTGGGGCTGGCGTCGCTCGCTTGGGGAGCAGTCAGGACAGACGATGAAGGCAATACCATCAAGAGTATCGGGGTATGATACCTGTGCCATCCTGAATCGTATCTTGGGACCGAAGTGCTGACAAGGCTGCACGCAGTTGCGAACGCATACGCTGCAACAGGTGAGAGACCTCGATGACCTGGCATCACGCGACTGCCAGAGGACTAACCCAATCAATCCCTCAGCCGTACCTTGACTCGGACATGCAAAGTCGTTGGTACGATTTCAGCGGCGATGCGGTGGTGAGGACAGATGCGTGAGTACAATGCCCGCATACTACTCAGCGCCGGCCGCGACTCTCGCTTCTGACACCGGGCTCATCAGATACATCCGACTGACCTCCGATCGCCCCTCGCAAATGGGCTCTCTGTGGTCCAAAGTGCCCCTGACGGCAACGAACTGGGAAATTGAGGTGGAATTCAAGATCCACGGCAAGAACCAGCTCTTTGGCGACGGCTTTGCCATGTGGCTCACGAAACAACGCGCGCAACCGGGCCCAGTGTTCGGCAGCGCCGACAACTTCGAGGGCCTCGGCGTCTTCTTTGACACATACAAGAACAACCGACCCGGCACCGTGTTCCCATACGTGATGGCGATGGTGGGGGATGGCAAGACCTCGTATGACAAGAACACGGACGGGAAGCTCCAGGAGTTTGCGGGCTGCTCGGCCAGGGGCATCCGGCACGCCAACGTCCCGACCAAGTTCCGCCTCATCTACTTCCAGGACAAGCAGCTGAAGCTGGAACTGCAGTACAAGAACGAGGACGACTGGGTGCTGTGCTTCGAGACCAACGAGCCGCCGTCCCTGCCCAACGTTGCCTACCTGGGCTTCAGCTCCGAGACTGGCGAGCTGAGCGACAACCACGACATCGTATCGATCAGCGCCAAGAACCTGTATGCGTCGAACCCGTCGTCGACCCCTGGAAGCAACCGCAGGAAGGGCAAGGGCGGCGGTCCCAAGAGGAAGAACGGCAGCAGCTGGACATGGTTCTTCACCAAGATCATCCTATTTTGTCTCGTCGCTGGTGGAGCATATGTCGGCTACACTGCGTGGAGGGCCAACAGCCTGCGGAAGACCCGCTTCTAAGGTGTTGGGGCTTGGGGGGGTGTGACTTTTTGACGACGGATGGGGTTGCGGTCAACCAGGCGGTGACTACCTACATATTATTGATGAGAAGGGTAACTAGGCAGGTCTAGTCATTTGCTCGGGTCCTGGGAGTTCAGGCGGAATCTGAGAGCGAAAAGTACATAACACAGTATTTGTTGCGTATTTTTTGCAGGTGGATGTTGCGGGTGTTCTTGGACCAGCCAGAAAGGCATCTTCTGAAGTGATCATCAAGCCCCATATGCCGCCAGCCTGCCAGCCACCATGGCCCTTCCAGTCCGACTTGTCCGAGTCGAGTCTACCATGGTACTTAGGTATACAAGTGCATGCACGCCGAGTACGGGCCTGCCGCGGTGTCAGCAGCAGAGAGAGGTAGTAGAATCGCATTACCCAGAGCTAGTGCTCTCTGGTCGGGCGATAAGATAAGCGACCTCGGCAGTGCTGCGTTTGCGCATCTCGGTTGATGGCGCGGGCGGGCAGCGGGACGGCAGGACGGGTAGATCTCAGACCAGTAACAGCAGGCCAGTAGTTGGTGAGAGAAACATCTGGGGTTCGATTCTCGGCGATCCCCCAGACTTTCTTCCCTCCCAAGTAGCCCTGGGCAGGACTGTTGGGGCCGTCCATCCGTCGTCCATCCGGCTATCACACTCCCACCGTGCGCCACAAGCAGGTCTCGGTCTCGCTGCGGATGGCGACTGCTAGCTTCTGTGGGCTTGGATGCTCTCTCAAGTCTCAAGTCTCAAGTCTCTGGTCTCAAGTCTCTATTGTTGCCCACACCCTGTTGATCAGCGGCGCCGGCCCGCGCAAACCTGAGCACTGCCCGAGCAGCCGAGCAGGTCTGAGCCGCGAGTGCAGAGATGGCCCGAGATGTCGCGCCCGCGGGAGGCTCGAGAGGTGAGAGCACGGCTGCTAGCAGTAGCAGGTGCGGCTGGGGTGACATGGTCGGGCTCGGGCACAGGCTTTGCGCGCTTGCTGCTCGTTGGCGCCACCGGCAGACAAGGGATGAGAGGATGTCTAGGATGGGCGACGGTGACAAGCTGGGCTGGGCTGGCTGGCTGGGCTGGCTGGCTGGCTGGCCCAGGAGAGGTCGTCCAGAATCCCCCCCATTCCAGGACCGTCTCCTCTAGCCCAGGCCAACCCAGCCCAGGCCACTTCAGGTAAAGTCAAGACAAGTCAGTCCAGTCCAGTCCAAGGACAAAAGTCGAGCGAGACCATGCTCTTGCTTCACCTCTCGCCTGCTGACGAGCTCTGTTGAGCTGTTTTCCTGTTGCTAACCCGCTGTGCTGTCGAGGGTGTCGCCCGTCCGTCCGTTTTTCTTTGAGCGACAACCCCACGGCTAACACCCCCGAGTCTGGCCCTTCACCTACTTACCTCTGTCATCCCTCCCCTTCCCTCCTCCTCCTGCCCACACCCCTCCAGCCCTCCAGCCCTCCAGCCCTCCCAGTCCCAGCAGCTCCAGCTCCAGCTCCAGCTCCAACCCCGGCCCCCCCCCCCAGCCCAGCCCCAGCTTCAACATATCTCGCCCTGCTGCAACTTGCAAGACAGCTCCCCCGGCTCATTCAGCTCGCCCTACGGGTCCTTGTCCTCGGGCTTCCTCATATCACGAAACAAGTACTCGACGGTAGACACACCTGCTCAACCGTACTCTCATCGCCGCTGCTATATACTATATGACAACAACTATACTAAACCATACCATACCATACCATAATACCTACCTAGGTATCCCGCACGCCGTACCCACACTCTCTCACATTGCTGCTACACTACTCTATACTACTACCTTCCTCTGGTTGAAGTATACGTTACGACGACGACCCACCCAGAGTCAATCGGTCACTCACTCCCCTTTTGAGTACCCGGGGGGCAGGCCTTCCCTGCCCCCCTACGCCCTTGGCGTAGGGGGTGCCAAAAACCCGCAACGGCCAAAACCTCGCAACACTCACATCTACCTATTTTAACTACTTTCCCCTATAAAATCCTACTTTTTAAGTAAGTATATTTCCTTTATTAAATTTTATATAGATAAAAAATAAATACCTTTAAAATTCTTATTTTATAAAGATTAATAATAAAATATTTTTAAATTTCTAGGGTTAGGGTTTAAAATTTTAGTTTTTTTAGTTAAGGGTTTTTTTAAATTAATATATCTTTTTATATAAATTATATAATAAAAATATAACACCTATAGAATTTTAATAGAATTTTCTTTTATATAAAAGAAATATTTTTAAATTAAAATCTATTTATTAAAAGATTAAAAATTAAAGTTTTAAAAGGATTTATAATATTAAATATCTTATAAAGAAATAGATTATAATAACCTTAATTTTAAAATAAGAATTTTATAAATATTATTTATATAAAGAGAATAATTCTAGAAATAATCTAATATTTTTACTTTTTAATAATATAATTTATTTAAATAAATATATTAATTTTAAAAACCCCTTAACTAAAAAAATTAAAATTTTAAATCTTAACCCTAAAAATTTAAAAATATTTTATTATTAATCTTTATAAAATAAGGATTTTAAAGGTATTTATTTTTTATCTATATAAAATTTAATAAAGGAAATATACTTACTTAGAAAGTAGGATTTATTAGGGGAAAGTAGTAAAAATAGGTAGGTGTGAGTGTTGCGAGGTTTTGGCCGTTGCGGGTTTTTGGCACCCACTCCGCCAGGAGTGGGTAAGTGGAAGCCGAGGCCCACGGGTATCGACATCGACCCTGCCCTGTTCGCGGGCGCCAACCCAGCCCGCAACGGCAGTCGCACCAATCCAAGCTGCCATCCCACTCTATTCTGCTGTGCCCAAAACCCACTCTTGCGAGATTTGAGGTGCCCCTGCCCATGCGCAGCGCTACAAACCCCTCCTAGACGTGTGCGCTCCACTCCCACTCTCCACAGCTCGAGCTCAGGCATCCCCACGGCACCTGGCACCCCGGCTCGCCAGCTCGTCCAGCGTCGACAGAGCCAAACCTGCGCGCGGTGTTTTCGAATTGACTCCTGAGTGCCCAAGCCTCGACTCGGACGCCCCTCGGGACGTCCTGATTTAGCCACAATTGACTCGAACTGCCTCAGCCCGATCCCCCAGTTCCAAGCAAAGCAGCAGCAGCAGCAGCAACAGCAACAACACACGTGCGTACGTACGTACGTACCTTGGTCCAGTCAGCCTCGACACGGCCTCAGCCTTCTCCTAGGAGCCGCGTCCGGTTCTCGTACCCAAAGCCCACTCGCCTGTCGGCCGGCCAGAGAACCCACCGTGACCTTGGTCAACCCACACCTTGGTCAGCAAGGGAGGGGCAATCTGTCTGCATCCCTTCCGGCCTGGAGCAGCTGCAGCACACTTGCGGGTTCAAGACAGACAGACAGAGACAGAGAGACACAGAGAAAAGAGAGAGCAGGCAGCCCGGAATCTCGTCCACCCTCATCCCCCCAAAACTCCATCCCCCAATGACCCGCGGGTAGTCGTTCCGGCCAAACCTTTATTATCTTATATACAGGTACGGATCCTACACTAGAAACTGGCTCGCTTCCCTTTGTGGCACAGGCCTGCAGCACCTGAGGCACTGGCAAGCTCTGCTGGTGTATTGGATTAACCTTGTGCACCTGGCAGATCCGTCCAACCCTGCCACAGCATCGCTGCTGCGCTGCTTCTCCTTGCTTCAGTAAGGACAGAAGAGAAGGCTCAGCCTAGACATTCCCTGCTTCTGGCACCCGCTGCCAAACTTCCTTTGCCACTTTCTTGCCAAGACTGTACTCGGGGCGGTTGGCCGCTGGCAAGGAGAGGAGAGAAAGACAGCATTAGACAGCCAGATTGCTGACTTTCAAGGGCTCAAATCAGCCATCCCAGAGTTTCCCTTGTCTGTGTGATTTGGCCTTGCATCGACCAGTCAACCCAACCCGTCAACCAACGAGCCACCTCAAGCAGCCTCAGATCAGCTGGGGTCCACACCCTCCTCCTGCCTTTCAAGGTTCACCACAGGTTACCACCTGCCTCCCACCTGCGGCCGACCTGGGCACGACCAGGGGACGCTTGTTGCTTGTTGCTTCCGCTTCCCGAGCCTGCTCGTCCCTGCCCCCCGCCGTGCCCCCGTGCCCACCCCTTTTGCTGCCCATTTCTGGGGCCGTCCGCACCTCCTGTGCCTCCGAATCGCATTCGCGCTCATGCCTAGCCTCGGTTTCCTGAAGAAGAAGCGGACAAGGGAGGCCGATCCTTCTGCCACAGCCAGTCAGCCCACGAGTCCAGTCACCCCCACCACCGCCAACACGGCAAGAAGCTTCGACAACTCTACCCTTCCTAACCCGCCGTCAACAACAACGCAACCCCTCGATCCGCCCCAGAAGGCCGCACCGGCGCCCAGGCCGTTATCCGAGGGCGCGAAGGTGGCCATGAATCCCGCCACTGCTCACCTAGCCGCCCCGTACAATGTCACACCTCCGGCCCATTCCCCGTCCCCGGGAACCGACCCGCAGAACCTACCGAGTATCGCCAACCTCATCAACCCCCCGCAGCATGACGGCGCCCAGCAGTCGGCTTTCGCACCTCCTTCTGGGCAGTCGCGATCGTTGAACCAGGCTCAATTCCCCCAGCCCCCCGCCAACGGCCAGTCCGCACCCGGCGCGCAACCTTCGAACGCCATGGCACAACAGCAGAACCCGGCCCAAGCTCTGCAGGCGCAACAGGCCGCCGTGGTACAGCAGCAGCAGCAGCAGCAGCAGCAGTCGAGGCAGACCAAGGGGAAATACTCCCTCGTCGACTTTGACATACTACGGACCCTCGGAACCGGTAGCTTCGGCAGGGTGCACCTTGTCCAGTCGAAGCACAACTCGCGATTCTACGCCGTCAAGGTGCTGAAGAAGGCACAGGTTGTCAAGATGAAGCAGGTCGAACACACGAACGACGAGCGGAAGATGCTTGGCGAGGTCAAGCACCCATTCCTGATCACGCTCTGGGGCACGTTCCAGGACTCGAAGAATCTGTACATGGTGATGGATTTTGTCGAGGGTGGCGAGCTATTCTCGTTGCTGAGGAAATCCGGCGTACGTCCATCTTTTATACCAGCCAGGCCCAACCCCAGGCCAGGCTCAGGGGATGATATATGAACTCGGAACACTCTCCCGCTGACACCCTGCTCATTAGCGCTTCCCAAACCCTGTCGCCAAATTCTATGCCGCCGAAGTCACCCTAGCGCTCGAGTACTTGCACGAGAAACATATCATCTACCGTGATCTGAAACCAGAGAACTTACTGCTTGACCGACACGGCCACCTCAAGATAACAGACTTTGGCTTTGCGAAGCGGGTTCCGGACAAGACATGGACGCTATGTGGTACCCCTGACTACCTTGCGCCCGAGGTAGTGTCGAACAAAGGTTACAACAAGTCGGTGGATTGGTACGTGGCGGCCGATTGTTGCACGTTCAAGACTATTTCAATGCTGACAGGTCAATCCAGGTGGTCATTAGGGATCTTGATATACGAGATGCTGTGTGGTTACACGCCATTCTGGGATAGCGGCTCGCCAATGAAGATCTACGAGAACATCCTCCGCGGCAAAGTAAAGTACCCGGCCTATATCAACCCGGATGCCCAGGATCTTCTGGAGAGGCTCATCACAGCCGACCTGACGAAAAGGCTGGGCAACCTCTACGGCGGGCCCAAGGATGTGAAGCAACACGCGTGGTTCGCCGAGGTGACGTGGGACCGACTGGCGAGGAAGGATATCGATGCGCCGTACACACCTCCCGTGAAAGCGGGCGCAGGTGATGCCAGCCAGTTCGACAGATATCCCGAGGACCCTGAGCGTTACGGCCAAGGAGGCCACGATGAGTAAGTGCCCCATCTCAATTTGGGGTCTGGGATCTCAGATCGGAGGAACTGAGGAGCGAGAATCGTGCTGACAACAGATGGCAGCTACGGACATATGTTCGGCGACTTCTAGTCCTCGCGTGAGCGCAAAGGACGCCGATATCCGGCACAGGACATGCCGAGGCGCACGAGCAAGAAAAGAATGGACGGATGGGCAGCCACTGCGAGTTGCTCTTGTAAGTGTCGAATTTGACTAATGTTGGTGACTGTGCAAAGAAACTTGGCGTTGTACGGCGCAGGTGGCCAACATGGCTTCTTATTGATCCATGTCAGTTTTCAAGGGGGGCGCAATGTGTGCATTCACAACCGCCGCTGGCTGTATCGAATGCCGTGTAATATGGAAACGGAAAAGGAGGTCGTGTCCCGGTTGCATTCGGTTCCGGCATGGACATGTTCTGGAAAATCCTCTCAGGATGGGAGTGTTGGGTGACCGACAACAACAGCAACAGCAATGGGGAGATCAGCAGCATGGCTACAAACATCCATAACCTACGATGAAACAACAAGAGAAGAACACACCTACGAGCATGAGTATGGCGGGTGGCGGAAACAAGTATAGAGAGGGACAGAGACAGCCGAGCTGCCAAGGATGGGCAATGATTGTTTTTTTTTTTTTTTGGCTTGACAGTCTGTCAGATGACAATGTGTAGGAGAACAATGCCACCCCAGTCTTGTGCTACGACCTTTGCACCTGAACCGAGGGCCAACATTATGGGCTAAAGCCAACATGAGAATATGCGTACTTGTACAGTATATACACATGTATGTGTGTGTGTTTGTATGGGCTGGGAATAAGAGGTACATTAAGTACCTGGATATATTGTGTCCTGTATGGACGCAATTTGAGAGGGCCGACACTGCCAGTATCGGTGTCACAAAGTACCTAGGTAGATACCGAGGTACCTGGCCCTGGCCCAGAAGTAGGCCGGGCAGGGGAGGGTCCTGGGCAGGCGGGCCCCACCGCGGGCGGTCTAGCTGGTTCTCTGGCGGGAGCTACAAGCTCACCAAGCAAGGGTGAGGAGCGGACGAGTGGACAATGGCAACGGCTGACCAGCCCAGGGCTGCCAGGGAGCTAATAAGGCACTAACTACTAGGGCAGAGGAAGCTTGGTTGCTCTGGCCAGACTGGGCTGTGGTCTAATGCCTTGTGATGCCTGGTGCGTGGAGTTCAGATGGGGGAAGGGGGACAGGGGAGCTGTTTCTAGTGTGTGTGTGTGTGTGTGTGCGGTGTCTGCGGTTAGGAAAGGCTCCTCCCAACGGGGGCAACCAATTGCCAACTGGGAGAGAGATGCCAGATACCACCTCCGTACCAGCGAACCTAGCTTGCCTAGGTACTACCTAGGGCTAGGCAGGTAGAGGTGAGAGAGGACAGAGCCCCGCACAGATACGCCCCCGAACCCGACACGCCAAAAGGAGATCCCCGCCACCGGGATTGACAAGATTCCCTCGTCATGAATCGATACCTCGCGGGATTAGTTTGATGATTGGTTCCAGCGAATGGGAGAATTGACACCTGGCTAGAAATTGGGGAAACCGAGAGAGAGAGAGATAGAGAGCCGCTCTCGGTTCTGGCTGCCTCTTGCATCCATTGCATGCGCGGTTGATAGGTACATGTTGACTTTTTGCGGCTCATTTTTTGCGCCCTCTCACATTCTCTCACTCTCACTCTCACTCTCACTCGCATGTACAACGGACTTGCATGTGGCCGCAGATGCTTTGGCCGTGTGGGAAAAACACAAATTTGCATGGGCTGGCTGCTCTTGGTCGCATGTCTTTCTGACCGACATTTCCTCTGAAATCTCCCCCCTTCCTCTGCCTTTTCCCTCTGCATCCGCCTCCCCTCGGGCTGGCCACTTCCCAATTGTAAAACCATTAAAAGGGTCAAACATTCAATCCAGGGTCACTCTTGAACTTTTAATTGCATATCAACAGCATGCGACGCTAGAGGCCAGGGGGCGACTTGGGGCATATACCATGCATGCACGTCGTCTCTCTACTCAACGGTCTATGTGAGCGAGATAAATACATAGACGGCTCGCATACGGGAATTCACCATTGAGACCAGGCCCTCGGGACCGGATACGCACTGGAAGGGAGGATCTGGAACGGCCGCCAAGATGGACGACTACTTCTTCAAGAATCATGTCAAGGCGTGCAGGAATGTCAGCGAGGACACGAGCTACCTAGAGATCTTCAACTACTCGGTATGTGACTGTCTCACCGTCTCACCAAGACGGCAACATCGAAATGCTGTCCCGGGCTGACCAACATCACAGGACCCATCTTATAATACCGTCGAGCAACATCCGTTGACGATGGATGAGTTTGACAACTTTCTAAAACGAAAGGTACCCACCCATTCTTGGATCTCTGGCCCTCGTTCTCGTGAGGCCGTGCCCCCGGCTTCACGCCCCGAGAACGTCATCTCATCTCAGTCAGCGCTGACTCTCCATCTCATTACCACAGGGCGCATTTTCACCGCCCAAGCTTAAGGATGGCGTGAAATTACTCAATGGCGTAAGGATAGTGTATGTCTGCACCATCTTCACCCTCACCCTCATCCTCGCCCTCACATCTGTCTTCCGTCCTGCCTCCTTGATGATCAGATATCACTCACCTCGCTCACACTCACCTCGCCCCCGACCAGCCTCCAGCTCAAAGTCAAGCACCCCGAGACCTTTGCCCCACATGTGATATCCTTCACGGGGCCCGAGTACGAGAACATGGTGCGGTCGCTCCACCTGCCGTACCGCGCGATCGAGGGCACCGCCGTGGTGGGGCCTTTCTTCTGGTGCTCGTACGACAGCGACGACGACGAGGACCCGTACCAGCAGATCATCATGCGCAAGTCGGACGTGCGCAAGAAGGGCAAGACGCGCGGGTGGGAGCTGATGCTGTCGCACCACTTCCGCACGGGCATAACGACGGGCTACGTGAAGGGTACCGACTCGAGCGACATGACCGAGAGCATCCAGCACCTCAAGGAGTGCGCCACCCACGTCGCCCACCCCTTCCTGCTGCCGGTCATCATCCTGTCGCACGACCTGAGCCCCAAGACCGACTCCAAGCAGCGCGACGCCCGAGACTGGCTGCGCCGCCTCGAGCACGCCGTCAGCATGCGCAACGAGATCCAGGAGGAGGAGGGATACGTCAAGGCCGACGTCATGGACCTCGACCAGATCAACCGCGACCTGGTCGAGTGCCACTCCCAGGTCCTGTGGAAGCGGCCCCAGGCCTACCAGGAGATCATCAGGTCCATGGAGGAGGGCATGGCCGAGTTCGTCAAGATGCTGCCCCCCGAGCGGGGCCCCATGGCCCTCGACGACGGCGGCAAGGACATGTATGGCTTCAGGGACCTGAGGAAGCAGCAGAACAGCATGCTCAGCAGGCTCGAGTTCTATTACAACAAGCTGAAGGGTACCGAGCACTATGTCCATACGACGCTGGAGCGGCTGGCCATTCAGCGGAGCGCTGTACGTAAAGCCGCCTGCCCCCTCTGCCTCACAAAACCGGGAATAGGCCTCAGGTTGCACGTTGCAATACAAATGTACTGACACCACCATTTGCATAGCTCTACAACATCATCGCCCAGAAGGAGTCGAAGCTCAACCTGCAGATGGCAGGTGACCAGCGGCGACTGGCGTACGCGAGCAAGCGAGACAGCACGTCGATGAAGACCATCTCACTGCTAGGATCCATCTTCCTGCCTGCAACGCTCCTGGCCTCGATATTTAGCATGACCTTTTTCAACTTCCAAAATGGTAAGCTCGCCCATCTGCGCCCCACACTCAGGAAGCCACACCGGGGAGGGTGGGCCCCTATACATTGAGGCAGAGGAGACAATGCGGACAGGACCTCTCGCTCTAACACCCAACCCCAAACCCAGGTCTCACGGAGAACGACGACGGGCCCGTGGTGGCGCCGACATTCTGGATTTACTGGGCGGTAGCGATCCCGATCACGCTCTTCATCGTCATAATATGGTGGATATGGGACCGGTCGCGCGAGGCGCGGTACGCCAAGGAGGACGACGACCTCGAGGCCAACATCGAGCACATGGAGAAGAACATCATGAAGACGATGCGGCAGCGCACCATGAGCAAGGTCAGGACGTGGACGCACGTGCCCGAGAAGGTAGAGTGAGCGAGCGAGCAAGGGGCAAAATGAGACTGGGGGTGAGTTTTGGAATTTTGGAATTGCTGATAAAAGCGAGCCCTTGTCTTTCTGTGGAAAACTTATTAGGAGCAACCCGAGGTTTTATATATACAGATGGGCTGAACGAGGTGATGACTGTCATGAGCACGAGAGAATGATTCACGAAGATATGACCGTTGAACATTGTATTGTTGCTTGCTGCAAGAAGATTGGGGAGGACGGTGTACAGAGGTATACTGAGATGCAGATACCCATGGTCAACACAATATGGACATTTTCTTCCATCCAATTGTCCGCCCCCTCACAAGTGCCATTTCGTCTAAAGTATATTTCTGTCTAGTACTGGACTCAAGCCGCCTCTGATGTATCGGCACTGCTTGATGCATTTGCCGCGCCCCGAGATGAGAGGCGGACGGCACACCAGTTTTGAAGTATCATCGCTAGTGTCGTGGGTTAACGTGGTCATGGTGGTGCAGTTTACATACGCACTATGCCGCGCTCAGACGAGCACGTATGGTTGACTATGCCGCGACAACCATACCTGTCCATTGCGGCCCGGTTTCGTGTGCATGAAGGGTGCTGCGACAGTTGCCGGCCCGACGAGCGATGCAACGGCCGTCCTCTCTGCATGGATCCGTCTTGAGCGCGTCTAGGCTGATCACATGATGAGCTGCGGCCAACAACATGGCCTTGGGGTGGAAGGATCTCCGGGAAAAGTCCGGAAATCAGTCGTTGTGGCCCCAGCTGTCCGTCTCTTCGCCGGGTGTTCCTCCAATGCGCGTGAGAACGCGGCGAGTTGGGTGCCGGGGGTGGCATCAGTCCAGGAGAATGCACGAGCTTCGTGGCATTCGTGACCCGTGAGTACCTCATAGCGGCCCGCAGTTTATCCAGAAACCAATGTGTTCTCGGGGAAGTCCGTCTTCTTCTCCAGGGCGTCTACCGCCTGGCCGACGGCGCCATCCTCGCCGTTCTGGGGCGCGGCAGCAGGGCGCTCCTCCGCGCCGGCCTTCTTCTTCTCCTTCTTGCCAAGTGAAATCGCACCCTTTGCCAGCGCCTCAGCCGGGAGCGGCCTCACGATGGGCTGAGCGACCCACCACGGCCGCTTGCACCTTTTCACGGTGGCGACAGAGCTGAGCGGGTCGTCCACGATGGTCCCCTCAGCCTCGTCCTTGACGGGGTCTTCCACCGGCGCCGGCGCCGCGTCCTCGGCGGTGCGGGCATTGTCAGGCCGTGACCCCTTCTCGTAGGCACCATTTCGCCCGTCGTCCTCGACGTTCTTCCCACCCGTGCGCTCGTACTCGAGCAGACCCTCGGCGACCTTCTTCTCGACCATGGCCAGGATGTTCTCGTATACCGCAATGTCACCCAGCCTCGACTTCGCGAGAGCGTCCCGCACGTCGTGATGCCTCGTGACAAAGTGCCGAAGCATGTGGAAGAGGTGCGGCTGCATGCCGACAAAGTTGGGGCCGGCCGTGATGGACGTAACCTTGACGCCGGCACCGCCACTGCCATCCTTCTTCCGCTTCTTGCGCGCCGGTTCCTGCGCTTCTGAGCCGTTCTCCTCGTCCACCTCGGGCTTCCGGAGCCAGGACTCGTCATCCCCGGGCACGAACAGCGGCCGCCTCGCGGGTGGGTCCTGCTCCAGGACGTACCTGTGCATGATGTCGAGGTAACGGCGCATGATAGCGTCGACGCGGAATCCGCCCCGCCCGTCCTTGCCGCGCCAGTACTCCCTGGTCTCTTTGCCCGGGGGCGGCGGGGTTGCGAACAGGGCGGGGTCGCTCAGGTTCCCCTCCGCAGCCATGACGCCGTCGGCGCCGGTGGCATCCAGGCAGCGCTGCAGGTCGCCGTGCTGCAGGACGTTGCCGTTGGCAAAGATGACGGTCTCGGGGGGCAGGTTGTCCCGGAGGTGCCTGATGTACTCCCAGTCGGCGACGCCCGTCATGTGGCCCTTCTGCTCCCTCCTGCGGCCGTGGACGGTCAGGATGCTGGCGCCGGCGCTCAGGACGTTGCGGGCGTAGGCCAGCGTCGCCTCCTTGGTCTCGAGGATGCGTATCTTGGCGGTCACGGGCACGGGGAGGTTCTCGTGCAGCGTCTTGATCATGGTGTGGATGAGCTCCTGGTCCTCCTGCAGGAAGGCGCCGTAGTGGCCCTTGCGGGCGATGCCCTGCGGGCAGCCGAGGTTCAGGTCCACGGCGTCGCAGTGCGGCGCGACGACCCTGGCGGCGGCGAGGAGGGCTTCTGGGTCGTTTGCGCAAAACTGCACAAAGAGGGGCCGGTCGAAGGCCGGGTTGCCGTCGAGGTACGGCTTGTCGTCGGGCTCGCCGCCCCCGCCCCCGCCCCCGCCCCCGGCAGCGGCGCCTGCCTGTGGCCTGGCGGTGATCTGGGACCAGGAGGATCGTGTGGGCTGGAAGTGGGAGTCACGGTACTTTTGTCCGTCGGCGAAGAGGCGGGCGTGGAGCATGGGCGAGTAGGCAAGGATGCTGGGTCGCTCGGACTCGGGGAGGAAGGATCGTGACAGCATTCTCCAGGCGAACTCGGACTGGTCGACCATCGGGGCCACGATGTATTTGGGCTTCCCGATGCTCTCGTAGAATGCGCGGCCGTGCAGCTTGGCCGGCTGCACCGCCGAGTCTGCGACAACAGCCGCAGCCGCAGCAGCCATCGTGGTCTTTGCCGTCGCAAACCCGCCCGCGAGGGCTCTGCGCAAGAGTCTCGGGGCCAGACTGGCCAGGAAAGCGATCGTGGGCCTCGGAGACGTGCACTTGTGCTTGCGGGTACGGTGGTCACGGGCTGGTATGCAGATGAGGCTGGACCGGTGGGTGCAAGTCGTGGCAGGGCCGTCAACTTTTTTTTTCCCCCCCTTCTCCGACTTCAAGTCGGCTCGGCTTCAGCCTCGTGTGCAGGGGCCATCACAGATTTGAACAGGGATTAGAGGTCAAGAAGTCGTGCTAGTGCACTAGTAGTCGGGGACTCATGGTACTGGGTACTCATGTACCCTGATGTCTCTCGGACTGTGTTCGGCCGCCCGGCTGCCAAGCGCAGGGACTGGGCAGTCTTGTAGCCGCTGGCAACCACAGAATTTGGCCAAGCAGGCAGGCAGGCAGGCAGGATCCCCAACGCTTGTCAACCAACAACAGTGCTCGCTCCCAGCCTCGCCGCATCGTGCATAAGCCGAAAGCTTCCCATGTCTGCACGTAATCATCTTGAAACCCATGTCATGCGCTTTAAACATCACAGGGCAAAGCATTTCTCAAACTGACTTGCACACACACACGCGCACACACACCATGTCGCATGCTTGCATGTGAAATCTGTCCGTTGCATTCAACTTGTTGCGCCGAGCTGGGCCAGACCTGCCCTCTTCCTGCCGTCAGCACCATGTACTCTGCCGGTCGATATCAATCAAGAGTCCAACCAGTGGCAGTCTCGGTTCAGAACCAGTTTTCGGGGCTTGAGCAGGTGCTTCCTGGATTGCTTTCGGTCTATCTAAGGCTCCACACTGAGTGATGGGTAGGAAATGTAATGAGACGTCAACCCGAAATCCCCGCTTGCCTCTTCTTGCTAAGACACCACCCTTTCCCTTTAATGCTGATGACTTTTGGCACGAATCGCTCTTCTCCACATATTCGGTCCATGTGCACGCAAAAGATAGTAGACACGAGGAAAAAACAAAACAAAACAGATGATGCAATATGACCCGTATCAAGAACCACTTTGATCGCCTCACAGAGGCCTTCCAGTAATTAAATATGTTTGGTTCCCTGCCCGACTCTTGCTGGGGCCAAATCCCTCCACCCTTGGACCATCAGCCCTGTCTGTATTCATGGGGTCGACCGAGTGTCGCCCTTGGGTCGCTCTCGCTTTGGCTCCCTCGTGCACCCACCCCGTTGGAGAGTCGCGGCGGTGTCAAGCTGCAGACAGCCCTTTCGAGATTAATCCAGTCGCCTTTTGTCGAGAATCACCAGTAGATTGCCGCAGGTTCTGGTTCCATCATAAACGCCCTGACACCTTACTTGGATGCTTGTCCCGGAACGCCGTTGAAGAAAAGAAACGAAAAATTGCCAATACACGATGGGGTTTGGGTGCCTGCTCGCAACGGGTGACCAGCAGGTAAACATTCCATCGGAAACTATCATTGTCAGAAGAAATGCGTGTAGATCTTGGAGCTCTCATGCACTTCCATCTCCTGCGATTCCGCGTTAGCGTGTCGTCAAGTGACACAATTCACGCGCGCACACTTGCAAACGTACCATCTTGAAGTTGTTGAGCTCCTCCTTGATCTGCTGCGCTAGCATTGGGGTGAGGCGGTTGCACGTTGCAATCTCAGAGCGACGGTCGTACTCCTGGCTCGGCCACGTATCGTGGAAGACAATGCGGGGGCTGAACGTCGCGTTGCGCTTACTCTGCCCGCCCTGAGGTGTGCCTGGAGCGCTTCTCGTCTCTTGGCGGAGGCGTAAGGCTGTCATAAAATAGTCCTCACTGCCAATCGTAACAGACCCACTCCGGTTGTGGTTGGCTTCGTCGTTGGGGGTGCTAGGAGCACTCGAGTTCGGGGAGTCCGCGACGTGTGGGACCGCAGGCAAATCGAAGAGGGGTCCCCTCTCGACCCGTGGCGAAGGGGTGGAAGTGCCGTTGTCTAGAATCCGGTCAGCATTGGGCTGCGTCTCACGGCCTTCACAAGAGAGCCTACGTTTCAAAATGCCTTTCCGCACGGCGGCCAGCACCTCAGCTCGCTCCCTGTCCCCACCAACGATGCTCTTCCGCGAGTTGGAATTGTCCGTTCCCGAGCTGCCAGCTCTCTCCGGCGACGATCCGTCGGCGACATTGGTGGCATCCATAGAGTTTCGCTCCAGGCGTGGGAAGCCCGTGCCGCCGCCGTTGTTGGGGTTCGGCTCTGGGTTGACATTTACTCGTTCCCTCTCCGCCTCGACCGTCACCATTGACACGGCGGCCTGGCTCGCTTCTGGCATTTCTGCAGTGGGCACACCGATGGTGGACTTTGGCCGAAACAAGCCAGCCAGGGAGCGTCCGCCCTTCTTCATCCCGCGACCCATCTTCCGGATCATAATCGATGCCGACGAGGCCGTGGAAGAAATTGACAGGTTATCAGTGGAGCCTGAGAACAGACGCGAGCCAGCATAAATGTTACTGCCGATGCCCGCAGCCTCCTGTAGCTCAGCGATACGGGCCTGCTCCGCATCGAGCCCATCAGCAGGTGGGTTCTGCTGCGAGGTCGACGCCTCTGCAGACCCGCCGTTGTCCTTGGCCCCATCCCCTGCACCTGCTCGCCTCAGCTCAGCAGCACTTCCAAAGGACAAGGCTCGGCGGAGTCTCGAGGTCTTGCTCTTCAACTTGCCCCCTTTCTGGTTGATGGCAGCCAGCTGCTTGACGGCAGGGCTGTCGAAACCAGCGCTCGAAGATTCGGCGGCACCATTTGGGGTAGATGGTTTGGCAGCGGTAACTGCCGAGTCCTTGGACCCCTTGGTGCCCTTCTCGGCTTCCATCGTCACCGGCTTGGATAGCGGCGACGGATTGGCAATCCGCTTGGCAGCATCGGACGAGGAGCTCCTGGGTGGGATGTTGACGAGCTTTGGTGAGTCTGGGTTCGTGGAGTTCTGGTCTGAGGTCTCAGAGAGCTGGGCGGGGTTGCCGGTCGGGGTCGGAACGTTGTTACGGTGGGCAGACTGGATACATAAGTCGTCAGCAAGTGGGAATTAAAAGGGCCCGACCCTGCACGGACACTGTGATTGGATCGTATGTTTCAGGGGGTGGGATCATATGGAGACACTCACCGAAGACGGCCTGGAGTTACTGCTCCGGCTCGATACGAGACTATCAGAACTGCCGTTCTTTGCACCAACAACGGGGCTGCTGATCGTCACCAGCCTGGCCGTTTTGATCTGATCTTTGTCGTTGCCGCCTCTGGCTGCTGATGGGTCTTCCGATCGCTTGAGATCCGCGGGTTGCGGGGACTTTGGCAGGTCGGCAGTATCCAAAGCGGGCATGCTGCGCCGGCGAATTCTTCTGGAATCCTCCTGATGTCTGTACAGTTGCATGTCGTCCACAGACCCCGGTACCTTGGCATAAAAGCTGTTGGGCCGGGTCAAGTTTGACGGGCTGGGCCGCCTTTCCTTGCTGGAAGTTGGCTGAGTGTACAGGTGGTTAACAGATGCCATACCCGAGCCTGAGGGAGTCGCTGAGCCCTGTGTTGCACCTGATTCCGGCGACCGTTGAGCCGCGGTTCGTCGATATCGGTCGGGTTGGGTTTTGGTGGCTGTCGACGATGCCAAGGACACCTGGTTTGAAGGGTTGGAGAGAAATGCGGACTGTGGCCGAGGGCTAGGACTGACCCTTCTTGTACCCGAGACAGGTATCATAGAGTCATCGCGAGACCCGATCGAGGCCACATTCAAGGCCGTGTTGGGCAGGTTGGGCATGGAAGCGTTCGCGGCGTGCCGTGAACGTCCCGCAGAGGTGTTCGGATCGAGGTTCTGCATCGTCGGAACGGACGGGGAAGAGGAGGCCCGATAAGCAGAATAGTGCTGCCACTGTCCGTTCTGGTTGAGACTCGGAGTGGTTGTGAAAGAGTACGGTTGGATTGGAGCAGATGCTCCCCTGTAAGCCACTGGGCCAGAGACACCTCCAGCCCCTCCGTGGTAGTTGTTCCTTTGTTGTTGAGCAGTAGCGTACTGCTGGTTCGTCTGAGATTGGGGAGGCATCATGCTCGAGTTGGACCCGGACCTGGTCTGAAGCATGGGAACGGTACTGGTTTGCTGAGGGTATGCCTGGACCAACGCGGCCATTGTCTTGTCACGATATCGACCCTGAATGCCTATCGAAAGCTGTCGAGCAAGACAGAAGGCCTAACGGCGTAGGGCCCTTCAGTCCAAGGCTTGCAAGCACAGGCGACCTACAGTACAATCTGTCAGTCTCAGAGTTCCTGACACGCCTGAACAGAGCATGCGTAACGGGAAAGCAGGAGATACGCGGTGTGAGCGGGCAAGCCCCGGGTATCAGATGCATTTCAGGGCTGGAGACTTGCCAGTTTGTTGACGCCAAGGAAAGTGGATGTCCCCGATATGGCAAGGTTGGTGATGACTGGCGTGGAGATGGGATACTGCAAACGACAGTCGGGGGAAGCTGGGCTGATGGGAGGCTGTAGCGAATTGGGTACGAGGAGGTAGGTGGCCTTCTTCGAGGGGAGATCACTGTCACCGTGAGGTCCGTGAGAAGGTTGTGAGATCGGAGGACCTCTCTACTCAGGCAATGCCAGACAATTGAATGTCGAATCAAGAGTCCCAGGCGTGTACCCGGTGATGTCTGGCTAGGACGAGGACATGAGGAGCCTCTGTTGAATCAGAAGCGTCGATGGGCTTGATTGGGTCCGAGCACGAGGGAGACGGTCGATGGAGGTGGAATTGGTAACAGTGGTAGGTTCGCTCGGGCGCTCGGAGGGGGGCAGATTGGCACAGGATGCACGCTGTGGCTGGAGAAAATGCGAAGCGGGACACAAACAGGCCAAGCAGACGGACGTGACGGGCTCGCAACGGGCGAAGCAAAGCCAATGCAAGAAATGTTCTGTAATAAACACGCACAAAGACGGCACAGACGACAAAAAAGAAGTTGCCTCCCGAGCAGATCGTACAGGACTGGAGCTGGGAGATGCCGGCTGGCGGAGATGGAAGATGAGTTGGGAAGGGTCGGCGGGCTGGTGGGGTTGTTGTTTATTGATGGGGGCTGTTGGATTCTCGCGATGGTGCTGCCGTGGTGGTGTTGCCAGGAGGAACCGAGCAAGGGGTGGTGGTGAGGAGGCAGGAGCGAGAGCTCTGGACGACGACTCGGGTCCCCAAAAACAATATTGGGCCGGGTGGAGGTTGGACCGGAGAAAGACACAAGAAAACGACAAGGTAGAGAGAGGGGGGGAAAGAGAGAGAAGGACAAAAGACAAAAGAGGCGGTGATGAAGGGAAGGGAGTACCACAAGGAAGAAGACGGGACGAGGATGTCTTCACAGTGTCCTGTTGTGTCGTGTCGTATCGTGTTGCACAGAAGGAGGTGGAAGGAAGTCGGCAAGGGGAGGAAAAGAAGCCAGGAGCCAGGAGCCAGGAGCCAAGGGCCCTGAGAGATGGAGGAGCCAGAAACCGAGAGAGAGAGAGAGAGGAGAGACCCCCCCTTCCCCCCAGCACCGAGAAAGCTACTACCTGTACAAAGCAGACAATCTGCATGGAAAAGACGAGCAGGTGCAAGGAACAGGGGCAACAGCAGGAACGCGTGCATGGGCAAACTGGGGCCGACGCAGAGCAACCCTTTTTCGTTGAGCCAACCAAAGCATGAGGAGCTCTCTCATCTCAGTCTGGCCGTCTGGGGGAGTGGGAGTCTGGCAGTGCGGATTGGGCTGCTGCCCACCGCGGCCCCGTACCAGCAAGCAGGCGTGCCAGGGCCGTAGGCAGGTACTAAGATACCTACTGTGGTAGCGTAGGGACCCTACTCCACAATCGTGCCTGCACCCTGCTCCTCCTCTGCTCCTGCACACGTCTCTCTGCATTGCACTCTTGGCCTCCCTCTTGCCTCTGCGCCTCTTGTCTCTCTCGCTCTCTTGCTCGGGCTGCTGTGTACTGTGTACTCGGTACTCTTTCGTGTGTGCCAGATCTCGCACGCGTCCCGTGTGGTCCACAATGCACAGTCCACTGCCCACTGCCCACCGTCCAGTCTTTTTCTCGCTCCAAGGGTCCAAAGGGGGGTCGAGGCTTAGCGCTCACGCCTGCCAGCATGAGAGGCAGATGCTACTCCAAAACCAGCTAAAGCAACTGTAAATTGATGAGCAGCTCCAATTTGTGACAGTGGGAGTCCGGCCGACGGTGGCATGTTCCTGGAGCATTTGTTGTGCGTTGTTGCATTGCCCAGGTACGGTACTGTGTAGTCTGTCCTCTTTTACTGCCTCATCATGCCCTCCTGCACTGCTTGACTGCTTAGGAATGGTGGAATGAATACGGAGAGACGGGATACCGGCCTGTATCCGACTCGGTCTGCACTCTCATACCCACAGTACTCTGGTACTGTAGCTGTACGCATGCACGCACGCACGCACGCACACATAAACACGACTACGCACGAACACACACACACACACACACACACACACACATCCTGTCTCCGCCACGGGGCTGCAGCACCAGAACAACATTTGTGTGTCTAGAAATGCAACACAGTCCAAAAAGGGGTACTGCACCCACCGAGGGTTCCTTTGCCAGGAGAGAACCACAACACCCAACGCACGCACGCACACACTCTCTCTCTCTGTCTGTCTGTCTCTCTCTCTTGCCCTCTCTCTGTCTCTGTCTCTCGCCCAGTCGCCCAGTCACCCAGTCGCTCAGTCGCTCAGTTCTACGCCCAGCCAGCCAGCCTGCAACAATGTGGTTCGCAGGTACCACAGTATTGTTGATCGGGCGTGCGACCCCCAAAGGCATGGGATTGGGGGGGGGCGAAATGGGAGATTGAGCCATGGCTGTGATTGGACATTCTGGCTGGTGGCATTGAATCCGTCGGCGCTAGGCAAGGCTGTCCCTGCAAGCCGGGCAACCACACCCTCCGTGCATACCACAGTGCCCAGCAGCAGCGTGCTACAGCAGAGTACAAGCCAGCACGCTTTGCAGCCTCTGTCTCTGTTGAACGCGGCCACGTCCAAGCCAGGCACGCGCGCCATCTCACAGGCCGTCCCAGGCGGCGACGTTGCCTTGCCTGCCTTGCTGGCACACCCTGCAACGTCTCGAGACTTGGACACACGGCCGCGTGGGACGCAATTGCGAGACGGGCAGACGGGCTGACGGGACGAGACAAAGACTGCTCGGTGACGGCCTCTGTTCTGGAAACCCCGCTTGATCATCCTCAATCCACTCTGGTTCCCTGTCACCGGGCGATAAAGCCCTCACCAGCTCGAGGACCAGCCCGCCAGCCAGCTTGCCAGCCAATACAGACGTACTACAGACGTACCACAGACGTACTACCGTACGTACATCAGACCGCTTTCCCGGCCGCGGGCGCGGAGCCGGAGATTCACCTGCCTGAATTGACGGACTGCGTAATGAGTCCCTTGGTCCCCTACCATCTCGTGCCCTCCTCCGCCGCTATCGACAGTTGATGAGACCCTGACCACCTCGGCGGCGCCTCGTCTCCGCCCATGGCCCCTCGGCCTCGCTCACTTACCGCTCCTCCAGTCCTCCCCGTCAACCGGGCCAAAGCAAGCTTGTAGACCTGCCCTGCCAGCGACCTGCCCTGCCTGCATCCTCATGACTCCTCCACCCACCCACCCACCCGCCCACAGATCATTGCTCCGGGGACCCGCAAAATCGGGAGCCTCGCAGCAGTGCAGGGCAGGCGGGCAGGCGGGGTGGCAAATGAAGAGGTGGTGAGGCTTGCGGGCTGGCTGGCTGGTGACAATGCACGCACCTCAAAACCTCGACGAGCGGCGGTCTCTGCCAACTTCCTGTCTGCATTCCGGTGATCTGTGCAGGGATCCTGGATCTGGATAGGGGGCCCGCGCCGTCAGGGTGCGGGCAGGGAGCCTCGTATTGGTAGGCAATCTGCCCTGTCTGGCTGTCTGGCAATCTGATCATTATCGCTGGCAAATAATTCCCCACAGCCTGGTGGTATGGAGTAAAGTGGCCCTCTGTCCTGTCATCTGAGTTGAGCCGCCCCTATTTTGCCAGACGTGCAGGTGCCAGGCGGTAGTCGGTGAGCACCAAAAGGAAAGATGAAATCAAGCCTGTGATGGGCGTCATCTTCGGTATTTCGAGGCCGCTGGGCCGCCAGCACACGAGGAAGGCGAGGCTGGCTCTCCAAGCTCTGGTCTGGGTCCCGGCTGGACATGACGACACTGGACCGCCTGGCAATAAGGACTGGACCCTTGAGACTGGAGACCCGGGAGTCGACACTGGCCAGACTCGAGACGACTTGGAGGGGATGATCGATCGCATGCGAGCACCGCCGTGCTGGTAGAACCATAGAACGGGAACATTGGCCTCTGCCTCTGCCCGCAGCCTCGCTTGCCTCGCCACAGAGGAGCATCTCCTCCTACGGAATACACACAGTGCCGTCCAGTCCAGCATAAGTGTCCACCGTCCGCCCGTCCCATCCCCACAGACCCAGTCCTCCCGCGTCGCGCGCCGCGTCAAGTCAATCAAACCCAAGTCCGGCTTGGTCTGGAGTTAGCTGTCAGGGGTCCCCCTCGCTGTCGTAAGATTTTCCAAACAGGCAGCCAGGCAGTACACTATTTTGTTCCCGGGCGTGCCTACACTAGGTAGCCAGCGCACAGTGTACCTGCCCCGTCAACCACGGCCCCCTGGACTAGCCGACTACTCTCTAATCTGTAGGTCTACTCCGTACCTAGACAACGCCCAGGCTGTTGTAGACGCGGGAATAATTACAGCGCATAGCTTCTACCTGCTGGATCACACATAACGAACAGGTCTTATCGGCTCGAAATTGCGAGCCTGCATGTTGTACATGAAAGGACCAAAACCTCAAACAGACTACGGCTGGAGGTCGAAATGACGCTCGCGATACTGTAAACGCCAATCAGTGTCAAATTAACTTTCGGCCATCAGGTCTGCTCCGGCTTGTTTTGTGACCACAACCGCCATTGCCGACTGTTTTTATCGTCCCCAAAACGCGCCCACTTGCATGCCCGCTTGCACGCCCGCTCGCGGTCCGCTCAAGGATCCCGGCGAACAACCGAGCCGGACTCTCTCACACTGAGAGCTTCCAACATACGATGGTCTACATCCTCCGCCATCAATCTCGCCTGGAATGGAGCCGAAACCCCCGATCATTCCGCTTGCCGCCCTGGCAAGGGAATTCGGAGAGTCGGAAGGGGGGAGCGGGTCGATCTTAGATCTCAGTCCTCTTGTGTCAGAGACAGGCCGGCAAGGCTATCGCTGCCGGCCTGCTAGACGCCATATGTTTAATTTATAGTGCTATACAGGTGTGCCAATAAGGCCTGGGGTGCCCGAATTTCAAATACAGCCCTCAGAGGCACACGGAGGCATGCTTCCACACCACACAGAATCAGCCAGCCTACGAAGATAGATACCAAGCACTTGGCTGGTACCGACAAGTACTCCATGTCCACGGCGCTGGAGCAAAAGTCTAATGTGGTGTAGGTCGACCTTCTTCGCCTGAGGACAACGCCTGGCCGGAGAATGAGCCCCGAGCCGAGACCGACCAAAGGGAAGGTTTGAGATGAGAGAGGACAAAAATAAGTTCGGCAGCAGCTTTCGCAAGTCGCCGCGGCCAAAAATTCCTTCGCGTCATACTCATCACCTGCATGCAACCCTAGAGGTGGCATTAATTGAGCAATGAGGAGCCGAGATTGGGAATTCGCTGGCGCGGGGTCGACCTCGCAATCGCTCAGGGACGGCCAGCCTCCCTTGCTCCTGGCGTGAGGTCGACGGCGAGACAGCAACATAATGTTGTAATGTCGGCACATGGCGACCTATCAACGTGCCGCCATCGTTGTTGAAGCTGTCACCGACTCTCATCGACGGGCACATGCCCAGAAATTGAAACAAGATGTGGCCGCCGGCTGATAGGCCGCGGTCCATGGTGGCGACGCTTCGGGTCAGGTCTTCATTTGCACTGCATGTTCGGTCGCCATCCACGGGGCCAACTCTAAGGAGTACACTAGGCGGGTCCAAAGAGCTGCAGTCTGTTGGCGCAGGGGCTAAGGGGTGCGCCGGCTCGGCCGTGCTCTTCCGGACATCGGACGGAAGAAACGTCCAGTCCACCCTGCGCTATCGGGCGTCCGTCCCTGTCCCGAGTAGTCGGCGAAGGCTTGGCCGGGTCCTAAACTTGCCCTTCACATGCATGCTCCTGCGGTAAATACCTAGCCCCCAACAAATGGCGAATTGTGTCTTCTCATCGTTTTCTCGATGTTATACAAACTGGACATCCCCACTCGCAGAGGCACAGCAGGTTGACGCTTGGTCGACCTACAGTGTCTGTCTGACGAGACGCTCTGCCCTATGATGCCGCCTTCCGATGCCAGCCCTCGGACCAAGTATCCAAGGCAACCAGCTGCACATGAGGGGTTACACAACTGCTCGCTTCCGCGATTAGGGCCACTACTTGCTCACCAAGCGCTCGACCCCACCATCACCATCGGTCCTAGGCCCTCCATGCACGAGCCTGCCGCGGCCTGCCACCCGGGTGCCCTTCCGGCCTGGTGATTCTCGATGCTTGACTGAGACCTGAATGACGGGGGGCTTGAGAGATGACCACCTTGCAGCCAGTCGGGCATAACTGAGCGTCGTCACCCCACGTCCGCACAGTCACACCATCGACACGTGTATTAGACCAGAGTCAAAGGAGGGCCACTGTGCGACCGCCTCAGCGTCAGTCCGCGTGTCTGCGAAGACGGCTAGCAGCCCTCCTGCCCTCCTCGTCAGCGCTGCTGATCGAACAGTGGCCCACGTTCAGACGATCTTCAGGTCCGCATACCAGTAGCTCATTCCCCAATCTGCTTGTGCAGCCTCACTGCCCTGACAGCCTGACAGCCTGACAGCCTGACAGCCATCATCACTCAGCCTGGGGATCGCCAGGTCCGGAAACCCCCTCCCACATCATTCATTCTTCGCGGAGCTACGCGAGATCTGTGCGACCACACGCGATGGTGCCAGTGGCCGATCACCATAGGAGAGGCTGGCAGAATGTCAACAGCCGATCTGAGACCTTCCGACTATAAAAGACGTTGCAGCAAAAGGCGGTGCTGCGTGTCTCGAGGTTTCTGTCTCCCCTGCTCGGTGTCCACGCCGACATCGCTCGTCGCACAGCGACGCCGTTCTGACCTGAGTACAATATGATGCGATGCGCTGAACTTGCTACGCGGCCTCCGTTGACCATCCGTGACCGTCGCAGGACGCACGGCAGTTTGATGTCTGTCGGCGATGCACGGGGTGAGAGTGGCGTCATCATGCCCATCTACCAGCGACTAAGCTCTCTGGCGCAGTGTCAGGCCGGCAGACAAAAAAGCACGCTCTTATTGTCGATACCGAGACACGGCTTCTTGCCTAAGCGCCTCAGGAAAAACTGCTCGCAACTGGCCGGGCCCAACCTAGTTCTCGCCGTACCCAGACAACTGGGACCAGAAAAGCCAGGCCGGACGGCCGACCTGAGGGCTTGGTCGTCCGATGGGCAAGCCCGAGGGACTGAGATCTCCCCTCTCGCCCTAGCTAGCTACGGCTTAACCTGCAGGTATGTGTGGTGGGATGAGTACGCGGAATGCAGCTACTCCCCAGGCGGCGCGGCCGAGCTTCCGGTGCTGTCCAATCCGCACTCGCGCCCGTTGTTGAATGGGGCACTATCCCGAGCCAACGGGTGCAATACGAGGATCTCGTTATCGTGCCAGAAAGGTCTAAAGACCCGAATATTGTTACTTGCTTGCCTGCTCACATGAGCGTTTCGGCCTGCAGGCCATCGGAATGCGCTGTCTCAACTGAGTACAAAGCACTGCAGTCAGTCAGTCAGTCAGTCCATCTTGATGCCGACGTCACTCACAGGTGGGATGTCCCATACGTCCCTACTCGTTGCGGGGACATCCCCTTCGTAGGCGCCTCACAATGGGATCATCTCGTACTGGATGTCCCCCTGTGAAATTCTTTTGCAGGTTGACCACCTACTAGGTAAACTCATGCCTACTACTTGGCAGTCTTACCCTGCTGTGGGGGTTTTTTTTTTTTCATCCGCTGAGATGGGGGACTGCACTTTTGCTCTTGGGACAGTAAGCGCCCTGCAACTCCGTGTACACGCACGCACATTAACATTGGTCTGTCGAATGTGAGAAATATACTATCTAGCCTAAACTGGTAGCGCACATGCGGTGTTTCATGTGGGCCGTTGCTTGTAAGGCGGCCACACTCTCATATTGGTGTGTTCGTAATCTGGTAACGGCCCGGATGCTGAACCCCGGCTATGCAAGCCAGTATCTTCAACTCCTCCGGATGCTACGGGAGCGGAAATAGTGAGAGATGTTGGATTTCGGTAATTTCCATCCTTCAAAACAATACCCAGGGGCGTGGCAGGGCAACAAGCACTACGCCGCACTGGTGTCCGGCTCCCTCACGGCAATGCCCAATGGGAAAGGCGCCGGCTTACCTACTTTTGGGTGGGCCAGCTCCTCAGCCTCGTGACGTGTTACTCACAATATCTCCCCACGATTACTGACACTGAAATGAGCTATGGGTACAGTGCAACTCATGTGGAGAGGCATACTATGAAATGTTGTCCTCCAGGTTTCAAGACTCGCCGGTACTAGTAGAACAACAGCGATGGTCGGAGTGCCTCGCAGCAAAGGGTGCGCTCTCTGCGTCAAAAGAAGGGTGAAATGCGATCAGAACCTACCATGTAAGGCCCTCGCACAATACAGTCCTGCGTAGTAGCGAGAGTCTTGAATCTGACCACTTTCGCCAGTCTGTGGAAATTGCATCAAGTATGGGGCCGAGTGCCCAGGGTATGAAAAGGGGCACAAATTTGTTTCTGTTAAGCATACTGTCCGTACCAGGAGCCATGAGCTTTCAAAGGGTTCTGTAACTGAGCCTCGCTCATCTTCAACCTCGTCCGTGGGACAAACGGCTCCCGAAAAACGGCTGACAGCCCAAAAACCAGCCTGGCAAGCCTGGGGCCAACATGGTGGAAGCGCAGAAGGTATCGGCGTCCAAGGGCGCCCTCACAACCAGATTCCAGGATCACTGTGCGGATCACCGGTCCCCTTCATCCATAAAATAATCGGCGAGCTCTTCGACAGCTACACGCGTGAGGAGATCACGTATAGTGCCCCTTGGTTCTCCTCACTCACCAACTACCTTGGGAATTCACAAGCCCTGGACGGAGCCATGGCCGCATATCTGCTACAGCTGGTCGGAAAGGCCAAAGGGGACCGGGCCCAGGTCAGCATGAGCCGAGATCTTTACGGCCGTTCGCTGGTCGGCCTCCAGCGTGCCCTCAACCACCCCGTGGCTTGGAAATCGGCCGAGACACTGGCCGCCACGATGCTGTGCTGCCTGTTTGAGCTGTTTGCCGGCACGTCAAACCCGCTCAGCTGGATGATGCATGCAGCCGGCGTGTCAAAGCTTGTCCAGGCACGCGGGCCCGGCTCTTTTTCGACGCCATTCGAGAGAGCTTCCCTCAGCTGCTTCCGCCCCCTTATGGTTATGCAGTCTCTTTTTTCCGGGCAGGACTGCTTCCTAACCCAACCGAGATGGCAAGACCTCTCATCACGGTTGTCTGGCCCGGGGGCCGGTGACGAAGGGGAAAGGGACGGGAGAGGGGCACAGGAAAAGGCGTTGGGAATTGGACGCGTCCCCACCCCGCCTTGGGTCAGACATCAAGATGGTTACTTCACCTTGCTGGCCAGGGTCCCGGAGGTTCTGAGCTGGGGTTACGGCATCCGAGAAGAGAGGCGTCACGGTATCACTCCAGATCCAAGCCGGGTCAGATCGCTCAAGCAACAGGCGAGCATGCTGCGTTCCGAGTATTGTGATTGGCACCGGAGGGCCCTTTATGGGGGTGCAGTCACGCGGCCCGTCGAGGTGCCATCAACAGGCCCGTCGTCGCCCTTCGATACCATCCTCGAGTTCTCTAACCCATGGGTGGGTTCGGTAGAGATTTCGTACTGGGCAACGATGTTGATTCTTCAGGAGGCGTTGAATCAGTGTTACGAAGACGGCCAACGTCATCAATTTGACAAGGACAACCAAGTGCTTGCCACAGATATCCTGCGAGCAACGGAGTCTGTCGGGCGGGGCATTATGGGTCCATATAGGATCTCGTACGCCCTTCGCATCGCGTACGACTTTGTTGACTTGCCGCTTAAGATGTGGGTTCTCTCGGCTGCAGCAAGGTACAGCCAACAATACGCCGCAGTGTCTACCGAGACGTACCCCGGGCCAAACGCAAATATCGGCGTACACTCATTTATGATGGACGAGGATGACGAATTGGCCACGGCCTTGGAGCCAACTACTAAGGACGCTGTGGATAACAGGACAGGCTAGTATCTCGTGCAGCACCGGCTCGACACTTCTGCCAACACAATCAGGCCAATATCCTGGTGGTGTGGAACCGATCGCAGCTGCTCCGTGTTACATGAGCCATCAGATATCGATCTAGCATGGACTCGATCAGGGTATCTTCAATCCGGTGGCGTTTCGTCAGACTATCGTCAGTGCCGAGTGTCGGGTCCACGCGGTGTTTCTGCCACCACCGAGCAAGTGTCTGATTGTGGCCAACTTACACGAGGGCCCTTGCCTCACAATCTGTTGGAGCTGTCATATTGATTACGTAGTTCTCGCTACCGACAACCTTTCATCGCTATTTTCAGATGCAAGCTTGCGCCTATACTCGTCAGCGATGTCACTTGTGAGAGGAGACGGTGCCTCACGAAAGCGCTGGGATGTTCCCCAGCAATGCCAGACGAGCCGTGTTACGACCCCTATGTGGACGGGCCGAGAAAGAGATAACATCTTGTGTGCCCCTTGGCCCTCTCACCAGATCTCCAGCTTTGATCTCGCATAAATGTGCGGTTAGGGCCTCAGGTAGCAGAACTCACTGGTTGCACTACCGGCCGCCCTTGTCCCCCACCTTTGACGAAGCATCCGTGATAGACAGGAGTTCATCCTGTAGGCGATCAGCACATAGGCCAACCCGTAGGGTGTCACCCCATGAGAGGTCACCTTGGAGGCATCTCTTCATGGGACGTCATCCAGCGATGTCCAGGCAGATGCCCGACTTATGGTATCATGTGCGGTACAGATCTCAATCTGTTGGTGTGTTCCCTGAAAAAGGCATACTACATTCCCGCTCTGTGCTATCAAACAAATTTGTTCGCGCATCACATTGCCAGAAGACAGGGGGGCATCTAGCGAACAGCACATATGCGGCTTCAAACAGACATGGTATGTTCATTGGCAACTTTCAGTGGACAAGGAGGCATGTGTTGACTGTTGCTACGTGTGCAGCTCGGACACTTCAGCAGGCAATATAGAAGCCCTTCGAGCTCTATCGTCTATCCTGTCCCGTCACTTGATTGTCCGCACAAGTAACATCCTACTCATCGAAGCCCACCCCGTCTTCCATGAGCTTCTCATTCTAACTCTCGGTCCTGCGCCCAACACATTGCGAAGCTGACTTCATCACGCCTGGGCACAGCTGTTGCAGTTCTGCGTTCAAAATGAAGCTGAGACTCTTACTCACTGCAGTGGCGCTGGTCCCAGCAACTTTGGCTAGGTCTTGGGGCAGCAGAGATGACAGTGCAGACGAGCTGGATGTTGAGGACCAGGACCCCGTCAAAACACCAATAATGAGGACACACACTGTATGGACCACTGTCGAGGCGGAAAGCGCAGTTACAGTCAGTACTGTCGTCTTTGTTGAGCATCTCTACACCACCCCCGGCATCTCAACCTGGGAAAATTTCAGTCCGGATGGCTATGCTTCCACGACCACGACTTTCACAACGACAACCCTCACCCATATTCCACACGTAGTTTATCAGACAAGTACCTTGCCTAATTCACATCATGTGGCAATCGATAAGAGAAGTACCGTGTCCATAACGGACTGGGTGACTGTCACGGAGGGCTCTGACAACCCAGAGGTGACGACGGAGCGTTCGGGCTCCTCGGAGACTACTACCAGCACGAGCACTCCCTTGGACGCACCGCAAACTCCACCATCGTGGGCTACCGCTGCAACCTCTACGGCATCATCGAGCAGTTCCATAGGTCCAAATCCATTCAACGTGAGCAGTTCGATCTCCGCAACGACTCTGTCTGTCACCTCGGCGGTGTCCGGTGCGCCGCCTATAAACTCATCCGTCACATCAAAGACATCAAAGACACATAAGACATCAAAGACCACTCCAACCACGTCTACAGAGCCTATCACCTGGTCGCGGTCGACCTCCTTGATAGTGCCACCCGTTCCTGTGACGCCCACTGCACCCATACCTCCTGGGTCCATGACCGTAACGGCTGGCTCTCACTCCACTTCAAATTCCACAAGTCACCACGTGCATCTCTCAACGCTCACGACGCTGTCCACCGGGTTCGAGCCACCGGAGTCGAGCACTATTACTTTTGTACGTATACACGCCCCCTCTTCATAGATGGCATTACTTCGGATGATTGGCCCATAGGAGAGCTGCGTGATGTAGGCGCTTCCACCCCAGCTCAAATCGCACCCATATATCACTTCGGCTACTACCGCTGACCAGTGCATACATGACTAGATCATGGCATCTCACGAGGGAACGGTCTTCTCGTCAACCGAGGCCATGGCCACAGGAAAGGAGGGCGGGCCCCCCGAGAGGAACGCGGACCCTGGCAAAGAGAACATCCCGCCCAAGAAGGCCCTCGTGCCCATGGGAGACGGCCCTTTCAGCATTGGTGACGAGGTTGCGCCTTCGCTCACAGTCCCGTTCACGATCACGCTCACCTCCGTGCCGGCGATTACTCCTCCGCCGACGCATGCCGCCGGACCTGGTGGCCAGGTCAGCGTCCGCTGCGACAACTCCTGGTGCAGTGATGACGGTATTGTATAGTAAGTCTGTCCGAGTTCACCACCACCACTTCAAATCCGGCCACGCAGGTCAGCAGCACAGCCGATGCTAAGGCATTTGTTCATAAACAGCTGCATGCGCTGGGACGGCAGCTCCGGTATCGATTCCTGGGGTTTCATCACCCCGGGCGAGGTCTTCACGACCGTTGGGCTATGCACTCCTCCCCAGACTGCACAGGGCCCTGTGCAGGTTTCAACGCTCGCTGGAGAATCTTCCGCTCCGGCTGTATCGCGCCACGGTCCGAGAGGTGACCGGATCCGGCTTGTCTGAGGCTAGTGCTGCCGATCTATCTGGGTGAAGGTTGGCGTAACGGCTCCAATGATATGGTCATGAGGATGTGGTGGAATTTGATTGTGCCGGTTTTTTAACCCTTCTAAGTTACCTTCTTGCTCTTTGGACCGTTACCTGGTTACGAAAACCTGTCTTAGGGTGCCTGACTTTTTGGATACGTCGTGTTCCAGACGTTGCATTCAAATAGTTCAGGCTTCACGTTTTGTATCCTGCTTAACTTCCATAGTTCACTTCAGCTTTTACCGGGCCTTTTCATGGGACTTCAGAACTCGGCGGCATGCGCACCGCATTCTTGAAGAGATGGAAGTAATTGAATATTTAAGTTCTTGGCCTTTATTGACAATTTAATCCGACAAAATGGTCTTTACAAATTTGAATGTTTGATGTCCTTCCGATACAGACCGCAGGACTTACAATTTGCCCCAGCTGCTTCAATCAATACCTTTCCTATGGTCTAAGCCGGGCCTTTCACACTCGTGGTGATAGATCCGGATTCTATGTATACACCAGAGAAATAAAAGTCCTCATTCGCATCCGTGTACCCATCGCGCGGCAGCTCCAGGACTCCGAGGTGCCAGTCGGCTCCGTTGGACGAAGTGGACGCTGACACTGGTGCGACGACTTGCTTCAGATCGTCTCCACCGGTGGAGTGCCAGAGCCCAACGGTACTGGCCGAAAAGTCCTGCGAAAAGAGAAACAGAGGTCAATCCCGAGGCTCACCAGATCGCGAAGAGCAGGTATCGAGGAACTCACGATCTCGTAGGCAAAGTTGTAGAAGACACCAGCCTCCCATTCGTCGACGCTCCACTTGCTCTGCTGGCTAACCATCCACTGCAGCTTAGGGTTGCTGGTTCCGGCCTCGCCGCTGATCCAGCCCGACTTGAGCTCGGTAAAGTGGCTCTCGAAGAAGTTGATCTGATGCTCGCGGAACAGGCTCGGGGCGTTGGCCTCCTTGCGCGAGATGGTGAAGTGATACCACACCTTACCCTTGTTGATCGGCGCCGTCGTCTGCGGGATCAGCTCGATACGCCGCATATTCTGTCCGTTCCAGTATGCCGTGCTGTCGAGTGTGAACTTGGCACCCTGCTTGGACGAGGTGTCGGCCGGGTTTGCGTAGTCTGCCGAGAGGGCTATGCACTTATCCACGGTGCCAGAGCCGTGGATGTAATACTGGTATGGACCGACTTGGTTGCTCCATGACCCTGTTCAAGCTTAGTCTGGCAGTTCCTTTTGACATTTGCGTTCACGCGTCGGATATGCCCCAATGGAACACTTCAAGTTCTGGGAAAGAAGATACCATACAGTCATTGAGGTCACTGGCAGTCTGGAGGTCGTTGAATCTGCCATCCCTGTATTAAATGTGAGTGAATATTCATATGCATCTTTTCGTGGATAACCGGAGATTTCCAAGGGCCCCCAAGCTCGGCACAGAACTTTGAGCGTGACAGAACACACAGGGTTCACATTCTTAATAGCCTCATATGTTTGCGCACTTGCGCAACTCTCATGAGACGGTGAGCCATGCTCCATCAGACAAGAACAGAAGGAAACTAACCAGATCACAGCGGCCTGGGAGACAGAGGCGAGGCTGGCGAGGAGGGAGCTGGTGAGTTGCATCTTGACGGGGCGATGACGTTCAATGGCGTTGAATCAGTCTCTGAAAAGACCGATATGGCCAGAGGGACAGGCACTATTTTATTTGGGCCTGCCTGAGCGAGACAACATCATCGTGCCCGGTTCACTCTACGGTTGCGCTGGTTGGCTTCCCGCCCCGCCGCTCCGGGTTGAATAGGGGTGCCCCCATGACCGAAAAATAAATACCCAGAAAGCATACTGATCGACGGCAAGACCGTACGGAACCTTATTCACGGGCTCTCGATTCGGGCCAGCCAGGGGGCTCGTAAATTGGATTTCCACCATGCCAGGGCGCTGCAAGCAAAGAGTACTGCGGAGTGTACGTTCCGTTGTTTGAAGATCTGCAGTGGATGTTCAAAGTGGGCCCGGTCCTGGTGTAAGTCGCGGAAAGGTGGTATCTTAGCCTCAGGTCAGGGGGCCGAAGTACCGCTCCCGCTACCACCTCGGCATTGGGACTTAGACTGCAATTATCCTGAATCAGTGCTTTTGCGATACCGAGCATAAACATGAAACATTGTTTGCCGCCAAGGCTATGTTCAATATTGGGGCGCATACTGGCGTGTCCGCGTGTGTCACGCGTAATTTGTACTAACGCAACCTGATTACCTTTATGAGTGCCGTAGAGAGGAGCTTTGCAGGGGTGTCTGCTACGCGGCCACATTTTCTATGTTATAAACGTGAGCATGCCCCGTCGCGCAAACCCCTCTAGGGTAACCTGTAATAGCATATCCAGTCATGAGACCCGTGACTGCCATTATATGACCTGTCTAGGTACCTTACATCGACCCAAGTGAGACGAACTTCCATGTGTGTTGGATGGTAACCTCCCTCCTATTAGATAAGCGGACGTGTGATGGCGATTGTATAGAGAAAAGTCTTAGCCTCATCACAAGGGCCAGAGACCAAACACTCGATTCCTTGTGGGGCTGCTCTTGGTGGCATTGGGATGTATTTCGGGTCTTGGTGTCTAGACAACAGTAGTACCCCGGGACGGTCCTCGAACTGCATTCGCGCACTGTCTTCCGGAAGACGGCGCACACTACTAAGTGCTTTCTCCCCCAGCTCTACATGTCACTGATTTGGGTAAGTGTTGTATGTCCTGCGCTCGTGAAACGCCTGTTATCGTCTCTTTCTCAGTCTCTCAAATAGACTATGTGATGCGTCTAATCCTGTACCGTTGAAACCAATGACCAAGCTCATCCAACAGCTCTATGCAAACAGGTATCCTCTCGAACATTGTAAGGGTTGGAGGAATCTTAGCGAACGCCACGCCCATATGATTCACGCTGCAGCGGCACATCAGATTATATGCCTCGCGCTGCACCATCCAGCTTGTTCCTGACATCGGAAATGTCACAACCGGCAAACTAAGCATAATCCATGCCAGAGAAACTCTTGTTTCTCGTCAACGTCGCCCTCTCTAGGCTAGCCCGTGGCAGCAGCTCCGAGCTGCGTACCCTGTCGTAAGGCGCGCGTCTCGCGCTCGGCGACTCGGGCGGGGACAAGCTACCGCTACCTTGTTCAGCGTTCGAAGCTACGTCGTCATCAATAGGCAGACCAGCCGGCTCGTCCTTAATGAGGTGGATGAACCACGCCGAGGCGCCCACCGCAACGCCGCCAATAGCCATCACGATGGAGATCGAGTGGTCGCCGGGCGTCCCCCGGGGTTTCTGGAATATCTTGAAGATGATGCTCGAGCCGACCGTGGCAATAATCTGCGGTGCGGCGATGGCCATGTTGTGAATGCCGAGGATCACGCCCGCCTGGTCGGCTTCGTCCTCGGACCCGTCCAGCTTGTGATCTTGGTCGGACGTATAACCGTCGAAACCATGTGCCGAACTCGAGGAAGGGCCAGCGCCTCCAGGTGGTGAGAAAGCTCTTCTTTTCTGGCGGAGCAGCGCGTCCCTCCGACTGATTTCTGCACTGATGATTGCCCATGGGGCCCACAGCGTGAGAGCCCAAGTGATGCCAACCAGCCCGACGAGCACTGTGGCTGCTGTTACTGTGCGGACGAGGACGGCGCAGAGCATGCTGCCCATGAAGAGCAACTGGGAGAGCAGCCAAGCGCGGCGGAGCGTCAGCCCAGGGATGACCAAGCGATCGGTCCAGGATTTCTTTTCTTCACCATGATCGCGGAAAGACGTGACCGGGCCCTCGCCTGGAGCTTCTCCAATGGGCTGGCTGTCGTATGTCGGTGCGATGAAGAACGGCAAAAACACGTTGGTGAGCAGACTCGTGATGGAGAAAATCAAGAGCGCGAACGTCCCGACTCTGGTTGCCTTCTCGTATAGCTCGTCGATCTCCTCGGGCGTCATGTTCGGGTTTTCCTCGAGAAACGGCTGGACATATATCTCACCAATGTAGGACGACGTGTAGAACAGCATGGGGAAAAAGCCGACCCACGCGCAGAATTGTACGACACAGACCTTCTTGATCTGCGGCGGCAGCCTCTTCATGGACGCGAAGAGGCTTATAAAGAAGGCGAAAACGCCTGTCTTCTTGCTCTTCGCAGGGCTGGGCCCGTCAAGTTGTGGGTTCCTCTCTTTGATGAGCAGACAGCTCATCAGCACCGTCGACCCCAGGGCGATGCTGGCTATGGCACAGAGGTCCTTGAACTGGGTATTGCCCAGCCACCACGTGATTTTTGGCAGGTTGACATAGCCGGCAATATAGCCGATGATGTTCCCGACTCCTGTCAGCCTGCTAGCCATTGAGTTGGCAGCCTCCTGCTGATGAGCCGGGCAGCAATCGACTATGAATGCCCTGATTGCAGCTTGGACTAGGTTGACCTGAGTTAGGGCCAAGTCTTAGCAGTGCCTGAATGGTGGGCTTACCTGTGTTGATAGCAAAGTCGAGGATATAGACCCAGATCACTGCAAATACTATGGTGGTCACCTTGACGCCCTCAGATGCTGGATCAGCCCCAAAGAGACCCAGGATGCCGCCCACGATGTCTTTGGTCCAGGATAGGATCATCAACGAGACCATGGTGGCGGCAGCGCCACCGAGCATGAATGGCTTCCGCTTGCCCCACGACACCCTGCAGTTGTCGCTCAGCATGCCCACGTACGGCTGCACCAGGGTGCCGGACAGGGGGCCGGCGATCCACACCAGGGCCATGAGCGACTTGCTCAGGCCAAGCGACAAGAGATATGGAGAGCCATTGGAGAGCTCGACGGACCAGGCGATCTGCAGGCCGCCTATGCTGATGGTCAGGACAAGCAGGTACCACAGGCTCTTTGTGGATTGGAAGTCGTCGGGCTCGGGGGCCGAGGGGTGGGGCGCAAGAAAAGCATGGCGTTCGCTGCCCCGTTCGCTGCCGCGTTCGCTGCCGCCGGGCTCGGGGGAGAGGAGGGGTGACTGCTCGTTGACAGCGCCAGGGTTGTCGTCGGGGTCGGCACCGGGGCCGTCGAGGGAGGAGCTGCTGCGGGTCGGGGTTGTGGGGCCTTGACTGCTCGTGGAGGAGGTGTTTGGACCGTCGACCTCGACCGAGGGGCGACCTCTAGTCGAAGATTCGGCAAATGGCGGAGTCATGCGTGACAGGAGCGGCGGAACGGTCCAGGATGTCTTGTCGGACTCGAATTATAGATATGGATATACTATGGATGGACGAGTTCTTGGTGCCGCCAAAGGGGAACGAAAGAGTCAAGCCGTGTGACACAGGTGGATGGTCGAGTAGGTTCTATCTATATGGTATCCATGAAAGGTGTGCAAGCATAGGGGATTCCGCGAAGGGATGGCGGTGGTGTTCAAAGGAGGGAGGACGGTTTGACAGGGACGGTTGACGGGGACGGCGTCAAGCCAAGGAAGGTTGTTGCGCTGCGGATTAAGTTTGGTTCAGCTCGGGACGGCGGGCCATCATGCGACCAGCCGGGCCATGTCAGAGGGGATGCGGCGGATGCCACGAGACTTGCAGGGTCCAGAGCTTTGATGTCAGGAGGGAGCGGTAAGAGAAGCCCAGTTGCCCAGCAGACGGACCTCCTTATTATTATTAGTACCCAGCCTCGTTGGCAGCAGACGTCACAGCCCACCTGCCCACCTGGGGCAGCCACGCGACTGATTAGGCCTGCAGGCCTGCAGCCCTGCACCGTCCCGGTTTACCCCAGGTTTCCGTCCACCTCGTTCCTTGCCCATCTCGGCAGGCCCCCACAACCATCGTCGAACGCCCTCCCGAGAGCCCGAGAGCTGCACCACATCGCCGGGTGTACGTAACAGCAATGCCCTTATTAGTGACGGCCATTTCACCGGCATGTGATCAGATGCCTACCTATCAAGACCATCAAGACTACGGAATACTGAATGTCCAGTTCCGTGCTGTGAGCTTGCGGCATGCGAGTGGGCCCAGGACCAACCAGCATTTTCATCAGCTTCAGATATTGAGATGCTCACAGCCTGGACAAGTGCCTGACTACGGCCCTGCGCAATGTTCCAGAGAGTTGGCCATCTCATAAAACAGGCCCGCACTATGTACACCAGATTATCACGTGAAGCCTTGCCCATCCCTTGCTAACTGTGTCACCGAGGACCCCACTTGGACACTATCTACGTAACCAGGAGGCGTAGCATCAGCGAATCACCTTGGTCTGCGGCTACTACCCGGCGACAGAAAGCACAGGTGGCATCGGCCCCGGCTCCGTCCCAGAATAGGCAGCTCTGACAACTTGGCCCATCGCATCGCATCGCATCGCATCCACCACACTAGCAAGCAGCCTGCCCCAAACTGCCATACTGCCATACTGCCACACTGCGATACCGATACTGGTCTTGGCGCTTCCTGGAGAAAGCCTAGCCGGCAGTATCATTCCACCTTCCTTCGCCGAGAGCTTGACCATACCACCCCAAGCTTCACCCTCACCCAGCTCCTCAACAGCTGCAGCTCCTCCTCCCGCAGCCCCTTCATCCCTCGCAGACGACCTCCCTGAACAGCAACCATCGAATGCTGCGCCCACCTCACCCGCGCCGCCTCTCATGATCACGTCCTGATCACTCCAACGCCCCTCCAACGCCCCTCCGGGTTGCCGCCGCCTACCTCCTCTAACCTGGCCCCGCCTGGACCGTGATCATGCTGGCCGACGTCCTCGGCCCCGCCGTCGACATCGCTCGCCGCGCGGCTGAAGATGCCGACCCCGATGGCGAAGACGCCTCCCAGAAGGAGATCTATGCCTCCTGGGCCCTCTTTATCCTCATCGTCCTGCTCATAGTAGCACTCTTCACCAGCTACATGCTCCAGCAGAGGAAGGTCACGGCCATCCACGAGACTGTCGCATCCATCTTTGCTGGTTCGTCCCCCTGCCCGCAACTCCTCCTCTCACGCAGAATTCCATGCACCTTGGGACCTTGGCTGACAACCGACCAGGTATGGTCGTCGGCTTGACCCTCCGCGTCGCCGGCGGTGAGAACCTACAGAACCTCGTGAGCTTCGACTACCAGATCTTCTTCAACCTGCTGCTCCCCCCCATTATCCTCTCGTCCGGCTACGAGCTACACCAAGCCAACTTCTTCCGGAACATCGGCACTATCTTGACCTTCGCCTTCGCCGGCACATTCCTCTCCGCCCTGGTCATCGGTGTTATTCTCTGGCTGTACACGCGTGTTCCTCTCGATGGTCTCAACATGGGGTGGACAGATGCCATCTCGGTTGGCGCAACGCTGTCCGCTACGGACCCTGTCACCATCCTTGCCATCTTCACCTCCTACAAGGTCGACCCCAAGCTCTACACCATCATTTTTGGCGAGTCCATCCTGAACGACGCTATTGCGATCGTCATATTCGAGGCCGCCCAGAAATCCAAGAACGGCGCCGCCGAGATGTCCGGCGTGGCGAGCCTTTTCTTCGGCATCGGCACCTTCTTGTTCGACTTCTTCGGCAGCTTGGCTATCGGCGTTGCTGTTGGCATCGGCGCCGCGCTGTGTCTGAAGTACACCTATGTCCGGAGGTTCCCCAAGATCGAGAGCTGTCTGATTGTCTTGATCGCCTATTCGACCTATTTCTTCTCCCAGGCCATCAAGATGTCAGGTATCGTCTCTTTGCTCTTCTGCGGGATCACTCTCAAGCACTACGCTTATTTCAACATGTCCCGGAGAACGCAGCTTACGACCAAGTACCTGTTCCAGGTCTTGGCACAGCTGTCAGAAAACTTCATCTTTATTTACCTCGGACTCTCCCTCTTCACCGGGGAGGACCTTGAATTCAAGCCCTTGCTCACTATTGTCACCGTCTTGGCCGTGTGTGCGGCAAGATGGGTCGCAGTATTCCCCTTGTCGCGCGCCATCAATTGGTTCATCCGCTACAAAGCCCGACGCCGCGGGATTATGGATCAGCCGGATGAGCTGCCATACAACTACCAGGCGATGCTGTTTTGGGCTGGTCTGCGAGGTGCCGTAGGGGTGGCTCTGGCCGCCCTCATCACCGGAAACGACAGATTCGCGTTGAAGGCCACTGTCCTGGTGGTCGTGGTGTTGACCGTGATCATCTTCGGAGGCACGACGGCTCGAATGCTGGAAATTTTGAATATCCGCACTGGGGTGGTGGAAGAGATTGACTCGGATGATGAGTTCGATATTGAGGCAGTCGGTGGCGGCAGCTACTACAAGCGCGCTGGCACCGGGATTGGGTACATGCCGCGACGGACCAACTCGAACTTATCTCTGGGCCGGGTGGATGGCTCGAACGGGAGGCGTAACGGTAGCAGCGACCCTCACAGCTGGTCATCCGGCCACCGAAGCCCACATGGGCTTGAACGGCCCTCGAGCATCAGCCGGAAGGGCTCCAGGGCCAACTTCCCCGACCATGAGCAGTCTGAACTCCTTGGCAGCAACTCTGCGAGCGTCACAGACTCTGATCTGGGTAGCGATGTCGACATCTCCGACCTGCCGCCCGCCGCGCCGAAACGGCGGGCCAGCCCTGTACCACCGACCAGCGTACCGGCTGGCGAGAGCTCAGCAGCCTCGCAGCCAGTGCTCTCGGGCACACGCGAAAGGTCTGCCACCCTGACGGATGGGGCCAGGTCCGCGGCCAGTACTATCAAGCAGCTGCTCACCTCGGAAGACCCATCGGCTCTCTTCAGGCAGTTGGACGAGGACTATATCAAGCCCCACCTGCTGCTCGAGGACAACCGGGGGCGGGGGCATGGCAACGGGGGCGCGGGCCCGAGCGGCTAAAGCGCGTGTAGTTTTTCTCTCACTTTTTCTGCGTACATCTTAACATATTAGAGCATTCGCGGCGTTTTAGGTGTCAAATCGGGATGACATTGGGAAGGGCCTGGTGTGTGTGTGTGCGTAACGCGCGTGTATACGCTCGCACTGCATTGGCCGTGGGTTTACCAGGCACCATGTACTGTATGCTTGGGCAGAATAAACCCTACGGCATCTAGCATCTAGACATGAATACCAACAGATCTTGGCCATACCTCCCGTTCCGTTTTCTTTTACCGTACCTTTTTTTAGAACAGCCTCTAGGAAGATCCATTTTTAAGATGACATCCGTGAGGAAACTTGTAAGACAACCTTTTCCGGACAACCACTTACGGCCAGCACTCGCAAATCAGAAGTCCACCCAATGGGAGAGAACCAGATCAAGGATGCTGCTCAGACCAGGTCTTGAACCAAGCCAGGGCCTCGGGATTCGCAACACTCGCATTCGTCTTGACCTCCATCCCAGAGAGGATCTGCTTGACAGCAACCTCAATCTTCTTGCCGTTGCCCGTCTTGGGGACGCCGGCGGGTCCGCACTCCTCGACGACAGCGGGGACGTGGCGCGGGCTGAGCTGGCGGCGGATGACATCACGGACGCGGGCGTCGGTGTCGCCCTTGACGAACTTTTTGCCGGGGGCCATCACCAGGAACAGGCAGACGGTCTCGTCCGCGTCGACGTTGGGTCGGCGGCGGCCAATGCACACCGAGTCCTCGATCTCGGAGGCGAAGAAGCGCGTCAGGATGTTGTAGATCTCGGCCGAGCCGAAGCGGACGCCTGCGGGTTTAAGGACGCCGTCGCTCCTGCCTAGCATCTTGACTATTGTGTTCGAGGGACGTGTGAGAGAGAGACTCCTGGCAATGAATGGATGCATTGTTGTACTTACGACCGCCATTTTTAGTGATCTGGATGAAGTCGCCGTGATGCCATATCCCCGGGAAGCGCTCAAAACTGTAGAGTGTCAGCCCATGCATGTATAGCGTGGAGGACTGCTGGAAGCATGACGACGTACTAGGCAGCGCGATACTTGTCATGGCCATTCTCCCCATAGAAGGTCAGCGGTTGGCACGGGAAAGGCTTCACACAGACGAGATCTCCGGGCGCATCAGGCGGGTCCACGGGCCTGGGATCGTCAGCGGCCGAGTTGCTGTCGACGACCTTTACGGCCATGCCCAGGCCGGCGCACTGGATCTCCCCGACGCGGACGGGCAGCAGCGGGCAGAGGGCCCCAAACAGCGAGATGATGTCGGTGCCGCCGGTGATGGAGCCCAGGTTGATGTTCTTGGGGAAGGCCTCGTAGACGAAGCTGAAGGTCGAGGGCGGCAGCGGCGAGGCAGTCGAGTAGATGGCCTCGAGGCGGCTGAGGTCCAGCTCGGGGTGCTGCACGGGGCGGACGCCGTTGGCCTCGAGGGCCACCAGGTAGGCGGCGCTGGTGCCAAAGTGCGTGACGTGCAGCTCGGACAGCAGCCTGGGGAGGGACATGTGGCCGTGGGGCCGGAAGGGCGAGCCCGAGTAGAGGACGAGGGAGGCGCCGACGGCGAGGGCCGAGATGCTCCAGTGCCACATCATCCAGCTCGTGGTGGTGTAGTAGAGCATGCGGGAGGCCCGCGAGACGGACCCGTGGAGCAGGTGCTCCTTCTTATGCTGGACGAGCGTCCCCGCCGCCGTGTGGATGATGGCCTTTGGCAGGCCCGTCGTGCCCGAGGAGAAGAGTATGTACAGCGGGTGCGACGGCGGCAGCTGCTCGAAGCGGAGCCCCTCGTCGGGCGAGCTGCCCAGGAAGTTCTCGTACTCGTCCGCCCTGGCGACCTGGGCCCCGAGGCTGTCGAGCCCGGCGAGCCCGGGGTCGGCGCCGGCGCCGGGGAGGTTCCTGATGACGACGACCAGCTCGAGGCCCTTCTTCTTGAGCTCGCCCACGATCTCCTCCGTCTTGGCCCTGCTCGACCACTCCTTGCCGTTGTAGACCATGCCGTCGTCGGCAAAGAGCACCTTGGGCCCGAGCTGCGCCAGCCGGTCCAGCACCGCCGACACGCCGTTGTCCGGGCTGATGCCGGACCACACCGCCCCCAGCGATGCCGACGCCAGCATCGCGACCAGCGACTGTACGTGGTTCGACACGTAGCCGGCCACAACCTCGCCCTGCTTCAACCCAGCCGCGCGCAGGGCGCTCGCGCACCGACGCACCGCCTCCCTCAGCTCCGCCCACGACGTCTCGACAACATCACCGGGCCGCTCCGTGGCGGTGATGACGGCCACGCCCGCGGGGTCCACCTCCACGCCCGCGGGGAAGAGCAGGTTCTCGGCAAAGTTGAGACGGGCGCCCGAGAAGAAGTCGGGTCTCGGGAACATGGGCACCGCCTCGGCCTCGGCCTTGCCCCCTGGTCCGGCACCCGGCAGCACGGCGTCGTAAGTGCGCGACGACACGACGCCGCAGAACTCCCACACCTCGCCCCAGAACTCGGCGACGTTGTCGATGGACCACTGGTAGAGTGCCGGGTACGTCTCCAGCTGGAGGTCGTACTTGCGGCTCACATGGCGCATGAACCGGGCCAGCTGCGTGTCGAAGGGGCTCGGGTGCCTCCACAGGATCGCGGCCGCATCATGTTCGTTCGAGGACCCTGTCATGCCGGAGTCTGGGTGTGTGTGCCAATTGGGTACTTAAGTAGTATGCGAGGATGAGAAGGTTCCTGAGCAGACAGGGCAGCTGTGCTGGACTTGTGGAGGTGAACTGAGTTGAGCCCGGACCCTCCCGGTGGGGATCGACTTCTCACCTGCGATTGAGGTTGTCCGAGCCGCCGACGGTACCCGGCTTACACGGTTGCCGAGGTCTTATTGTCGAACTCTTGCGGATGAACTCCCTGGTAGTCTTCCCCATAAGAAATTCGTAACGGAGGAGGCTATTTAGCATGAGAGTATAGGGGGGTTTGGTGGATTTGCACAAGATTGTGTACTGCAGCAGACAGCATACAAGAGAATAGCCGAGTTCACCTGCCATCTTGTAAGCATCGCCACAGCACATTTGTCTCTGAGGGCTATGGCCTCCAGACAAGATCATCGCCCCGAAGGCCCACTTCACCGGCCGAGAGGTAACCGGTAGGATATGATCTGTTATTGATTGTTTTGTTGAGCTATTCCAAAGCCTCGAGTGAGGATTCCGAGGCGGTAGCGGGCCATCGCGGATGGGGTCTGCTGTTACCACCCGGGGTGGGGGCGTGATGCAAAAGTCCCTTTGCAGACCCCGTGGATCTCACTCGCCCTGGTCTCTTATTCCCGATCTCGAGCTGGCCCCCTCGGCGTTCAGCAGCTTGATTCCTTTCCAGCAAGAGTCGGGCTGCTTGAGAGCTCGCCACCCCCCTCTCCCCGGAAGCCTGGCCTCTTGCCCCTTGGCAGCACCCATGGCCCCGTCTCTCCTTCCATCGGCCGCCTGGTCCGACAATGCCCACAATGCTCAGGCGGTGATGTGGCGCCCACTCCACGCCGTTGGCCGCCCGTCCAAGTCCAGAAGGGGGGCGCGGCCGTGACCTTCCAACCCCCTCAAACCAATCTCCCTTTACCCCCCACCCCGAAACGCCTGTCCCGAAAAGTGCAAGAAATCCCCTCAAGGCACGCCGTCTCCAAATGCAGATGCGCTGGTATCATGACTTCCATTATAACTCCGTAGAACAAACGGCTGGTCCATCAACCGTCAGAAACTTGTTCACAGCCGCCGCCCTTGCCAGCTCCCCGACCCCTATGTCTGTAAACACAGCCCACCTCAGGCTTGTGTTCCTTCTTGCACAATGAGATCGGCGTATATACAACAGCGTCGGATCCGAATAGCTCTTCCGTGTTGAATACCAAACGAGCCTAATGCTGCTGCTGCTGCTGCTGCTGCAAAGAAATGAGATCGCAATCGTACAGCCCCGCTCGACTGGTGTTCCTGAGCATGTCAGGATCGACGTCTCGGACACCAACCACGAGGAAGCAAGCAGGCAGCTCTCTTGTGCGCGCATGCTATCCTCCATCCCCCCCCCCATCCCTGTTCGTGGGAAGACCCGCCAGCCGTCATTACTGCCCCAAAACCAGTTGCTTCAGCCCCTCATTCTCACGTCTCATGGCCTCCTCATGGGATGCATCGCCGCCCGCTATTTCCGGCGATGCCCCGTTCATGCTGGCACCTTCAGTCGGGGCTCCGTTGGTTGCAGCCACTTGCTGGCTCTTTTGCTCCAGCTCAAACCACTTCTGCGCTTCCTCGTTCTCACGTTGCAGGTCCTCTTCCTGGCGGACCCTATCCTGCTCAGCTTCGTCGGCAAGCCTCTGGGCTTGTTCCTGCTCGCATGAGACTTCTGCTGCCTGATTAGGGGTCATGTCGACATCCATTGCCTCCTCCGGGGGCGGGGGTGGAGGTGGCGGGCTGGGCTCCTCGGTCGTCTCTTCGTCCTTCAGGCGCTTCACAGATGGTGGCTCGTCAGGAGTGAGGCTGGCGTCCAGGAGGTCGTCTTCGTCTCGCTTTCGCTTCCGCTCGGGGGAGTCTGGCGCGGCGTCATCGGCGTCACTCAAGACGGCCGGTTCGTTGTCAGCCGGTCCGTTGGTCCCGGGCGTCTCGACCGATGCGATGGCCTCGCCACTCGACTCTTTTGTCTTGGCATGGCTCGAGCCCGCCGCACGCTCGGCCTTGCGCTTTTCGTGCTCCTGGTACTTCTCTACTGCACGATCGAGGAAATCTTTGACGTATTTCCGAATCTTCTTTTCCTGTTTCTCAGTGATGGAGGTGGGGTCTGCCACACGGTTGTTCTTGTAGTCTGAAGACACCAATTTCTTACTGACGTCCTTCGCGAACCTCTTTAGTTCCTCTTTGGGCAGCTTGTGGCGGAACTTGTCCAAGACATGTTTGACGTGCGGGAAGAGCTATACTGCGTGTCAGCTGACAGAACGGCCGGGGCATTTGGGGGTGCTGCACATACCGTATTCTCGTAGATCCTCATCTGCTTTTCGATCGGAAGAGAACGCCACTTCTCCTTCTTGGCCTCCGGGACAGGTGTGCTCTGTCGCTGTGGGGTGAGCGATGCAGAGGGCTTGGGCGTCGGCTCCTTGCTCAGGTTCTCAATTATGTCCATTACGGCCTTTTGGTCCTGCTGCTGCTTGGAGGGTACCTTTGCCGCATGTGCCGGCACGGTTGGGCGTTGCCAGGTTACGGTACCGCTCTGGGAGTAGTAGTACACTTTCCCTTCGGGGTCCTTGGCCATGAACCAGCCCTGCGGCAGGGCGTTGCCGGTCGGGAACACCCGCCTGGGCCGCGGTTGAAAGTATGCCGCATTTCGCTGAGGGATGTTGCTCTTGGGGCCCTTTGGAATAACAATACCGGGCGCAATGACGGGCTTTGCTGGTGTCTCTTCCTTGTGGTCGTGCTTGCGGCGCTCCTCAAAAGAGTTGGCGGGCTGGGTGGCGGGGTCAAATTTCCTTCGAGGAATCCGGTAAGCCGTCTCCAATTTGCTCCACTCTTCTAGGAGGCGCTTGGATTCGGCCGCCACCTCCTCATGCTCCGACGGGGTGAGACTCTCGACCACCGCCTCAATGTTTGAGTCGGATATCTTGTTCTTGGTCAATCGTGGGAACTTGTAGAGGATGTCGAGTATCTGGAGGACAATGTTATGGTCGTCTTTGAAGGCGTTGAGCGTGGTTTTGAGGATCTGGTAACCGTGCATCTGCACAACCCTGTTGCGCACCCGGTCGTCGTCGGCGTTCTGAATGCGCTGCAGCAATTTTACTGCAATCCATTTTTCCTTGCATTGCATCAGGGCGGCCATGACCTTAGTGACACCGCTCTCATCGAGGCCGCGCAGCTGCACGCTGTTGACATACTCTTCCTCGTCCTCGGTGGGCTTCTTCTTGCGGGGCTTCTTGGCAACAGCGGTGTCCCAGCTGTCGCCATCGTCGATACCCAGCGCCTCGATGGTTGCAAGGGGCAATTTGGTGGCACGCTCCGTCTGGGTCTTGCCGCCGATGAACCCTGTGCAGTTCGGCTCACCACAGTAGCAGGGCTGCGGGTCAGCGCCATAGCGGTCCACGTTGTAGTTGAAGACGAGCTCCTCGCCGGCCCTGACTGCACGGCCTGTAAAAATGCCCATGCGCAATTTTTCACCAACCACCCACTTGTCCACATAGCAGTTTGGGTTGCAGGAGTGATTGCAGAACCGCCCCAGGTTGCCCTTCTTGGTAGCATCAACAAATTCGGTCCTCGTCAGTGACATGAAATAAAAGTGCTTGATACCTTCGTTATCGTACTGCATCATCCGCCGTCTGAAAGTCGGCTCATTGATGACCTCGCCGATGTACTCAAAAACGAAATCGTTGGGCTGCAGGTCAACATTCGCCCTGAGGCCGAAGCCCTTCTTTTCAGTCTTGATGACGGAGACATTTGCGAACTGTTGACGCTGGAAGCGCTGGTTTTGGCAGCCGGAGCCGCAGTTGCAGTCGCCGTCCACACATTCCATCTTGGTCGCTCGATTGATGCAGTCCGAGTCTTCCCCGCAGGCGGTGTTGCTGCCATTTTCTGCTCACAGAAGTCAAAACAAACGGCCCAAGCAGAGGCGTGGGCATTCGCGCAGGCTAGGTTAGGGGTACTTACGCCACTCTTCAGCACAATCACAATCCAAGGCATCGTGTTCTGATGCTCCCATGTTCTTTGAGCCATACAGACAATCGGGAATGACCTGAAAGGTCGTCTTGGACTCCTCTGTAACATCGGGAAGGTGGTCGAAGAGAGGCGGTGTGCGCGAGACGGCCTTGGACGACGGTTTCCTCGACAATTTTGGCGCAGGCTCGTTCTCGGGCGTGGAGGTGCTCTCGTTGTCTGCCTTTGCTCCTGGCGACAGACTCGACGATCTCGAGGGTTTGGACTCGTTGGGCGAGGTGGAAGCACTGCGCTGCGCCTTGAGGGCGGATGTGGTCTCCCGGAAGCCGTCCTCCATCTTGATGGCCGGAGACGCATCCGCCTTGCGCTCCTCCCCGTCCATCCTGGGTGCTCAGGCGGGCCCTGTGGTCCCTACGGCGGGAGGTGAGTTCGACTTGGGACCGAGGTTGCGTTGGCAAAGGGACAGGCGCAAGGGTGTGAGGGCAGGTCGGCCAATGCTGGTGCGGTCCATAGACGTGCAGTCGTAAGCGCGATGCAAGAGGAAGAGTGCAGGACCGAAAACCGAGGGCGAATTGCTAAGGCGAAGAAGCGCAGAAGCGCAGAGGCGGAGGTGGGAAGGGAAGAGGGAAAGATGGAGGCTAAGCAGAGACCGGAGACGAGACGGTAGGGTTCGCTATCGGACTTGGTGGTCCGGTATCCTCGACATGGCAGGTCCTGGCTTCAGAACCTCTGCGCCTGCTACGATCGTGTGTATGCGTGTGTGTGCTCTCAATTCAGCCCTATGTCTTGCATGCCGTGGCTGATGATTCTGATCGCAACTCTGGTTTTGGTCTGTTGGCCGTGACAGGCGTGCGGGTCTGGATTCTTGGACTTGGGTTAGGGCGCCTGTGACTGGCGCAAGTGCAGAAGATCACCACTCCTCAAGCATCCACGGATCCTTGCATTTCACCTGTCCATTTTGCTGCAGGACCCCCAACCACACCAAACCCGGTGCCTGCCGGGCAGCAATGTGCCGCCCGACCTTCCCCAGTTAGCGTGGATACCTAGGTACTTACCAACCTGCCAGCCTGCCAACGAGGCAGCTTGGAAAAAAAGTTGCCGAGGGGCTTTGAGGGAGGGAGGAGGGGGTCAGGAAGGAGACTGGGTCGCCTCCAATCCCGGATCCCCAACCCAACACTCCACTCAATCAATGGGTGATTGATAGCATCGTGAGCATCATGTCCTCGTACTAGACAGTCAATGCAGTGCCTGCAGATGATGACTGTAGGAAATGCCACAATTCAGCCAGCAGTCTCAGCATGTCCACCCGGACTGGATGGGTCTTGAGCAGTCGCTTGTGCCAGATGCGGAGCATTGACTGCCCAGAAGAGTAGAGTGACAAAGGCGAATTCCAGAGGACAAACATTGGAACAAATCCAGCATCACCTCTACATCATATCGGGAGCCAACACATGGTGGTTCTGCTGCAGCCTAGGAGCATCTGCACCCGCAAAGTGCACGTCTCTGCCAGGCACCTGGCATTCAACAGGCATCTTCTCTTTGAAGGGCAATCAATTATTTTTCCTGCAGCCATCTGATAGCAGCACCTGAAGGGGGCATGTCATTTGTTCAAGTTCTTGAGCAGACCCAGTACCCCTCTACGAGCCAGATCGCCTTGCAGGCAGATTGTTAGACACCAGTAGATGAGGGGTGACTCTTGCAGGAGGTGCTCGTGCAGGGAGGGGGCCCTCTGAGAGGGTGGTGCTGTTGAATGAAAATACTATAAAACTGACCTGATCCGGCGAGTTCACTGCGACTTGGGAATGCCCCGTACCATGCTGTACCATGACGCAGTCTAAGGGTGCTTGTGATCAGTGAGTAGCAATGGGGATATGGTGTGCCGGCGTTTGTTACCACGAGTAGTGTGGGCTCAGAGATAGTGTTTGCAAGCTCGGCAGCGGCAAAAGCAAGTACACTGACGTGGCCACCTGAGGATGGCCGACACAACAGACATGCAGAGACGGAGGGTAGGCTGGCAGGGCTGGCTGGAGCACCGGACGAGATGGTAAAACGGAAGCTTCTGTCGTGGACGGTACAATGCCAGCGCATTATGCAGACCGGTCGACCGGTCGGATTGTAGAGTGGAGAAGGCTGGCAGGCTGGTCGGGACAACGGAGCGGTGAGCATGGAGGATAAAAACATATCAACCCGGCGTGTTCCCACATGGGCTGGCCCAGCGAGAAGCAGTTCATTTGCAGGGTCGACTTCTTTGTTTGCAAACAAGACCATCAGACCATGCATGCGGCTCAGTCCTACCACATGAACTGCTGGCTTGTGCTGCGGCAGTCGTGATGGCCGACGGCCGACCTGGCCACTCTCATTGGCGTGTGTCGCCTGCGCCGCCGCCCACGAGAGACGACCACTGAGATGCTGCGACACGGTTGGCGGTAGGCCAAGAGGAACAATGCTGTCCCACCAGACGTGGCTTACCAAAGACGACCTGGTCTGGGGCCGACGGTCTGATTGGGCCATGGGACACTGCAAGGCGTCCAGCAAGCCGGCCGTCTGTCTGCCTGTCTACGTGAGTTGCCATCCCTCATGTGGGTAACGTCCATGATGACGCTCAGCTTGGCCCGTCACGGTGCTGGCTGGAGGTGCTGGTTAGTGGCCTGCCAGTGGTGAGCAGTGTGGCGGTTGTGTGGTTTTGTGTCATGGACTTTCAGCTAACACGGGGCGCTGCGAGGCCAGACTGACGGTGAGTGCTGGTGAAGGGGGTATCAGGTGCCCCCGCGGGTAGGCTGGGACGGAGCCCATTGGCCTGCTGGACGCAACAACCTGCAGTCGGCGATGTGTGCCAGCACGGATGCGACGTGCTTGCAGCCAAGCACCCAAGGCAGAGGGAGACGACTTGTTTAGCACCCAGGCACTTGGGGCCCTGGATACCGCATTGGATCTCTTGCAGCAGGGCCGGGTCTTAGCTGCATGTCTGATCCCGATTTCGATTTGTTTTGATCTCGTCAGGCCCGATCCGAGTCGAATATCGCGGCCGCCGTCATTGCTGTGCTGTGGAGGAGGCAAGCCGAAAAGGGCGAGGTTGAGATGACGACAAGGGGGGTGGGGAGCAAGGGCATTAATGAGTGACAAGGGACCGCAAAGACTGGGGCGGCCATCTCAGCCTCGACCATCCGAATACACACCCTGGACCGCTGTCTTTTTTATCTCCGTCCGCAAAGCGCAAAGCAAGGAGGTCAGGCTGGACCGAGCGTCCTGGCTCGTGTGTCTCTGTCGCCTCGCCTCGCCTCGTCTCGTTTCCTTCCTTCTGGATTTGGGGAAATTGCCCAAACTGGACCTGGGCCTTCTCGCGAATTATGAACATCCCGGCTCATCTCATGCTGGACCATCTGTGCAACATTCGACATTCACACCGTCGAGCCCGAGGACAATCACTTTCGCGATCCTTGCACCGAACAATCATCGCACACCCACACCAGCCCACTTCTCATTTTACGCCACCCGAGGCCGTCCCTCTCGACTCTGCCCGCCCTCACGACTCACGGCCAACCCATCAATCACAGCACAGCTCCTGAGCGGCCTCCCTGCCAGCCTGGCCAGCCAGATCGTGGGCACTGAGTCACTCAGTGGGCGGGCGACGCGACCCGACTGGCCTGCTTTCGATAGTAGCTCCGAGTAGACAAAGCCCATCCTGACTGGGCTCCTCTTGTCTGTCTCGCCGCCTCTCCCTGCTGGGCACGGTACTGAGGTCTCGGGCAGGGCGCAGGTCGTATTTCCCCTGCGCTGCAGGGTGATTTGCCCGCGCCTTGCTGCTCTGCTGCTGCCTCCTCTGTCATATACGTACCAGGTACCTGGGCCATCCAAGTCAGCCTCGTCTATTTCTCTTCCTTGCAACAGTCCACCGAGCTCTGCAGATCCGAGGGCTGCCTCAGTATATCTCGAACAGAGAGAGACAGACCACAGACCACAGACCACAGACCACAGACCACAGACCACAGACCCGCCGACCACGGGACACGGCACGGCATACCACGGCACAAATCCAGGCCAGGACGAGTCCCAGGGCCACCCAGAGTACCAGAGTGAGCCCAACACTGAACGGCGCCATCCTCCCTCCCGTGACGCGGACGGGCCACGGACCACAGCGCCAGCAAGTTCTAGGAAAGCTTTTTTTCCCACTCGCCGCCCAGGCCCCAGCCAGGCACAGGTAGCTACAAGCAGGGGTCAGAGGCTCTGTGTAACCAAATCTCGGCTCATGCTTCTGCATTTGCCCAGGCAAGCCAGGTCCACTGCAGTGGCTTTTCTAGGTTCTCCCACCACTCCTCCGCCGGCATTCTGATCAGACGCGCGCTTGCTCGCCTGCTCGCCTGCTCGCGCCTACCTGTCCCACTGCTCAAGGGGGCGCATTCTCTCTAGTCGACTTCGTTTCTCAAGCCCCTCGCCAATCGCTCGTTCTTATTCGGCGGTCTCGTTCTGGGGGGGCATTACGACAATTACATGTCGTTCCGCTTTCCCTTTTCCCTTCTGCTCCACCGCCCGTCCGGCCAACATCTTTCTTCTCCTCTGAGAGCTGCCTTGCACTTGGCCTGTGATATCCACGCCCTTCTCACACGGCCGGCATTCCCAAAACGCCCCTCCTTTCACCTGAAATGTCACCCGCTCGCTGTGATCGCACATAGGTTTTTTGCATGATGGATGCCTTTACCGAAGACGAGAAGGTAATACATTCGCGCGTCCTGGCCCTCTGTGACGCGGCCAGATTCTAACACTGTTTCGCAGCGCTTCGTGCTCGCTGAATACATCAAGGCCAGTCAGGTGGAGACTGACCAGCTCGTCGAGTTCATTAGTGAGTGCGCTGTTCCTGACACCGCGATACAGTCACGTCCGCGGCGCGCAACAATGCTAATCATGCTGTTCCCAGAGGCGTACAATTTGCAGGCTGACTGGTTCGCAATGCAGCTGCCTGGAGGTGAGCATCTCGAGTCTCTTCTGCTTACGATCCTGTCGCTCCTAACAGTCTCTACCGCAGGTCGGAACATGCACCAGTGCATGCGCGCGGCATCGCAGCTGCTGGACAGGGAACTGCAACTTCCCAGCCTCCCCAACTTGAAGAGGAAGTCTGTGAGCGACTTCAGCGAACACGTCCCCAAACGAGTGGCTTCAATGACGCCCATACAATATCAACCGCGACCGCCTCCCCTTCCTCAGCCGTTGCCTCTGGCTCAGCCTCAGCCTCAGCTTCAGCCGCAGCCGCAGCCGCAGCCGCAGCCCGCCCAGCTTCACCAACCCGTCGCAACTTCACGAGCCATTCAACCACGACCGTCTTCGGATCCCAAACAGACGACCGCGGAAGGATATGGTGTCTTCCAATCCAAGTCGCCCTCTAATGGTTATGGTGTGTTCCAATCAAATCCCACGGTGCGGAAGCGAGGCAGGCCGTCCAAGGCGGAGAAAGAAGCGCAGGCCCGGGCAAATTCCGCAAATTATCCGACCAGCACTCCTGTTCCTATCAGCCCGAAGCCAGCGATCTCGCCAGCCGCAGCTACCACCCCGGTTGTGAGCCATGCAAGCACGAGGACAGCATACCACACTGCCACTCGACCCCCAGACTCAAGACCCACAGGTGGAGGTAACACAGGAGTTGCTGGGGAGGTGGCACGCAGCCTTCCAAAACACTACACGGAACAAGCGAAATCGGAGAAGTCGCCTTCCATAGGAAATCTCGTCACACCCGAACCGGCAAGGGAGCCGCATAGGGGCTCACCCCCATCCCTTGTACGGCCAGCGGTTCGCGATCCACCGCCAGTGACGAATTCAGCATAGTTGTTGGGGGCGGGTGTCCAGGAAGCAGTTGGCAGGCTGTTCAGCTTGTCGCGAGCCCTCGCCGTTCAATGTGGGAGTATCGCTTGCGGCGAAAATCGCGATACACCACGAGAATCGAGCTACATGTGCAAAAAACGAGGCAGTTTACGGTTACTAGGTCGGGAGAGGGCTGTGTCTCTTCCACCGACAAAGATTATCGAAGTCTGGAGAATTTCTTTTCTTGTGGCGCCATGATGGGGCGCTTGCCATTCCCAGACAACCATGCTGGAACTCATGGGATTTCGGCTGGAGTCCTCAGATTGGTCTATTTTCACGGTTCCTAATCGACTTAGACGATACCCTTGGCGTTGCTCGGCTACTCCGGGCTTCGTTCGATTCCGGAAAGGATGCGCCGTTCCTTGCATACCAAGCATTGCATCTGCCGGGCTCGGACTGACCTCGGTGGTAATATACACGATATGCTGCGGTCGAGTGCAGCGAATCTTTGGCATTCTTCGGAGTCACTACTGCAGCAGCAAGAGAGATCGAATTGGAGGGTAGGCAATCCATGTCGCATTTGCAAGTTGTCATTTCAGGACAAGGGCGTGGGATCATCACGGGCACCAGCGGCGTTTGCACAATTGGACTTGGGGGCCTAGGTGGTGTTGACCGGATGGGCGATTTTGTTTCGGCGCAAGGGATTCGGCGGGCGGCGACTTTGTGCGATCCTTGTACCTGTGCAACACACAGAACATATCCAGGAATGGGATGGGAACCACAGACGGCATCGACTTTTTCTTCTTATTCTGGTGCTCGGTCTTGACAGGAGCAGGACTGAGGCCGCACAAGGCTGTTGTTTCGATAAGACCACGGAGGAGGGGAAGACGGGTCGGGTCTTCTCAAGACACGCGCACACAAGAATGACAGAACCTCACGGAACAGAACGGACCGGCATGACCGACTCCTATGCGCTCTCACATCAACCCTTGGGCGGAATAGTGATTGTCTGGGCAAACAAGTACGTTGGTTTGGGGAATTCGATCCTGGCTCCCGCAAACGCGTGGGGCGGCGAGATGTTGAATAGTGTTTGGCAGCGCTTAGTATCTCAACCCTCAAGCCAAGACGGAGTATATACTCAGGCAGTGTTGACTCGAGTGCACAAGACAACTGTTGTGTGTCCAGCCCAGGAAGTGTCGTGATAGGCCCGGAGACTAAAAACGCAGCTTATATTCATTCCGTGGTCGCAGGCCGACCGAGTGAGGCGATTCGCCAGCCGACCCGCCGCCAGGCTAGAGCTGTGATGGTGTGGTTGCAGGCAGCGAATGGGGGCTCAAGAACGGCTCGTGCCCTCCGCGTGGGGGCCAATACTAAGTGCAGGTAGGATTGACGTGGACAGAACAGAGACTATATCGGAAATTTCGACCACACGCACGTGGTGTCATATGCATGATAGAACAAACACACGTCGCTGCAGAGTTTACTCACAACTGGTCTTGCTCCGCTTTTGGGAGTAGTCTCTGGTCCACCGTGTTGCACTGACTGGCTGTATGTAGAGGCCATATCGCATGAGGGAGGCTCTCCGACGACACGTCGCAAGGCCCCTGCGATAGCTATTGCCAATAAGAAGGGCGTCCCCAAGTGTTCGTCCCGAAGTAGTAGGTTCAGATGTTATCACATACCTAGGTAGCTGTCTACCTAGGTACCTACCTACATGCTCAAGTCGATACCTAGGTACTTAAGTACCTAGGTATCCAATGATAGATCACCCTTTCGTAGAATATCCCAATGCTATGACAGGTCGCCGCGCAGGACCTGCCAAGAGGTCAAAGTGCCGTATCGCCCTGGTGGTTTGTGTGATTTCACGGCTGCCCAGTGCAATCGAACTAGATGCACAGGCTGTCAGGCTGTTAGAGAAGCAACTGCGCGAAGCCTCGGGATGCCTGCCAAGCCCTGGGCTCGACGGCTCGGCCCAGCGGCGACCGACCCCCATCAGCACTCGGCCATGGGCTCATTCGGCGTAACAATGCATCGAGACTCGCTCGACATGAGTGCGATTTGGTTCGCTTACTCGCCCAGTTCGCCCTTTCTCCATTTCTCCCAGGAGCCCCTGATCTGAACCAACCCCAAAGAGGCTGCTAGGCTCGCGAGAGACATGCCAGGGCCACAAAAATGCGAGTCGCCCTGGCTCTTGATTGCTGGGAATACAACGCCCTCGGTAACTCGTCCGAGAGGCGATGTAACTGAGGAGCCCGCCATGCTGATCATCAGACGCGCCCCCATGGGGATTGCGAATTACGCCCCATTTCAAAATGTTGTGTGATGCGGCTATAATACATGATGCCTCGCCGTTTCTCAAAATGGCGACCATCCGGTCCTACCGGTCCTACCGGTACCAGTTGACACGCCAGCATTCGCCCTGATCGCCGAGTGTCGTGCAAGATGCGGCCGCTTCTCCTCTTCACCACCCTCTTGGGTTGGGTATCCAGCGTGGTCTCTACTGACAATGGCCTTACCGACCTCGTGTCTTGGGACAAGTACAGCCTGTCGGTCAATGGAACCCGCGTCTTCATCAATTCGGCCGAGTTCCATTACCAGCGGCTGCCCGTCCCCGAGATGTGGCTGGACATATTCCATAAATTGAAGGCAAACGGCTTCAACACCGTCAGCATCTACTTTTTCTGGTCCTACCACTCTGCCTCTAAGGGTGTCTTCGACTTTGAGAGCCCGGGAAAGGATGTCCAGCGGCTATTTGACTACGCCAAGGAAGCAGGGCTATGGGTTGTCGCGCGCGCCGGTGTAAGTTCAAAGCCATTATTCAACCTGCACTCATGACCTAGACTAACAAGCCCCAAGCCTTATTGCAACGCAGAGCACAACGGAGGCGGCCTCGCCCTGTGGGGCTCTGACGGCAGTCTGGGCAACCTAAGGACCAGCGACGAGACCTACCACCAGGCCTGGATTCCTTGGGTGCAGAAGATTGGGTCGATAATCGCAGCCAACCAGATAACCAACGGGGGCCCTGTGATCCTCAACCAGGTTGAGAACGAGCTCACCGAGTCTGTCCACTCGGCGGACCACACCCTGGTCAAGTACATGGAGCAGCTCAAGACGGCTTACCGCGACGCCGGCATTGTTGTGCCTTTCACACACAACGAGAAGGGCATGAGGGGCCAGTCGTGGAGCACAGATTATCAGGATGTCGGAGGGTCTGTCAATGTCTACGGCTTGGATTCGTATCCAGGCGGTCAATCTTGCACGAACCCTACCAGCGGCTTCAATGTTGTACGGACATACTACCAATGTAAGTGGAAGCAGAAGGGTCCCCGTGTCCTGGTCGGTCAGCACAGACATGAAGCTGACTATATGCCAGGGTTCCAGAATTACAGCTTCACTCAGCCCGAGTACATGCCGGAATTCCAAGGAGGATGGTTCAGTGCTTGGGGAAGCGGCTCTTTCTACGACACGTGCGAGTCTGAGCATAACCCGGCCTTCCCAGATGTCTAGTGCGTCGAAACCCGTCTATATGGACGCCCAGAAGATCCCGAATCGCTAACGGCTGCACATAGCTACAAAAACAACATTGGCCAAAGAGTCACTCTGCAAAACTTCTACATGACCTACGGCGGCACCAACTGGGGTCATTCGGCCGCACCCGTTGTGTATACCAGCTACGATTACAGGTCAGTCAGCTTATACATCCACCCTCTTCATACATGGGCGCGCCGCAAACTAACGACGGGTGGACAGCGCCCCGATCCGTGAGACTCGTCAGCAATGGGACAAGCTATTCCAGACGAAGCTGGTCAACCTCTTTTCGAGCTCGTCTCCGGATCTTCTCGAAACAGAAATGGCGGGGAATGGAACCGGGTACAAGGTAGGCGCCATCCTGTCCCTGAACCGTAAACAGCCAGCTGATTTGGAGAAGGTCTCATCAACCGACATTTTTACCTGGGTCTTAAAAAACCCAGACTCCGGTGTAACTTTCACCGTTACCCAGCAGAGCAGCACGAAGTCTACTGCGAATGTGACGTTCTCCGTTACATTAGATACGAGCTCAGGAGCAGTCACAGTACCAGACGTCTCGTTACTTGGCAGGCAGAGCCGAATCCTTGTCACCGACTATGCATTCGGCGACCACACCCTGCTCTACTCCTCGGCTGATGTTGCAACCTGGGCGACCTTTGACGACGCATCTGCCATAGTGCTCTACCTGAAGGAAGGGCAGACCGGCCAATTTGCCTTCAAGGGCGAGCCTGGTCTCCAATACGACGTGCACGGAAGCTCGTCCCTCAGCTCCTCGAACACATCCGCTGGCCAGGCATTTACATACGTCCAAGGGTCAGGGCCAACGTTTGTCAAGTTCTCGAACGGCGTGCTGGTTTACCTCCTTGACCAGCCAACAGCGTGGACATTCTGGGCACCATCAACTGTGGCCGAGTTCTACCGATCCCCTGAGAACAAGATCTTTGTTTTGGGGCCATACCTCGTCAGAAGTGCATCATTGAGCGATGGCGCCCTTCACATCTCTGGCGACAATGACAAAGCTGGTCCAATCGAGGTGTTTGTTGGTGAGACACCCATCACAACCATTGTCTGGAACGGCGAGGAGCTCAGCGCGAGCGAGACGGCTTACGGCACCTACACCGCGGACATTCCAGGTACGGAAGAACGCGCAGTCTCGCTGCCTTCGCTGGACTCGTGGACATCGGCAGACTCTCTTCCGGAAGTGCAACCCGACTTCGACGATTCCGCCTGGGTCGTCTGTAACAAGACCTCGACCCTGTCCCCAGTGAAGCCGTACACTCTTCCCGTGCTCTTCTCTTCTGACTATGGGTACTACACTGGCGCGAAGCTTTACCGTGGCTACTTCTCAGGGTCCAACTTCACATCTGTTAATATCAGCGCAAGCGGTGGCCTAGCCTTTGGCTGGAATGCCTGGCTGAACGGCGTCCTTATCGGCGGTGACCCTGGCAATGCCTCGCTCACGACCACGACGCAGGTCCTGGACCTGCCACAGTCTGCGCTCCAGAAGAGCAACGGGACCAATGTCTTGACGGTTGTCGTAGACTACCACGGGCACGACCAGACCTCGACGGCCAAGGGTGTCGAGAACCCCCGTGGTATCCTCGGCGCCCAGCTGCTGCCGGGCACTTCGACGACAGACACGGGATTCACAACCTGGAAGATCCAAGGCAACGCCGGCGGCAGCGCAAACATTGACGCCGTCCGCGGCCCGATGAACGAGGGCGGCCTGTACGGGGAGCGTCTGGGCTGGCATCTGCCAGGCTTCTCGCCCGCGTCGTCATACCCGTCATCCCTCGGCGCCTGGGACGATTCGACGCCGTTCGACGGGCTGAGCACCTCGGGCATCCGCTTCTATGTCTCCAACTTCATGCTGGACATCGACGACGACCTGGACGCGCCCCTGGGGCTGTCGTTCTCGTCGCCGGCGGGGACTGTCGCCCGGATTATGTTCTGGATCAACGGCTACCAGTACGGCAAGTACGAGCCCCATATTGGCCCGCAGACCGTGTTTCCCGTGCCGCCTGGGATCATCAATAACCAGGGTGCAAACTCCATTGCGGTTAGCATCTGGGCACAGACGGACGACGGGGCCCGCCTTGATGAGGTCAAGCTCGTCAACTATGGGCTGTACCAGACTGATTATGGATTCTCGAAGGACTGGAGTGCTTTGCAGCCTGGGTGGACGGATAGGAGTGAATATGTTTGAAGGGGTTGAGGCGTCAGGTGTTGTACATATAATAGGCTGCGTGTTAAGAACGTACTCAATATACACAATACAGGCTAGAGCTTGTTCGGAGCGGACTGGTCCACCAATATTCTGCCACAAGAGGTCTACCATCAGAGACCAAGACGCAGGTGGCTTTGCTTCAGTGAGTTTTTCCACATGAGGGCGTCCCATAAGAGGTTGCGCCTTTCACTGCCAGAGGACTGGTCACCGTAGGATGCTCCAGAGGAATATAACATTTTGAACCTGTAGCAGGCCATCTCAGAGGTTGTTCTACAATGATGTCGCCTCTGGCGAACATCCAACATGAGGGTCCCCTATAGACCACACAAGGATATTACACAGTATGAGATTCCATTGGAGAACACTCCACGGTTTAACACCTGACACTGCCCATCAAAGATTTTTGCGAGACTTTACCCCACGAATTATCCAAGGGATCAACGTTCACCTGCAAAGAATAAATAAGATTTGGATTCCTTGTGAACCACTGAGACGGAAAAGTCACCACACCAGCAGACCTCAATGAAGGTGCTCCGAGTGGAAAATGGCAAGGGAGACCTCGCCTGGACTTTGGGCATTGGGTTTGGGGAAGTGGGTTAGTCTCGAGGGCGTCGTCAATTCCGGACTGGCACATGGTGTGGGTGGGCCAACCACGTTTTCCTCGTTGACTGATTGGAGCGGGTGCCGGTCGAGACTGAGCCTTTTCCCACCCAACCTTCAAGTTGCGGAGGCGGATAGCACAGTCAGTGGGACATTTGACAGTTTCTGCGTGCCTCTGCATATGCAGTGCACTGCATTTGCAGCACCTGCGTCATCAGCATTGTTCCTCCAGAGCCCGAAGTTGGGACGAGAATGGGCCTTGGAAGTCGAGCCGGCGACAAAAATTCCCGCACAAGTTGCAGCGAGCAAAAAAGGACGAAGGAAGAAAAAAGTTTGTAGGTCTGCAGCCAGCCCCGCCAGCAAATGACAAAACCTGGATGTTAGTTTGCCGCACATGTTGTATCCCTTGCATGTAGACCCACGACTGGGGTACTACTGTGTGTGATATGTTATTTGCTGCGAGACAAATGCCGTCTTTAATTCCCGCATCTCGACGGGAGTGCACACACATGTACATACTCCGTACACGGCGGCATCTGCCAGGACCCAGTGAACCGGTCGTGAATGGGTGTTTGGTCTTGGCACAAGGCAGGCAGTTGAGATGATGGAAGCCCACAACTTTGTTGAGTCAGCCCCAACTCGTCCTGGCCTGGCCTCCCACTACTCCGTACGTAGTACACGGTACGGAGTACGCAGGCCTCTTGGCCAGACTGCTGCGGTGGCACCGGCTGCACACTCTGGGCAGGAAGATGCGCAGCGCAGCGAGATGCAGCACAGGAGTCGGCATGATTTGATGTGCCACGGCTCACGTGCATGTGCCCAGCATATCGCATCGTACCTTGCAGCTTGCCCTCTCCAAGTCCCCGCCCTGTCATGCAAGGTACGAGCACGGGAAGGGCTCCTCTGACTCGTCGAGATGGATGGGGGCCATCCGGCCGGCTGATTCTACACTCCGTCCCGAGTCCTGACAGAGCAGAGCTGCCACCACCATGTCATCAAATTTCCACCCAGCAAAGCATTTCCCATGCGAGCAGAACAAGGCAGCGCCGGGCGTGAGCAAGAGTGGGGCCCACGCAGGCTTATTAGAAATAACAAGTCTCCGTATCCTGGTGGGAGCACACGGTGCCCAGGTGGTTGGCGGGCCAGCACGTTCGCAGGCACAGTGGGTATGGAGACTTGTACAACTCACTACAGTCCACCACACGGTCACCGTGCTGCGTAGAAAGACTGGGGCCCCAGGGCCCCGAAGGAGCCGTCGTTTCCCTCCCGCCCGCCCGCCCGCCCAGTCTGCCAGTTCAGAGTCAGTTCAGACCGTTGTCCAGGCTGGCGAGCTCCACTGTTGACGACATTCCGTCCTGCAAAGAGGCCTTGATCCCAGCCAGGCGTGCCAGTCCCCCAGTCCCCCAGTCTCCCAGTCCAGAAGCAGCTCCGCCTCGCACAACTTAGAACCAGGACCTGAACCCCAAAGGGCTCTTCTGGCCCGCCGCCAGGCCCAACTTGATCATGGCAATCCTCCTAAGCGGGAACATACTATGTAGTACTCCGTACTCTGCTAGCCAATTGGGACACCATGCGGTGCAGCGTTGTTCCGGGCCAGTCCCTGCTGCTGAGAGTCCGCCTGTGGTCCCGGTTGATGGAGCCTGGGAGCTTGTCTGCCATGAGGGTCGGTACCAGGGGTTGGCAGAACCGTCGACAAGTGTTCGCAGGGTATGGAAATGACATATATTAGCACTGACATAACCCTCAACCGGCACACTTGTCAATCGTGGTGCCCCTGCCCGCCGTTTGGGCCTAGAACGGGGAAACTTTGTTGGCCTCATGGCATGCTCAGGGACAAGGTTCAGATCATAATAGTATGTACGTACATACACGCAGAGAGAACAGAGCGACCTGATGGTGACTAATGACGAGCGAGAGCCCGTCGGAGTGACGGCTCTGTGAGCTCTGAGGACACGAGCAGGTGGCCCCACCGCGTTCCAAGTCCGCGAACCGGTGAGGTAGTATTAGAGAGACCATGTTTTGGCTGGGCCTGGCCTGGGCTGGCCCCAAAAGGTGACGCCGGGCTTGCTGCGAAGCTAATGAGGCTCAGGCAGCGTAGAGTTGGACCCGCGGCGACCGGCGACCGACATTGCTACCGATATGGGCTTCGCCAGGGACATTGATAAAGGACGGCAGGACCGAGAACAACGTTTTGACGCGGTGATTGTCTCTGCGCGGCGGACGGCAGTGAGAGTCTGTAACAAGAGGGACCGTCCAGCCCTCGCCAGGCCCACCCGATAGGGAGGCAGGGAGGGAGAGAGGACGATTACCGAAGCACCTTCCCATAGATCCCTGAGATCTGACAAATGACATGACAACAAGGTGGGGGCGCTAATCCAAATCGATGGCCTCCTCCCCCCCTCCCCCCCTCCCCTCCCCCCTTCCTCCTTAGTAATCGGACAGGTCAACACCACCAAATTGAATGCCTCAATGCCTGCACGCCCGCACGACAACAAATCTCGCGTGTCCAACCTGCATGAATTGACCAGGCTGGGGCCCCCCGGCCGGACGAGTGTTGTGGTGTTCTCTGAGAAATCTCGGGCCTCCACAGACAAATCTCACGGGGCCCTGACGAGGCTTGCGAGCAGCCCGGGCAGCCCAGGCAGCCCAGGCAGCCCAAGCCCAAGCCCACGCAGACGGGGTCGATTGCGCTGCCGATTGCGCCCGGCGCACTGAATAACAGAGGCTGCCCGAGGCCCTGTTGTCCAGTGGCTCTTGTCAGTGCCCTCCAGCCTGGCACAGCTTGGGCCCCCGGGGACAGATCCGCACCTTGTCGACGCTCCTAGTCGAGAAACGTTGAAACGAGGCCAGCCGGGGTCGCAATACACTACAACCCTGGGCATGGATTGAGTTCGGAAGACTTTTCCCGCTCACAGCAACCCTGGCCCAACATGACTGACTGACTGACTGATTGAGGCGAGGCGAGCCGGCAGGGTGAGGTGAGGGCACGCACAGAGAGAGGGCGGCTGTACCTGCATATGCCTGGCTGGTTGGCAGGCTGCGTGCCATGCGCCGAGATCGATCACGATGCCAGACAACCGAGCCACCAGTCTCCCAGCAAGGGGTCCAGCCTGTGACTTGCCACCATGTCGGAGGCCCGTACTACAGTACACGCCTATCATAGTCCCCCGGCCCCCAAGAGCAGTCCGCTACGACCGCGTCGTTTTCGGTTTGCCGGCGTGCTTAGACACAACACCACCGCCGCTGATTGGGCTGGGCCGGTGAGGAAGCTGTCAGTGCATTTGTTTACACAGTACCGGCACGGGATCCGGGGCGGCAGGGCGGGCAGCTTCTCCTCCTGTTTGGCGACCGACCTGGGCAGCCTGGAAAGAACGGCATCGTCAATAACACCAGGTTTTAACGCTACTGTTGCATGGGTCACCCAGCCACCGGGGTGAACCACAATATGCGGACTGCAGAGGGAAAAAGGCTGCCGCAAAGCTAAACTCTCCCCCAAGGTCACATACCGCGCGGTCAGCACAAAGTCAGTCCACCTCGCAGCACTGGGCAGGGTGGGGACAAGCGGTCTGGTCGCCTGCCTGAAGCAGTGAAGCCTCCTCAAATCTACTTGCTTGCCCTCGCTCAATGGCATCTCAATGGCATGCAGTGCGCGGGACCAAACTGTGGCCCCCCTAATATCGCACCACATGCGAGGGTCGCACGCGATGGCTCGTCAGGGTGCCTCTTCCCAAATCAAGGGTCACCATGTGTCTGGGACTATGTAGTAGACAAGCAAGCTCAGCGACAACCGCTGGAGGGGCCCCCTCATATACAAGGACCTGGTCGACGACGTCCATCCTCGATCGCTATTCTTGTCCTATACTACACTGTACACAGTGGCGCCCCCCCCTCAAGGCCAGAAGGACCCATTGTACGACCAACGACGTCGTCTGGACGGCCCCCATCACAGGACTTTTGAGACAAACACCAGAAATCTGGAGATCCAATATCGCCGGAAGCGGCACCGCCGACCTCGTCAGGACCGCAACACATCAGTCGCCGGGCACCAGCCGTGATCTATAAATTGTCGACGCGCCGGCAATATCTGGGGACGCAGCAAGGCGAGATTGGTCGGGCAGTCCAGGTCAAGGAGAAGCAAGTGTCTGTCTGACTCTGATGAGCGCGGGCAGCAGGCGGGCCAATACGGAGAATTCCCACATGCTTGGCAGAGACCACCACGCGGAGCCCAGGCAGCCCAGGCCCGCACAAGCTGCCTAGCCCTGGTGGGCTCGGCTTCCCCACCGGATACCCTTGTCGTTGCCGCACAACAAAAGAGAACGGACATTTTCAGCTGGATCCCTGATCCACACGCGACAGAACGCGTCGTTCCCCGGTGCTGCCGTTGCACTGGGGCCAATCCCCGGCATTCAGAGCCCAGCTCCCGCGAGGACCCATATACAAGCCCCCATCGCACCCCTCGTCATCTCCTCACAACTCTGTTTTGGCTCCTCTCCTCCTTGGAATTCCTTGCAAAGCTGTGCTGTTCTACTGTCGACCCCCTCCCGTACCGAACCTCTGGTCTGTTTGTGCGAACTCAGAGACGCCGACTCCCACGCGGCCCGTTGATGAGACCAAGCCAAGCAAGCACAAACCCAACCCCGAGGCGACAAGACCCTTGTTTGCTACGTGTCTCACACATATCATATCTTTCGTCTCTGGCCTGTGTTACCCACTGCACAGTGTTCTCCTCTTTTTGAGTTTGACTTCAAGCCTCGCTCACTCCTTGGTGGCTGCTTCTCTCCACCCTCCTGCGGGCACGTTTTTCAACAGGTGGAACCTACCTATCCACGGTCTGGAGCAGCTTTTTTTCTTTCTTTCTGTTATTGGTTCCGACTTCAACCACTTGACCCAAGACCACGGTGATCGGTGATGAACTCGGCTGGGCTGCACATATCCGCGTCATCTCACCACACTGATCAAACCTCCGAAAGATATTGCCAACACCTGCCAACATCCTCCAGTCTCATCGCCCCGGTGCCGTCATCGCCAGTCTCCAGTACCCACAATAACAGGTCCACTGAGCTGCCCGGTCGGTTTCTAGAACCCCCAGGGCGGCCTTTGCACCTCGCTTGTGCCCTCTGGCACCCCGGCTCGCAGTCCCCACCAGAAAATTCATTTCCGACCTTTTGCTTCGGCACCCACGGTGCGCCCTAACCCACCGGCGCCGAGGGGGGCGATCGTCAGGGGGACGATCTTGGTTCTGTTCTGGAACTCAGCGCGCAGCACTCGCTGACTGGACAATAATAAGAACAAGCTGGGCTCTTGTTCTTGAGGCTCCGCCAGGTTTTTGCTCGGTTCTGACCTCTGTGAGGCCGATCGACCTTCGTCCGCTCGTTTATTACCTGTTTCGCCGCAGGATCTACGGATCAACCACGCTCGTTCTCGCCTGCTCGCCACTCGGCCCGTCGCGTGTTTGTGTCTCAGACCCTGGCACGCACCACACCAGTCACTCGTGACGTATGAATCCGGGTCCAAGATCAACATTATGAGCATGTCTCGCCCATTAGCCTCAGCCGCCCTTGGGGCTGTCGCCGTGACAACCTCGCTGGCATTACTGGTCCTTCACATCATCCTCGCACTGCCTCGCTCGAATCCCACGTCGCCAACCCGAATCACCGCGATAGTATCATCTCTACTGGAGTCGGCGGTGCTGGTCCTACTTTCGTGGGTCCTCTTCATCTCCAGCAGGAAAGATAACTCAAGGACAGTCAACGGCCTGTTGTTTGGCTCCAGTATTGTTGTTTGTGTCGTCGCGGCTGCGCTTACCGTCGCAACACTCATCTGCTTGTCCAGCAGCGCATCACTCGGCGACAGCACTCTGGGGTTTGTTGGTGGGGTGTCTGCACTGCTGGCACTGTCCTTCATGGCGCAGCTTCTCTTTCTGGTCGTCCGCTTCATCGCTGGTCGCACGTCAGAGGAGGGTCCTCAAACCTCACCCAGCATGTTGGAAATCGGCCGCCGCTCTCCTTCAAGCCGGGTCAAGACTGTGCCATACTCGAGCACGAGCCCGGCTGAGCCCGCCACCCGGAACGTGTCCATCGACTCCAAGAGCCCTCCGTCGTCAAGCGGCGGGTTCTCTGCCACAGGCACCATCTCGTCTGTGGCTTCGTCATTGACCAACGTCGTGCGCCCCATCTCCTCAAAGACAAAGTTATTGTCCGGCAGCCGAAGCATGCGCAGCCAGAGGAGTCAGCGCAGTCAGCGCCGTGCTCCGTCTCTCGAATCCATCAGATCCAGCCGCTCGGGGGTAGATGGCGTTGGTGAAAGCTTCGACTCGTGGGATACGTCTTCTGTTGACCCACAGAATCGCCAGACCGTGCTCGAATCGTCGTCACCTGCTACCCCAGGTCGATTCCTGGAAACGATCCCCGCGAGTCCAACAACCAGCCGGAGCCCGAGCCCCGGAACCCCATTGGACCTCGAGCCACCCCGCCTCAGGAGACGTAGCCGCAGCTTTAGCCCGGCATCCACGCGCACTCAGGCACCGCAGCCACCACAGCGTGCCTTTACTCAACAGGCATCGGCCAGCGAGTCGCACATTCACCCGCTGTTCCGTTCCGACTCACCGACCCCGCCGCCTCTGGCGAGTCCGGGGACCGTCGTGATAGCCGCACCTCAAGCCGGCTTCCTGATTTCCGACCGCCAGTCTATACGTAGTCTGAGCCGCATGCGAAGCGACAGCCTGCCCGTGGCCTCGAGCCCGCTGACGAGGACGGGCTCGTTCGACACCTTTGGTGAGGCGAACAAGAGCTTCAGCATGGCGAGTGATGGGAGCAAGTCAGAGGACTCGGGAGATGCGGGCGAGGCGCCGGAAAGAAACGTCACGCCGCCCATCCCCGATTATATCCTCAACGCCGGATCCAGCACCAGCCTGCCTGCATATCAGACACGAAAGACGCAGAGCAGAGAAGGCCCTTCCGGGCCGGGGCTGGCGGCGCTGGATGGGGCGCTCTGGTAAAATGAGCCAGCCAGGCCCCTTTCACTGCTGCATGATCCGGGCACTACCGCACGTGTCATGATCGATGCACACAACCTTCCTTATTATAATGTTTCAATGGGCTGGATTTTTAGAGACGGCCCCATGGGCGTTCGATTCACCAACAGGAGAGGGAGGGGAACAAACAAAGGAGAGTACATATGGGTCTCTGGGAGGCAGGTTCGCCGGGCTGGGAAGGCGGTGGGTTATACAAAAACATCTTGATACCAAATTTCTTTTCAACTTCTTTTTTTTAGCGAGGCGTTCATACACCTTCAGACGAGACAGTGTCTGGAGCACCTCGGATGGTGCCAGGGGGAAATTATGGGGGGGAGCAGGAGGGCCAGAGAGAAACGGAGGGAGTGGGCCGGGTGAGGTGTGACACGAGTGTGACGAGTAGATGTGAGGACTATTCAAGAGAGACGTCCAGCTTGAAGCTTGAGTTCCAGTCGGAACGAGCTAGATGCAGACGCAGAAAACAAAGAAACATCAATCAAGAAACAGAAACATCCACCGTCCACTTCAACTGTGATACGACCCTGACCGCAGGTGATAATACGCTTGCTGATGTGATATTGGCAAAAGCTACTCACTTCCCAGGGGTGGCTGGACAGTAACATCGCAGCTGCGCAACGGCGGACCAGCTCGAATGGGTCTGATGTTAGGACGAAAGACTTGACAGAGAAGCTGCTCTGGCAGTCTGGGAGCTTCCTCCACCCGGTGAGGTGAGTTGGAGACGCTGAGTGGCGGATAAGCTTGCTTGACTGCCCGACTGACTGACTGACTGACTGACTGACTGCCTGATGAAATGACAAGCCAGCCCTCAAGGCATCCATGAGCCGCGCTAGCCTGCCCCACCACATTGGCCAGGCCGACCTCTGCTGCCAGCCGCTGACCTTCCAAATCCTCCCTCGCCCAAGGCCGCTGCGCAGCTAACCCCACCCACCAGCACAGCAGCACTGACTGACAGCCTTGGACTTGAACGGACCCCAACTCGACCTCTACCTCGACATCGTCCACCCGTCCACCTTCCCTTCCCAACCTCCAACCCTCTCCCGCCCCGTAGGACCTGCTCTCCTGGTCCCTCTCTCATCGACATACATCACTGTGCATCCTCCGCAGAAGAGAAGTCCACCCCAGGTTTACTCTTGCCCACCATGAAGGTCACTTTTAAGGTGCGTCAGATGCCCAGCCCGGCGGGCAGAGCTCGACTTTTGTGAATCGACATGTTCCAGCCTCTGCGGCATGCTCGCATCGGCCCAGCCCCTCCCCATTCTGTTTGGGCAACACCAGCTGACGCATCTACCTATACTGTAGGACCTCAAGCAGCAGAAGTTCGTCATCGACTGCGAACCCTCTGATCTGGTATGCCAGCACACCCACCCTCCTCTAGGCTCCAGCCCGCGCCTCTGCTCCCGGACACGGGCCAGGCGCATTCGAGGCCCCCGTTGATGCGACCGAGCTCCAGCAAGGCTGACCACCACCTAATGTAGATCTCCACGGTCAAGCAAAAGATCTCCGAGGAGAAAGGATGGGAGCCCAAGCTGCAGAAGCTGATCCACGCCGGTTTGTGAAACCTCGGTTACCTTTTCCGGCGCAAACATCTCGTTGACCAGGCCGTAGGCAAAATCTTGAAGGATGAAGACACGGTCGAGTCCTACAAGATTGAGGAGAAAGGTTTCGTCGTCTGCGTGGTGAACAAGGTAGCTTCCCCCATCGCCACATTCGCCACCCTCTCTTGCCGGGCCCGAGTGCTGACAACTTACAGCCCAAAGCCGAACCCAAACCCGCCGCTTCATCGTCGTCTTCCAACGTACCCGCGACTCCCGCCCCAGCTGCTCAGTCCTCCACCCCAGCACCACCGGCTGCCCCAGCCGCGACGAGTTCCACCCCGGCCGCCGCCGCACCTGCCACGCCTACCCCCGCGGCGCGTGGCTCGGAAGCCACCTACAACGACCCCAACGCCTTGGCTTTGGGTGGTCAGCGTGCCGAGGCCATCGCGAACATGGAGGCCATGGGGTTTGAGCGCTCCCAAATCGATGCTGCCATGCGCGCCGCTTTCAACAACCCAGATCGTGCCGTCGAGTACCTCTTGAATGTGAGCAAGGCCGTGCAACAAGGTGGTGGGTACATGTAGCTGATGAGATATTAGGGGATCCCAGAAAACCTGCAGCAAGAGCAGCAGCCCGCGCCAGCCGCCCAGCCAGCTGCGCCCTCTGCCCCGGCTGCTGCCCCGGCCGCCGGAGGTGGTGATGACGGTAGTGTCAATCTTTTCGACCTAGCCGCACAACAGGGGCGAGGTGGCTCCGGCGGCGCTGGGGCTCGCGGCGCTGGGGCGGGAGCCGCTGCCGCCGTGGCAGCCGCGGCTGCCGGCGGGCAAGGACTCGGAAACCTGGACTTCCTGCGACACAACCCCCAGTTTCAACAGCTTCGCCAAGTTGTCCAACAGCAGCCCCAAATGCTGGAGCCTATCTTGCAACAGCTCGGAGCAAGCAACCCTCAACTGGCCCAGCTGATCGCCCAGAACCCCGAGCAATTCCTCAGCTTGCTTGGCGAGGACGCTGACGACGATGCCCCACTGCCTCCGGGAGCTCAGGCCATCGCCGTGACCGAGGAGGAGCGGGACGCTATCGAGCGAGTGCGTAGTCTCTACTTTCTTCTCTGCTTGGATAAACAGCGCTAACAGGAGACAGCTTTGCCGCCTCGGGTTCGACCGTGACCAGGCCATCCAGGCTTATTTTGCGTGCGACAAGAACGAGGAACTTGCCGCCAACTTTCTGTTTGACCAGCCTGATGACGACGAGCCTCCTAATGCCCAGTAATCGGCTCTCTCTATTTGGCAAACTCTATTCTTCAGAATCGCTTATTGGAAGGAGGATAAGGAAGCTGGGGCAAACGGGCACCGAAGGCGTTGTGAGCCTTGCGAGCGAAAATCGGGGTAATGGGTCCCGCGGATTTATATGACGAGGAGCAGATCCTTCGAGAAGAGAGGATCATTCTCACAAACGACGGGTTGGTCCCGTGGGCCTCAACGGTGCCTATCGACGTGGCTACATGCTTACAGTTGTCACTACAAAAATGCAAATCTACCGTGATTTGCTTTTAGCCCTCAGACCTTAGCACTTTTAAGTGGGCAAGGGCCTCGCAGGTGTTGGGCGATGGCAGACAGCAAGGATGAGGAAAGCTGTGACCAAGGTTGTTTTTTTTCGGTAGTCGACAGAAATAAAACACGCAAGACTCAGATCCAGATTTTGTGACCGTAGACTTTTTGATAATTTGAATTCAAAGTGGCCTCGCAGGCCTCGTTGTATAGTTGCGAAAAAAGAATCCAACCCTTTGAACCATCGCAAAACTGACTCCGTGCCTCGAGGCATTGCCCATTCTTTTGCATGTGTAGTCGTCGTATTTTACCTGTACAATCCAGCTGTGCTGGACCTTTCCTTGTCTCCAAGTCGAACAGTTGCAACCCCCTTTTTATCACTTTGACCAACGCCTTCCAGATAATTGACGAGAGGGCGTGGGTATCTACCAAACCGCAATTCATGACCACCCACGTACGCCGTAGAAAAGAAAAAAGACCAAAAGACTGTCTCAAAGCAGAGGGGCTCTCGCCGGCCCGCTCAGCCACCAATACCGCCCGCAAACGTCTGGGGTGCTTTGCGGCTTCTGCCTCCCCCACGTCCCTTGCGCGCGGTCGCCGCCGTGGGCAGGTCTGTCTCGTCGATGACGTCCGGGTCGGTGCCGACGCCGTACTCCGCCCCGGGGACCCTGTTGTGGTTTGCGGCGCCGCCAAAGGGATCGCTGGCGAGGTCCACGTCAGCATCGTGCGACGACGCGTCGTGGCCGGGTTTGGGCACTTTGTCGCCCTTCCGCCGACCGAAGAGCTCGTCCTTCTTGCGGCGGTTGGTGGCGGCCTCCTCCTCCTCCTGCCTCCTGGTCTCGGCCTCCTGCTCGGCCTTAAGGCGGGCCAGCTCGTCGTTGATGGCCTGGGACTCCTCGAGGGCGTCGGCGCCGTCGACCGCGTCCAGGGCCATGGGCACGTCCTTCTCGCCGATGATGCACTTGTTGACGGCGACGGGGTTGGCCCGCTCCTCGCGGTTGAACTTGAGTTTCACCTGCCGCCTGTTCTTGGCGCCTCCGAACATCTTGGAGATCATGTTGAAGTCGGTGCCGAACATGCGCAGCCCGTGGTAGAACTTGATCGTTTCCTCGTCGGTCCAGAAATTGCCCTGAGGCTGGCGCCGCATGTACGTCCGCTGCGTCACGGGGGTCGTGAAGTCGTCCTCTTCCTGCTCGAACACCACGCCTCGTGCCTGGTCCGCCGCAGCGTGTCGGTCATATTGCATTGAAGCCTCGTTGATCCGGATATGCCCGTCCACTATTTCGAGCTGTGGGACCGAGTCGGCGGGATTCTCCTGCACCACCAGTCGCGGCGCCGCCGGCGCGGGCTTGCTGGGCCCGTCCGGAGCCGGCGTCCCTGACTCGGATGCGTTTTCGTCAGCCTGCTCCTCGCCCGGCGGGAGCTTGCCCAGCTTTATGAGTCGCTGGCGAGCCCGCTTCTTGCGCATCCTCTCCCGCAGCTCGTCGTACTTGCTGAACTTGGCACCGATCCTCAGGTCCCTTGTCAGCTCGCTCATGACCATCTGCTCGTGGTCGACCTTTTGCTGCTCAGCGTCCTCGGGCGTCACCGATCGCTTTCTCCGAGCCTTCTTGGCCCCCTCCGTGTCTTCGCCCTCGGTCTCAGTAGGGGCAACTCCATTTCCATCCCCACCCTCCCCGCTGCTGGTGGCGGCTGCCGCCTTCTTCTTTCGTGGGGCCCTCTTCTTGGGTGCCACAGCCTCGCCATTCTCAGCACCGCCTGCCTGAGTTCCATTGTCTCCGCTATTTGCAGCAGTCTTTTTCTTGCGTGGCGCTCTCTTCTTGGCTGGGCCTGCGGTTTCTGTGCCTGTTTCCGCCTCGCTCTCAGCCGCTCCAGCAGGTGCCTTCCGTTTCCTGGGTTGCCTTGCTGCTGGTTTCTTGGCCTTGGACGTGGCCGCAGCCGCGGTTGAGGATCCCTCACCATTGTCAAGCGATGGTGCTATTGATGTGCTTGCAGAAGATGTGGTCGCGACCTCTTGCGTGGGGGCGGGAGATGGCACTGTAAGCTCGGCGGCAGATTTAGCCTTCTTCGCAGGCGAGGATCCAGCAGGTTTCAGCGCAGATGGACCTCCTTTGCGCGGTGTGGTCTTAGTCTTCGTCGCCGCGTCTCCTTGACCAGACGTAGTGCTGGAAGGCTCTGGAGGGCCTTGTACCTGATCCGGCCCATTCCCAACCGGCTCCGAAATGGCTGTTGTAGTCGTCGCTGTCTCGGACGAAGGCTCTGAACGAGTCGCGTTGATTTGGGTGAGGCTCGTTGTGTCTGCGGTGGTGGGGGCAGCGGAGTTCTGAGGTTGAGCTACCGCGGAACTTCTCTTAGCAGTCGCATCGCGCCTGAGTTCAGGACTCCTAGTGCGTCTGGCCTCAGGGCTTCTTGTTCTTCTGGCCTCAGGGCTTCTTGTTCTCCGCTGGCTCGTAGTCGAGGCATGGGGTTCACTGGATGGGGCTGGCGATTCGGTCGGGGCTGTCGGGATGGGGGCTTGGCTTGGTGGCTCGACGCCCGACTCGACAACATTAGACGAGCTGGCATCGTCACCACCAGCAGAGGCCTGGCCATTTGGTGTCCCAGTTTGTGGCTCAGTAACGGCGGCAGGGGCGGGGGCTGCTGCAGCTGGGGCAGGCCGTCTTCTCGCAATCGGCGCCTTGGGTTTAAAGGCACCTCCGCCTTTCTTCAGCATCGAACTCATCCTTTGGTCTTTTCCTTAGCCTCCGTCCTGGAGGCCTCTTTGTGCGCTTTCCTTGTGTGGCTGCCTCGTCATTGCAGTCAAGTAGGTGCTCGAAGTGCAAGCAAGGCGTCAGAGCCAAGTGGGCAAGGCTGTGGCAGGCTTGGAGTTGGCAACAGGAGGATGGGATCGAAAAGTAAGATGCGGGCAACAGATGATTGACTAACAGTGACTTTTAGTGGGATTGCGGTACCCTCGTACCCTCGATCGGTACTAGTCCCCCTCCCTCCTAGCGCAGTTCCGACACGCCTCTGGACCTGCAACAAGAAAGGGCTACTGGCACTTGGTGACTCGTGAAAACTCCATCTTTAATCAATGTCCTCAACTTCCACCCGTCCACCTCCCATCCGCCTGTGCACGCCCTTTGATGAACATCACCACAACAGCTCGACCCAGGTCATCGCCTGGCTCTAGGATCCATCTGGAGTCCATGCCTTCTTCATCTCCAGTCAACACCTGAATTCCTGCAGCGCGCCCCCTTCCCTAGCCTGCAGCCTGCTCACCGACGTCTCTGATGCCTGTTGCCACTTCTCCCTCCGCCATTCTCCCTGCATCTCCCGTCGTTAAGATGGAGGACAGGAAGAGACCTGTCAACCACAATGCCGATGACCTCGCTCCTCCCAGCAAACGACATCAGGTCAATGGCAGTAGCAAGTCTCGTGACGACACCCTCGACATGAAGGACGAGGCTTGGATTGAGGTAAGTGACGTTGGTCTCTGTTCATCCATCACAACAACACCAGCAACCCCCCTTATCATCGCGGCCCAACAAAACCCTTCCAAACGTGCCGTGCACCACCACAGACACACAGGTGGAGGCTTTGATCTTCGGTATCTGTCTCTCAGGGTTCAATATACCGTGAGGATTTGCCCACTGGTTCAGTGCTAATGCATGGCTTGCTGGCTGCAGCATGCCGAGCGCTCAGGTCCTCAAATGCCTCTCAACCATCCGCTGGCATCCTCTCATACCCCACCCTGAATGGTCGCTACTCTCCCCATCCGCTCGACGCTATTCATCGAAGGGATACATGCTGACTGATGGGCTCCCAGGCATTTCAAAAAGATGCAATATATCGGCAGATGCTCGAGTACAAGAGAGAAAAGTCACAACTAGAAGCCCGTCTTGAGGAGCTTGGGAAGCAATACGAGTACTATGATGTCCATCTCAGGACCATCGACGCATGGTGGCTGCAGGTGAGAATACCCTTTAGACCCCGCCATCAAGAGGCTCAGCTGACACGTCCAAGCTATTGCAAGAGGTGGAGCTGGTTGCCGAAGGCACATTCACCGAGAAATCCGAAAGCCATGGTAAGCTCACCAGCCAACTCCCTGCCTTCTGCACGCTCCTAACCCGTCTGATCTTGCAGACTTGTCCCCATCCATCGGACTTGGCTCTCAAGATGTTCAGCTCTTCCAGAGACACCTTGCCGAGAACGGCAAGGCGATCAAGTCGATCTTAGAATCCCTGTTCAATCGCCTGGCCACCCATCGTGGCGACATTAAGCCCGAAATCGCTGAGATGGAGTCCAAGATCAAATCTCTCCTTGCCGAGCAGAAGGAGTACAAGGTACAGCTGGAAAGCCTCGCCCATAAGAAGGAAGAGCTTTCGGCAAACCTGGATGCAGCCATGCTCCGCGTTGTTAAGGCCGAGAAGAAGTTAGATCGCGCAAAGAGTGCACAAGTTCAGAAGCTTGAGCAAGCTGCTCTTGCCTCCTCAACCAGTCGAGCCGTCCCCACCACTGCAGAGAATGGCGACGATAACGGCGACAGCAACGGTCATGACGAGAATCTGCACATGAAATACCAAGAAGCCGTTGTGGCAATGTCTAAGCAAAAGGAACAGCTCGATTCTGCAATCTCGGAGATCAAGGCCCTCAAGGATGAGAATTCGACATTGAGAATCAAGCGCGAGAGCGTCACAGACGAGGAGTTTGTGCGTACGGACGTCTTCAAGGCTTTCAAGTCTCAGAACGAGGATCTCATCAAGCGAGTCAACGATTTGGAGGCCACCAATAAGCAGCTTCGCCTCGAAGCTGAGAAATTGCAGGCCGAGAGGACATCCTTCCGAAGCCAACTGGAGCGCGAGGCGCAGAACGTTACGGCAGATCTCGAAGAGCAAATCCAAATCAGGGAAACGGATCTTACGCGCGTGCGGTCGCAGAGGGACGAACTGCTTGCTGACAAGGGCATCCGCCAAGCCCAGCAGGAGCAGGAACGAACGTCTTTGGAGAACTTCAAGGAGCTGGTGGGCGCCAAGGAGGACCGCATTGCTGCCCTAGAAATGGAGCTGGAGCGACTTCGCCCAAGCCCGGATGCGCCGGCTCCCGAGTCTCGCCCCGAGCTCGAATCGATCACCGTGGAGGAGCTGCGGGAGAAATTCCTGAAATTGGAAAAGGACTTCCAGTCGATCAACCAGGAGTTGCCGTCCATGGAGAAGGCGTACAAGCGCTCTATGGGCATTTCCAAGAAGAAGGTCATGGATCAGCACTTGACGGAAGAGCGGATGGCGGTTCTCATACAGGAGAAGAGCAAAGCCGATCAGAAGTATTTTGCTGCCCGGAAAGATGCGGACATACGCAACAACGAAATAAGAACCCTTCGACAGCAGAACGGCAAGAGTTCTGAGATCATCGCGGCGCTCAAGGAACATGACACACAGGCGCGCACGCTGATCAGCAACCTGGAGAAGCAACTCACGGATCTGAAACAGTCCAATGTGGCTGTCCTCGAAGAGAGTCGCAATATGAAGTCTTCGAGCGCCGAGGCTATCCGACGGGCCGACAGCGTCAAGTCACAAATCACCGAGTTGCAAAACTTGGTCAAGTCAAAGGACGCCGTGGCAGTCGCAGAGAAGGAAAAGGCAAACAGCCACGAGACCGAGTCCGAGAGACTCAAGGTACGGCTTGAGCATGCCGAAAAAGACCTGGAGACGTGGAAGAAGAAGGCTTTCGGCAAGTCGTCGAGCGAGCTGAACGATTTGAGAGTAAGTGGCCCCGGAAGGACGCGTCCTGTCCGATCAAGTACTGACATGTGCTGCAGCAAATCGCGCTTTGTTCCATCTGCCAACTGAACCCCAAGAACTCCATGCTCAGGACCTGCAATCATATCTTCTGCAAGGAATGCGCAGAGGCACGTCTTACCAACCGGCTGAGGAAGTGCCCCAACTGCAGCAAGCCGTACGACCGGCCAGATATCATGCCCATCTATCTGACCTGAGGTGGAGGACGCTACGCGCACGGGTGCGCCACGGACTTTGCTGTGGCTCTTTTTTTCGATTCGGAGCTGCGCCGTACATTTGCAACTCGCACGAATAAAACGTGGTGTTTGGATTGATGAGGCACTATTGTACAGAGAAACAATACCCAGGAGGAGTCAGGGAGCAAAAACCATGAGGCGTTCCGAGTCGGAAACTTCTTGTTCAGGGTACGTAGATGGATATCGGATGGGCGAGATCCTACTAGATGCTCTGAGGTCCTTGCCGTTTGCATGTCACCATGCACTTGCACATAGACTAATTGACAAGGTCACCTCCCCCGTGGCGCTCTCGAGCGTGGCCCGTTGGGCCATTATGTGCCATGACAGCAAGCAGACAGGTCTTGTTCGTGGAGGTGGACTTCGATAGGGACCATGGGGATGGCGGCAACACGCTGAATTCGATCGGCTATCGAAAGCACAAAAGCGACCTAGCGACGGCTGGTTGAGCCAAAGCCCGTGCTCTCGTAGCGAGAATTGCTGACGGCTGAACCGCTACTCGAGCCTGATGAGCCAGACCTCGACGGCCCCCCTCCCCCGCTGCCCCAGGTGCTCCCGTAGTTCCCATACCCGCGGTTGTTGTTGTTGTTGTTGTTGTTCCTACCCATCCTCCCGGCACCATAACCCGCAGCTGCTCCGGCGGCAGCCCCTCCGGCGGCACTCCACCAATCCGGGCGCCAGCCCTGCTGCGCATTACCTCCGCGCTGTGCACTGCTCCCTCCAGTGCGCCTAGACTTGTTGCTGTTGTTGGTGCCCGGGTAAGGCGGCGGGGGGTCGTCGTTGCCAAAATCATCGAAGCCGCCACCGCCGCCTCCGCCTCCGCCGCCTCCCCAGTAACCACCACCGTTGTTCCGCCTCGGTGCGTTGCCGCCGCCCCCGCGCCGCGTGTTGATGAAGGCGTTGTAGACGATGAAGGCCAGGACAGAAAAGAAGATGACCCAGAACACCCAGCCTGCTAGGCCGGACGCGCCGCTGTCGGACCCGTCCCCGCCTCCGAGGTCGGGCCACTTCTCCTCGCCCTCGCGCGTCAGGGACATGCGGTACTCTACAGCACAGCTGCCTTTCAAGACGTAAGGGTCGCCTGGTGAGGAGTAGCCCTCGCAGATCTAACAAGCATTCCATTGTCAGCTGGTCATCTTCACTGACCGCCCTCTCGGGCAGAGGGGCGACTCGGTCACGCACCACATCGGTAGACCCGAGCTTCAGCTCGGGCGGCAGCGAGGCGGAGCAGCTCCACTGGACGTCCTCGTCGTCGTAGCCGGAGCCCTTGTTCTCGCAGCGCATGACGTCGACCTTGTACTTTGAGCAGACGGCCGGGGGCGACACGCACTTGAGCTGGGGCACGGCCGGGACGCGGCGGTGGGTGGTCTGCCTGTCGGCGCGGAGGGTCAGGGACTCGACCTGGGAGAGCAGGATGGCGTCGCGGGGCTTGGCCTTGGCGGCCCCGGCCGAGGTGGCCAGGAGGGCGAGGGCCGCTGCGGCGGGGTGGAGGGCGCGCATGGTGGGCGGGATGCTCGAGGTGGTGGCCGTGAAGAACCAGAGTTAGGCTCTGGCCAAGTAGGTGCTCGAGTAGCCAAGTAGGTATGTTGTCACAGGTATTCCCAAGGAAGATGGGGCGGCAGCCAAGTCATAGGATCGGATTTGTTTGGTCTTGGTGTCGGCTCAGGCAGAAAAGGACACCTCTCGTTGTTCAAGCAGGCTGCGGATCCAGACGGACGCTACCTGTAAGGGCAGTGACGAGGCTGAGAGAGCTCTGGGCGAGGGAGGGTGACGTATGCGGGGCACCCTTGCTTGGCAGGGAGTACAAGTACGTATTTCCATGGGTGGCGGATTATTGGCTGTGTGCCGCTGCAAGTCTGCACGATTTGGTGCTCAACCTGAGGTATCCAGGTACCCAGGCACTCCGAGGTGTTGGTTGCCTCTTCGTCAGTCATTTGAGATTTATCTAGAGCCCCAACCTGATCTGTCATCTGTCATCTGTCCGTCCCGTCCCACAGCGGCCCAGGCGTGGCACATGCAGGAGTGGGGCAAGCTGTTGGTTGGCATGGCCAGAGTTCTGACAAAATCCGAAATCTTAAGTCGATTAAGAAACCACACCGATGTCACGGACCCAGATGCTTATTATTAGTCTGATCGCAGGGCTAACCTTAACCTGTGGAGTCCGATGGCCACCACAGCCACGGCTATGGACCATCCAGGCAGTACCAGACAACCCCCTATTATTAGACAACCTCCTATTAGACAGCCTCCTACTATACCGCCTCCTATCAGACGGCCTGCTATCAGACGGCCTCCTATTAGACAGCCTCCTACCGGATAACCTCCTATAGGATACCCTCCTACAGGACAGCCTCCTACCAGACAGCCTCCTATAGGATACCCTCCTATAGGATAACTTCCTACTAGACAACCTCCTATAGCACATTCTCCTACAGGACAACCTCCTACTATACCACCTCCTATTAGACAACCTCCTATCAGACAACCTCCTATCAGACAACCTCCTATCAGACAACCTCCTATTAGACCACCCTTCTTCCATCCTACTTTATGGAAAACCTCGTGTGGATCAACATGGCCTACATGAAATGTGATTCCATGGATCAACCAGACAGAAGATATTGCTGCGTCTGAACAAGAATAAATCTTCCCATAGTAGCTTACAGCATGATGAGTCGTCCCCCGGTTGGAATTACTAGAGCATGGAATATGACGAGCGTATCGAGAATATGATACCTGTAATCTTATCGTGAGACCTCTGCACACATTGAAGTAATATCCCGCGGGATCGGGACGTGCGATTGATCCCCCCGTCTGTGGATTGGCTCTGGAACTCGGCGACTCGGAGCCATGTGCTTGCATTGCATGTTCACTTTGTCGACACAGTCACCCTCGCACCCTTTCCAAATTCGCTCATGACCGTCTATGGTGTTCGAAACATGGCTATTTGCACTTGCGAGTCTATTCGGCCTCTATGAACACCCCGAGCAGGAGTAGCCAGTGTTTTAAGGAGGCAGTCACTGCGGGTCGGGGCCGGGATTGGGGGAGCTACCTGCATGCCCGAAGTCCGACCACGCGCAATGTCCCTCGGCCACTCGATACAGTAGTCCGTAGTCTGTACATGGTACACACACTACGGAGTACTTGGCCCTGCATGGTCAGGATCCCACGGGCAGGTGGGCCCGTCCACGAGCGTCAGGGTGGCAGGTGGGTTCCAAACACATGGTCACTGCGGATGCGAACCCGCCTAAAGGGGGTAGGCCGTCGCTCAGGCGTTCCCGTCGCCAGTGGTGGTGATGATGGTGGTGGCGGCGGCGGCGGCGAGGGGCATATACTGAGTGCCCCAGTGCCTGCAGAAAGACTTATCTGTCGGCACGTACAGTCATGACACCGGCCAAGCGATCTTAATCTTCCTGATTCAGTCCAGCCACAGGACTTGACAAGCAGCAGGCCGGTGTTCCTAGCCGGTATCAGCGTCGGAGATGAGTTAGAATCTGGCCGCTGGCCGGGACCCGCCAAGCGACATCCGAATGCCGTGGCCACGGTGTCGCCCAAGGGCCAACGGCGAGCCAGAAACAGTCGCCGTTGAGCCACGCCCGGATGTTACTAGCCCTGGAGTCTAAGTGTCCGTATCGGTGCATCCCGGCCTGAGTAATTCTGCGAGCTGTCGCCATGTGGCCCTCAATGCCAGCCTTCACCACCTCATCGACACCATCAAATCATCTCCATCCCACTGGCATGGCATGGCATGGCATCGCCGAGTCCCAGCTTGTCCAGTCTCACTCATCAGCTCGTGCAACGGACCATGGGGTGGCTGGATGGCTGGATGGCTGGTGGTCCTGCCTGTTTACTATGTTTACTACGCATCTTCGTACAGGCGTATTCCCCAGCAGCCCACCATTCGTCTTGGACCGAATGCGAGGAAAACCGGGTCAGCAGTGGAGTCACAACATGCAGCACTAATTCTAGAAGGACGGCCGACAGGGACTGGGACAGGGGTAGGTGGGGACGCATGCCTACATTTCGCACTTTGCCTGTCCGAACTCCGCTGAATAGTCTGATGGCCAGTCAGTCTACTGTACCGCCTCCACCCCCGTCGCTCTCTTATTCGTGTGCAGGTCAATGCTGCCTCACAAGCCCTCCAAGGTTGTTTCCCTTGTCCTGGAGAGGGGCGAGTTGTGCAGCAACAATTCGGTATCTGCCACTCCCGGCCGGCCTCTTTTGTACATATTTCAACGCCCAAGCCCTTGCTACTTCAGACCTACTAGCCCTCTCGAGCTTATCCACCCACCTTCAATGTTTTTAATAATACCTTGAGTAGGACCTACCGATTGTCCTCACTCACCACCTTCTTATCTTCTTTTCTACCGGTTGCGCTCGCTATTACTTACAAGAGAACGTCTCAAGGCTGAGCCGACCCGCCACCACAGCGGCTCGATCGAATATACCGGTACTTCTTTCACCCCCACGACACACTCTGTGGGCTCTCGGCACGAAGCGAAACCTTACTGGCCTTCACACTTACCACACAGCCAAGCCATGATGGCTGAGGAAACTTCAAATCAGCGGCCTGGTTCCGGGAGCAGTGGCTCGTCTAGTCGCAACCCGACACCAGTCAACGACAGCGAGCTCAGGGCGGACAAGACAAGGGCAGACCCAGAAAAGCTGTCCGAAAAGTTACCAGGGAACGATAGCGAGGATCATGTCGACCTGCAGAAGCTGGATTCCAAGGTCATCAGGCCTCAGGCTGACAAGAAGTCGGACCCTTACGAGGGCATGCCACCTGAGCAGGCCGAGATATTACGGCGCCAGGTCGAGACCCCGGATGTCAAGGTGGGCGTCGCCACGCTGTATCGATATGCTACACGGGTCGATCTTATCCTTCTGCTCATTGGGTCCATATGCGCCATCGCCTCCGGAGCCATCCTGCCTGTGATGACTGTTATCTTCGGAAGTCTCCAAGGCACCTTCGCCGGCTTCTTCAACGGCACAAAGACCTACGACCAGTTCATGGACGGCATGACCGACCTCGTCCTCATCTTTGTCTACCTCGGCATCGGCGAGTTCGTCACCTCCTACGTCGCAACCGTCGTCTACATCTACACCGGCGAGCACATCGCTGGCAAGATCCGGGAGCACTACCTCGAGAGCTGTCTTAAGCAGAACATAGGCTTCTTCGACAACGTTGGCTCTGGCGAGGTCGTCACCCGTATCACGGCCGACACGAACTTGATCCAGGACGGAATCAGCGAGAAGATCTCCCTGACCCTGGCTGCCCTGGCTTCTTTCGTCGGCGCCTTCATCATCGCCTTCATCATGTACTGGAAACTGACATTGATTCTCTGCTCCGTCGTTGTGGCGATTGTGACCATCATGGCAACCTGTGCGCAGTTTATCGTCAAGTTCAGCAAAAAGAACATCCACTCGTATGCGCTCGGCGGTACTGTTGCTGAGGAGACTCTCAGCTCCGTCCGCAACGCGGTGGCTTTCGGGACCCAGGACAGGCTGGCCAAGCTGTATGACGCCCACCTTATCAAGGCCGAGTTCTACGGCATCCGGCTCAAGAGTGTCATTGCCATCATGATCGGATTCCTCATGCTCATCATGAACTGGTGTTATGGCCTGGCCTTCTGGATGGGCTCCAGATATCTGGTTGACGGCATCATCCCCCTGCAGAAGGTGCTCACCATTGCCATGTCCGTCATGATCGGCGCATTTGCGCTGGGCAACGTCACACCCAATGTGCAGGCTTTCACGACCGCCCTCGGTGCTGCTGCAAAGATCTATACCACCATCGACCGGAACTCGGCCCTCGACAGCTCATCTAACGAGGGTGAGAAGCTCGAGAGGGTAGAGGGAAGCATCAAGCTCGAGAACGTCAAGATGATCTACCCGTCCCGGCCCGATGTTGTAGTCATGGATGACGTGACCCTCGAATTACCGGCCGGCAAGACCACTGCCCTCGTTGGCGCATCAGGCTCCGGTAAGTCGACAATCGTGGGTCTGATCGAGCGTTTCTACAACCCAGTCAAGGGCAAGGTGTACCTGGATGGCCACGATATCTCGACTCTCAACCTGCGGTGGTTACGGCAGCAGATCGCACTGGTCAGCCAGGAACCCACGCTTTTCGGTACCACCATCTACGAGAACATCCGCCATGGTCTGGTCGGCACCAAGCACGAGCACGAGAGCCCTGAGAGGCAGAAGGAGCTCATCGAGGCTGCGGCCGTCAAGGCATTTGCCCACGACTTCATCTCCGCCCTTCCGGAGGGCTACCAGACGAATGTTGGTGAGCGCGGTTTCCTGCTCTCGGGCGGCCAGAAGCAGAGAATCGCCATTTCACGAGCCATTGTATCCGACCCCAAGATTTTGCTGCTGGATGAGGCGACATCAGCCTGTAAGTCTGCGTCGACGACCATATGCAATACCACCTGCCTGGTGTCTGTTTGTGAATATTACTGACCACCTTCTGTATGCAGTGGACTCTCGCAGTGAAGGTGTCGTACAAGCAGCTCTGGAGCAGGCCTCGGAAGGACGAACCACCATTGCCATCGCTCACCGTCTTTCCACCATCCGAGACGCTCACAACATTGTCGTCATGAGCCAAGGGCGCATTGTTGAGCAGGGTACCCACAATGACCTACTCGCAAAGCGGGGTGCGTATCACTCGCTGGTTACCGCGCAGGAGATCGCCAGGGTTGAAGAGACGGATGAGGAGGATGGGGCATCCGGGCATGAGAACTTGGCTGAGAAGAAGGTTTCGAACGGTGAGACCGCAGTCGAGCATGAAGCGGACCCAGACGACGCCAACATAGCCTCGAGGCTGAACCGCCAGGCCACATCCAAGTCGGTCTCGAGCGTTGCCCTTCAGGGACGCAAGCCCGAGGAGCAGAAGAAGTACTCCACGTGGACACTTATCAAGACCATTGCGTCATTCAACAAGGAAGAGTGGAAGCTGATGGTTGTCGGTCTGTTCTTCGCCGCGCTTTCCGGCGGCGGCAATCCAGTCATGTCCTTCATCTTCGCCAACATCATCACCGAGTTGAGCGTGCCCGTCAATGCTCAGACCATCCCGGGGATCAAGGCCAGCGCCCATTTCTGGTGCTTGATGTACCTGATGTTGGGCCTGTCCATGCTCATCTGCTTCTCGGTCCAGGGCGTCATCTTCGCCTTCGGCTCGGAGCGTATGATCCACAGAGCACGCGACAGGGCTTTCCGGTCCATGCTCCGCCAGGACGTCGAGTTTTACGACCGCGACGAGAACACCGCCGGCGCCCTCACGTCCTTCCTCAGCACGGAGACGACACACATGGCAGGACTCTCGGGTGCTACCCTCGGAACCATCCTCATGACCATCTCGACCCTCGTCACCTGCATCGTCGTCTCACTTGCCATAGGCTGGAAGCTCGCCCTGGTTTGTATCTCAATAGTGCCCGTGCTGCTGGCTTGCGGCTTCTTCCGAGTCTGGATGCTGTCGCGGTTCCAAACCCGCTCCAAGAAAGCGTATGCCTCTTCTGCCAGCTATGCCTCTGAAGCTGTCACGGCCATCAGGACAGTCGCTTCGCTGACCCGTGAGGACGACGTGCTGGCCAAGTACCGTGAGAGCATCGCCAACCAGCTGAAGATCAGCACAAAGTCGGTGCTGAAGTCCTCGTCCCTGTACGCAGCCAGCCAGTCGTTCATGTTCCTGTGCTTCGCCCTGGGCTTCTGGTACGGTGGCACTCTGATCGCCAAGAGGGAGTACGGGCTCTTCGAGTTCTTCCTCGTTTTCAGTCAGGTCATATTCGTAAGTTCACTTTTCACCTTTTACAGGTCCCCGTCTTTCGTAATTTGGAAAGTTCGAGAATACAACACTTTAGGACCCGTAGCAGGACTAACTTCACCACTAGGGGGCCCAATCTGCAGGCACCATCTTCTCCTTCGCCCCCGACATGGGCAAGGCACAAACCGCCGCCGGGGAGCTGAGGAAGCTCGCGGACCGGAGGCCCCAGATCGACACGTGGTCCGAGGACGGCGAACGGGTCTCGCGCAGCGAGAAGGACAGCATCCAGGGCACGATTGAGTTCCGCGACGTACACTTTAGATATCCCACACGCCCGGACGTGCCCGTCCTCAGGGGCCTGAACCTCCAGGTCCAACCCGGCCAGTACATCGCGCTCGTGGGTCCCAGCGGGTGCGGAAAGAGCACGACGATCGCGCTGCTGGAGCGTTTCTACAACCCGCTCGCGGGTGGCGTCTTTGTGGACGGGCGCGAGATCTCGTCGCTCAACGTCAACGACTACCGCAGCTTCATCGCGCTCGTGAGCCAGGAGCCGACGCTGTACGCGGGCACGATCCGCGACAACATCCTGCTGGGCGCGACGAACCCGGAGACCGTCACCGACGGGCAGATCGAGGCCGTGTGCCGCGAGGCCAACATCTACGAGTTCGTCATGTCGCTGCCCGACGGCTTCGGCACCCTCGTCGGGTCCAAGGGCACGCTGCTGTCAGGCGGCCAGAAGCAGCGGCTGGCCATCGCGCGCGCCCTCATCCGCGACCCCAAAATCTTGCTGCTGGATGAGGCAACCTCGGCCCTCGACTCGGAGTCGGAGCACGTCGTGCAGGCGGCGCTGGACCGCGCCGCCAAGGGCCGCACCACCATTGCCGTCGCGCACAGGCTGTCCACCATCGCCAAGGCGGACTGCATCTACGTCTTTGAGAAGGGCGTCGTCGTCGAGCAGGGCACGCACCAGGACCTCATGCGCGCCAACGGGAGGTACGCCGAGCTCGTGCGGCTGCAGAGCCTGGAGAAGAGCTGAGTGGGTGGTTGACGAGTGCTGATTTGCGTCTGTTCGTTGTTATGTCCTGCATACACAGGTTCTGTATATCTTGATAAAAAGCGAGTTGCATTTTGTAGAGCGCGGTCATGTCTGGCCGTTGCATGGTATGGGTAGGCCTTGGGTCAGAGGCTTTTTGCATAGACATGGCGTTGGGCATTGACATGGCGGTTGCATTCTTCTCATCTCGTCTCGGAGGGTCCGGGACGGGACTGACGGTAGATGGGTAACTATGAATAATTATGAGCAACTCTGTTTAGAAAGCTTAATGCTATTCATCGTGACGACATCATAGCTGAGGAGTCGGCTGATCCAAGCAGGCCACACGGGGAGAAGCCTCTTCATGGATGGAAATTGTGGGAGCATTCAATGACGCGCAAATGCTTACACTGTTGGACATGTTCGAGGAGCACATGCAGAGATCACATGGCACAGGCACGTGGCCTTGTGCTTTGAAAGCTTCATCCAGAGTCCGTCACCCCATGACTTCAGGTGTACTCCATAGGAGGATCTCCCATAAACACATAGAGCATTTAGAGGAGATCAATCACTAGATCGCCTACAGTACTACGGTAATAAATTCCCATAGGCGACACTTTCATCATTTGTGAGGCACGGACCTTCTCATATCACTTTAGAGGAGCACATCCCACAGAGGCTATCCACAGTCGGCTGTCCATTTGACGGGTATGCCATAGGAGGGTATACCATAGTAGGAGGTATGCCGTAGGAGGGTATCCCATGGGACGGTATCCCATGGGACGGTATGCCATGGGAGGGTATGCTATAGGAGGGTAGGAGGGTATCCCATAGGAGGACATACTAAAGGAGGATATCATATATGGAGGGTATGCCATGGGAGGGTATGCCATAGTAAGGTATATGAATAGAGGTTATACCACCCATATGAGGATATCCCATAGGAAGGTAGGAGTATCCCATAGGAAGGTAGGAGGGTATCCCATGGGACGGTTCCCATAGGAAGGTATGCCATCAGAGGGTATGACATTGGAGGGCATACTATAGGAGGTTATCCTATAGGGAGGTATGCCATAGGAGGTTGCCCTATAGAATGGCATTCCATCTGCCTATAAGGGGCTATTTCCAACCAAAATGTTGTGTACGAGTATTTCCCTATAGGTTTGGTGTGGGCTCTAATACTCGGCTTGTGGGTGTACAATGGCACAAGTTTCTCGAAAAGCCGTCCCCGGCGATCTGACATGGGCCAGATTACAGCCCGGGGTACGTGATGGTGGAACCACCTGGTGGTCCGCGATTGGGGGAATTGTTGCGCAATGTTTGAGCGTGTGGAATTTCAGCGTGCGCCCTCGACCGAGCCCTCGGTCCATTCCGAGGAGGCAATATACCGGGGTGTCTCGCATCAGAGTGAGACGGGTCGCGCATGCGGTGCTATGGGGGGACGGCCTAAGATCTCGTGTGTCCGAGACGTGCGGTTGCTTTCCTCCCGAGAGCGGCACAGGATGACTCGATCGTGGGGCTTGACTACAATATCTGGGTGTGAATGTCCCGGCTGCACGGTAGATGTGTTTTTCTGTCTGGCTCCCTTGCCTGCGCATGTGGATAACTCGGAGCGGGCAGCAAATCAGGAGGATTCGTTGGCGAGTGACACTTGGGGCGAGCCGTTGGGGCGTGAAGTCCCGGCAACGGGGATGCATACACGCGTTTAACACACACGCTTCTGGGTCGAACTGGGGCCACATCCGCCATGGCCGCGAGCGACAAGAGTGGCCTGATGATGATGTCGGGCCCTTGTTGCAGGACCCTGTTGGCAGACAAACATAGATGGAGGTAGGTCAGCAGTTAGCCAAGGGCCGCCCAGGGCCCAGACCCGACAAGACAACTATTGACTTGGAGGATTTCCCCAGAGGCGGCGTGGATTCCTTCAAGTGAGACAGGGCTGCGAGAGGACGGCGTGGAGTGGCTTGCCCTGGGCGGGTAACAACAATCTGACAGGGCCTGCAGGGCCTGCAGGGCCGGGCAAGCAGCGACGGGAATAACAGCGAGCAGCTGAGGCGCAGCAACAGGCACAGGGCCAGAGGGCCAGAGGGCCAGAGGGGCGGGCACACAAGCACACCACATCCAGATGAGGCTGCATAAGCCCCGGTGGCACCAATGTGGGAATCTCGCGGTGGTGTAAGGATGGGCGGCGGCGGTTCCTGAGCTTCCTTGGATCCTTCGTTAATGATTCTCAGCCCGGCGGGCCATTTCAGACAAAAGAAAAAACTGTTGCGGTGCGACGGTCCCTGCGCTCGGCTCATCCTCACCATGGCCTGTCGTGCTCAGGGGCCCCAAGGCCCAAGACCCTCTGTTGTCCTTCTGGAATATCAACCAGAAGCAGGCTGTGTGATGAGTCGAATTTTTTCACGCAGAATGCACGCATACGAATGATGAAGGGGGGAGGGGGAGGAATGCAATTTCCAGGCGCGGTAATTGGGGGCCCCACATGGAACCCAACAACCATGTGGCTGAGCAAATACACGCAGGAACTAAAGGACCTCTTTCCCCCCTCTCAGGACGTGTCAGGGCTGTCCAGGGCGATTGCATGGACCGGCCTTCGGTCGTCGATCTCGGCTCGTCGATCCGGAGGGTCCCTCTGTGGGGAGCTGGCAAGATGGGATGGAAAATCCGGACACGGGGCCGAATTTGTTGGCCATGCCGAAATGAGCCTGGTGGGAGACCTGGAATCGATCAGTCACTGGTTCCCAGGATCCTGCCAGCCTGCGGGTGGGAGCCTCTGGCGCCTCTGAGAGGACGAGCTCTGCTATGGGCTGCAAATTCCAGGTCCTCCTACTAATTATACACACCCACACACACACAGCCAACTGAACTGGCCTGGGGTTTTGTGGGGGCCCTTCCCAGACATCCGGTGCTCGTTCGGCAGAGGAATGAGGTGGCTTTGGAGGTCTAGAAGAAACGATCGACAGTCTCTGGGTTGTGCATATTTCTTGCAGAGATCGGCAATCGACGGACTGGCAGACTGGCAGGCCTGGCAGGCCTGGGTAACCGCCGGGCCACGCGTTACCCACAGGTCTGGTCGTCTGTCGTCTGGTCGTCTGGTCGTTGGTTTCTTCTTTTCCCGCTGTGTGGTAACTTGCTCCAACTTATCAACCTAATCATCTTATAATCTTACGCACAGTAGTCAGGTACGTGGTGAGTGGCGGTCTGCTCGGATCTCAGCCCACCTGCCCATGCCAGCCCTCTGCAAGTGGAATGGCTTGACGAGTTATTGAATTCTGTGATGCACTCTAATAATCCCGCTCTCGTCCCATCTCTGCCGGGCCCCTCAATGCTCATCCATCATGGCCAAGCTCTGCCGAGGCCAGGGCCAGGGCCAGGGCCAGGGTCAGGGCCAGGTCACCCACACCCAACCCACAGCATATACCAGACAGAGTACTTAAGTACTTGAGCACATACCAATTACACACTCACGCACACACCTTCCCCTTCCGGGGGGGGCCCTTTCCTGTCCTCGCCGAATTAATTCTCTTGGACTGGACAGTATAACAGAGTACGTACCCCGTACCTTGCTGTCCGAGTACCCTCCCCTGCCCTGTCCGTCCGTCTGTCTGTCCATTCCTCGTGTCCTTGAGCTTGTTGGCCTTCTTCTTGTTTTGTTTTGTTTCTTCTTGTTTCTTGCATTGCCAATTGCCAATTCCCCCATCCCCACCAACCACCTGTCTGCCACCGACTTGACTTTTGTCTGGGTCGCCTAGCAAACAAGGTCTGACCCAGTCCCTATACGGCCAGCCTAGGAGCCGTCCTCTTTCCTCCTCTTGCCCTTTCGAGCCTCGTCACCTCCTCCACGGCCGGTTTTGGTAGCGCCCCCCCCCCCAGAGCCTGGTGCCCACGCCTCACGCCTCACGCCCGGCCGCATCCAAATTTAACTCCCAGAGGAATCCTACGGCCAAGGTTCTCGCAGCCTTTCAACGGCCCGACATTCGAGCTATTGATCTGATCAGTCAGAATATCGACCTTGGGCCCAGACCTCGAGCTTCCCTCTCACGCCCCCGCAGTTGTTGTTCCCGCGCCTCGCCCTGCGTCTCGCTGCTAGAAAACAAAGACGCTTTCTTCTCTGAGCGTCATCACCCTAGCTCTCCAGCTGCTTGCGCAAGCTTGCCCTTTTGCACATTACACCGCGTCTCTTCGTCTACAGTGTCGCTTCGGTCTGGCGTGTCCTATTGGCTTGGCCTTCCGCTCTGCGGGAAGCGACTTAATTTTACCCGTCCGCGTCTAAGCTATTCTCGCCCTCGAGCAGGCCCTGGACAGACCCAAGCTTCTTAAGATTAGCCTCTCCCTCCCTCCCCTCCTCCCCTCCTCCCCTCAGGCTTTACCTTGGTCAGCCCTGCTAGCCGTCTTCGTTCCCGAGTCCCGGCCCTACCTGAGGGCTATCGCTACCTTGGCGCTACATTAAAAGGGCATGGGCCGAACCCGCCCCACGAGGTGATCAAGAGCGAATCCGGGTAATCGCGCGACGATCGTCTGCATTTTTACCACCACGAGACCACCGTCCCGACGTCGATCTTTTCATACACCTCCCTCGGTGACCGCTACCGTCGGTCATCAGTCACTCGTTGAGGAAACCCTGGGGCCGCCTGTGTCACCGGGTTATGTTTCACATGAATCAAATGTGTTGTGCAGCCACGATATGACCATGGCTATCCTCACCAGCCCTCTCCCTGACCACCTTGCCCACGCCGACACGGCGCCTTCATCCACAGCCCGGCACCACAGGCCATGGATACAATGGCCCATGGCCCTGGGTCTTGTGCTGTCGCTGGCTTCGCCGGCGCTGGCCTACAAGGCCCATACCACAATCGATGAGTTGCCACAGCCGACAGAGGCTCCATACCTGGCCGAGGCGCTCTTGCTGGACACACACGTACCAGTCTTGGACCAGGGACGGTGGATCACCATGGATCCGCCAGAGAATGAGCTCCGGAGGAGGGCGACGGCCGCCCCTTCAGTTACCACCACATTCGAGATCACAATATCACAGTCGCCAACCGCCAGCCCACTACCCAGCCCCTTTGACGGTGGCATAACAACAAACTTCACCTCCACCACCTGCCCATCCTTTTTTGACAACATGCTTGCCGATCCCGAGTTGCAGGCGTGCTATCCCGTGTCGTTGATGCTTCAGGTAAGGCCTCCCGTCACGCCGTCACTGCCCTTGTCGGCACGCTTGCCCGGCCTCTGGATACTGACAACCCGATATAGAGCTCGCAGTCATTTTTTGAGGCTGAGAAGTCGCTTGTCAGCATATCCACCGTGCTCGATCATGCGTGTGCGGCAGACCGCATTCACTGCACCGATTATCTCGCCTCCGTGGCAAGGAATTTGACCGACTCGAGCAATTGCGGCCAGGACTATCAAGCCAACAACCCGATGATCAGGGAAGCTTACCTGGGTCTCATCTCCTACCAGGTCGTATACAGTGCCACCTGTCTGAAGGACCCGGAAACAGCTGTCTATTGTTTCGGAAACTCGGTGACAAACCAGACGAACCCGACGGAAACATACTTCTACTATCTACCTCTGAATTCCACCCTGCCCGGCGGTACCGTGCCCATCTGCGCACCCTGCCTACAGCAGACCATGGAAATTTACCAAGTGGCCACGGCGAACCGAAGGCAGCCAATTGCCGACACCTATGATTCGGCCGCCGAGCAGGTCAACACTCTATGCGGCCCCAGTTTCGCAAATACCACCATGCCCGAGGCCATCGTGACCAGCGCCGGGTTCTCGACTCTAAGCCGAGGACCGTCATGGTTGCTCCCCTCCACGGTGTTGATCATGGCAGCGAGTTGGCTTCTGTGATAATCTACCCACGCCCGACATTGATCGCCGCGGTTCTTTGCTTCATCATGTTGGCATTTCTGCCATAGTTTCGCCTTTACTCTACGACTATACTTGGACATCTAAGCGATTTGATACCCCTCATACTATACTGTTACTGTTTACATTCTATTCTTCTGGACACCTTCCCCACTCTGGAGGCTCCAGCTCTTGGACGGCGTTTCGATTTTTTTTTTGGGTCGGCTCTCTTGTTTGGTTGAGAGACGTGAAAAGGCTTGGGCTTTGGGTAGCGGCTCGTGCTTGGGACTTTCAGAAGGCTTGAAAGTCTCGGGACCAATCGATACTGGTCTCGGTTAGGTAGACCGAGGCTCTGGTCACCTCGCACAGATATGGCGTTTTGGAAAATTGCCTCCTTACCCACTTGGGCTTCACTCATCACCTGTCCAGATGTATCCCTGGGCATGGTCTTTACTGGATATATCTATGTTCTTCGGGACACACCATATGCTACCTATGCTCTCATGGTTTATTGATAATCACTAGATAAATAAGAATGAACACATCCATGATGGATGGACACCAGCAATACCCATAGCTCAATTTCCTGTTTAATGATGAATTGTCCAACGGGGACATGTTTGATCTCGAAAGATTCTATGAACGGGGCGCTCATTGTCATTGAAGAAGGGCTTTCAACTCGGATAATCGGTGCATCAGCCCCGGACAGTCGCCAAAATGCGCGGTTCAGGCGGTTTCTGGGGGTTCCCATCCTATTCTGTTGGCCAGTGCCGGTTTCTCTGCATTCGACTGCCAGGGCTTGCACATCGTCATGGGTCATCTCCTTGTTGCGTTAGCAGACCCAGATCTGAGAGCCGCTGGCTGGCCCTCGGCTAGATGGGCCTTTGCTCTACGTAGACAAATTCATGATGAGACACGTCGACTTGAAATTTGGGGGGGGGGGGAGGTGGCCATGGCATTATATAGTGATTAGCCTATCGAACCCATCCGCCCTCTCAAGCCACGTTTCTACTTGCGCTTCCTGACCAGGAACCCGCCCTTTCTCGCCACCGGCCGCTGCCTCTGCAGCAGCACCTTCTTCGCGTTCTGCGAGTGCCTGTGCACCTTGGGCGCGAGGCTCGGGTCCTCCTGGCGCCGCGCCACGCGGTACACGGTCGACCCGACGCGCTGGTCCTGCGGCTGCCGCGACCCGGCCTTGGCCATCTGCCTCGCGAGGGTGCTGGACTTGGGCTTCCTGGGCCTGCGGGCGTCCTGCTCGTCGTCCTGGTCGCTGCCATCCTCGTCATCGTCCGAGGCTGCCTCGAGGAAGTCGTCCGGCAGCACGTCCGGCAGCGACCGCTTGTCCAGCCGCTTGCGGGTTGGGGCTGCGGACACGCTGGGGAGGTGGCTGCGCGCGCCTGGGGTCTGCTCCGGGGACTCCTCTGCCTCTTCCTCAGCATCTGCATCTGCTGCTGCTGCTGCTGCTGCGGCGGCGGCGGCGGCGGCGGCCTTCTTTTCAGACGCTGCCTGGTGCTTCTTGCGCGTCTCGGCCTGCTGCTTGAGCCGGGCGTCACGCTCCTGCCGTTTGCGCTTCTGCTGCTCTAATTGTCTGAGTTCTATGTGTTAGCAAAAAAGAAAATCTCTCGCCTCTTAAATTGCACTGTCATGGTCCGGCTTACTTCTCCGCCGCTCTCGTGGCCGCCTGGGCGGACTTGGCTGCCTGTGCTGCTGCGGTCTGCGTCGAGACGGCCTCCGGGGCGTCATCGTCACTGTCGCTCTCCCTGTCGTCCTCCCCAGCCTCACCTCCTGCCCCGGCCGCCTCAGACAGCTGCGCGTCCAGCAGGTCCTGGGCGGGTGCCTCCTGCGGCGTGAAGAACTCGGCGGGCCCGTCGTCGTCGTTGAAGACGATGTGCTTGCCTGATGGCTTCGTCACCGGCGTCGACACGGGTATCTCCACCTTGACAGTCCTGTGCGCGTGCTCCTTTTTGCCCGACTCGGTCACAGTCTCGGTGAGGCTGACGGAGGAGGACGAGACTTTTGGCTTCTTGGCGCCCGGGCTCTCGACCTCGTCACCCTCGTCCTGGCTTGCCTTGCGCTTGCCGCGTTTCCTTGCTGGTGTCGCTGCTACCTCTGCTTCTGGCCCGAGGTCGTCGCCTGAGTCTGCTTCTGATGGTGCCTCTACAGCCTGTGCCTTCGCCTTGCGTGCCGGCGTGGGTCTGGGTTTTGCAGACTTGGCCGTGGCCTTCTTGGGCGGCATGTTGTCGTTCGAATGAGAAGGCTGGATTATTGAGTTGGTCCGGGATATTCTTGATGATGAAATTCCTGTGTTACTTGCGGGTAGTGCTTCGCGGGGTTGCCAGTGGGTTTGGTTGCAGAAGGCATTGAAAGATGCGATGAGATTGGAACCCATTCAACTTTTCTGCCAGGGTCCTTATCGATAATGAGCCAGGTGGGTGGGTGCTGCAGTGCAGGCTTGATTGGTCTAGTGGGCGTTGCCGACCCGTACTGGGTTGACACAAGGACACTCCCGTCCCAGGCCCGACTGCAAATCATCCAGACGTGTGAGCTCTCAGCTGAGTGGATCACAACGAGTTGATGGTCTGCAGGGTATTCATTTTACTGCTCACCATCTGGAACTCCGTGGCAGACGCATCAAAATTCAACAGAATCGGCCCTTCAAAAAGAAGCCTATGACCCCATGAGCTCACTCATCACCCCCGGCCAGCCGGCCACGAGGTGCTTCTTCTCACTCTCTTCTCGCTGCACAGCTTCATATGCTGTATCTACTCAACCAGCACATAGCCCATTGCCTCGGACTGGAAATCGTCCAACACAACGGCACTTCGCCCAAAAATTCCGTATAACCCGTCCGGCAGCCCGTCCGGCAGCCCGCCCAGCCCCTTCTCTCTCAGCATCACCGAGATTATCTGCAAAGGGTGATGAGCCGCCAAGATGGATCTTCTCACCAGCCGACGTGCCACCTATCAAGGACTGGACAGCCAGCATCGAGGGCCTGGGAGCCAAGCACATGACTCCTCTGCAGTGTATGGAGGCCGCCCAGCGTTACGTGTCTGCAGCCACACAACGTGAGAGCTCCTGGCGACCGAGGCTTGAAAAGGGTAGGCCCATTTCGATTAGCTCTGCGATTATCTGATTGTACTCTGGTCGTGGTCTCTCACATCGCCAATCTACCCTTCACTGAATGTTTTACCTGGACTGACACGCTATAGACTTTGACCTACCCGTATTTCTCCTACATTGGGTAGCAATCCTTCTAATCGCTGACACCTCCGCCTCGCGATGGAAGCTCGGAACACACATGCTGCGATCGGCGTCTGAGTTGGGGTATAACCCTTCCACCTTGACGCTTACGCGCATCTTGACCAGCATGCCACCAGCTATGCAGAAGAAAGCAGCTGCGTCCAAAATGTTCATTGATGCGAACAGCCGCTTCCAGAAATTGTTACAGAATGACACCGATCCCAATGCGCTTACTCTACAAGGTAGAACTTTTGCGAAGAAAGGGACTCAGGCCCACGACAGGCAGGCCTTGGATTCATTCCGCAGGGCAGAGAAGGCCTGGGAGGCCAAGGCCAAGTCTAGCGCGCCCTCGCAAGCCAGCGAAAGACCTAGCTTCGATATCAAGAAAGGCTCTGACCCAGACTACGTGAGCCTGCCTGAGCCGCGCGAGCCGAGATGGGAGTGGGAAGTCACCTGGGCACTCGAGCAAGCGCGGATACTAGAGAAGCAAAAACGCACCGACGAGGCCAGGGACATGTACCGCGTGGCGGCGCTGGAGCTGGACAACCCGCAGGGCTTCTGGAACCTCTCGCGCCTCATGGAGGGGCCGCGGGACTCGCCGGAGAGGAGGACGTACCTGCTCAAGGCGGCCATAACGGGCGAGCAGGAGGCGTGCCGGGAGATGGGGGTGCTCGAGAAGATGGCAGCGGAGAGGCAAGACCTGGCGGACAGGGACAGAGCGGACCGGGAACTTTTGAGCCGGGAGTGGTTCCGGCTTGCTGACGGAGAGGATCTCGAGTCGATCAAGGACGATGATGAAGACTAGACGGCAGCATCACCTCAAATGCTCCGGTGTGGTAGCGAGTGTGGACTGGTCTACCAGAATATATAGAATAATTTCCGTCGGGTGAGCCTACAATGGAACAATCTTGGAACCTGATGTGGGATGACCCCACGCGGAACAATTGGCTACAGCCTACAGTGTGAGCTACAGCCTCATATTATACAACTGGCTTCACCTTTCTTCTGTACACGTCCGAAGCTATGCACGGCACCTTTATGTAGTAGTAAATACTTTCGGCCCAGCATTTAAAAAATGTTAAGTAAAATACAATAAACATATATCATTTTAACTAAATAATATGCAAACTCCAATAGTTTCCATCACACTTCTTATAGGACTGCCTCTGTGAGATGTCCTACCTGATTCTATAGATTGACCAACCATGGGATTAAACAGCTTGCCAGTGGTCTAGAAGATGACGTTGTATTAGCAATTCACCTTGTATAACCATTTGTATGGCATCACTCTCTTATAGGATGTTATATTTTTTGATGGGCACTTGATTTTACCAAAGGTACATGTGCAGTCATTTTGGTATCGATTGATGCCACTTAAATGTGAAGCAATAATCATGCCCAGACGAGACGCGTTTGGGCATGTTTATTTAGTACCTTGGGGTACATTAGGCAATAACAGTTCAGCCAAAACTCATTACAATGTGTGGGAGTCCAGGACTTTAATTTATAAGTTATCAACAGCGGGATATTGTCTTCTGTCCCCCCTTGGCTTCGGATGCTTCCGCCGGTGCGACTGTTATCACATGTATTTGCACGTCCTCGTGCATTCCCGTCTGTAACACACTGTCGCCTTGCACACGACTTGCTGCCCCACGAGCACGCCATGGGGGTTGTTTTTGAGCGAGCTCGCTTCCATCCTCGCCACTGTTAGGGGCGGAAGTAGATGTGTGGCGAGATTTGGAGGATATGTGTCCGACTAGTTTGACAATAAGGGGTCGCAAGCATCCCATCGACCCCGCGACCATCCCCATATTATACTCGACATTGGTCCAGTAGAGCAACGGCAGAGAATAGACTGCATCTTATATTAGCATATGGTTTCGAAACTGGGATTAGGGGAAATTACATGTCAGGTCTGTTACACCGGTATCTCTCTGGAACTTAGCATTCTGAAGCCTGATAATGGGAGTAATGCTCGCGACAGCGGCTGAGCCCGCGCGAGAAATCAGCGTTGGAAGTGAGTGTTCTTCTGTCAATGGCTACTTACCGCTCGCGAAGATGGTAAATAATGCAATATACTTGCCCTTTGATGCCGTGGTCATTTTGTATAACGCCGGGATGGGAAGCATGAAGATGGCCAAGTCGGTCACAAAAGACAGCGCGCCTTGGTAAACCAACAGCCCATAAGAGATGTTGTCTGGAAGACAGTGCTCGGAGCGATCGGGCCGCGAGACCCAGTCAACGTCATACACATATCGTGGCGGATTGCAGAAAAAGGCGTCCACTATGCAGGCACTAACTGTAAAGACCAACAGAAAGCACCATATCCAGAGGGACAGTTTCTTGACATAGGCTTCCTCAAGGTCAGTTTATAGTGCTTTCTGCATATGGTGCGCTAGAGGGATTGACTCACGGACAGGCACCACCCGTCGTATGTAAAGAAGGAGGCTCGTCTTGATCGGGAACGCGAAAGCTACGAACGTCACTGTTAAGGCGTAATAGAACTAACAAGCGATCCTCGTCAGAAGAGCCGAAACAAAGTTTTGCGGTCACAACAGAAAAGCATGCCTCGGTCTCCATGGTATACTCCACGTGGGAACGCACATAGTAGAAAATCCTCGCGTCACTCAGGGCAATGTTAGCCAGATGGCGCCCGGCGCCATATTCGATGACGGCAAGGGATAGCGCGGCAAATCCTGTCGTTGAGAAAATAGCCACGACACAAGCGAAGTCATCAGCCTGGAAGGCATGTAATATGCACTTTCGCACGTAGAGCTTGAGAAAAGGGCGGCTGTCAGTTGCTGCTGTCTGCACAGCAAGACACACATGATATATGGATGACAAAAGGGGCACTCACCCGACAGGAGCATATGAGCAGGGCGAACAGATAGACCCCCAATATGGCACCTCGTGCCGTAGAAATCTGGTGTCGCTCGTCAGGCTCCAGATATGCTGTCGATGCGGGCATAGTAGGTGGCCTAAAAGACGGCGAATTGTAGACAGTGTCTTGGTCCCTTCTGCGTCCGGTGCGCTCCACGCAGTGAGATGGTCAAGTTACGGTGGCATATTCGTTGTTGAGTTTTGGATCTGAATCTGGTGCCGAAAGTTTGTGATAACAGATCGACTTCACACCATGGGTATTCAGTCGGAACAGGTATTTGTTCAAATCTACGCGCCGCAGTCCCGCTTTGCTCAGCGTGAGCACGGCGGGAGCACCGACGCCCACGAACCAACCACACTAAGCTTGTTTGCATTTAAACTTTGTCGGCCGTCAGCCTAAGATTTCCCCAAGGCACCGTGAACATGGTATTGACTCGTGGCCTTGCATACCTCTGCGAAGTTCCGTTAGAGCCACAAACGTGTTTCTAATCTAGTGCGCGTCACAAGCGTCAAGGCAGTTTGCGTGTTTCCCGCTCACCGCTCCGAGTTCCCCGGGCCAGCCGCACTTTTGACCGAAAGGTGTGGCCGGATGAGTTTGATTTGTGTATTATTGTCATGGGTATACAGATCGGGTGCGCCTTATGTCAATGTGCTTGTATATGCAGACATGGTGAAACTGTCCGTCTTACTTGAACGGTGACATGTACATTGAGGCCATTACACATTATTCACAATCTCCGTACCTTTGCTCGAGTCCAGTACCCAGCCATGCCATTTATTTAGTGGAGTACCGGGGCAGTGCTCGCTCTTGAGCTAGCTAAGTACCTTGAAGTACGTGTGGTACCAACCATTTATGGGATAACCTCAATTGCTGCAATGAAAAAATACCCTAGAACATGACCTCAAGCTACCAGAGCAATCAGGCAGAATTGAGACAAGCCACATAGGATCTGAAATGGGATCTTCAAACAGAATCTCTTACTCTAAAAGTGTGGCGCCGTATGAAGGCGCCATGTATGTCCTCGGACGTATACGGAATAGAAGCGAAACCACATATGGAATAAAAGTGAAACTATATAAACTGTACCTGGTCCCTTAGTGTATCTGACCTTGATCTAGAAAAGCCGTAAGGGGACTGACTACACGCGCTTTCAAGATTTCTTTTTTGCCAATGTATCTCGCTGTCGCGTACACTGCCAACTTCGTCGATCGCAGCCACAGTGCGGTCATGACAATCCTGGACCAGAATTGGGACCGTCCTGTTGTTACAAGGCCCAGGCTGCCAGAATTGACAAGAGGAAACCTCACACCTACTGCGGTTCCAAGGTTATCCTGTACGTACGGACTACCTCGTACGGGATTGCATTCTTTGTGATCAACATCTTGTGGGGGAAGCTGGTTGTGAGGAGGGATAATGGCTTGGCAACGATGCCTGTGACATATTTGGAATATTATTGCACTACTATTATGATGGTTGTGATCAGTGCTATGATACAACGTGAGTACTGATATGATGGGCGTGTCAAGTAGCCTGAAGAGGGCCCTCACTCAAAAACCTAAGACCTTTTAGGTTGACCTCGAAAATATGTTTGGGAGTTGGAATTGGGAGCAACGATTCGTCGATTTGTCTCTCAACAAATCCTCCATCATACCGAGTTGCCTACTCGCTCATGGTAATAAAAATGCAGTGAAGACTACACTCATATCCTTGCTTGAGAGCTCCCCATTACCAACCATGGCCTCAATTCAAGCCACTTAAACGCCATGCTGTGCTCAATGCCATGCCAGACTTCCATCAAAATGCTCGCCAGATCGCTCCAGCCCTCGGGGTATCACTTTCATCATCACCGCGGTTCATATTCCTGATCCAAGCCGTCTCCTGCGCAAGGGCGTCCCGCTCGATCTGCTCCATCAAGTCCAGCTCAGCAAGCATGCCGTGTACCTGACTCCGGCACCCAGACAGGATTCTCGTCAGGCTGCAGGACTTGAAATCCTCGCCCCGGTCGCCATCAAACACGCCGCTCTCGAGCTGTCCCAGCTGCCTACGCCAGGAATCCAGCTTCCGCGCCATGGACGACACCTCATCCCTCCAGGCTGGGTCCAGCTCGCTGATGAAGCCGACCTCGCCGTCGTCCATGAGGGCGCCGAGCCCGCCGGCGACCCGTCGCGCTTCAACGGCCCGCCTTGTCTGGTCCACCCACTTCTCAAACTTCCTCACAGCGCGCGTGTACCGCCCATTCGGCTCACCCAGGCTCCAAACCCCGGAGAGAACGGCGTCCAGCACCTGGATCTTCCCATCGAGCTCCCTGCCGCCGCCGCCGCCGCCGCCGCCCCAGGCCACCAGCGCAGCAAGATTCCTGGCCTCCTCAACCACTGCCTCCTCCTTGCGAACGTCCTCGCCGGCACGGGCCAGCTCTGCGAACCTCGAGCCCAGCCTCTGCCTCGCGCTCGCATGCCACGAGGCAGCCACGGCGTCGGCGTCGCGATGGAGGAGGTGGAGCTGCAGCAGCTCGGTCTGCAGCCGGGCGGTCTCGGAGGAAATGGCGACGTTCGCGGGGAGTTTGGAGGGCGAAGGGGGCGCGAGGTAGGACGAGGTCAGGGGCTTCGGCGCGAGGTTGCGGGCGGGGCTGTAGTGCTGCTGGAGGGTGTTGAATGCGGGCTTGAGACGCGGCGCATCGGCTGCCGGCGCAGTGGTCGTGGTGGTGGGCCTGGTGTTGTGTGTCGGTGCGGATTCTTGGCGGAGATGACCTGCCCGCGTTGCTGCTATGATGTTGGCCCGGCCGATGGGCTTCTTGGGCGCGGCGGTTGCTGTGGTGTTGGTCGTGGAGGTCGAGGTCGAGGTCGAGGCCACCGAGGCAGCTGCTGATGGCGGTCGCGGAGGGCGCAGGACGGTGGCTGAGTTTAGGGCCGTCGCGGACGACTTTGCCCGTATGTGTGTGTTTGTGCGCTGCGATGCTGTCCGCACAGGCGATGGGGATGCCGTCGCCGTCGCCGTCGCCGTCGGCTTTGGTGGAGTCACTCTCGAGGGCGAGGACCGCGAGGGAGTGGTCGGCGATGGCTCTGACGAGGTTGGCGCAGGCCGGGAGGAGGGACGGATCAGCCTGGTGGTTGATATGGGAGCCGGCCGAGCCGGCCTGGCGCTCTTTGAAGGTTCTGCGAGGCTGTCAGACCGGCCGAAGATGCCCGACGTCGGCCTGCTCCTGGTCCCTGAAGCAGCAGCGGATGGGATGCCGCTCGCCTTGCCAGCGGTGGCCGCGCGTGTTCGTGTCGCTATCGAAGTGCCGCCGGGGGGCTTTGGGAGCCTGCTCGGGGATGTCCTTCCTGCGGCGGGGACGCCCTTGTTGGTGGTGGCGGCGGCGACATTGGCGGCGGCGGCGGCGGCGGCAGTGTTGACGTTGTTTGAGGCTTGGACCGAGGCTTCGTCCTTCTTCAGGCCCCTGCTGAGGCCTGCAGTGGGCTGTCTCAGCGACCGCGAGCGGTTGAGTGCTGACGCTGACGAGGAAGACGACATGTCTCCTTGCCAAAGTCATATGCAAGACAGAGGACGATGCCCGTGTACGGAGTACCACCCTGGTAACGTCCCTTGACCTCGCTCGTCCGGTTTGTTTTGATTTGATTCGGTCGAGTCGCACAGACAGACGTGGCCCGGCTCCTAAACAGCATCGGGCAGCCGGGGCCGGCAGCCACTGAGGGCCGGGGGCCGGGGGCAGGGGGCAAGGGGCAGGGTACAGGGGTCGATCAACAGGTACTCCCGTACACCACGTGGCCCACTTCTGGTATAAGTCGACTTACACAACCACATTCAGAGGTACCTGGGTACCTACCTATCAGGTGCCTAGGTGCTTAACTGGACTCATTTGTTCACCCGCATCTTGTTGTAGTACCACAAGATTTCAATTCCCTGTGAGCGGCGAGAGAACGCCTCCAAACGGATGTAATATCGCCATGCGAAAGAATAGCATTGGGGCTCTCGCAAAGTTGGAGCTCAGAAATAGCTCTTATGCTATCCAATGGGTTTATGAGACAACTACAGAGTGGATGATTTTCTTTCCGGCGAAGGGTTGAACCAAGCATCACTATATGATCGCAGTGGGCCTGAGGTAGAGAGTTCCGAATCTATGCATGTTGGGCAGGGGCTTTCCAATGGATGGAATCAACTTAAGAGGAGCATCATTATACACATGAATTAACCTATAGTTTTTAATTTTACATGCATAATTATGGTCTTGAGCGTTTACCGCCGTATCAAGCCGCCATGTATGTCCCCGGACGTATGCGGAATAGAAGCGAAACCAGATATGCATAAGTATGCTCCCTTCTGCAGAGCGTAATAGTGAAGTTCCCGGCTATATAAGGCCTGCAAAACCTTAAAAGCCACGAGTCTATAGCCTGTTCATCCGAGTAGCCACCACTTAAATCAATAGGCTATACATGTATACTCTCTTCGAATATGCCGTGATGCCTATGGGCATGGTAGACATAATGTCTCAATCGTGTTTCGGTCGCATGCATAGACTGCGTACAGCAGTAGTACCTGACATATATAACAGGTCCGTCTGCACGCAGATACGGAGAATGTAAATAATTTACACAACCCGTCAGAACCACACAAACCACAAAAGTCTTACAAAATGCAATGATGCACACATCATCACTATACTTCAGAACTTGAAACTTGGAATATATAGAGTTTAATTAAGACCTGTTACACCTGCCCATGGCGGATATCACAAAATGCACCCTGCCTGCCTGCTTAGGGTACTCATAGCACTTGAGGGAGAGGCTGCAAACCTTTTGGCAACCACATTTGAGACGTCTGTCACGAGTGATCCACGGACGTTCGGGTTTGCCGCCCTGCAGCATTAGAGCCAGATACGCGGGAGCTCATCGACGAACTTGTGGTCTCTAGTGTGTAGGTAAATGGTAAACCTTAATTCTCGGTTTGTCGTTTGATATAGATGAAAGCTGCGATGATCTTCTCATCCCCTCACGAACAGCGATGTTCCCGCCGCCGTGGATCTAAGGGGTTGTCCACAAAGTTCAGATAAGGCAGACAATCCTTGATGCCCTACCAGGAGGCCATTCGATCCGAGACTTTCCCCGGGGGTGGCTCACTAGGCGAAGACGGGGCAGGGCTGCCCTGGGGATTCAGGTCCGGTTCCCCGGAGGTTTACTCCGTAGAGCATATTGGGTAAGAAGCAAGGGGAGGCGAGGTCTTGGAAACAGGTTCTTGGGTAGAAGGATAGGCACGGTCCCGCTGACTCCCCAAGACGGGTCGCATGACCGCGAAGAATGATCGGTTGAACTGTTGGCTCGCACTCCGCTCGCGTCTCCTTTGTTCACCTCGAGTTTGGTACCCTCAGGGTGGTACCCTCAGGGTGTTGACTTCCGAAGCTTGGTGATCGGGTTCTCTTTGCTCCAACATCGATTTTGTTTCATCGTCGAACATCAGGCCATTGCACATACCACATCGCATCTCCGTCCGACTGTCAGCCTGTGCGGCTCGGACAAGACCCACGTCCAAAACGAGGCTGACAAGCTCGCGTGCCCTCCTCGACCCATGCCACGCCACCACCGACCGGATACGACCTGGCCCTCGCAGGTGTCGTCCGATCTCGTTCGTCCAAGCCCGCAGCGGGACTTCAAGCTCAAACAGGTTCCCTGCAGGCCCCTCCCCTCCGGGCGGAAACCCGGTCCCGATGGTGACGTGCAGGCCTGCGGCAGAAACGTCGCCAGAATGAGACCTCTTCTTCTCAGCTGCCTGTGTCCGCGGGGCCGAGGCTTGCCGGGATGGGCAAGGTAATAAACCCTAAGGAAATCGCGCCAACCAAAGGCACGGATTGTTAGCGTGACACGGAAAGGTCAGGATCTCGCCGGAGATTTTATTTCATGTACTGTACAATGATGGGGGGAGGCCAGTGAAAGGGCTGAGGGGCTGGCCGGAAACTGGGGAATGGCATTCGGCACGGTGCCGGGCCGTTTCACACCCATACCCTTACGGTAAGTAATTAGTTGCCTCTTATGCCCTGTCAACGAAACAAGCCAGCCGCCCACCGACCCGTCGTCACAAGCACGCCGGGTGGCTGGAACTTGCCGACACGAAACGTGGCATTGGAAACTAGGAGCAGGGGAGACGCGTTCATACCCGCTGGAGGTTTAGACGCGATGCTGTCGTGATTTTATTTATTTCTGTCCTCTCGCGTCGTGTGTCGCTCTTGTGTTGGCTGGCAAGAGTGATTCTCGTCTGATCGCCCCTCCCAGTGTGACGTCTCTTGTTGAGGTCACTTGGCGGTGGCCACTCTCATCCCGACGTCTCAGCGAGCACGGCCACCAGCATCCGCATTGTGCCTTTTAAGGTTTTCCGCCTATCCCAATTGTACAGACCTACAGTGCGTACGGTATTGGCCGAGGCGTGAGCTTGGCCCGTCTTTCAAGCTTTCATGGCGTTCTTGATGGTTCGGGCGCAAGAAATGCCATTTTCGGTGATATCTGCCATCACACCCGAAAGAAGCTATAGCGGCCGCCAAAATCTCGACTCCCAACTATGGCCTTGGCCTTTGGATGGCCTGCTGCCACATCCCACAAGTATCCTTAGGCCTGAGAGAACCGACGGACCCAGAGCCAAATGGCTAGGTGAACCTAAACCAACATGCTGGTCTCACAGTGGAGCAATCTCCAGTCACAAATCGTCCAAAACTTTTCCCTGTCCGTCATCGTGCAACGCCAGCGTGTTTTGTTCTGCCCGACAAATCTAGTATCGGCGCCCTTGTTGTATATGCGATCGTCTAGACCTCGCCCACCACCCCCAATCCAGCCCTGACGCCAAAACAGATAGACCTTCCCGACAGGTCCCGTCACAAGACGAATCTTGTTCGGTTGCCACATTAGGACTGCACCCTGCTGGTGGTTACACTAGGCACTCAATGTAACAAACGCCCCACCGCTCCTTCTAAACCCCATTTCGTCCTTCGTTCGCAAGCAGCACACCCAATTATCGTCCTGCTCATGCCGGTAACCATTACAAGGGGAGTCTTTCGTGCGTCAATTTTCCGTCGGTCTCGCAAGGGGAGCCTCGGCTCAAATACGAGACAAGAAAATTAATAATGTCGAGAAAGGGGAGGGTATCCGAGAAGTGACGGCCAGACAGTATAACGGATAAGCTGAGGTCCAACCGTAATTTGCACCGGGAACGCGTCACAGCCGGCACCGTATACTGCAAGACCCAACTATGAGCGACAGCTCCGGCTGTGTGAGGAGTGGACAGGGTTCTCACAGGCTGTCGTTTCTTGCTCGCTTGCGTGGGGAATCTTCCCCGCCCGAGTTTTCCTCGCTGTCGTCTCTCTTGCCGGTCTTTTCGTTGCCCTTCTTCGTGGGTATGTTGCAGCCTTGATGCTTCAAGGCCTTGGCGAGCGCGGACGACTCTAACATTCCGGGGAACTCCTTGGCACTGTACGTCTGAAAGACGTCCGAGAGTAGCTCGGCCCTGATCATTGATTTCGCGTTCGGCCGCAAGGGCCACTCCAGGACGACCAGCACGAACTTGAGCCTGAACCTCCCAGGGGTACGGCATGAGATGTCTGGGAAACAGAAGAAACACCCTTCCTCCCCACGCTCGTCAAACCCGACAAAGGGGGACGCGACAAGGTTGCCCATCAATCGCTTCTGTCTCGTGTAGTCGTCCGGCATCCCTGACATGTCCTCCTCCCCGTCCGGACTCCAGATCGAGCAGTGGACAACGTATGATGGTGTCCTCAGCTTGCGGCTGACCTCCTGACGCGAGAGCCACGGAGCATCGATCTTAAGCTGTAGGATCGGAGGCGGGTCGATGACCCGCCTGTCCCTGTCGCCCAGTCCGCATGACCGCGCGTTAGCCGGCTGTTGCCGTACGCACAAGTCATACCTCAGCTCTTTGGGAGTCATGTCGTCGTTAAGCAGCGAGCGTACGGTCACGCTCTTCGAGTGCTGGCGAGGAGTCTGCGGCCCGCTGATTGGGGGCGCCGGTGCTGGAGGGGGCGGGGTTGGCCAGGTCGGCCTCGGTGTTGGTATCATGCCTTCGACTCGGCTTGTCGGCGCGTCGTGATCCAACGACCGTGGAACACTCGCTGGTACATAGTTTCCGGCCGTTCCCAGAACCCGGCCTTTGTCTCGAACTCTTCCTTCTCCAGACAAGGCCGTGTCACAACTCTCACTGGCCAAGGCACTATGCCGTGTTGGGGAGCTTCTAAATTCATATTGGGAGCCTCTCGGCCCTGTGCCCAGTGTACGGGAGAAATTGTAGTTGGGTAGAGAGGTTGGCGAAGGCCATTCTAGAGGTGACGGAGTGCTCGCATGGCTGCTATGAAATGACTCTCTTCGAGGCGCGAGCGATGAAGAAGGAAACTGACGCGCTGTGTTTCCCTGGGGAAAATTTGGTGAAGTTGTAATGCGCGCTACACGTCGATCACTAGGACTTGTTGGCTTGAAATCAGAGTAAAAGCCTGCTTGAGGCGTACCAGGCGCAGGCCATTGGTTCCATGGGCTGGTCATGGCGTCCATACTGATTTCAAGATCATGTGGTGTAATCCGAGCACTGGGCAACCGCAGATATGGGACCTCGAAGGACCGAAGATGGTTTTTATGAGGGAGCTAGTTGTCGAGCGATCAGCAAGCGGAGCCGAGAGCTTAGACAGACAAGCATGTGCACTTACACTAGATCAGTCGTAGCACACGTAACGTGCAGAGAGAGTATTGTGTAACTGGAAACCGCTCCTGTCGGGGTCGAACTGAGGTGCCCTGGGTATCTGCCTCGACAAATCTGCAGCGACGAGCCAGTGGTTGTCTGTTCCAGGCAGAGTCTCGGAGATCGGAGAACAGAATGAAGATGGAATCGTAAGCGGCTTCCCTGTCCCTGACCGAGAAAATTCCTAAGTTGCGATCGCTGGTTACAGTGGTACAAACGAACGGTTAGGCGCAGGAGCGGTGGGCTTGAGCAGGCATCATCAACCAATGCGTAGTGTTGCTTTGGGTCGACCAGTCTTTGCGAGCTGCGTCTGGTGGAACGAGATACAGACAAGGCCAGTCAGGAAAAAACATCGGTGTGCCGTCGTTGCAAAGAATGAAGAGGGAAAAAGGCGGCCTCGAAGCGAAGGTGCGCAGTGGTGGGGACGGTCTTGATATCTGGCGACCTGCAGGCTCGAATTTAGGGAAAGATTGGCATGCATGTTTGCTAAGACTGCAGGACATGGCACACCTCGGGTATACAAGGGTCCCTCATGGAACGGTACTTACCGGTGTGTGTTATAGAAAGTAGCCCGCAACAGAGTTTGAGTTGGATGGACTTCCAGGAACGGTCACCTTCACTCAGGCGCTGGCCGAGACACCATGAGCACCCTTGGATGTAAGAGAATTAGATCGCAGCTGTGATCAAGGGGGTTTGCTGAAGTCTAAGTGCGAAAATTAGCACCATAAGCCGCCTAAGGTAGAAATAAGTGCATGAAGCCATACCAGTGGTGTATTTTTTTCCCTTTCCTGAAGAGGCGTTGACCGGGTGCTGGGTTGTCAGTATGGAGTACTGCTCGTAGGGGGCTGCCGGTTCCTCGCTCTACCGTCCAATGAGCCAGGATGCCATGCAGAGCTGCAGCTTCCATGCGTTCTACGTACCGGGCAACCAGGGTGTATCTGTGTGAACGGACCAACGCTTCTCTGATGGAACAGATTGAGCAAGCTCGGCAACCTGCATCCAACGCAAGCAGGAATCGAATGCTAAGCTCCCTCGTAAGACCTGAAATCCATCCTCGAGACAGGCAGCTCGCTGCATATGGCAGAAGTCTTGGCTGACTTGATTGATGCGGACAGCTTTCCAGGCGTCGCCCCAACCGACATACAAGTTCGACAAGTGCACTCCGTATGAAGTGAGGAGATAGCCCCTGGTAAATTTAGGTCATTGAAGAGTACATATTCTGCTTCCCTGCCACGTGGCGGTGGGAGCTTGCTGCCGCCTGCTGTAGTAGCTGCTGGCAGGAATCGTATCACGGCGGCACGTTTCGAAGTACTCCCCGTCTTCCCACGACGCAATCTAGAAAGCATTAAGGATCCGAAGCCGCTGAAGCATATTGGTTTCGACCCACCAGTGAGGTTGTAGCGACATGCTTTTTGTCGGCAGACAGGCAAGCCACACGTTCCGGGTCCTATCACCTTTGCCAGGGGCTCGGCTGTTGACAATGGTGCCGCAGCGACTTCAAGCCTGTTCATGAGGTATTGCCCTACATAAATACCTCATTGGGATGCCCATTGTGAACAATTCGGATGCGGAGGGCATCCCTGCTTTAACTGTTGTGGCCCTGTTTCGAGCCAAGAGTCGACTCTGGGGCAGTGAACCGTCCTGCCTAGCAGAAAGCTTCGTCTACGGCCAGGCCAAGGCTGGCATGTGTCTTCAGATGGCTTTTGAGTGCCTAGGTAATCAAGGTCTGATTTCGGTCTGATTTCGCCGTCGATGGCCGAGGGTACGTGCACGGAACACAACCGGTTGACGCAGAGAGCCAAGGAGTGACGAGCGTGCAGAATGCACCGCTGTGATGGTGCGTGCGTCTGAAGGATGGCCATTGCCATGCGAGGCTTTGACACGAAGCTCGCCTGGCATGCTAATGCACTTTTGGCGTACAGTGTCCTTTGCAATAGGGTCGAGCTGCAACTGCAACATTTCTAGGACGGGTCTCAACCCCATGCTCACAGCCAGTGTGATGATTTTCGCCGAGTCCAGGGCTAACATGTTGAGCGGCTATCTGCGTGTCCGAGACAAGTTGCTGTGTTGCTTTCTGCTGCTTCCATTCTGCAGATGGATATGGTAACAGTAAGGGCGACATGGTGGTCAGGCCATTAAAGGTGACCCAGAAACCGGGTCTCGGGCAACTGTTCAGTCTGACAAGAGGGACATGCAGGTGATAGGCTTCGGTCCATTCCGGCCTACGCACTGTTCGTGCTCGTCATGTATCAGACTTGGAGCGGCTCCAGCCTGCCCTCTAAGTCGCGGACGGCCTGACCGCAGAGCATATCACGGGACACACACACGGATGCGGGACCGCCGACCGTCCTCGTGCAGACTCCCGTACGCCTGTGTCCAGGTGATGACTGTGGAACGGGTGTCGACATCCTGGTAGCCAAGTGACGGCGGCAAGGTGCTGCCAGGCTTCCGGGACGGGTGGCAGTTGAGGGTGGAAGACGTGGAGGGAAGGTGGAGGCGGTGGAGGGACGAGGGCCTCAGCGGGAGCAAACACCGGTGATGCAGCCACCGCCCGTCAGTATCGCACGAGGCGCAGGACCAGGAACGTTGTGCTCTGGTTACCCGGAATTTTGGGTCTGAGCCCGGCCTGTCAGCGTCGCAGCAGGGTGATTGCGTCTGCACGTAGCAGCGCATGGATGGCCGCAGGCAGGCAGGCAGGTCCTCGAGGCGTTCTAGCTGTCTAGCTGACACAAGCAGGCGTCTGATGGTCGGGCGGAGGAGACACTGGGCAGGGCCGACAGCTAGAGCGGGCCATGCCAACCGGTCCCGGGCATCTGTGGCCTTGTCGTGATAGGAATAACGATGCGATTTGCTCAGAGCATGTTGGGCTGCAGATTAGGTGGTTACATACGCGGGGAATTTGTTAGTTTTTTTGTTAGTATGGCATCCTGTGTCGGGCGGGCCAGCTAGGCATGGACCATACCCCGAGACAGCTTAAGGGAAGACGAGAGGTGGGTGAGCAAGAGTGCTGAGAGGGAGAGGATTGACGGCATGGATGGATGGGTCTGAAGATTCGGACCATCGCGTGTCAAATCAGACGTGACGTCTGGGTTGACAGGTCAACTTCGAACGAAGTACTCCGTAGTCTCGAACGAGGTGGTTTTTAGTCTACTTCCAAGGTTGCTGCTACCAGACTGCCAGGTCCAGGCAGGCATTGGGAGGGAGGGGTGGGTCCCGCTGCGGCAGGAGCTTGGGCCACTGCAGCTGCACCGTGGAACAAGGGACCCACAAGGGACCCACCGGCCCAGACTTGGCCAAATTACTCCATCGGGCCCCATCCCTTCTTTTGTGTGCATTGGGTTGCGTCCAGCCTGCCCGTCATCGATCGGGGTAGTTGGGTCAACGAAGACGCTCACACCAACTCCAGGGTCTGGGCCACGATCGGCTTTGCCTCAGTCCGGGAGCAGATGCTGCGTGCAGCCAAACCTTCGAGGCACCCATGCGGTGGTTTCGGAGTGACTGTAACAACAGGGTGGCAACAGCCACCGTTGCAGTCAAAATGTGTCTCGCAGCTCTACGCAACATCGTCGGCAGGACGGGCGATCTCAGATTTGCTCCCCACTGTGGTATTGTGGCACCCGCTGAGGCATGCGAGGCTCAATATTGCCTGGGCTGCTGGGATGATCTGATGTCTGCTGCACTCATGCCGCAGACACGTAGAGCGGCATAATGCAGCGTACCAAAAAGAAAAGAGGGAGACAAAAAAAAAAGACAACTCCCATTCTATTTACTAACACCACTCCTCTCCAGGCACGAGTGACTCGTGCAATGTTCGGCGCCGAGGGATGCGGACATGGCGTCGCTGCAGGTCTCTACTTGAGAACAAATCATGGATATTGAGCCACCGCGACCAGATTCCTGGATCGCAGCCCTGCCCAGCTGAATTCCGGGACAGCAGAGCCATCAATCATTGGTGATGTGACAACCAACCCGGCCTGCCATCCACCGTGCTATGCCAGTTGTATTGACCGACGCGGCTTCCGTGACAAAACCTGGACTCTCACTGACCCCTGAATTATCTCACACGATGCTGGGAATCAACGTTGCCATTGCAGTCATGAGGCTAGTCCGAAATTGCACTCCTGACGTCTAGGACGGTGTTCAGGCTCCCAATATTGTTGGCAAACCGAGACCGTGGTCTAAACGGTTTGCGCCATGAGTCTTGCCAATTTATTTCCCTGTTCCGTGTACCAGGCTGACTCAAATGTTGGTCGCCCAAGGTTTAAAGTGTTTTAACTTGATTCCCAAGCAAGCTCATATATGTTAGAAAATGGGAACCTCAGATGAGTACCTAGGTAGCTAGTAATAGCGGTCATGCACGGCTTAATGTTCTCGTCAGACCCTGGTCATCCTCATCTTATTTGCAAGGCAACGGCCCGCCCTCTCAGATATTCCGGTACTCCACGATACTCGGGCAACCATCGAAGTCTTTTGTTGGGAGACCTTGAATCTAGTCTGGTCACTGTGCCACCAACACAGTAAACATCCGTGGCAGCCCTCATCCTCCTAGGCGTGCCGTAAACTCGAGCATTCAGGCATTTTGCCGGACGGCTACACTTCTGTGTCTGGAACACGGGTCCCGGGGGTGCAAGGGGTTGAAGGGGTTGCAAATGCTACTCCATCCAGCCAACCAGCCTGGGTGACAGCCTCGACACCGCTGTCTCAAGTGATACTCGTCATTCTGGGAATGTTCTTCAATGATACAACCTGGCGATCTTCGATGCAATGTTTGGTTCGAGACTATGATCTACAACACTGACGCTAACCCAGACGGTTCTGATGCATGAGACGAACGCAATGATCTGCCCCCTCTGCAGGTCATCAGGACCGCGTCAAGCCACCTGGGCACACAGCTGCACTTCATTCACTTTCACACTTGGTCACTGAATGAGTGCCGCTGAACCCTCACGATGATTTGATCTGGCCAAGACTGACGATGGAAATAATTGCGCGTTCTAGAACCCGCTAGCTCGACGCGGCCCGTCATCTAGAAGCTATTTCAGAAGCTCGCTCTCAGGCTAGAGCCGACTGACTGGCTTTAGGCCCAGGGTTACACATACCTCATGATTCATCTTAGGCACTTCATGTTGCACGCACGATGGCATGGCTGGATAAGCGGTGTCTTCTAAATCCCCGAGGTGTGTTTTGAGTACGTACCACTTCTTGCCCAGACTTTGAGCAACCACACCACCTAAATCTAGTATAGAGTGTGCTTGGTAGACGGGAAGGTTAAAGTACCTCTCTGTTTACTCTTTCTAAAGTTATTATCAACTTTTAGAATCGTCCCTTTAAACGCGGTTTGTTGTTTGTTGACTGGCCTTGACGCGTCTAAAAATCTCTGTTATTGCTAAGAGATTGGTTGGGGACTTTATATAGCGAGCAAGGCGGTAAGCCCCTAGGGCTATCTCCTATTTTTAACTTTCTCCTCTTCTTTTCGTTTCTCCCACTAAAAACCACTAAAAATCCTTGTGCCCCCTATAAGTGGTACTATTCTCTCCCTCTCTCTCTCTCTCTCCCCCCTTCTCTCCTTAAGGGTACTAGTTGTGGAGCGGATGGCTCTGGTAAGGGTTGTGTAGCTATTAGTGACCAACCCTCCTGGGTGGAGCCCCTCTGGTCCTCCGGCCGAAGGCCGTCGCCTTAAGAAGTTGAATTCGAAGTCGAATTTGAAGTTTATGGTAACGGTTGCTTAGGAGTGACGCGTTGAATACTTTCGAGTGAAAGTACCTTACTTCCCTGTTTGTTGTGTTACACTCCCTTGCATTTGTGCATAAGCGAGGACCTATCGGGGATATAGAAGGGACCTGGATAAGCACATCTTTAATGAGAGTATCGCCCCATAGTTTCAGCTGTGTTGAGTGGTCATCATGTCTAGGTATCATGCGCTGCGTATTTTATGGGCGGGATGGGGCCCAGGTGGTCCAAAATTGGTTTGATCTCAGCGGGCGGATGCAGCCTCTTCTAATTAAGACTAAGTAGTCACATTAGCTGATGGTATGTAGGAGCTCATCCGATTGGAGACTCAGCAGAGGTTCAAATTATGATATAGGAAACTACCGCATGCTGTGCATCTAGGTACTGAAGTACCTATTCAAGTAAGTAAGTACTTAAGTAAGTATGCCCGTATATAGGAGGAGGTTAGACTACAGGCGGCTACCCTAGGGTGTCCCGTAGCCGCAGGAGTCTACCTAGGTACCCAGTAGAATGTGGACTCGGAAGGGGGATGAGAAGGAAGAGGTGCTCGTCGACTACAGACATTAAAGTAACCTGCTCAAGCATGCGTCGGGTGTTTTCAAACCCTCCACCCCAAAAAGCCTGCGCATAATGAACTTGGTTCACCCGAAGCAGAGGCCGCAAGCTGCTTCTCATGAATCACCCGGGGCTATTCTCAGTTGAATACCGGCTAAAATGCCCTCGACCAGACAGAACCATCCGGGAATTCTCTCAGAGACCCCGAAGGCAGGGAACATCGATCTCCCATCATATCTGGCACTTTCACGACTTTCCTGCTCATGCCATCCGTTCATTGCAACCTTGAGCTACGGGGCTTTGTGTGATGATCGAGCCCTTGATCGAACAGCACAGAAGTCATATTACAAGGAATACCTTCTGCGTCTGTACGTACACAAAAAGGGAGATGCGACTGGGATCTCAACGCCGCCTCCCTCATTAGTAGTGGCACGCACAGATAGGGAGCTCTCGGGATGAATCATGGCTACCCCAGGCTGGCCGGCATCGTCTGTAATTAGGCTTATGGTCATGGCCTGGTCGACGTTGAGTCCTGAGTGACGGCCTCATCGAGCAGCCTCAAACCCCGGACCCCGTGTCAACTAGGTTGTTATTGCTGCTGGGGCCATGGCGAAGGACGGCACTCTCCGAGTCATTTGCAACCCGGGACCTGATAATAGTTACTAGCTGCCCTTTTTCCCCCTCAGCATCGGCACATGATCGCGGACCCGAACTTGATCGAAACGAGGCCCGGGCTCGTTGAAGACTTGCCATCTGGTCCACTATCCTACATCGATGGCGCGCGCTGCCGGGGTTGCTATCACACACAGGATCATGTATAGTGTGAACAATGTAGTGGTCTCTATTCACCTTCAAGCTAGCATAATCAAGCAAACACCCTGATGGCGTGTCCCACAACAGCGCCAGACACTGTTGAGGTGATCAGACTGCCGGCAGAGTCATCGTAGCTATCGTAGATACGACTATGAAAAAGAGGCTAGAAAGGCTGAATCTCATACTTTCCAGAACTGTAAAAACAATGATCTCTGTCAATACTCTATGAAACCACAGCATATTATCAATGCTGTCCTTGCTTCTCTTGCAGTTGAGCATCGCTCCCGAAGATGACCTGCTTAGCACAGCATGATGGCTGTCCATGCCGGCTGCTTCTCATCTATTTTTCCCGTGCAATAACTGAGTACCGAAAACAAGACAGGAACGTTTGACATTACTCAGGCAACAGAAAAAGAGATACGCCCCCTCGTTCTCAGCAGGCCAAGCTGACAGCAAGCACTGTCATCAGTGGAGCAACTGCGCCGGCATTCAGAAATACGGCAGACCGTGAATCTATCTCGAGGAACCAAACGAGCGGCCAGCGAAGAACTTGAAGCACTCACTCATCCCTAAAACAGTCAGCCCATTTCGTTCTATGTGATCTATCTCGGAGCATTCCAGAGCCGGTTGTGCCAGCACGTGAGCAAAAGCGTCAGTTGAAGACTTGCTCTCTGTAGAACGTGGTTCATAAAAAAGCAGCAGCATTGATGCCAGCCCGAATACCTGTAGAAATTCCATCACTGGAAAATCACAGCGCCTATCTCAGGGGTTGAGCGTACCGCCATCTCTCTACACGAAAGTCCCGGAGAACCGTCTGCGGAAGGCTCGTCCAGGTAAACATATCCCACGTGCTGTCGTCCGATTGGAGCGACCCCCAATGGGTACCACCTCACTCCAGCTTATGTTAGGTTGCTTCTCAATTGCTACTAGACATCTCAGAAGTAGTCAACAAGCAGACGCTCAGGATAGTCCGACTTTAATACCCATCGCCAACCAGATTTTGCCAAAAGATCATCGATTTTCAATAAACTAAGCTGTGTCTGTCTCAGCTCGAAATGGATATGCCATCTCAGGGCTCTTGGTGGCTCAGAGATGAAGCCAAAGAGCTGGTGTTCCAAGCTATTCACATGTAGATATGCAGATATCTCTGCATGATTTCCGCCAGATTTGAAGCCATGTGCGATAGTCGTTCGCCATGTCATCAGATAGGCCATCCAGTCAAGTCAGACACAGCCCCAAGGAATGTCGCCAACCCAAAAGCAAAAGGAAGGTCGAGCCCTGAACCAAAAACCCTGCTATGCCAGCGGTCACAGCGCAGTGTCCAAAGCAACGTCCTCCCCACTCGGGGCAGCCTCGGTGGCGCCACCGGAGGCAGGCTCAACATCAGTCATACCCCCGTTGGGGAGCTGCTGAGGCTCGCATGCCGGAGGCTGAGCCGAGTCAACCTCCATTGGCTCCCCAGACAAGATCGATCCGAATCGAGTATCGACTCCCTGCAGGACATCCCGGATGTGGTCCCGCGCAACTTCGGAGGCCTCGATCATCGTCGAGTTGCTCAGAAGCATCTCAAAGTCCTTCTGAAGCCTTTCAACGATGGTAGCAACCGAATCCATCATCTCCTTGCCGTTGGACTCGAAGATCTTGTTCACTTCTTTCAAAACCCGTTTGCTCGCCCTCCGATATATTGCGTTTTTGTTCTTGGCAACATTCCTCTGCATGATGTCCTTGATTCGCTGGAAGCAACCCGGACCTGGATGTGTTAGTTTTGATTTTGATAGTTCATGGATGAAAATTTACTAACCTTTCTCTTGCCTGCAAAGCCTGTAGACCTCTAACATCTCCGCCTGGATCTCTGGTGTGAAAGCTTTATTGGCCTGGCGCTGCTCGCTCTGGATGTCATCCTTCATCGACTGTATCGTCGCCTCGATGCTCTTTGAATGAACGTCCAACTGCTGGCTCAAAATGCGCACGCACAGCGTCCTGCATTTCTCGAGCTCGCGACGAGACGACATCACGCCGTGGAACTCTTTCAATGCATCGATTAATGTGGCAGCAAAATTGTCAAGGGTCCAAGGGATGGAGCGCGAGAATGCTTGTTCCCAGCCGTTCGCAATCTTCTGCAAGTAAGGCTCCAGAATTGCTTCGTTGAAGTCGAAAGATTTCTGTGCTTTGGTCCTCTTTCCGTTCCGGCGGCAAGTAGCACGATACGTGTTCGCTTGGATCCCCCGCCCCCCTTGTTCCTCCTTCACACTCCATTTCCCAACAAGGCTCCCGATCACGTTGGTCGCGGACTTGATAGCAGCGCTGGACTTGGATTCGACCTCCTTCTGCACAATGTCGTCAATCTCTTTCTTCTGAGCCATGATGATCCTATCGAGCTTTTTCCGGAGGTTCAATATTTCGTTTTGGAGAAATTGCATTTCCCAGGTCTGTTCGTGGGCACTCATATGAATAGCTCCAAGATTGACATCACCTGCCGTGCACCAGATGATGAGAGACACCAAAAGTCGGCGGACCTCGTTGAGCCAGTTCCTCAGAGCTATGATTCGACCTTTTTCTGGCAGTTTCATTGCATGCTCTACCAGCTGAGGGATTTCGGTATCGAAAAGTATCTTGAAACCATCGATCTGGGTCTCTCGTTTCTTTGGCCGGCACATTCGCTGATACGCCTTGGCAGAGATAGTGAAGACGGGCAGCGACTGGGCGACTTGACGATAATCACGCGACTGAGCAGTAGTTGGGTCGAAAGTTCCCTCCTCACCCTCGGGCTCATCTTCATCGAGTTCGCGAATGCCTGAGGCAAAGTCATCTCTGATAGAATTCTTGACAATCTTGTTCCGTCTTTGGATGCATAGTCGCGCACCGTCTATGGCCGCATCGTTCTTCTCCTGCTCCAGGTTGACGAGCTCTTGTTCCAGTACTTCCTGCTGCCGTTCCATTTCTGCGTAATCATTTTCTGCTGGGCTGATTTCATTATGCAGATGATCGAGCTTGGTCGATATGTCGTGTTCTGTGAGCGGAAGAACCTCCGGTACTTCTTCCTCGCCTAGTCCGCCATCTACGACTTTGCGACAGGCAGTTCGGGGCCTCCGCGATCCTGTAGGCCGCTTTCGCTTCGAAGGGACGTGAGGAGGAAAGACCTCGTGGCCTTTCTGATGCTTCTTGCGAATGTCTTGCCACACCTGCAGCTCTTCGTCAAGCGAATTGAGGCTAAAATCGGCATCCCGCATCTGAGCAGTCAAGCGCCTCAGGGCATCTCCTTTTTCTTCGATCATTTTCTGGGCTTGATCCTCCCTTGAATACGTGGCCTGGATTTGACCGTCATAATCAAAAGCCTCAAGTGCTTCCGTGAAATCGATCGCATCAGTCTGTTACACTTGAATTAATCACCTGATACGGACCCCAAGGCAATGATGTCCGGAAAAGTTTAACGTGACAGACAGGGAAGCATAGAAGAAAGGTTGAACTTACCATAGTGCAGATAAAAGTGACATTAGATAAGATGCCATCGAGTTTCATTTGAAGCCGAGAGGATTTCCCCATCAGCTCTTTCGCAACCTTGTTGTCGGTGGCTCGCTTGATGGGAGCTGCCACCCATACGGCAGAGCATTCTGTCATGTACTTGGTTGCTATAGCAGACCTCGCAGGGTTTGAGTCGGCAACACCTGGGAGATCCACGATCACAAGGCCAGTAGACAACACCTCAGCCCGGCAGAAAATACGGATCACTTTGATGAGAGGCCAAAAGGCCATTTGTGCCTCTTTTTGACCCAACTTTGTGCTCTTTTCCTTGCTGTCCATGTACTTCTGCACAGCCGAACAGAGTTCGCTAGCACTGCTGCAATCGATCCGGCGTGTCGTACCCAACACCTCCGCAACACGTTCTCTTCTTGCCAAAGACTCCGCTGTGTGCTGCTTGATCGTGCTGTCCGTGAGATCGGGGTAAACGGCCTTGACTAAGAGTGAGGTTAGTCCTGCCACCGAGCTTAAATTTGTGCGTAGAAATGGCTTACTCTTGGCTAAGGAAATGCCGGCCTCGGTCTTGCTGTCGAATGTCGCCGAGGATAAGTGGTCATCCTCCAACAAGTCACCAAAGATATGCACCAGGTCGTGGTCCCAGGCCTCCTTGGAGATGAACTCGACCTCCGCACGGTAGGCCTTCTGAGGATCATCCGTTTCATTGTAAGAGATCTCACAAATGACAGCAGTGCATGCTCGCCATCCTGAAGTGACCAACAGCTTGTCCTCGTCCAAGACGGCATTAATTAGTGATGTCTTGCCTGCACCAGTCTCGCCCACGACTGCTACAACCGTGCGGTTATTCTTTAATTGCTGTCTGAGGTCCTTGATGTTTGAGAGCCATTCCCGCTGTTTGGTCTGCTTGGAGTCGCTCAGAGGAGCTTGTAAGGTGTCAAGAATTGCCAGTGCTTCATTGACACCAGCTTCGAGCTTGGTGAGGTCCGTCTCATGTACCAGCTTTTGGATGTTGTCTAGGGTGATGGCGTCGGGCTGCTTGTGAGTCGCAGTAGCATCCTTTTTCTCGAGTGGACTGTCTCCATGCGCGGCAGAGGTTCCATCAGGGGGATTAGAAGGAACATTCTGGCGCACGGATGCTCCAGAATCTGGCTCGACTTTCACCGTACTCGGGGCAGCTACCTCCGGATTCTCGTCATGTCCAGTGGCGGCGGGCAGATCTTCATTTGCCGTATGGCCACTGCCAGCAGTCTGTGCATCAGCTTGTGGCGCTGACACGCCCTTGTTTGCTGAGTCCATCTTGACCACGGGTGCTGTTGCCAACGCATCAACTACAGGAGGAGCTGATATGAGCCTTGTGATGGTAGGCAGCGGGGTGCGTCGTATAGACGGCGGCTCCTCGGAAGCCATTGGTCTCCTAGTTGTAAGAAGCCGTGATCCTTGTTCTGGCTTAAATTGTCAGTTGGAGATCAAGGCAAGGAAGTTGGGCAGAAGGGGCAGGAATGACCGTTTGGCAAGGGGAACTCAGGAAGCTGGGGTCCTGTGCCTACTGGGAAAAGCAAGACTGAGTATGAGAGGCCTTGAGGAAGGTGTTCAGACTTTAAGAAACCACTTGCGTGAGAAAGTGGGACGAAAACGTGTCGACAAAGCAAGAGCTCACCTTTTGCCACTCAGCCCAGTAGCTTCACTTCAGCAGATGGTGCCACTGTAGGAAGAATCCGCAGGATCGCGATGAATTTGCAGTGTCAAAGGTAAGAATGAAAAGCCCTGTGTTGTACACGTCAGGGGTTGTCTGTGAGACAGTCCACACCACGCAGATGCTAAGCTGTGTTGAGGTGGCGAGGGAAGTGAGGCGACTAAGAGAGTGAGGGTCTGAAGAAAGGCAAGGAGACAGGTTTTTGGTAGAAGTTAGAAGGAGCAGAGAAATCGCAGCAGAAAAGAGGGAAGGAAGGTATCAGTCTTGGCTGCTAAATCGAAGTTCAGATGAAAGTTTTGCAGAAGAGGGAGTGTTGGTTCGAGGGAGAAGGAGTTGTCTATTCACACGTACCTACCAGGTAGGCTGTGAGAAGTAGGTCGATGGTTAACAAGGTCTTTGGTAGGATAAGGATGAAGGAGGTTGGTAGTGGTGAGAATCGAGAATTGCTGGGTGGGTTGGCTGATTGGGGGGGGGGGGGTGTGAAGTTTCAATTTTATGGAAGCAATGCTTCTGTTGAAACGAAAACCGGTCTAAGTGGAAAGGCTATGGGACACTGCCTTCAAGTTTTGATAACACGCTTTGCTGAAAACGAAGGAAAGAGGCATCAAAATATGGCCTCAATGATTGAGACTCACCTTGGTGGGTAGGTTCAGGAATCCAAGTGATGAGGGGAGATAGACCACTCCGATCGATATGAACTACTGCATGCTTGGGCGAGTTCGGCCATGCGGAGGTAGAGGTCAGAAAGTTGTCATGAGAGCTCAATATGAATCTGTGGCACTGTCGATCAACTCCTACTGGTGCGTTTCTCTGTCTCTCGCTCTCGCTCCCTCCCCCCCCCCACACACACACAGATTTGAAAATACCCCTTAAGCCCTCAGCCATGTCTACGGACATAGGCGTAGCTCTCTTTTCTTGCATGGCAGATGTCCTCCTTTTCATCCGGATTTCAAAACCATTGGACACAAAAAGGCTATGATAGCCCGGTATTCATTCATACATGCGTGGGAAAGGAAGCCTGGGATATGTTCATATAATAAGCAAAGCCAGAAGAGGGCATCTCATGACGTATCCATGAGGAAGCAACTCATATAAAGATACCCTCTGGACAATTGTTCCACAGAATGATGCCTCACATCAATATACCTGTAGGAAGGGGCCACCTGAAAGAGGAGAGGATGTTGTCTGGGAGACCTCGGGAGACTATCCTACACGAGGCTGTCTCATAGGAGGTTGTCCCATAGGAGGTTTAAGAGAAGTATCCTATGAGATGACATCCTCTTATAGGCTCTCCTATGGTAATGCAATCAGTTCGAGTACATCCTACAGTTGTACCTTACGGGATGTGCCCTCTGAGACGATATCTTACAAGATTTCAGTCCATAAAGTATGATGCGACATATTGACGGGGAAAATTTCAGGAGATGTTGTGATGGAGGCTACCCACCGCTCTACTACGGCTGTCCTCTGCAGGTAGAGGTCATTTCTCCACAATGGTATCACTGTAGAGTGAGCAATTGTAATTTGCTGGTTGGGCCTGGCCGTAATACTGCATGATTCGAGATGGGCTTCCCAACTCAACTTGTCAATTACCATGCTCTGACTTGGAACCTCATGGCGACGTACTTTTGGCCAATCTCAGGTCCTCAAAGCTCTGGCAGAGTTATGCCAGCGAGTCTAGCACCGAGAGGATCTGCAGGCTTCAGGCACACCCAAAAATCCGCCCCCAAGCTTGAGCTGGGTGAGCTCACAGGATGTTGGAAGGGCCAGTGCCAAGCAGAGCTGGATGTTCTGAACCGAGGTGTACTTCAAGCGTGCTGAGTCTTTTGGAAGCTACTACTGATCCCTGTGTAGAGATGACACGCTCTCCATTATTCCACCCGGAACTTGCTTAGGAGCCGAAAAGGTTTCGCCGAGCTGATGACGGCCACACACGAGGGGATGCCCATCAATCAGCTGGGGAAAGGCGTCAGCCACGCCACGAGCCAATGAGTCAATCGAGGAGCGAGGCGTTGATATCCGAGTCACTCATTCTGGTTCAGCTGGGGGCGCTTGTCGATGAGCGCTTAGGCGCGGCTGCACACGCTCGTCTAACACCCGTGAGCTTCCCGGTCAGAAGACCAGCTGAAGGGACAGGCAAATGATGCCCGACGGAAATGCCTGAAGAGATGACGAAAGTCGGTGTAATGGCTATACAGACGCATTAAAATGCGGCGACACGGCGAGGTCAAATGACCGGTATCAGCCTGGTTCATCCCATGGCTTCCGGGGCACGTGCTGGGGGAGACAGGGCGGCACCGGAGGATGCTGACTCCTGACTCGGGACCAGCGCCCTTATCGGCCGAGGCTCCGACGATGCTCCGTTCCCACGATTTCGTATCACGCTCATGAGTAATCAGTAACCACAGCCTGGGGGCAGATGTCTGTGACTGATTAAGCTAGATATGGGTGGTTCTCGTCAGACCACTGTGGTACAGACCAGATGAGATGACAGAACACGAAAGGAAGGGCAAGCCCAACGAGGTGGAATGAGATAAGCAAGCGAGACGAGACGAGGTGCATGTGGCCAGAGATATGCCCCAGGTCCAGGGTGCCTTGATTTCCTTTGTCCTCGAGAGAGGCACCACGGGGCGCTAGTTCATGCTGCAAGCGGCGGACAGCCAGTGCGGCAGAATGAGGCAAGTGAGCGAAGTGAGACACGAGCACCCCTTTGCAGCTTGAGCCTCCCCCACACCAGGGCTTGGCCTCGTGCTGGGCTTGTGCTCATTGTTGCTCCTTCCGATTGTGGTGGGTGGTGGTGGTGGTGGTGGGCTGGAAGGGGTGCACTGGGCAGGCCTATCGCCCGCTTGGGTTTCCCGGCACCCGTCCCCACTTCCAAGCTTGTCAGGCCCAGGTCAGGCCCAGGCCAGGCCCAGAGCTTGACCACGCACACACCCTGGTAAATTACTTGCAGAGGTCCCGTTGTCGAGGTGCAGCTGCGTCCCGTTGCGACGCCGTCACCCCGAGAGCTAAGCCCTGGTCGAACCTCACTTTTCACCAGCCTCTCACCTTAGCAGACCGAGACGCCGTGTGACAACCTCCCCCTCCTCTTCCACGGGCGACATGGCCACCATCCCAAATCTCTAGCCAGCAGCCCTTGCAGACAAGGGGGTGTGGATCAACCTCTGCACAAAGGAACAGCTGTGTTGGTGCTGGGTGACTCCCGCTGCCAATCTTAAGGACGCTGGGGTGCACACACAATTGTCGTGTCACAATGGACCTCGACGATACCGCACGACTCTTCGCAGAGGCCCAGGCCAAGCTGGCCGAGCTGGACAATCGGGTCGCCGTATATCGCCACCAGATGGCAGCCGAGTTCAATCGCTTCTCGGGCGAGCAGCTCCAGAATGTGCCCCCAGACCTTGCCTACCAGGTCTCGCAGGCTGTGGCCGAGTCTCTGGTCAACTACCCGCACCTGTTCCCTCCTGGAAGCCATCGAGGCCAGACATCACCTCTGGAATCCCCGACAGAGCCCAACGACTCCCCGTGGCGCAACAAGGGCTCCCCACCGCCAATTCTCCTTCACACCTCAGGGACACCAAAGGAACCTCATCGAAGCACTCACGAGCGCGAATTGGAATTCCAGGGCCTCTTCACCCCCACCTACCTCCCACTTCTTGACAGCGCTGATCGCCCCATCCACTCACCACCCACCTCACCTGGTGCCGAGCCAACACCCAACCTCGTCGAAAAGCTAGCAACCAGAAACCCCCAGACCTCAGAAGGCACCCAGACATCTGAGGCTCCTCAGACCCCGGATCAGACCCCCATCACAGAACCCACACCAACCTCAGAAGGCACCCAAACCTCAGGGAGCCCTCAGGCCCGGCCCAGGCCAAGTCCCCTGCGTCGTGCCACTGACGCATCCATTGACTCCACAGCAAGCGACTCCAGTAGTGTCAAGGTCAGAAAAAGTGCCCTGCGACGCTCTTCTGCAGCCTCCTCACGGGCACCAGACAGCCCGCGGGACACCCGTCGAGTGCGGTTTGAGGTCCAAGGTCAGGAGGTCTTACCATCCTCCTCACCTCAGGCATCCACCACAGCCCTTGCAGAGGTGGTCAGTGCTAGCCCAGAAAACTCAGCAGCCCTCGCCGATACCGCACTCCCCGTAACCTCGTTGGGCGACGTTGACGGCGAGGACGATCCACCACCAAGGAAGGTCTCTTCATCCCAGGCTCTCCGTGCACTCTCGAAAGAGCCGTTGGACCCAGCAACCTGGACTGTCGTGAATCCTGGATCTGAGGATTCGTCTTCTGATGCCGATAGAGCGAGCGAAAATCTTTCCAGAACTGCGTCGATGAGCGCAGAAAACCGAGACGAGATGCCCCCCAAGAACATTCCCATCCACGTCAAGCCCGCGGCCAGTGGACGACATGGCGAGAGTCACGCGGAGGAGAGTGACGGCCTGGCGGAGGCGGAGGATGAGGCCACGGTCGAGATGGTCGAGCGTGTGCAGGTGGAGGAGGAGTCTTCAGAGGATGAGGATCCTCTAATGATAATGTCCAAGAAGGATTTTAAGAAAAAACTGAAGGCGAACGACTCCCAGACCACCACGACTACCGATCCTGTTGAGACTGTTGGCTCTGGACGCAAGCTCAACCCGGCCGCCAAGCCCGAGCCCGTGGCCACCAAGCGCAAGCCTGCCAGTGTCCCCCCTACCAAGCGAGCTGAGCCCGCTGAGGGCGACGCTGAGGACGACGAGGACGACATGTTCAACTTGGAGGCCGATGACGGTGACGAGACCCTAAAGAAGGCGATCTCCGCCCGTGGCTCTCCCTCGAAGCACTTACCAGAGCCAACCGACGAGGAGCCCGAGGACAGCACCAAGTCGGACGAGCAGTCCGAAGGCGAGTTGGACGAGCGCGAGGCCCAGTTCAAGCCCAATGCCCCCATACAGTCCTCTCCTCCTATCGGCGTGCCCATCAACAAGACCACGGATATCCCTCCCAAGGTGCCGCTCATGCCTCAGGGCAGCGTCCCCAAGATGTCCGTCGGCTCGTACGGAGGAAAGCCCATCAGCATGGCGCCGGTCAAGAACCCTGAGCTGCTGGAGAAGATTGCCCAGTCCGAGGATGCGCGCCCCTTCTTCGTCGGTAGTGTCAACGGACGAAGCGGACCCGACCCCTCCAACGCTAAGAGCTACAGAGAAAGTCTGCCTAGTTCCGCTAGAGGCGGCTACACTTTCATGGAGCGCTGGATGCGTGAGAAGGAGGAGGGCGTCAAGTACGCCGGCGACAAGGAGGACGACGAGAAGGAGAACGAGAAGAAGGAGTGAGCTCCTTCCCTTGCTTTGAGTGCGGCCTTGTGGGGATCAGCACCGGGTTGGAGTTTGGACACTGAGGCATCCCCTGGAATTCGGCCACATTTGGGAAACGGGAAATCGGTGTTTGGGTCTCATAAGGAGAATAAGGAGAAAGGGCAGTTCGGCATCCTCACATGCGATACCCAGAATCGACTTGCATCAAGTCCAACATCCAAATAAAACTTGTTTGGCACCCTCACCCTCTGCTGAAATGCTTTGTGTTGTAATTTCCCCGCCGTCAAATGTCGGGCACCGACGGGCTGACAAGGCTCCTTGCGGTGCACCTCATATTGGGGCCGCCTGTTGGCCGGTACTGCTTCCTTTTGCGGGCACAGGTATTTGACATGTGAGAGAAGAGCGTGCGCGAGCAATGCATTTTGGGGGGGCCGTCCAGCGTTTAATGTTGTCATTTAAAGAGACTGGTCGAAATGCGTGTCGCACGAAATGTGCTCAACGAGAAACGGCAAGACAAACAATTTACCTTGGTGCTTGCTAATACTGCACATCTAATACATGTCGCTCCCAACTGCCCGGTTATTTGGAGTACAGGGGATCTGCAAGTTGACCAAAGGCTGGCCCAGGCCTCAATTAAGGTGGCAGGGTTGGCTGCTGGCTCAGAGCTGGGAGGCGGGATGACTGGCCTGGACCGGGTTGAGACCGGGATGCCTGCCCCAAGAATAGCATCAGAGGGCGCAAGTAGCCTCAGCCCACCTAATCTACCTACCTCTCTTCGGGCAGCACCTCCTCCAGCAACTTGTCTTCAACTTTTATGACAGCCGCCACTTCCTTTCAATACCCGCCACGATCTATCGTCTCCCAAATCTTGCAATCCATCGCGACACCGCAGCTGCTCCCTATATCCGCTAGCCGACGAGCAGATCCTGCCGGTCCCTTGATCGTCTTTGTCACTGTGTCTGACAGCTCGCCCCCCTGTGACTGCATTTCTGGGCCCCTCGCGGTCAATAGATACCGTCGGCAGGCGCCCTGTTCGACCCGAAATAAACCACTCGACCTCAGCCCGATCCGAGATCCCCCTCCGTCGCCGACCGAGAATCAATAACAGCAACTACCATGGACGGCAAACGCCATCTCTCGTCGTTCCAGCAGTTGGAGAAGCTTGGAGAGGGCACATACGCGACTGTAAGTATAGCAAGGCGAGGGCCACCGATCCCCGATCTCCAGATGCCAGCATCCTGACGCAGTGGAAATAGGTCTTCAAAGGGCGCAACCGACAGACTGGAGAATTCGTCGCGCTCAAGGAGATTCATCTCGATTCCGAGGAAGGAACACCTAGCACCGCCATCCGCGAGATTTCGCTCATGAAAGAACTCAAACACGAGAACATTGTCGCGCTACATGATGTGATCCACACGGAGAACAAGCTCATGCTGGTGTTTGACTACATGGACGGCGATTTGAAGAAATACATGGACACCAAGGGCGACCGTGGAGCCCTCCAGCCTATGCTCATCAAGTCCTTCATGTACCAGCTGCTGAAGGGTATCGACTTCTGCCACAAGAATAGGGTCCTCCACAGGGATCTGAAGCCTCAGAACCTTCTGATCAACAGCAAGGGCCAGTTGAAGCTGGGTGACTTTGGTCTGGCCAGAGCGTTCGGCATACCGGTTAATACCTTCAGCAACGAGGTCGTCACACTGTGGTATCGAGCCCCCGACGTCCTTCTGGGAAGCCGCACATACAACACCAGCATCGACATCTGGTCTGCAGGATGCATCATGGCGGAGATGTACACAGGCCGGCCGTTGTTCCCGGGCACCACCAACGAGGATCAGATCACAAGAATCTTCAGGATCATGGGAACCCCAACGGAGCGTACATGGCCCGGAATCACTCAGTTCCCAGAGTATAAGCCAAACTTCCAGATGTACGCCACTCAGGACCTGCGCCAGATCCTCCCCATGATCGACGCAGCAGGCATTGATCTCCTGCAAAAGATGCTGCAGCTGCGCCCGGAGCTTCGAATTAGTGCCGCAGACGCCCTGCAGCATCACTGGTTCAGCGACCTGATAGTGCAGCAGCACCAGCAGCAGCAACGGGCGATGCAGGCACAGGCGCAAGCCAGGGCCTACACGCAAGTGCCATCTCAGGGTGTTCCGTCACAAGGCTATGAAAACTACTAGGATGAGACTGTCAACACTGACACTCGAGATTACCTCAGTCCGATGACATCTGTGAACAAGGTTCGCACCATTTAGCACCCTTGCTCTCTGCTGTCTGCTGCTGGTGTCCACCAGAACCTGATGAAGGGCTTGACAACCCCTTGCTGTCAAGACCTAGACTTTCATTTACGCCCACGTTGGCAGCTGCCCAAAGGGCAACAAACTACGATCGCTGAGCTACGTCGCTCAGGGCGGGAGGCACGAGCGCTTCCAGGGCCAGGATGAGCCTTTGATCGCCGGGCTTTCGAAGGGGCGGGAGTGAACGGTACGACCAGCTTTCTGGCAGAGGCACTACACGCGGCGGGATCATAATCACCTTCGACTCGCGGCCCAATCTTGGCCCCCATTTTCAATAGTCTTGGGAGCTCTAGAAGCACGCGGAGAAAGACCCAGGGTCAGTCATAGACTGTTCAACTGTGCCTTGCTCGTTGCAAAACATCACACTCCTACCCACGAAGCACATGCAATCTCCCCTCCAACCTGATGTTCTATAATCGCTAGCAATAGGCGCAGGTGGCTGAGAGATACGGCTTGGTAACTTGTTTCCCCAGCGTGATGCATTCATCTTCTGGGCAGGAACACCGAGAAGTAATCTGGTGGGCAGCCGGATTGGGAAGCGTGGGGATGTTTAGCAAAGATTCAGCGTATCAATTCAAAGTTTCAATTTGACTGGGCAGCTATTACGAAGTGCCTAACAAGTGCCTGATGAGCTGGCACAAAATCGGGTCAGATTTCTTGGGATGACCGACTGCCAGAAAGGGGGAGACGGCTTAGGTCTACATACTTCAATTTGATATACCCTTGAGTTGAATGGTCCTTCTTAGATGCATATCTTACGCTCTTATCGGTGCATATCTTCCTAACCCTGCAGTGGAGCCCCGGTCTAGGCCCCCATGCAGGGCCCGCCCCCCAGGTCCACCTGCATCATTCTAACCGCACCTGGTCTGTCGCGACCACATGCGATTCATCATCGCGACCGTCGGCATGCGATAGCCCATCGCCGCCAATCGCCGCCATCCGCCGCCATCCAAGGCCCATTCTTTTTTGGTCTTTTCAAGACGAAAGTAGCAGTATCCCCTTCGACCGCGAATCTTGAGGCGATTCCGATCCAGCTGCATCCCACGCCGAAGCGACAGAGCGGCCCGAGCCCAAGCTTGATCGCGCCACCCGGTCGTCGCACATCGGAGCTCCCGCAGAACCCGTTTTTCATCCATCACGGTCGCATCGCAACACTGGCGGAAGCTTTGCTAGTCGCTCCCCGAGCGTAAAGGGGCGAGCCCCAGATAGCCGTCATGGCCGAAGACCGGAAAGGTGAGGCAGTTTATGGCAGCCTTGTCGCGAATCATGTTGGACTTGGGCTGATCCATGCCACTTTAACAGACGACGAGGCCACTATCAAGGTCGCGTCCAAGAAGAACACAGCGAAGGGAAAGCTTGGAGGCTTCAAGCTGAAAGAGAAGATCCCCAAGCTTAAGGATGCTGGCAGCCAGGATGGCGTGCTTGAAGGTATGCATCCCCCATGTTGCCCGGGTCGATCAAAGGTGGCAACCTCTAATTTCGTTTCTGTACAGATAAGAAGAGCAAGACAAATGCCAGCGCGGCGGCCAACAGCGCAGTATCACCGAGCGAGCCATTCCACGAACTCGATGAACTCCCCCGGGAGACCTTCATCAAGGGCTACCCCATGGTGGATGCCCCAGCCTTGACGTCATGCAAGTGGTGCAAGAAGAGCATCCTCATGACGACTGCAGTCGAACACATAAACGGCTGCCTGAAGATCAAGAAGGAGAAGGCAAACCGGAAGAAGGCTGCACGAGAGGCCAGGGAGCGCGCAAAGGAGGCCGCGCTGCGAGAGGCCAGGGAGCGTCGGGCAGAAGAGGAGGGCATCACGCTTGGCGCGGATGGCGACAGCGGTGATGACGACGAAGATGGGGAGAAGGTCCCTGGCAAGACAACCAAGAAGGTCGCCGGCAAGAAGACGGGAGAGGGCGGTCCTTCTGGCAAGAAGAGGAAGGCCGAGGGCGAGGCGGATAAGGGCCCGAAACAAAAGAAGAAGAAGGATGAGCCAAAACCCAAGACAAAACCCAAAGGTGAGTCCTTCTAATCGTGCGTGGATTTTCTACAGCAGGCGGCTAACAAGTATGCTCACAGGTCCCGTCGACGTCGAGCGGCAATGCGGTGTTATCTTGCCAAACGGACAGCCTTGTGCCAGATCCTTGACATGCAAATCCCATAGCATGGGGGCAAAGAGAGCTGTCGCGGGGCGGTCCTTGCCATACGACATGCTCTTGGCAGCGTACCAGAAGAAGAACCAGGCCCGTCAACAGAGTGAGTCCGCCCGCCGTGCTTCCACCAAGTTCAACATTGACAACCGTTTCCAGAGGCTGCTCTCGATGCCAACGCCCCGATCGAGGAAGACGACGACCCCAACGCTGGGCCCGTCGACAGTGACGAAGAGACAGCGGCCGTCATGGCCGCTCTCGCGAAATGGAACCCACAGCCTATTGTGGCCCAGCCGGTGTTCAATACCATTCGGCGTGAATACCAAATCAACCGGCTGCAACAACAGTTGGCAGCCGCCACGGACAATGGGCGCAAGAACATCTTCAAAGTCAGCGGCTACGGGTCTCAGCGCTTGCCACCGGGCCACACCGGCCACCGTCCTCCAATTCCTGTCATGCCGGTGTTAGACCAAGAGGATGCTCCTGGTGAGGAAGAGGATGATGTTCCGAACATGCCAGGCAGTGCAACCTTCGCACCGATGCCGGCTCCGAGACAAGTGTCCGTAGGTGGTCCAGCTTAGAAGGCCGAGGACACACCAGGGAGGCAGAGTCCAAGGCTTCGGGCGGGACCAGGCGGGAAGGTCGCGAAGTCTCACCGGAAAGCCGTGGACTACTTCACTTGCGGCATCTGCCGTGCGTCCTTCACCGCAAAGACGACGTTTCAGCTCCACATGGCTACCACACACTCGGAGAACAAGCCTTACAGATGTACCGGCTGCGGTAAGGGGTACTCTGGCATCAATGCGAAAGACCGTCCGAGATGCACCTGTACTCATTCCAACATCGTCAAGGTTGCCATTGATGAGCAACCTGCCATATACCCGAGTATAACTGTGGGTGTCCCGCTTCTACACAGCAGTACAGGTGCACAGGATTGAGAAGCTGAAAACAGCTTGGCAAGGGAACACGTGGCTGGGGCTTGTATACCATGTCCGTTGATTCCTCACCGGGGAAATCAAGCTCACATGGCTGTCTGCTGTGTATCAGGGACTTATGCCACCTTTATCCTGGCACAGGTCTGGAAGAGTGCGATCGATCTCAGCACCAGCCAAATGCATTTTCAGTCGGACTTGGGATGGTCCTGCCAACTGGCGGAGGGAGAAATCATGTTTACAACAACAAATAGTTTGCAAGGCGTTGGAGGCTTCATTTTTGTAATTATAGTAATTCTCTATTCCCAGGAAGAGCATCATGTCATGCTGGGAAGGCCAGCACACCCAGCTGGCTGGAAAGGGTGTTCATGATACCACTATGAAGCAAAAGCAGTCACATATACTATTATCTGTTCTCAAGCAGCCACATACTCAAAAGTGTGCAATGCCTGTGTGAAACCATTGTGGCTTGCATACGTCCCACCTGGTCAACCAGTGGGAGGTAAAGGAAGTCCAAAATAAGACAGGAGAGGTTGACTGTTCTAGGTATAGGACAGCCTTGAATGGATTTGCATACGAGGCTGGGCAGAGACACTGACGCGCCCACATAGATATCCCATTTGCGCAGCCCATCCCGAGCAATATTCAAATCGCATGAACTTGGGGCCCATCCCGAGATGAACAACAATAAGCCAGCTGCCAGATTCGTCCCCAGACGTGGCCCCTCTCCGCCGCCACCCTTCCCTGACAAAACCTTAAGCTCCACGGCACCAAGCACGCCCAGGGTCAAAAGAGGGCGTTCCTGCCGCACTTGCCGAGAGACCTCCGCAGAGATCAGCTCTTGAATTCGAGATTCAGGAGCTAGCTGTCCACACACACCCCAAGGGCTCTAGCTGAGCTTCTCCGCGACAGGAGAGGGGGTTCTCCGGCTCGCGCTGTCTGGGGTGCCAGCAGGTTGGTTGCCAATGGTTGGTGGTCCCAAGCCAGTGGATTCGAGAAAGCGAACCTTCTGTCGAGGCACGTTGGCACTTGAGACTGTGGGGTAAGCAGGGGCGCCCCGCCCGCCCGCCCGTGTGCAAATCCGGGGGGCAGCACTGCAGCAGTGGGTGGGCTAGCTAGTCTTCCCTGGGTGCTCAGGATGACGTCGGCATTAGGGGACGGGGGGCTAGGCCAGTCTTTGCATGTGCTGGCTGGCTGGGTCTTCGTTCCATGTCGGCTTCTGAAGGGTCTCTTTCGTCCGGCTAGAACTATATCCTCATATTTAATTGGAATTAAGGCCAAGAATATACATGCCGTTCAGGTGATTGATTATATCTGCAAGGGCTGGCATAATCTCATCTATATTGGAACCTTTTCTCTTCCTATTCCTATTACTCCCAGGACGAATAGACACCGCCTTCAGGTTGCACACTGGCACATCAGGCACACAGGCACATATACTGCATATACTGCATATGCTCCTCTCTTTCTCTCCCAGATACAGTATACAGTCAATACAACATGCCAGCAGATCAGTTCCTTCCCGCTATTGGCCATGCCGTCTCAGGCGCGACCGGCACAGCCATCTCCACCACCGCCACGTACCCGCTCGACCTCGTCAACACCCGGCTCAAAGTGCAGCGCCAGTTGCGTAAAGACGGCACCATATCGCCGTCAGAGCAGTACGCCGGAATAACTGATGCGATTTCGAGGATTTACGAGCGCGAGGGCGGGCTGCGGGCTTTCTATGCCGGTCTGGGTTCAGATATCTTCAAGGGAGTCGCCGATAGTTTCTTGTTCTTCCTTTTTGTAAGTGCTTGTCTTTCCCTGAGATGTATGTCTGCTGTTTTGCACTTCGCCCCGCAATTGGCTGCCCTTGGTAGATGGTGATGTATCCACGTAATATGAATATTCTCACTTTATACCGTCTTGATTGCTGACCCGTGTAGTACAACTGGTTCCGCACCAAGAGGTCTCAAGGGAACAGCAGGCGCCTGCTCGCCTGGGAGGAGCTCGCCGTTGGCGCCGCCGCCGGCGCGTGCGCGAGGCTGTTCACGACACCCATCGGCAACGTCGTCACGCGGAAGCAGACAGCATCGCTTATAAGCGACGACGGCGACACGACCGGCCAGGCCCGCCGCGGCCTGTCCTTCGCAGAGATCTTGCACGTCATCCGGGCAGAGAAGGGCCTGCTGGGGCTCTGGGCCGGGTACAGCGCCACGCTCGTGCTGACCCTGAACCCGAGCATCACCTTCTACCTGCAGCACGCGCTGAAGAAGGCGCTGGTCGATAGGGGACGGGAGGGCGAGTCCAACGGCGCCACGTTCTTGGTCGCCGCGCTGAGCAAGGCCGTCGCCACCACCGTGACGTACCCCTTTCAGATCGCCAAGGCGAGGGTCCAAGTCTCGGCACCCGAGAGCCCGAGGCCAGAGCCGGAAGCAGAGGGAGAGGAGAAGAACGAGGCCTCGACCGAGGCAAAGGAGGAGGATGTAATCGTGGTCGAGCAGAATGTGGGCAGGAGGGCAAGCAAAGCCCAGGCGCTCGCGGGACGTGTCCACAGATTGGCCGAGGACACCATTTTCGGGACGGTCATGCACATAAGGAAGACCGAGGGAGTCTCGGCGCTCTACGATGGAATCGGCGGGGAGTTGCTCAAGGCATTCTTCAATCATGGGACGACGATGCTATCGAAGGAGATTGTGCACAAGTTGATCGTACAGCTTTATTTCTTTGTTCTGGCTAGGATCCGCAGTTCGCCCACCGCGCAGGCCCTGCTTCGGCGGCGGTCCAGAGAGGATCTGAAGAAGCTAGGATATGTCCAGATTGCGGAGAGGTTCGCGAGGATCAAAGACGGTACACTTGTTATGGGCTTGGTGGAGCGGACACAGAAATTGATCATAACGAAGTAGCTCCTCGATTTGATGAAAAAATGCCGTAAATTATGTAAATTATAGAAGCGCTCGTTACGTGTGATTCCAGAAATATTGGGCTTCATCAGCAGATCCAAACCATCTCGTGGTGAGATGGTACTGCCTACCAATACTTGCCGAGGCCATTGTGTAGGAGAGGATCCCATGAGGTTATCCTTTAGAGACATCTTGTCCCACAGCAGCTGAGTCATGCTAGAGACAGTTCCATAATGTCTCTCGTGCTAGGTATGTGGACAAGTTAGAAGGTAGGAGTTGGCCCTGACGCGTAAAACGCTCCGAGGTGAAAGTATCCTACAGCTTATTCAATACTAGGTCTGTACCTACACGTTTTATGTGGGCGTTTCACTTTCTGGGTATAGAGCACTATAAGCCACCATGAAGTGTTATTCAGCATAAATGGCCCTCTCAGCATTGGAACGCGCTTCCGCTCTTCTTGACCTCGTTCGTACCGCCGGCCGAGAACCCCGTCCCATCACTCTTGAGTTCCACCACACCTGGTCGAATCTTGTCCTTGTCCTTCTTGTCACCTCCCTTCTTCGCCGGCCTCTCCGTCACATCCTCGTCGCAGACGTAACACCTCACCGCATTCGCGTGCTTCGCATCAGCCGGGTCGGCATGTGGATCATGATCTGACGGTTTCATGAACTGGCTGGCGCACGCCTTGCAAAGCACATGACCACATGGCTTTGCAAGCATCGCTTTCGAGGAGTTGGTCAGCCCCTTCTTGCATGATGGACAGATCCTCGTCTTGGTCCTGGTATCCTTGGACTCTTCCTCCTCGGTAAAGTTGATCGTCACAAGGCTGTGCAATGAGTACGGGTGGGGGCAGTTCTCCTGAGACGACGGGCAGATGGGCGTCGTCTTGGCCTTCTTCTTGACTTCATGCAATTTATCTTTGCTGTTTGACGTCGGGGTTACCGAGGGGACCCAGAACGATGGCAGAGTCGGCTTGGAGCTCTTCTCGTCCTCGATCGCTTTCCGTGCTTTTGCACGGTCATTGTCGGCGTTGCGCTGCACCTCGTCCTCATCCAGCGAGAATTTGCGTTTCTCTCCGGCTTTCGCCTCTTTCGCCAGGTTCGCGTCCGAGATAATCCCAGTCCTGCTCCCAGCGACGTCAAACCCAGCCTGGGTCAGTTCAAACTCCTTGACGGCTCTCGCTTGCGCCTCCTCGTCCTGCCTTGCTCTTGACTCGGCGGCCTCTCTGTCCTCTTGCTCCCGGGCCTTCTCGAGCCTTTTGATCTCCTTTTTCTGCGCAAGGATGTTGTTCAGCGCGCACTCGCGGCAGAAAATGTCGCCGTTGGAACAGGCCACGGGGTCGACCGAGGACTCGAGGCAGAGCGAACACGAGCCGAACGGTAGAAACGAGTCTCTGTTCAAGCGGGCTGATGAGGAGCTCCAGGCCGATTTGGCCATGGCCCGCTCGTGCGCGGTGAAGACGGGCCGAGACGTGTTCCTTTTGCCTGCGTTGTTAGATCAGAGCGCTGGACAAAGACGAGGACGGGGAGCGTGGACGTACTATGCGACATGTTGAAGATCAATTGCCCAAGATGAGCAAAGCAAAGCTTGAAAAGAGGGTGTGCAGGCTGCAACCAGACCGGAAGGGAGGGCGCTGTCGGTGGATTTGTTGCAATTCAGTCCGCGAGGCATTCCCAGATGACGATGCTGTGGATGTGTTGAAATATTACGTAATGCCCACTTTTAGTAAGGAACGCGTCAACGCGTGGCCATCCCATGTCATGTCGACAATGCACTTCCTCTCTCTCAGCTTACCACTAAAATCAATTGACCGCAGGAGAGTTGACGGCATCGTTGGACCGTATTTGGCAATTCGGAGAAGATCACATCCAAATGGGACTGTAATCGCAGGCAACGCATCGCTCGAGCCAAACCTCTTAAACATCATGGCCACAGAAGGCTCGTCATCACAACCTCCAGCCGAGGACAACACCTCCGCCCCGGCCGACGAGAACGGCGAGCAACCCCAATCATCATCCCCAGATGCCGCAGAAGCACCAGCCGCGCCGGCATCACCGCCCCTGCCGTCCCGGCACACAGCAGCGACGCCGGGGCCCCGCGCGCAGCGGTTCCAAGAGATGTTCAGCCTCGCGCTGAACCACACGCTGACCAAGATCTCGCCCGACAACTTCGCCTCGTGCTACCCGACGGTCGCGGCGCAGGCCCCCGGGGTGCTGGCACAGGTGCAGCGGTCCATGGTGGACCGCTTCGCGGACCTGTGCAACCAGGAGTTTGGGCGCGTGCAGGCGCGGTACAACGTCGTGCCCAAGCTCAACGAGCTCGAGGGCCTGGTCTCGGACGCGGAGAGGCGGCGGCGGGCGCACGCCTCCGCTGCCAGGAGGAGGACGGCCAAGGGGAAGGGGAAGGAGAGGGCCGAGGGGGGCGCCGACGCGGGCGGTGACGACGACGGGGGGGACATGAAGCCCACGCCGCCGCATATGCTCCCTGCGGACGCCATCCTTGCCGCCCACCTGGCGCCGCACCTGGCGAGCCAGCAGAGCCAGATGAATGCCAGGCTGCAGAACACGCAGGCGGCCAATGTCGCGCTGTGGGACGAGATCCAGAAGCAGCGGGCAGAGGTGGACGAGCTGCTCGGCGCGCTGGAGCGCGCGCTGGCCGATGTGGACGGGGCGGCGGCGCTGCTGGATCATGTTCCCGCCGAGGAGCTGGCGAGGGAGTCGGTGGCTGTGGAGGCTGAGATGACGGATGCGTGATGCGCCGTGATGCGCGGGTTGGACTGCGCGCGCGTGACAAGTCACTATGCATGCTATCCTGTGCCGTACCGGAGTCTACGATTCATGAGGAACGCGGGCGTGCAAGGTTGCTTGTGGAGTTGGTTGCATCTTACGAGTGTCACGGTTACTACGAAGATACCAGGCGTTGGGAGGCGTTTCTCGTCCTGGGTGAAAACCCCCATGAGGGTTAGCAGGATGCAATATGATACCAATTTCAAGTTGCGATTATCAACCATATATACAAGATGTCACCACCCCTTATTAGAAGCAGCAAAGCCGGTTGCGGGGAGCGTCTGGGTATTGCTAGAATGCTCGCTTCAAAACGTGTGATGCTCTCCCCTCCTGGCTCACTGTCAGCCTTTCTCTGCCTCCGATGCTGTCCCTATTTTCCCAAATGCAAAAAGAGGAGGTATATTGTGGTATAGTAACAACGCATCTGGTCATTTCTGAACGCCCGGCCAAGACGGCCTCTCAATGCGGTAAGTGCAACAGATGCAACCCTTTTGGCTCCCTTGACACAAAAATCATGTCCCAACTGATGAAGAAGAAGGAAATTAGGAGGTGGATGTTGTTGATTCAGAGACATCGGACCTGTCGAAGCCTCTTGTGGTAAACAGGAATCAGAAGCGCGGGTTCTCCGCGTGGATGACCTGCCATGGGCCCCAGAACTCGGGCTCACCGTACGACGGTGGCTGGACCCTGGACATTTGCCCCGTGGACCAGTCGATGTGCCACCTCTGGCCCTTGAAGATGACAAAGTTGGACTTGCGAGGGCTCTTGAAGAGGAGCACGGCGTAACAGAGCTTGGCGTATACCATATCGTGCGTCGAGGTCCATAGGTGTCGCGGGCGCCACTTGCCCGTCTCAGGCTCGACACCCTCGTTGTGGTATGAAGATATCGATAACCGGCGGGCGGGGACAACGCTCTGTCGTGGGTTTGCCGGTGGGTGGTACTGTTCCCAGGGGGCTATGTCTGCCGCGCCGTTCGTAAGGTCTACCCCCGGGGGCCCACCCGCCGACATCTCGACGTCTGCGGGCGGATCTACTGGCATGCCCGAGTCGATGTGGGATTCTGGCATCGACATCAGGGACTCGGTCAGTTGCTGGAAGCTGCCGCCGTTGCTGGTGGCCTGCGCCGAGTATTGGCCGCGGAGCCATCGCAGCCTCTGGATCCGGGGGATGCTCTGGTCCCTTGGGAAGTCCCTTTCGTCGATGGGAGCCGCCACGTCTATGGCGGCGAAGAGGCACTCGAGCCACTTGACAAATGTCTCGAGCTCCACACACGAGATGAGGAATTGGTCCGTCTCTGCTCTTATTCGTATGACATATCGTCGTCTGCGTGCTTCACGTTAGCGGGGCTGCTCCAGCAACTTTTCAAGACATGTGCTGGCCAATTGTGAAGGAAACAAAACAAGGCCAGTCACTGGCACGATAGACCAGCTGGTAGACTCGTCCCGGGCCGTGGCATATGAGTCCAGCGCAACAACGTACTTGTGATAATCAGCCGCGATCCCCACGTCGGCGTGCTGCAGGCTGTAACTTCGTTCCAGGGTGCCTTTCCTCAGCCAGGGGGGGTTGTCGGGCTTGACGTCCGGGCCGTGCATCCTGCTCTTGCTCCAGCTCCAGCCCTTGTCCTTGGAGCCGTAGACGTGCAGGGCGGTGCCGTGCAGGACGACGAACATGGTTCGCCAGTTCCTGTACTCTGCCCTCTTGACGGCGTCCTCGATCTCCATCTTCATCTGGAAGACGTTCTCCATGTGCACGTCGCAGTAATACCGCGGCAGCACGTCCTCGTCCTCGGCCGGGCTGCCCTCGCCGCCCAGGACGGCCTCCCTGCCCTTCCGCGACGGGCCCTGGTAGGTGCCGTGGGTGGCGACGTGGTAGGCGGGCGGGCTGGGGGGCTGGGCAAAGGTCATGACCTGCTCGTACAGGTAGTCCTCCTCCATCGACAGCCGGCGGACCTTGGCCGGCCGGTTGTCGATGGGTGCCAGCTCCACCGCATGGTTGAAGAATGTGGCTGAGGCGTCCTCATCCGGACCACTTGGGTCCATCGCCGGGTGATGTCGCCGGTGCGCGGTCCGCGGCGGCGTGGACCGAAAGTCGCTTCCCGGCCCTCCTCCGTCTTGGCTGCGAAAGGCGTCAAGACTGGCGCTCGCCTGGCTGATCTTCCTGCTCCTTCTACTCGTGGGTTGACAACCCTACATGTTCGCCTCTGACGAGAGGGGATCGGGCCTTGGGGGGATTGCCCCTCTTGCTGCAGGCTCCCAAGACTCTTCCAAGCCTCCAAGAGGAACGATGCTGGCCTGTCTGTCTGTGTGTCTGCCGGTCTGTCTGCCGGTCTACCTCCAGCCCTCCGGGCCTCCGGGAAATGTTGTCCCTAGTGAACCAAGGTTGCACGGCGATGAGATCTGCCTCCAAGGCCAAGAGTGTTCCCGATGGTATGATCTGAAGAATGAGAGTAGAATGCAGGCTGCAACGACATGGAGCAGAGCCAAGTGATGCGGGACCTCGCCGCAAGTGTCGGGGCCTGCACGAGGAGGACAAAAGGTCGTGGGAGGGAAAGTCACCGACTAGCTCCAGGGGGGAGGGAGCGGCTGGGAGCCAAGAGAAGGAGAGGTGCAGGAGAGGGCAGGACAAGACAGGGCAAGAAGCAAAAATAGGGAAGGCGACGTGGAAGCGGCGGAGAGACGTGGGAGGAGAAAAGAGGGCTCTCAAGAGGTGTGAGTGTTAGTGAGCGTCTGCGTCTGCGTCTGCGTGTGCGTCCGCGTCTGCGTGCGGGTGTGGGTGTGGGTGTGGGTGAGACTGGCAGAAGTGGGTGAGAGTGAGTGACAAGTGTGGAAGCATCCCATGCCATGGCATGCATGATGGCCCTTGGAGGCGGGCGACCGACAACCCCGGCTCCATGTCCGTCACAACCCCTGTCTGTGACCCTACAAGACGTACTCCGTACAATATCCCCTCGGTTCAGTAAACGGGCCTGGGTGGTTGGTAGTGTGTTTGTGTATGTATACTAAGTGACTGACTATACTCGGTTATCGAGGCTAGGATGTGTTTCCCTTCTGGAGCTGTTCGGTCTTTGTTCTAGAGCGTGTTAGTCCGGGTAGCCTATTGGGCCAAGGAACCCCCCCAATCTTTTCCCGCGGGGGAGCAGGAACCTGGGAATAGTCTCACTAACACGTTACATTGGGCAATACCCGGCAGCGGCACCTCCCCGATTACAAATTGCAGACCTTCCCAAAACACCAATGGGCCGGCGCCTCTTTTCCTGCTGTTGTATTATATTACGATCTACGCTTCAATATATCGGGACAGCCTGACAGCCCGTCGCTGGCCCTGTGGCCCCAGCAGCTCGAGCATTAACCCGAGGCTGTGTTGGCTGTGCAAGAGGGCGAATTGCCCATGGGAACCCACAGCCGAATCACGATTCACATCGGCCGCGAAACGACCCGGAAGCAGACAGCGCAGCAGACATAAAGGCCCTCTCGGAGACGCGACCCTCCTTCTCTGGCCTAGCACCTGTCCATATTGGTGGCCCTCACCCCCCTCCTGACCACCTGCCGCCTAGCCAGGAACGGTAGGTGGTTAACGGCGGGCAAATGTCGCCGGGAGCCTGCTCGGCGCTGGGCGCCAGGCCCCTCTAGCCGTACGTACGGAGTATCTACTGTCACTCCTATATCAGCCGTGCGGTATTGGAGGAACGGGGTTGGGATTGCGTGCTTCTCCTCCCTCACCTCTCCCAATGGATGGCCCCGTTTCCAACGAACCAAAACAACCATCAGAGGTTTCGTACTAATAAGGTCTCACAAGCTCGCGCGGTCCCGACGATCACCTAGCGGCGGCCCACCACACATGCTGGCTGATGGGGCAATGCCGTGTAATACCATGCAGTATAAGCCCGCCTGCACCATTACGCCGTCTGACTACTGGCTGCGGGGCCCAACGCCCAGCACGCGATCAGCCTCGAGTAGAGTGGTCTTACAGGTCTCACTCACAGGTCTTGCAGGTCTTACAGGTCTTACAGGTCTTGGTCCCCGGGTGATCGTCAGCACGGGTGGCGAAAGAACAATCCCCGGGCGTGCTTCTTGCTTCTGGAATACATCTGGAATACATCTGGAAGGAAGGCGGAAGAACAGGAAGAGGGGACGGCAAGGACGGGCAGATCTTGCCGCCCTTGCTTACTGCACCCGTGCTAGAGCTGAACCAGGCAACGGGTTGCGAGGGCCCGCACAGCCGCACAGGTTTTGTGAGCCGCGCCGCTCCGCTCGACGTGACCCCTTGGCAAATGCTTCTTTTCCCTGGGCCTGCACATGGTAGGGGAGCAGCAGCATTTATTAAAAAAAAAAAAAACAAGCACCATCAAGCTCGTCGTTGCTACCTGCCTGTGAACCTGTGGGCCGTTGCACGTGTTTGTTGTTTTCTCCTTCCTTTTTTTTTTTTTTCTCCCTCTCTTCTTTCCTTCCTTGTCGGGGGTTGCAACCAACCAACCACCAGTCAGCCCGTCACAAGTACACGCCTCAAGGTAAGGGGCGGGCACGAGACTTTCTACCAGACTTTTTGGAGAGATTCAGTAGCCGGTCCGATGGCAGTAGTCCAATCGTCATTGGAATCCCACTGCGCGTACCACTTCTCCTGGGCTTTATGTTACCTTGCTGGGCCGGAGTGCCAGCACTCTTTAGGAAGGAGTTTATGGTCAGCTGGCTGGGGACGGCCGGGCATGATGAGGCACCGGCTTATCGTGGTCCGCATTGGCTGCCCGGCCCGCCCGTCGGCTGTGCCCCTCGACCGCCGTAGACTTACGGTGCGTCTTCTGAACCAAATGGGCGAACCTGTGCTGTGGTAGACATCGTTGAGATGAGACCTGCCCTGCTCCGATAGTTCATCCGTGCCGTCTCCGCCTCGGCTAACACTGCTGTGTGTGGCCTGCAGCAGACTGCCATCAGATGCCCGATGTACTCCCAGATCAAGATTCACCGTCTCTCGCATGGACCAACCATCACCATATCCCAAAGGGCAACTGAGCCAAGGCTTGAGGCCGGGGATGGTTGCACAAAGAGTAATTGAGAAATGCCGCTTTTGGGTTCAACTCCAAGGCATTGATTGATGGCTGGCCATGACTGACTTTCCGTCTTTTTTTCCTCCGTCAAATGGTATACACGTCCTCGTGGTTTTATCATTACATTCTCTTCAACCGTCCCGTTACCCTGCTCCTCCCTCGGCCTGTTCCCTCCTTCTTTGCTGTGGCCCATCATCCCCTACAATCTCGTCATTGATCATGTATATTCGTCCCCAGCCTGGTTACATATACAGCCGTTCGCCCTGATGATCATGCAAAAAATGTTGGAATGAGGCATCTGACCCGCAATCGTGGCCACCTCCACGTCCGCCAGATTCCCCGTCGCGTGTGGCCCGGTCAACTGTACAAAATTCCACAGAAAGAAAAATACCACGTAGAAAACTTTTCTCTTGGGATGCAGATATCGCAATGCGCCGGTTCAGCAAGCAAGACGTTACGCAACCACTAATACACCGTCCGACCAAGAAAGGAACTCCCATGACTCCCTAGAACACTCTATGAAACGGCCGTCAAGACCTGCTGCCGGTAGCCACCCCTCACGCGTTGGTGGCTTGGGGGCCGCCGCGCCCACGGGGAGCGCCGCCTCGGCCGCGAGAGGGGTACCCGCCACGCCCGCCTCCCTGGCTTCCAGATCGCTGGCCTTCGAAGCCACGTCCCCGTCCGGAGATGCTTCCTCGGTTCTGGTTGTAGTTGGCGCCACCGTAGGCACCGGCCTTGGGGCGACGGGGCTCGACAACGATGTTCTCGCCGTTCACGGTGATCGGGCTAGCGCTGATAGCGGCCTGGTAGCCCGCTGCAGCAGAGTATTCGACGAATGCGCAGTTCTGAAAAGGGTCAGCATGTTACTTTGCACCACGGTGGCGGATTCAACAGGACATACCTTGGAGCGGTTGATATCGAAGTAAACCATCTCGCCGTAGCTGCCAAGAGCACTCCTCAGGTCATCCTCCTTCACCTTCTCCGTCACGAACTTGACGTATGCCAGCGTGCCCTCCTTTTCGGTGGGAGGGGTAGAGGTGTTCTGCTGACGGCTCTGTCGCTTGGAATCAGCGCCCGCGGTCCGCCACTCACTGTCCTTGTCGGCGGCCTGAGCAGTGTTCTCGCTAGCCGGGGCAGGAGCAGCAGCGGCCTTGGGCTGGGCTGGAGCAGGAGCGGCCTTGGGCTGAGCGGGCGCGGCAGCGGGAGCAGCCTTGGGGAGCGGGACAACGGGCTTGACGGGGACTCCGACGGCAGCAGCAGCACGGCTGGCCCAGGACATTGGCTTGGGAGGTCCCTTGGGCTTCTCGGGCTCTGGTGCGGGGGCGCGCGACGGGGCCGGCGTGGGACTTGGGTCCTTGGGGAGCTCTGGCTTCTTCACCTCCTCCTCAGTGACCTCCTGCACCACCTTCTCTGGGTCCACAGCGGTCTGGGCCTCCTCGGCCTTGGGAGCCTCCTCAACGGCTGGGGCAGCCTCGACAGGGGTCTCGGCAGCAGTAGTGGAGGGAGTGTCCTTGGCCGTGGAGCTGGCTTCCTCGAGCTTCTTGTCGACAACCTCAGTATCGAGGGCAACGGGGGTAGGCTCGGAGGGCTGCTCGGCCTGGACCTTCTCGGGCTCTGGGGCAGCAGCGGCAGCGACAGGAGCTGGTTCAGCAGCAGCTGCGGACTCCTGGTGAGGGGCCTCCATCTCAACGGCAGGGGCCGACTCGGAGACGGCACCCTCGGTAGCCTCCTCCTCTCCCTCATTCACATACCGAAGGATGTCGTTGAGCAGGAAGTACCCAGCAGGTTGCTGAGCAAGCACAAAAGTCTGGACAAACTTCTTGGGCTCACCAGACTTGTTGCAGATCTCACCGATGACCTGAATGACAATGTTGTCGTATGAGGCCTGGGAATCGACATTGGAGACACGGACCTTGCAGTCGTGGAAGTCAAGCTCCTTGATGCGCTCCGAGATAGCCTGGCCATACATAGTATTAGCATATTGTGGCCTACTATATGCCGAGAATGATATATGGTGAGCAATTGGTAACTAACCTGTCGGCCGACTGCGACTGGAGAGAGCTCAGCCTCGAGGCCTTGGACAAACTGGGATCGCTTGTTGTAGAAGAGCTGGGCAACTGTTAGCAGGATGACAATGGCGCTTAGGTGTTATCGTGGGGACTCTCTGCACTCACGTGAAGCTTGTCTGGGTTCTTGCTCAGGGTGGTGTAGTATTGTTGGACAAAGTACCAGCCGACCTCATCCTTTGATGGGGTGCTGTCGGCGGCTGTGTTGGAGGTAGATGGGGCGTCGGAGGGGGCGCCACCGGACTCCCGCCATTGCTCCTGGTGGGTTGTGTTGCCGTTTGTTGCCATGGTGGTATGGGTAGTACGACAGTGTCTAGCTGGATATATGTGGTTGCTCAGGATAGGTGTCGTGGTTCTCGAGGACTTTGGATGGGTTTTGCGCCGCTAAAATCTGGAGGTCGGCTGCGGCAGGGAGAAACCGTGCGGCGGAAACCTGGCCGGACAGGTGGAGTTTAGCTCAAGTCGGTTCTGCCAGGCGGCGAGGGAAGTGGAAAGTGACGCGTGGAGACGTACCTGTCTATGGGTAAAAAGGTTGGGGTGGAGAGCGCGTCTGGGTGATCACTCGAGGTGATTCAGTTGGGACGATAAAAGTGAATTCACCTTCAGTGCTGGGCCTTTGGGCTAGCTCCGAGAAATGATGACAAAACAATTTGGGCGGATTAGGGTTGGAGATGGGTGGACACCGGGTGGAGGAGGTGGAGGGGTCTTGTGTAGAGTGATGGGTTTCTTGTTGGAACCTGGGTTGTGGAGAGGAATTTGGGTGATGGAGAATGAGCCTCTTTGACGTCTTTGGAGGGTTGAGAATAGGAGGTCACAAGTGCGATGATGTGGGTTGTGTCGTGTGTAGATGGACTCGTCCGGGTGAGGAGTTGGGAGCAAAAAAATCGATGTCACTCAATCACGGGAGGAGGTTGACGATCCGACGCTCCAAGCGCCCAGAACTCGAGCGGCCCCAGCTACGGCTGCTGCAAGCCTGCACGCCTGCACGCCTGCAACTGCTAACTGCCTCCTTGAAAGAGCAGGCATAATTCACTGTCGAACAGGGTTTGACCCCTCACACGGCAGCTCCAACCCGGGGACAATAGGGTTCGGGGTATAGTGTCGGTACCCCATCATGACAATATACTCCTGCCACTAACAGAATGGCCCGCCCGCCTGGAAGCTGCCAGGCAGGCACGGACCTGAAGATCTTAGTTTCCTTACAGTTGAGACGACTGAACTATGACAAAGGACCCTGCCAGTGAGAAAGGCTGGGCTGTCTGACTTGTCTACCAATTGACTGACTGAATGAACCAAAAGCTGAGATGACGGATGCAACCAAGGGCTCCCACGTGAGCAGCAGTCCTTCACCTCACAAGGCTGCACCATGCAATGTCTACCTCAGCTTCATCTGCCTCAACTACTATACCTCCACAGGGGAAATAAACGTTATTTAGCCACATATCATTACATTACTCCTCCTTTAACCTATATATACTAACCTTATTACTTTTCTAATAGATTCCACTTAAAAGGTACTTTAAATATATATTTAAGTAAGAAGTAGTTAATTAAAGGGTATTTAAACCTTAAATTTAAGGTTAAATTTAACTTTATTACTATTATTATTATCCTTAAAAGTTATTAATTAAGTATAGACCTCTCTTATCTACTTTATATATTATATATATTATACTTTTAATTATTTAAATATTTCCTTTTTATTAACTTAATTACTCTTTATTTATTTTATTAAACTACTTAAATATATTAGAAGAAACCTTATTTAAAAGAACTTATTAAAAATAAAAGATTAAAGACTTAAACCTTTATAAATAAAGTAAAATAGCTTTATAAAGTTATTATTATAACTCTTTAAACTATAATTTAATAAATTAATTAAATATTTATTATATTATTTATATTATAAAGGAGTAAATATAGTAGAAAGTTTTTATTTAATATTTTAAAATAAATTAAAATATAATATTAATTTCTATTAAATCTAACTTATTACTATATAGTTTAAAAGGATTTTAAATTCTATTTACTATTTAAACTTTAAGCTAATAATATAACTATTATTTAAACCCTTTATACTTTTAACTATATTTATTAAGTCTATTATTATTAAATCTATTATACTATTATTAATAAATATATTTATATATATTAATATTAAATAATAAAGTTAAGATTTTTATTTTAAAATTAAAAATAAGTAATCTTTTTAATAAAATATAAATAGTTAATAATTTAATATAAAAGAAGTAGATTATTATATATAATATAAAGAATTTTAAAACTTTACTTTATTATATTAAAAGCCTTAAAGCTAAATATTCTAAAACTACTTTATTAATAATAAATAAAGTTTTAAATACTTTTAAAAAAGGGTTATAAAGATATTAATATAATAAAATACTACTTTTAGATACTTTTTATTATATATTACTTTTATATTTATAAACTTAGTAATTAAAGGGTCTTCTAATAGAATAACGCTTCTTTCTACTATATTAAAGCTATAAAGGAGATACTTTAAATAATAGGTATTCTAATTATTTATTAATTAGTAAATTTATTAAACCTAACCCTATAAAAATATCTAATTTATAATAAAAACTAAATTAAATAATATTATAATATTTAATCCCTCTTTTTAAAAGAGTTATATAAAGTTATTAAAGTTATATAAAAGTTAATTAATAATAATTATTTACTATAATTAACTTATAAAATATTAAATTACCTTTAAAAGGTTATTAATATAAATAATAAAATAATTAATTACTAAAAATAACTATAAATATTTAAAATTTAATATTAATAGTTAATAAATTAAGGTTACTTATATTATATAGGTAAAAAAAGGGGCAATGTAACAGTATGTGGCCAAACAACGTTTATTTCCCCTGTGAAGGTATACAGAGTACAAACACTCTAAGCTGCCCCTGTCCTTTGTACCCTGTCTTCCGTCAAACCCCCATCATGGAATACCAAGATCCTGCCCGTCAAAGCTCAATCGGTGCTCCCATAAAGGACCCACAGGACAAAACCATTTATCGACTGGGGGGCATACAGACACACATCTGTTGCCTTGATGCCCGAGACAAAGTGCAGTGACAGTCTGCCTAGATAGGCTAATACAAAAGTACAAGAAGTACATTAATGTCTCTAACCACAGCAGCTGACATTTATGCATGTTGACACGCATATAATAACTTACAAGCACATCTGACTGACCACGTTGTGGCTGTTGACCCTTGAGGGACAGGGCAGAGACTAGTTCCACTTTTTATTATAAGCTTAATTTCCATCTAAGTGGTTTCGTTTTTAATCCCTATATATATAAAATATATATAGCGCCTTTATATAGTAGTAAATACTTAAGACTTAACATTTAAAGAAATATAATATTAATAATAGTGGAAAGAAAATATAGTATATAAATATATAGTTAAACTTTATACTATATAAATAAAGCTAGAAGGTATTACTTTTAATAGTATTATATTAAAATTATTAATATAAATAGCTTAAAGGCTAATAGCTAATAAAGTAGTTATATAATAAGATTAAAATAATCTTAAAATAACTTTTATAAGAAGAAGAATCTTATAATATAAGACTTAGTAAGCTAGCTCTTCCCTATTAATATATTTAATAGCTACTTAAATCTACCCTTATTAAATAAGCTAAATATATTATAATCTCTATTTTAAGTATATAATTAATAGAATAGTAATATTATAATAATAAATTTATTTAAGAAAGCCTTTTATATAAATTTTATAAAAGATTAAAACCTTTTAAAAAGTTAAATAGAGTTTATTTATTATATATTAGATAAATATTATATAAAAAAGTAGAAATCTAGATATTTAAAAATTAAATCTTTCTTTTTTAAGTATATTACTTTATTATTAAAAATTTATTTACTTTTATATAATATATAAGGAATATAGTGGAAGAGGGAGCTTTATAAAGGAAGCTAGTAATTTTATATATAGATAAGTTTAAGGGTATATATTAAGTAATTATTAACTTTATATTTAAGGTATAAGCTAATAGTTAGTTTAAAAGTTGAGAAGATAATGAATAGATAAATAGTTAAATAAAAAATATAATGTGGCTGAAGCCTGATTTCCATCCAAGTACTAACTAAGTAAACCTAAATAATCTTTATAGTAGAGCAAATTTTCAATTGAAGCTATCTGGGAATAGCCCCAACACTTGGACTGCCTAGAGCAGAGCCCGAGATGTGACGAGGCATTGCCTTGAATTGAGCACTCAGATTGGTCAATGGCTGCGGGCTGGCCCGTATGCCGGCCTGGTTTTCTCTGCTTAGGTAGCAACGGTAATGACTACTCCTGGACGTTGTCCGGTAGTGTGTTTCCAAACGATCCGGGTGGGGGGGGGGACATAAAGTGCAGACTTCATAAGGACAGCAAGCCTGCTTATCATGATGTGTGCTTTGGGTGAGTTTATCATGGTCACCTTGCAGGCATTACTAATGCTTCTCGGAGTCGGCTATACAATCAATTCACACATTTGCAGCCGAGACTGTCCACAGAGCTTATGTTGATATATTAAGTATGTGCCATTGTTCATCCAATATCACCCAAACCTTATGCCATCTTGGCATCTTGCTTTTAACACCATAATGAATGTCCACAATAGGGACAGCCACACCATTATAAAAGTATGCGCCATATCCCAAACCCTTCGCTCAGTAATCAAAACACACCGCATTGTAAATGCAACCGGCCCTTGCCCGGAAAACCATGGCTATACACATAGAGTCTTATGAGTCTTTCGGGTGCTTCGGATACACCTAGCCCGCATCAATATCCAGACCCCACAGACATTCGCACAATTGCATAGGCTCAAAAGAGCCCAAATCCAAGGAATATGATACCTTCTCTCACACTGTCACGGGCAGTTTCCCCAAGCCATCGGCCTCTTGCTCAATCTTCACCTTCGTGCCTCCTGCTCTCTCCCTGTCCAGCTTGTCTTGGTGTCTCCTCAACACCTCGGCCAGACTCTTGGCATGTAGCATGCCCAGCTCGGACCATATTGTTTCCAGGGTGTCCAGGGCCCACCGCCAGACGTCATACGGCACCCCCGGCGCGCACGCAGCAACCCGGAGCTGGAACGTGAGGTGCGGGATGCCGAATGCGCCCGAGCCCGCCCCACCGTGTGTCTGCACCATGTCCAGCTCTTCCCACGACAGCCGCGGGTGCCGGTAGTGTGTGGGCACCGACGTGAGCACGTCCACCGCCAGCCGGCACACCGTCTCGCGGACGCAGTCCTCCCGGAAAGGGATCGACCCCGGCGGCAGCTTGAACGCGGCGGCGCCCGAGGCGGTCTGCGGGCACTCTGCTGCCAGCTCCAGGATCTGCTGGTTGGCCAGTAGCCGTGCCCAGCGGAAGTGGTTCCATATCCGTGACGCCCACACGTCCGAGTAGCGGTGGTAGCTGCCGCGGAAGACGGCCGCGCGCGGCAGATCCGGCGAGCTGACAACCTCGTATTTCCACTTGCCTTGCTGTGATGATTCCCAGCCATCCATCTCCGCGTCCACGGCTAGCAGTTGCTGCAGCATTTGCTCACTGGCCCCGGTCCCGTCGACAAGTGTCGTGGCACGAAGCGTGGCGCTGAGCCGTGCGAATCTTGCGATGATCGAAACGAGGTCGGCGCCCGGTTTCTCGTCCTCGGGGAGGAGGTCAAGGGTCTTTCTCTCCCGAAGCCAGTCGAAAAAGTTCTCTGGGAGGCTCACGCCGCTCGTGACGCATGGTATAAGCTGCGGGGATAGTCAGAAGGAGGCAATTCACGGAACAGCCAACTGATGTCCTGGGAATCTACCCACCAATGAGTAGCATAATTGTAGCACGCCCCTGATTCCCAGCGTCGGTGCGGTGGCAACTGGCAGCGCTGACCTTATGAGGGCCAGACAACCTAACAGATGAACTCTGACGTTGTCGTGAGACTCGTGAGGTGCGCGAACGCACTAAGACCGCTGTTAGCAAGCGTCCCATGAACATAGACGTGGGGAACAATAATGCATGTTCAATGCACATCCTTACTTGGAACAGAGCAAGCATGACGGTAGTCTTGATAGCCGCCTCCAGATTTTGTAATGGATTGTGCAGGGCATTGTTCGTGAGCGCGAGGGCCTCGCCGTATTTTATTCTCGACAAGTGCTGTAGCTGCTTGTCATCGTGCAAATTCGCCATCCCAGCCAGACCGAGGGCGGCCATGGTGGTTTGAGATGAAGAGCTTTGGAACCACGTTTGACTGCTGAGGTCCTCCGCCTTCCTGACCTCGTCCGGGTATCCGATGATGTAATGGTTGACGTAGAATGTGAGCCCAAGCTCGGTCGGGTCCGTAGGTATGGCTGGCGGCAGTTTGGATGAGTCCCAGCCCTCAATCTTCCACCGTGTCGTCGTGGGGCTGCTTGTAGCGGTCAGCGGTGAGGAGCTGCCGCCCCGGACACGTGAAGAGTTGGGCGATATTGGAGAGGCGGAGGCGAATGAAGGCGAAGGCGTTGATACATATATCGACCCGGATGTTACTGAGGACGCCATTGAAGAAGACCTCTTGGTCTTGGCCGGGCCTTTTCGAACAGGGACGTCCGCTGAGGAAGAGGCTGACGACGACGCAGCTCCATCTTCACATCCCCAGGAGGCGCGCACCTTCTTCTCAACTTTCACCGTCTCGTCCCGGAACATCAGCGAGAGCTGGTCTCGATAACCCGGGCACACCTTTGACACACGGATACATTGTGTACATTCCGGTTGCCGTCTGTCGCACTAGAAGCATCGAGGTCAGTGAGTGGGCGCCCATTGGTAGTTCCAGCCCGTCCGGGCCGACTGGTGCATGAGTTGGCAGAAGAGCGCTGCCATTTGGCGGGATTGACCACACCACCCAGAGCATGCAGGCAATGTCTGGGCCAGGCAGTGCTTTCATGGCGTGAGCCAGAGGCTGCATCGTGGGGTGCGATAGGCATGGGGAATATGAGAGGACCCCATTGCAGGTTCGGACAGGGTGGAGACGGTGACTCTGGTGCTCCCTGCAGAATGCCTTGCTGACTTCATATGTATCCCACAGTGGGCGACGATGAAGGGTCCAAGGCTTGTTCTGTGGGCATCAGAGGACGCAGGCCCGGACGGGCGCGGAAGTGAGGAGACAGAGACGTACCTTTATCCGCCGCTTACGACATGACGAGCATCCCAAGGACGCCTTGCCACAATAGACCATAGTGTCAGAGGAGGGCTCAGAGAGGGGTGCTTTCTCGAGCCGAACCGTCCTTGAGTACGGAGTATTGGATGTAGTGCGGTACGGACCAAGACGGGCGGGAGGTGGTATTTGCGAAAGAGATGCCCTAATAGGGAACCTGCTCGTCGCTGATGACCAACCGAGGCCCCTCTTTCCGTCTCCCCACCGCACTGCTGGTGGACTCAGCGATACTATGAAACGAGGTGCCGAGAGAGAGAGGGCCAGGAGCCGAGGGAAGAGGGTGGGCCACCTAGAGTGAGGCCTCGGTGGTGGGTATGTGGCAGGCTGATGGTTTTGGGCAAGAGGACCCAGAGCAGTGGTCAGGGCAGACCAGGGTGGCGTATTGAATCTCGTTTCCGGCGGGCTGGTGAGGTCCTGACGTGCCTGTGCCTGCGCCTGTGCCTGTGCCTGCGCCTGTGCCTGTGCCAATGGCAGCGTGTCAGAGCCAGTGTGGATATCAGTGTGAGCAGCGAGTTCACCGTGGACAGGAGGACGAGAACCGGGCGGAGGGTTTGTAATGAGACTGGACCCCAGCGCGGCTCCCCGTGGGTCGCCTGTTCAAGCCCAGCTCTGACCGCAAGCTGCCAATGGATGTTCCAGCAGCTGTCCGACCCGGAAGTCGAATGGGGTCGGGACACGGACGGGAAGGACACGGACTCGGCGGCGACAGCGTTGCAACGGGACAGGCAAGGATGCCTTGTGAAAGGGTGTGACGGGTTTGTGACGGGTTTGAAGGAGGTACGCAGGTACGCAGGTACTCGCTACGGACTGGCAGACTGGGCATTGCAGGTGCAGAGAGCCTGAGAGCACAGCCAGACAGCCAGACAGCCAGACAGTGCATGTATCACAAAAAGAGATGGTGGGCAATGGGCATGGGGGCACCACGGGACAAGGCTGAAGTTGGAACCACATGCAGGCAAGCAGCAGCCGGAGTGCATCTGTCGATCCCGATATAGGTTTGGCTTGGGCCGGCACTGGCTGGATGGGGGAGGAGCACATGGCGGGGGTGGTGGCCCAGGGTGAGGAGGCAAGCAGAGGGAGCACCGAGCTACTGTGTGGTACTGTGACAGCAGGCGTGAACTCGACTCTGGCCTCGGCTGCTGCGGATCAGGGCAAATCTTAACCACCTAGGTGCTGCTCCGCTAAATGCCTATTATGGTCAGGACTCTCACTTGGTTTTACAAACATGGCTACGGCGCAGCGACCGGTCAGTCACATCTGGCCCCCAAGGCAAATTACCACGCTCTCAAAAGCAACAACTCTGCTTGCCGTTTTGATGACTGCCAATCCGCCACTGCCCACGGGCAGGGTCCAGGTCCTCGGTATCTGCTCATGTACCTAGGTACTACACTACACTGGAGATGGGGTTATGGGCCACTGCGGCACAGCACCTGCGCAGGGGGTTCTATGGAAACATTCCGTGCTTCTGGGGAGCTGGGGAGCTGGGGAGTTGCAACAAATTGGCCTGCAGGGGGCGCCGCCTCTGGCTACCTGCAAGATGACCCAGGGACTGTGGTTCAATGTTACAGTTGCAGCCCTGCAAACCTAGGATACCCTGCCCGCCGTGACTCTTTTCTACGGCAGTCTGTCAGTCTGTCAGTCTGTCAGTCTACACGCTGCTGACACAACAGACCGAGGCCGGGTCGGCAGGTCGGGTGTAATATTTACCCACATAGCCCATCCATTCCAATTCATCCCCCTCTAGGCGAGCATGTATGCAGTTCCCATCTGCTTCTTCCTCGATGCTGTCAGCCGGCCAGGGTAAAACCACCACCAACGACAGCTTCCTCCTTCCTTCTTCCTCACCCATCCTGTCAGCCTGTCCGACCAGCCAACCCCAGGTGCAGATCACCACCTCCGTTCACAGCCCGACGAGTCAAGGCAAATTTCCCGTCACGAATCCATTGTGGAGTTGGTTGGGGTGCTTTGATATTGTTGACCCTACCCGCCGCGCTGAGAGCGCCGCCCAACTCGGCCGTGAGCAAGGGGGGGGCTCCCAGCCGGAGCACCACGTGGCTTCGCTGGGACGACGGGCTTATCCGCTTGACAGCCGAAGTCAAGAAGCCCTTCCTTCCATCGCAGGGACGGAGTTTCCCGGGTTCCCTGGTTCCCTGGTTCCCTGGCGGGCATCGGAGTGAACAGCATAGGCCCCGATGGCCTCAACTCTTTGGGGAGATCCCATGACGCGACGCCTCACATCTATCCAGTCATCTCTGCGCAGGGTGCGGTACTACATAGTACCCCATTGCCTTGACCATGCAAGACGCGGATGGCCAGCTTGACGGTCAGTTTTTGTGACATGTCGCATGCTACTACGCGATCAGGCGATGCTGTGTGTGATCTGATCAGAACGAAATGCTCACTGGAGATCTTGCATCTCCATCTCAGCTCGCTTCCAGGACCGGTCAGGCCCCATTGCATTCGGAGGTTGCGCATGCGCATACCGTGTCACCTCGGCAACCTCGCGGTTTTCACTCAGGCACAGGCATTGTTCAGTAGCGCCGTGGCTTCCTTCAACCGAGCTTCATTCCCTATTCCTTGTCTCGCGTGAGGCGTCTTGGCAGCAGGTATCGACGCGGTTTCCATCTCCGGTGGTCGATAATGGACCTGGCACCCGAGGATGGCATCAACGAGCCACACATCTGGACCTTGTCCACTCGCCCGGTTCACCGCCCTCTGATGACATGCTGGGGAACCCGGACAAACATACTCTTCAACCACGATTTTGATCCGGGCTCAAGGCTTATCTCATGCCTTCTATAGGATAAACAGTCCAAAGCCCCACTCGCTAAACTTTAGAATTCACATCTACTGTCTCCCAATCTAACTAACCCCTCCTCGTCGCCTGCTCGGCTTCTCAAGTAACACAATGGCCATGTACCGTTCCGGCACTTCGCCTGCACGATACATGGTATTTTCCCGCAGCAGATTATTACCTCACACAGGTCCAATACCGGTGAGCACAAGGCCACGGTTGCGAACCCGCAGGAGCCGTGTTGCTGGGTGGGGAGGGTGAACCGAGTGCGAGAGGCACGTATGTTGGCTCTGCTTTTCTTGTCACGTACCGTGCGTGACAGGAGTTCGTCAAGCCACACGTCCAACAGACGAACGACAGGCACATCACATCGTCTGTCGTGGCAGCTGTGTGACCAACGCTTAATTGTTGCAGCAGCAAGGCAAGAAAGAAAAAAAGAAAAGAAAAAGAAAAAAGCAGAGGGCCATTGTCTCGGCGCTTGGCCCTCCGAGGCGCCGCCACGTTTGTTTTATTTATTTTTGCTTGTCATTGCTTTTTTTCTTCTCCCCGGTTCTCGTCTTTTCCCATAATTGATCCCCATCGGTAAGTGAAAAAGGGCTGATCCCGCGGTCTTCATCGGCCTCGTGTCGTGCAACACGAGATGCGCCGATCAGCCGCCAACGGGGGGTTTAGGAGGTGCTTGCCCCCGGAGAGAAAAAGAAAAAGTGTCACACGCCAGAGCAGAGATGGTGCGTCGTCACATCGATAGTGCAAAATAACCTTCGTTGTACCCGTTGTAAGTCTTGTTCAGCGCAAGCTTCTCAACAGAATACATGGTGTTTTACTGTCTCACCCCTGGCTCAACGCCTTCGTGTCAGGTGTGACGTGTGAGGTTCCGGCGTATGTGTATTGAATTCAACATGGCTTTGTTACGGGGGTCTATCACAAGGGGTTGTAGACGAACTCGCTGCTCCTAGAGGCCAAGGCCACGATCAAAAAACTGAGAACCCCACCCCCACCCCCCTATTATGGTTGCCATGCTGAGATTATCTTGTGCCACGAATTTGACCAGGGAAGATTAGGGGGCGGTTGACAAAGTCAGAAGTGCATATCTCGGGATCCAAGAGTCAGGATGCGGCCACAATATAGATTCGCAAGAAGGACTCTCAGGTGGACCTCCATCATTGGCAGTCTTGTCCACCGGTTCGACGCCTCGACTCAGCTAGCCATCTGCGACGGCAATGAACGCAGCCGAATATGCGTGGCTGGGCTACATATCTCTTGTAAGCCACAGGCTCTGAGACTGGGGAACTCGGGTGCCGCAGAACCAGGGCAAAATCTGGACGCTTTGTGGATCAACCAGGCCCAAGGTGCGATAGTGGCCAGGCTATAAACCTCAGACTTCTGTGGTGAACCCATGAGCATCAGCTGCGTCATCCCCAATCGAAGTCACAAGCTAAGTAATGGGCCGGGCTTGATGAAGACAGCCTTACAAACTGGGGAGCAGCGGGATGTCACATCTGCTTCAGTCTGTGAAGCAAGCAGCCTTCGGTGAGGTCCGATGTGCCAAACCGTGGCAAGACGACGAAAGACGGAATGCTGGGTAAACAAACGTGGAAAAAGTAGTGCTTTGTTGTCTTTCTGTGGTATAATTTTTACTGGATCGAAGGTGATGTCTCTGTTGCAGCCACCAATGCAAGCACATCACGTCCCGAACAAGGCCATTAAAGTTCATATCCAGACAACACCTTGCGCTATGCTGGCCGGAAAGTGACCGAAGCATACAACAAACAGTAAACCTGCATAACGGCAAAGCCTTTGGCTGTTCTAATATCTTACACGGGGTTGGTCGTCGCTGTATATCTAGTCCCTCTCTATGTGCTGGGCTTCTCCGTGCTCCCGTCGATAGGACTCTTCTTGGTGTGCTTCGGGTCTCTCGCCCAAGTCTCCGCCAGCCCGAATTTCCCCGCCGGGTCCTCGTCAGGGTAGCCCAGGCTCCTGCGCAGCTTCAGCACCTCGTTGCGCACCCGCAGCGCCACCTCGACCCTGATCTGGTCCGCCTCCTTGCTGTGCTTCAGCTCGTCAGGGAGGTCGCCCACGCGGAGGACGTCCGGCACCGCGATGGAGGAGGGCCTCTTGGGCAGCGCAGCGACGATGCCGGTCCTGCCCGAGTTGGACTCTGACGCGGCGGCCTTGGCGGCGCTCGTGGTGCTCTTCCCCGCCGCCTCGGCCACCAGCCTCTCGGCGGCGGCGATCTCTGCCTCCCTGGCGTCCATGGCCTTCTTGACCAGGGCCTTCCAGCGCCTGCGCAGGTCCCCAAAGGTAGACTCCATGTCGACCTTGTCGCCGAACGCGACGTGGACCTTCTTCCCCGGGCGGGGCACGGCGCGCGGGAAGGTCCTGTTCTCGTTCATGATGTCCGAGGTGCCGTCGATGAACATGGGCACCATGTCGGGCATGGGCTCCGCCTCGAGGATGAGCCGGGCGACACCCCACTTGAAGTAGCGCAGCTGCCTCTGCGCGTGCTGGTGGACCAGGCCCTCGGGGAAGATGTGCACCCAGGCGTGGCGGTTGGACAGGAAGGCCGAGGGCGCGGTGTGCGTGTCGCGGCCGTCGGTGCTGAAGATCAGGCTGCCCTCGGAGAAGGGGTCGCGCAGGTCCTGCAGGAGGGACTGCTTCGTGACGGTCTTGGGCTGCTCGGGCGCGAAGGCCGTGTGCTCGCCTGTCGTCTTGAAAGGGTACGCCGACAGCAGGCGCACGGCCTGGGTCATGGTGGGCTGGAAGAGGCCTGCGTGCGGCGAGTGCAGCGCGCGGTGGGTGGGGAGAACCTGGCCGAGGGTGAAGAAGGTGCTCAAAAGCTTGTTCTTGAAGCAGATGTCGTGGGCGCCGAGGCTCCATCGGAGATTCCAGGGCTGGAATGCCATTTGGAGAGGGAGGACGCCCCATATTACTGGATCGTCGATTCTGTCCAGACGTGTGAGATATTGCGAAGCCAGCCTGGCTAAAGACCCAGATGGGGACAAGCTCTCTTCTGACTTACACTGATATGTGGTTGCTGACTGTGGATGAGGGTGAGTATGAGGTGTGTGCATGGTAAATGAGCATTGGGATGGACATGTCATACCGGTGATGAGCCCTCTTTGTCGCTGGAAAGGGTCCTCGCGACTTTCAAGCAGCTTAACAAAGTTGTCAAGCCCGGTGGTCTGGATGTCATTGAGGCCGTTGAGAAAACCCTTGGAGACGGTGCCGGTGAGGCCCATGACCATGGCAGAAGACCCGCGCCACAGGCCATTGGGCCGGCGCTGAGGGTATTGGCCATGAGCTATGGTCGCCATGGCTCGGATTAGGAGACAGGCAGGTTCAAGGCGTGGTGATGGCTGCAGCCAGCAGTCACGAGAGGGCGGGGAGGGTGTTGGATTTATCTGATCTCGATGGCGACCTCAACAATTCGATTCGATCCTCGCCGACGCGCTTTGTGTGGGGCCGGCCAAGGATCGTGTCATAGCCCCGACCTTGAGGGTATTAGGAGCGGCTCTGGGGATGTTCTGAACTGATAAAAAAAAGACGCATCACAATGCATTACATCGGGGAGGGAAACGAAGGTGATACCTGGATACACAGGCATATATGTGTTGCCAGCAGGAGGCCGAGAAAGCGCCTGCCTCACATGCTGAGAGTGAGCGGAAAGTTTCTAAACTGGACGACGACATCGATCGCACCCCTGCATGCGACCGGACCAACCACCACGTTGCTGGGTCCGCAGGGGTTCCTCGGCTCTCGGCTCGGCAGGGCCTGTCACTGCTACTCTCAATACCGGTACTCAACACGGACTTGGCCTCTACCTTCACGATCATGCAAGCAGCCAAGAGAAGAGGCAGACAAATGCGACATCATGAGAATCTTTGGTATTACCGTCATTACATCTTTGTCTTCGTAATGTGTACATATCTCGCCATGTCTTCTCCCGCGTCATGTTTATTCGACATCCATTTTACACCCCCCCCCCCCAAAAAAAAAAGAGAAACCCGACCAAAATCGACCCGACCCAGACAGATCATGTCAGATCGTGCCTTGACACCTGTGCTTATCATCCTTTGCTTGGACGAACCTGAACGCCAGACAGGACTGTATGCACCTGCCATATGCAGATTTGACAGCAAATCAGAACCCCAAACAAAGTATGGGAATGTGGGATTGGTCCCGAGAATCGGCCTCGCCTTGCTCATGTGAAGTCAACGGCCCCGCTCGCCCCAGGCCTTGCGGCTTGCCGCTCGAGGCGTCGCCGCCTCCTCCTGTCAGCAGCCGAAGCAGTCGCGCTGGCCTCGCTGGGCCCTGCCGCCGGCACGCCTCCGACCGCAGACGGGCCTCCGACTGGACTCATCCCGCTCCAGGTCCCGTGGCTACCAGGACTCTGGATACTCGCTAGGGTTGAGACCGTCGCGCCCGCTGCTGGTGTCATGCCCGCCGGTCCGACCTGTGCGAGCGGCTGACCCGAGTAGTACGCCGAATCCTTTGGTTTCTTGCCGCCCGCGAAGGCAGGTGTCGGCTGTGGCAGCGACGACAGTGACGACTCTGCCCTGTGTTCTGCCGCTTCCTCTGCCGCCCGCCGCCGGCTCGTGTCGCGCCTGTATCTCGTGCGGGAGGAGCCACCAGGCGCTTCGCTCCCGGAAAGACTGCTCAGCGACTCGGTGCGTTGCCTCCTCGCTCGCCGGGCTGCCAAAGCCTCCTGCTCGGTGAGGCGGCGCAGTGTCACGTTCCGGTCCTTGTCGTCATGCACTTTGACCTTGACGCTTACCGGTGGTGTTCTGTCTCTGGACGTTTCACGGTCCGACTCCACTCGGCGTTGAGCCTCCTGCTCTGCTGCAAGATGCGCGGCCGACGCGGCAGCGGCTGCGGCCGCGTCGTCGCCTGCCCTGCGGCGGCTCTCAGACCGCCTTTCTCTCCGTGACAGGTATGATTCGGTCTCCGACGACTTGGCCGTGTGCAAGACGCCGTGTGGGTCGGGTGGCATTGCAGGCATGTCGACGATGCTCTGGTGCGAATGCGTTCTCGAATGCCCTCCGGTATCCATCGGCACTGGTATGATACCCGGCGCCGGGGCAGACGCCATGTTGGCATACTGGCCGACCGGCGGCGGTGCAGGACCCGCCGCCGTTGGTGGTGGCCGGTAGCCTCCCGTCGGCAGGGGCTCAAGTGGTGGGTGTGACTCGTACCCTGACAGAGGCCGCGGCTCGATAAGCGACGATTCTTCTGTCAAGCGGGATGGTGATGTCGTCCTCCTGGGCGGGCCAGCTGGGCGGATGGACGCTCGGCGCGACTCTCTGCGAGGCGAGTTGGAGTATCCGTCGCCAGTGTATCTCGGGCTATAGCGCCCTGCACGCCTCTCCTCCTCCTCGATCCTCATCCGTTCCTCCTCCTTCTGCTCCCGCCGATCTCTCATCTTCTTGGCGAACCAGCCTAGACCCAGCCCCGCGAGGAGACCTTTCTCAGCCGCTCCCCTGCCCGGGTGGCTGCCCACCTGGTCCCGTCTTGATGGGCTTATATATGAGGAGTAGTCAGATTCTACCACACTTTCCATCCTCGGATCTCCGCGGCGATGGGAAGGCGGCGGAGTGATGGGCCTTGATGACCTCCGAGCCCCCGGCCGAGCCTCGGCTGCGCTCACAGCTGCTGCCATTGCTGACGGGCCACCGGGTCCGGGCAATAGAGGTGACCTGTGCCCATCCCTGTGGTATTCCTCGCTTTCGTCACTGTAAATTGTGCCGGCACGTCTCCTACTCGACGGACGCCTCCTGCTGGGCGTGTCAGTTGCCACAGCTGAGTACTCATCGTCGTCGACCCCGCGCTTTCTCTTGCCCATCATGCGGCCGATCAGCGCACCAGCACCCAGGCCAGCGCCCACGCCGAGGAACTTGTTCATGAAACCACCGCCGTGTTCGTCGGTGCTCTTCCTCGGTCTTTCGCTGTATCGATCGGTATACTTCTCGTCCTCAATGTAACTAGCCCGTCTGGACGGGATGACCTCCGGGGCACGGCTCCGGCTCCGACTGCCTCGGCGAGACGCACGCGAGCGGCTGCGGCTCCTGCTTCGAGACCGCTCTTTCTTGCGCCCACGCAAGAGAGCCCAGGTAGCACCACCGGCGGCGAGGGGGCCAAGCCAGCGAGACCCACCGGACTTGGGCTCGGTGCGGACGATCTCGGACCTTCCGTCGCGGACCACGTAGTCTGGACGGTCATAGGCACGATATTCGAGTATGAAGTACAGAAGCAGCAGAAATGCCATCCAGACAGCGAAAAGAATGAAGGTGTACTTTGGGGAGCCGTAGAGGGCCAGACCAAGGGGCACCTGGGCGATGCCCAGCAGGGCAATGGTCCGGCCGAACCACTGATGCAGCATGACCCTGAGTGAGCGGCCTCGTATGTTCTTGATCAAGCGGCCTCCGACGATCTGCAGGAGGATCAGGGTGTATATAGCGACGCCAATGCCGTGGTGCGGGTTGGTCAGGCTTCGCTCAGGGCCGACGGAGAAGTAACCGAGGACAAAGACGGCGGTGGTCAGGAGCACAGCGAGTATCTGAAGGTAGGCATGATACCGCATGGCATATCCCGGGCGTTTTGTGTAGAAGCGAGCGTAAAATACGGCTGCGGGGACGATGAAGAGGAAGACGATGGCACCTATTATGCCGTGGGCCTTGATGAGTGTGTGGTACTGCGCCAGAGTCGAGAAACGATTGCCCATGCCTGTGCGGGTGGATGGTGATGTCAGCGACTGCGTAGCTACGGCTTTGGCACGCCAGCGGGTGGGGTGGAGGCTCACCATTGTACTGCATGGTCTCGAAATTGAGGCCGACGAGGTTCGGGAGGAGAAAGTCGTTCTTGGTGAAGTCCCATGTCCCGTCACCGACCTCCATGGTATCGGAACTGTAGGAGGCGGTGCCGGGCGCCGACATGTCGTTCAGCGGCGCCATGGTGGCGGTCGGCCGACCGGCCTGCCTGACGGCGAAGCAGAGCAGGCGGGAATCTGGTCGATCAGTCCGAGTCTATGATCCAATTCAATTCAAAGAAGAAGCAGGAAGGCCGTCTCGAAAATGGCAGATAAGGTTGGAATGGAAGGAGGTTGGAAGCGATAGGCGAGGAATGGAGAAACAATCGGGGCAAAGAAGGCCGTCTCGTCATAGGAAAATCGAATGGGATTCTCCTGGCGGTGGTGCTGCTGGTGGTGGTGGTGGTGGTCGGCCAGACAACTCATCAGCAAGCAGCTAGCCAGGCTAACACGCCTCCTCCTGGCTAGGCGGGCCGCCGTGTAAGTGGATGAAGCTTTGGGCAACCAGCGGCAGGGAGCTAGGAAGAAGCTCTTGGCTATGGCGGTTTAGCAACGGCGTCTTCCCTGCAACAGGCGTGCTCGCATGTTGTTGTTGCCCGATGAATTTTGTCTTTTTCTAAACAGTCAGGAACAGAAGAATCGAAAACCGTGCAGGAACCAACAAGACGGAACCTGGCAGAGGGCCCTGAGTGCATCATCGTACGGCGAGCTAAAGTAAACATGAGGCTGGGAGAGTGGGCCCTGGGCCCTGGCCGCCCCCCCCCCCTCCGGCACGCCAGCTCACTGTGCACCCCTGCCCGGCACTGCAGCCTGGTTGCTGGCTGGTTGCTGGTCCAACCCGAGTTACCCAACACCCAGCAGACAGACCCCCCTGCCTCCCGTCTCTGGGTTCCCGTCCTTCGGTCCCAACTAAACCCATTTCTGCCCGACTCACTCGGCCGAAGCTTGTTTTGTCAACGGATATGTTATGCACAATCCACGACATCCCACGCCTGCATCACACGGAGATTGATACCTGCAGCCTGGCACTTGTCCCGACCACGGCAGCGGCAACAAGGGCGAGCTCAGGGGCTTCAGGAAGTTGTCCCAGTGAATCGGCACCACCGCGAAGCTGTAGCACCGCCCCGTCCTGAGCGCCTTGGCCGGCGCCGGCATCACGAGCGGGGCCTCGATCTCCCCCGGCGCCACGTCCCCGGGCGAGTGGACCCCTGAAGAACCCGTCGATCAGGATGGCATCCTGTCCGGCCGAGACGAGAATCGTGCCTACTCCCACAAAGGTGGCCAGGAGCGGCTGCGGCGAGCTTGGCTCGATCTGATAACGGCTCTGAATCATGCCACTAGCGGCATTACCAAGATGCTGATCTCCTACGATTGATATATATTCCATTCCGCCCGCCAGCCCGGCCTAGTCTCTGGCCACACTCTGACCGCATGCCGGATAGCTAGTTCAGACTTACATGCTCGACTAAGACTCGTTGCCTGCGATCATAAATTCGATGAGCCAGACTAAGTTCGGACTCGCGACCTAAAAGTTCTAGAATAGGAAGCCTTCGACCAAGACAGATCCCAAGAGGGGATCATCCTATAGGACACTCACGTATAGGAGGCAAACAGACTGACAGAATGAGTCTGTTCCTGGCAAGACACCATCCGAACTTTTGGGCATGGTGCACTGACCGCCCTAGTCTTATTAACATGACGACAGCTTACTGGTCAGTCACTCGCATATCTCATGCCGGCAGCTGTCCGCTCGCGTGCAAATCCAGGGGGTTCTAGCTCACTAGGGGTACACTAAAGTTCACTAGGGGTACAAAATCTGGCTAGGGGTACAGAATCTCAAAACCTCATGGGGGGTACAAACGCCGAGAGCCGCTCTTACTGAGCAAAAGGGCTGGCTGGGGCGAAGGGGGCGAGCCCCGGAGCGCGAAGCATAGCGGAGGGCCGCGAGTAGGGCCGGTAGGCACGACCCGAGTTCCCAGAGGACCAACCCGCCCTGTTTGTGGTCCTCAGAATCTCGAAGCGGCTATCGGTCTTCGTGAGGTTTTGAAATTCTGTACCCCTAGCCAGATTTTGTACCCCTAGTGAACTTTAGTGTACCCCTAGTGAGCACTATGCCCCAAATCCAGGGTGGAAAGGGTCGCTCGCAAAAACCAGGCTAGCAGGCTAGCAGGCTAGACGACACCTGACTCTCGAATACGAAGACCAAAACCCTCCCGGCCAACACCCACCGACGCGGTGTGCTCTCTCTGCATATTTGGGGTGAGGTGCCATGGACCAACGCACGGCTCACGCACGGCTCCACGGCGGGGAGGAACGACTACCCCTCTCGTTTTTCCTGCCCCTGTTGAAGATCGTCACGAGACGTTGTCGATCGTCTGTCTACGTACTTGCTCACTGACACCCTCAAGGTTGGGCGACATCCAAATCAACATTTCGTATCCGGATGCCTTCACCGGCTTACTGACACACATCGTTTCTGAGCCGTGGGCGTGAGTGCCAGTCGTACGATATGGCGCAGGCTCGTGGCGAAGGCTTCTCTCCGTGACGACATGTCCCTTTGCACGGGTTGAGGCCGAGACAGCCGGGGCTGACCTCAGTCATCATCATCATCACTGATCAGTCACGGAACTGCGCGGAAGCTTGCAGTTACGTAGGCTAGCCTTGTCTCGGCCACCAGGCAACCCACCTGGACAGTCTGTTCAGCCCAAGGCAAAAATAGACGAACGAGCTGTCTGAGATGGTCCATCCGGCTTCACCGTCAACGCCCTCTTCTGGCGGCTGCTTTCCTTGGACCCATGGAATCCGGGGCCGCTGAGCCCGGCAGGTGAGGAAACGACTCGGAGCATGATGCAGCCCTTCGTATTGTGGATTCCGCTCGTACGTGGAGGTCGGCAACTTCCTCTTTCCTATTCTGGCAACTGTGTGGTATCGCCCTTGGCAGGTGCTGCATGCAGGCGGTCTGCATATAAATGCAGCATTCGCCTCTTCTCCCCGCCAAGGGCTTTCTTTCAGTCCCGTCCCACTCGTTGCAGTGTCGATCATCTTAGGATCAACTGAACATATCTACTCACCCTTATTAATCTTTAATTGCTACCCACTCTGTCAGCCCAGTCTTTGACCTCTACCTTCTCCCTTCTCTCACTCACACTTACCGTCAATTCATATCGTCGAAATTTGACGTCATGAAGTGCATTCTCTCTGCCCTCCTCGCCTTGACGCTGTCAGTTGTGTCGGCGCAGGACTACAACACCTCCGCGCCCTTCACCCTGAAGCTCGAGAGCGACAATGAGGACATAAACGGTCAATATCTCGGCGCCTGCCACGCCGGCGCCGCCATCGAGCAGCTCTGCCTGTCCGGCACGGACGGCACCCCGGTCAACTACAACACCTTTAACCTCAACGTCACCTCGAGCAGCACCGATTTCGAGATCGGGCCGCTCGTCTGGCTCCTCCAGGGCTCCGGCTTCAACGTGAGCTCCGGACTGACCTTCACCCAGAATCTCCACAGCAACGTCGCCGTCCCCACGTTCACGCCCTCCTACAGCTATGACTATGTCGGCTTCGACGCCGACAACAAGCTCTTCATCTACTCCGCCACCTACGACGAGTCCGCCTTCGTGGCTGGCGAGTACCCTACGGGCCAACTTACGACACCCGAGTACCAGGTGAGTCTACCACCAGTTCCATGAACGTGGATTTGTCCGTGTTGGCGCGGTTGTGTGTGACCATATGGCTGATCTCGTTTTGTTTGTGTAGTGGTACGCGTGCTACACGTACACTGGATACTACTATCACGCTCTTGCCTGGGTCACCACGGGAGAGCCGATCAACCCTACGTGTGAGGCGGTCAACGTGACCCGCACTTTTGTCTAAGACAGCAAGCGAGCCGCGTTATTGAGGCTGCACTTGTGGGCCCCTAGTTCGTGCTGAGCGGTGTGCTGGGTTGAAGGATACTTCGTCAACGCCTCGGAGACGCGGAGGAATGAACTTTTTAATGCTAGTAATGACTTCGAGTAGACGTAAATAGTAATCACGATGGGCATTGATTTGTGGTATTTTGGCTGGGACTAGTTTTCCGCAGTCAGCCTGCGGTCTCGCACATCTGCCCCTGCCGTGTCACCCACGCGCAAAATGCCAGGGCCTTGACGCCATGATTTGCCTCTTTTTTCTTCTTTTTCTCCGGCCGCATGATTGTCTCATGCTGACACAACCAGCAGTATTACCACGGAGGACGCCACATACCATACTCTGTCCCATCTGGTTCCAGGGATGTCATGCTAGCAGCAGTGGGCTCTGGGTGCGTCACTTCCGTCCAAAAGTGCCTGATTATAAGAGTCTTACCGGGAACGAGACCACAGGAATGAGAAGTGTGCAAGGTAACATGGAAATATTCACAGTCTCTACAAAACACCAAGCTATCCTAGGGTACTCATGCGTCATTAATCACTCTTCTCTTTTGTACAGCACTAATGAACTTCCTCTCTATTACCTATTGTTGTGACTTGTGTCGAAACTCAAATCAATCGAGCAAGCTCGAGCGCATCTATATATGATCTAGGTAGACAGACATAGTAGGCTAGCACACAGCTCCGCTGCTTCGATTTCGAGGTACACTCTCTATGGTAGTAACAAGACAGTCATACAAATGATTTATGCCACTGACATTATGACAGTGTCATGAGGTTTCAGCTGGGACAATAAGGTAATTCTAGCAGCCAAATAAATTGATGAAATCCCCCGCGTTTTTTATTCAAAACGAGATTTAAAGTCCGGTATGCACCGTCATCTAGATTGGAATGATGCATGTATCTAGCCGTGAAGTCCGGAAGCGGTTGCTCAGAAATCATTTCACTTTCTCAATTATCAAGTCCCCAGTACCCTGGTTAATGAACGTGCTACCGGAGCCTTCGAGCACTTGAGCACCGAAACCGAAAACAATTATTACCATCATTCCTACAACCAGCCCTAAAGCGGACCGCGGGCGAAAAGAGAATACGGTGCCAGTAATTGAAATCGTGGTGGATATGGTTAGCAAAACATATATATACGCCCTCTCCAGCAGCGATTTCTCCTCGGAACAGCTTCAGGTAGAAGCTCAAGAGCAAGGTGACGCAGATAATGGACAGAGCGCTGAGTCCATGCCAGTGAATTATGCCTGATCGGTTTGATCTCTAAAGGAAACTTGAAGTTTTTTATTGTAGCAATTAAGTCTGTAAATTGAAGAACGGAAGCTGTACTCGCCGGTGCCTGTTTGATGGACGGAGGCCGTTGGTCGACACACGGAACGGCAGGCGGGCCTAAAGACGAAGTACCCACTACTTGAGCAGATATCTGCCTAATTAAAAACAGCTGCCCATCCCCAGCTCTGACACATTCAACTTCTGCACGGATTCACGCTCTCCACGACAATCACAAATCGCTATTCGGCCTACGTCTAACGTGTTCCTCCTACCTGCCTTCCAAGGTTTTCATTTATACATTCTTTGCATCAAACTTTTTTCAGACAGGCTAGGTAACGTGATGGACACTGAATTTCCTGCCTGCTATTATCAGATTAGAGAGCTATGGGATGAGGAAAATCTTTCTCGCTATGAGCCAGACGGGTACCACCCCGTCCACCTTGGAGACCTCTTCAAAGAGGGACGTTACCGAATAGTCAACAAGTTGGGCTGGGGGGGCTTCTCGACAGTGTGGCTAGCCAGAGATAATGAGTAGGTGGTTGGACATCCTCTGCTCTCACCCGGACACAACTGATAGTATCTAATCGCAGGCAACATCAGTGGGTCTCCCTAAAGATCCTAACAGCCGCTGAAACCGAGTCCCGAGAGGCGCAAATGCTACGTGCGCTGCAAAAGGACAGCTCCATACAGCATGTTGTCCGTTTACTAGACTCGTTTGTACACGCAGGACCTAATGGCAATCATCAATGTCTCGTGCTGGAACTGCTCGGCCCTAGTGTCGGATATGTTGTCAGCTGTGAGTACAACGAACCTGGAGAACGCCTCGAGGTGGCTGCTATTTTGAGAATCACCAAGCAACTGCTTCAAGCCCTTGCATCACTGCACAAGGCTGGATATGCACAAGGAGGTAAGGACACTACTAAAGAATTGATACGGTGAGCTAGTGTTGACCAAAAATGGGTTTAGATGTCAGCGCGCGCAATATTGCTTTTACCGCCTCTTGTTTCGAAGACTGTTCCGAAGAACGCCTGACTGAGATCATTGGGCCTCCAAAGACTGAAGAACTGCGTCCAGTCGACGGCGAGCCCTTGAAGGATAGCTTACCCAAATACCTCGTGGAAAGCACAAGATGGGACGACTGGTTGGAAGAGGACAATGAGGACATCTGCCTTATCGACTGGGGTCAAGCGTTTGCTCGAGGCGCCGAGCCTGCCAAAATCGCACAGCCGTTTGGCCTGAACGCACCCGAGACCGTGTTTACTCCACACATCGACTACAGAATAGACCTGTGGCGTGCTGGATGGATAGTAAGTGCGGATGCGTTCAATCCGAAATTACAAAGACTAATTTAATCTATTACAGATTTACTTTCTTATATTTTCTCAAAAACCGTTCCTAGCATATGGGATTGACGGTTTGATCGGTAATATGATTGACTTCATTGAAGAGTTGCCTACGGAATGGCGACCAAAATGGGAGGAAATAAAGCGCACCACCCGAAACGGTTTGGACCACATATTAGGTGAGTATATGGCCGAAAATTCCATTCTCATTAAAAGGGGAATATTTTAACAGGTGGTATAGAGGATGAAAAGCAGGAAGTACCACGACTGGAGCAGAAGTTTCGTGACAGCATTCATGATCCAGAGCTTCAGGGTTTGCTACCTATCATGCAAGGACTCATGAGGTTCCTGCCTGAAAACCGAATTTCGGCTTCGGATGCGTTGAAGTTGCTCGAGGAATCACCGGTTCAAAGCCAAGATGAAATCTAGTGAAAGGAGGCCGGGGTTTCTAAGTGTGCCGAATCACTCTGGAAGTTCGCCACGGACATACTTTGACAATACATACTAGAATGAACGTTGCGCGTAAAAGATTACCTTCCATGTCAAAGTCCGGCTACAACTACAATGTGTGGGGACGACTTGTTGCTTTTCACTTTGTAAGTTGCCGTGGTGGGATTCGGCCAACCCCCTGATTTAGCCTAAATTTCGTATTAAAATCTATTAAAATCGCTATTTTTACCTCTACTAATTAAAACAAAATAAATGTATTAAAATATTCTATAATTAAATTAGTATTATATAAATAAACTTAAAATAATATTAAAGTTTAAATATTATTAAAAGTATTTTTAAATTAAAAGTTTAAAAATATTAAATAAATATTTAATTTAAATATATTAAAAATATTTAAATATATTAAGACTTAGTATAAGTATTATTTATTTACTATTATAAGTTCATTAATTTATGTAGAAAAGGGTGGTTAGTATAGGGTATGTTTAGGTGTATTTTATCCCCGTCTTACCTTCTTCCCCTCCTCCTCTTCTATTTACTCGTTTTAACCACACTAAACCTCATCCCAGCCCATCCCAACCACATACATGCTGGCATCCTTCCCGAAATGACTTCTAGTATGATCTTTCTAGCCCATTCCAAGACTGAAATGAGACTAACACCTCGACTGCAGCGCCCCTCCGAGATCTACGACCCATCGTCATCTCTGGGCCCTCAGGCGTGGGCAAAGGGACTCTGATCGACATGATCTCTGCTGCACACCCGGGCACATTCGGATTAACTGTCTCTCATACGACACGCAAGCCTCGGAATGGCGAAGTCGAGGGCGTAAACTATTATTACGTCTCGCCTTCCGACTTTTCGCTTCTCGTCTCCCAGGATGCCTTCGCGGAGCACGCATCTTTCAGTGGCCACTCCTATGGAACTAGCAAACAGGCCATTGCAGACCAGTCAGCAAAAGGATTGGTGGCCATCCTGGATATCGAGATGGAGGGTGTTAAGCAGATGAAGGCCAGCCTCGGCGCCCAGGCGCGCTACGTGTTCATTAAACCACCGAGCTTTGAGGCGCTCGAGGCGCGTCTTAGGAGTCGCGGCACGGAGAACGAAGACCAAATCCAGAAGAGGCTGGCTCAGGCCAGAGTCGAGCTTGAATTCGCCGACACGCCGGGCGTTCATGACTTGGTCATTGCCAATGACGACCTGGACAGGGCCTTCCGGGAGCTTGAGGCATTTGTATTCAGGCCGGCATCTTGATTGAGTACCAGATCCTCTGTCTCTATTTCTAAGCTCCTTCTCAACGTCACGGAGTTAGATACGCAATTTCATTTGGCTCATCGCCCCGAAGACAAGCGGTGCAAGTGTGTGTTGGTAGGAAAGCTTAGGTGGACCGTCATAAGCAACCTTGGAATATAAACTCCGCGGGTTCAGCACGACGTCGGGAAGGCACACATCCGACGAGATAGGACACCTTACCTATAGGCGTGGTACAACAAAAAATTGTTTTGAAATACTATGATGCTATGATCCAAGCGGTTGAAAGATGATGGTTCATTAATTTAACGAGCGAGTGAATTGGTGCAGCACATGCAATCCACCGAGAACCAGTTACTTCGCATGGCTACGTTAACACTAAATGGTGCTGCTTGGGTTGGAGGGCTATCTCTGTGCCGCACGATTTAGATAATACCGCGGCGCACCAATGTCGATCCTCACGCCGAAGCAGCTCACACATGACGCTCTGTACCTTTAGTGGAAGTGTATGCATATGGTAACCCAGCTTCTAGGAATAGAGCCGTCTGCGCTTCTCTAATATATAAGTTAAAGCTAGCTTTAACTATACTATATTTTTTCTTTATATTATATAACTACTTATTTCTTTCTTTTAAAGTTTATATATAAAGTTTTTATTAATTTTATAAATATTTATTATATTATAATTATTATTAATAATATTATTATAATAAAAATAATAATAATTAAATTTAAAAAAATATTTTAAATTAATTAATTATTAAATTAACTATAAATAAATTAAAGTAAAAGTTTTAATTATAAACTATAAACTTATTAATTAAATTATTATAACGAGAGGTGTAACTACTAACTATACTATTAGTTAGCTTTCTATATACTTATATAAGAGGAATAAAGGTTATTTATAATGTGGTTATATTAGTCTTAGTTGTGTGTGTGTCGCCTCTCTAGAAGGTGTGGCGAAGTCACGCCTAACAAGGTGACCTACCTAGTGCACTTACTTATATAAGTAGTTATAACCTACTTACTACTATTAACCTATTAGATTAACTTAACTTATATATATACTTATATTATTTAATTAAAAGATTATAATAACTAATTTACTTATTAATTATTTCTAATAATATATAAATATTATATTATTATTACTTTTTTTTAAAAGTTTTTTATAAAGTTTTAAATATATATTTTTTTAAAAAAAAAGTTTAAATAATTTTTAAATAATATATTATTAAATTAGTTTATATATTTATTAAAGGTTTAAAAATTTTAAATAATATAATTAATAATTTAATTAAATTACTTTTTTAAAAATAAATATTATTTTTAATAATATAATTATAAAAATTAAATAAAACTTTTAAAAACTAATATCCACACACTTAATAAGTTAATCTACACACTTAATATTTTCTATTAATATACTTAATACTTAGTTTTAAATATAAAGTTTATATAAAACTATATATTTAATTAAAATTCTTTAAATTTTTAATACTTTAAATATAAACTTTTAAACCTCTTTTAATACCCCTTTAAAACTCTTTATCTTTACCTTTTAAACTTTTAAGTTATATATATTTAAGTATTAACTAAGTATTTAAATATTAATTAAATATTAAAAGGTTAAAAGTTAAAAAATAAAAATAAAAATTATATTTTTCTAACCTTTTAATACTTTTTAATTCTTTAATATTTTAAATTTCTAACTTTTAATATTTAATTAATATTTAAATATTTAATTAATATTTAAATATATAAACTATTTATATTTTTTAGTTTTATTATTAAGCTAGAAGTAAATAGTTAGGTTTTAAAGGAATAAAATATAATATATCTTTTAAAGATTAATTTAACTATATAAGACTTTTTATAATAACTTTATAATTATTTATAATATTATTTATTATTAGAAAATACCTTTTTATACTAATATATTAAGCTATACTAATTTAAGTTAATACTATTAACCTTAATATAAATTAGTTTATTAAAAATTAAAGTTATTATAAACTATAAGCTAGTCTTAACGCTATTAAGTATTATATATAAGGTTACTATATAATTTAGGTATAAGTTAGCTAAAATAGGTAAAGATAAAGCTACTATTCCCTTAAGGGTTCTAGCTCTACTTAAGTAAACACCTATTAAGTAAAACTACTTAAAAGTAGTCACTCAGCCTATTATATAACCCACTAAACTAAGAGACAACTAAATAAGGTAACTATACTCTATTATTATATATAATATTTAGGTTTATAGTTTTAATAGCTTTATTATAAATAGAAGAAGAAATAGCTATTAATAATTAGATTTATAATTATATAAAGATAGATTTTTATTTTAAAAAGAAGTTATTAATATTTAAGATAGTTAATATATTTTTAAAGAAGTTAAGGGATTATAAGCTTAATTTAAAGGAAATTAAGATTTATAAGAATCTTAAATTTAAGTTTAAGAACTCCCCTTTAAATTTAACTCCTTTAAAGAGAAAAATACTAAAAAGGCTTAAAAAAAAGTTTAAATAAAGTTAGATAAAGTTATAATAATATAATATAGTTAAATAAAAAACTAGTTATAAAATTATAATTATAGGTTTTTAATCTTATATTTAAAAGGATATTTAAATATATATAATTTAAAAGATTTAAAGGAGTGTTAAAAGGTATATTAAAAGAGTTATTAAAAATAAAAGTAAAAGATTATAAAAAGGTTTATACTTTAAGTATTAAAATTAAAGAAAAATATTATTCTATAAAGTCTTTTAATATTAACTTAAAAGTATTTATAAATATAAGGGAGTTATTAAGAAAAGTAAACATTAAATAAATAAAAGAAAATATTAAATATATAAATTAATTTATTAAATATATAAATATTAACTTACTTTTAAATATAAAAGTTTAAATTTATACTTTTAATAAAATTAATTATTATAATAAAAGTATAATTATTAATTATATATTTATATTATTTAATTAAAAAATTATAATAATTAATTTATTTATTAATTATTTTTTAATAATATATAAAACTTATATTATAATTATTATTAATTAATTAAAATTTAATTAATTTATTTATACTTTTAAAAAACTTTTATAATTATACTTTTTTAAAATATTATAAAAGCTTATTAAAAGTATATATAAGTGGATTTTAACTTAGTTATTAGCTTAATTAATAGGTTCTTAAACCTAAGGCTAGGGCCTTCACCCTAGCCCGCCTATAATTAACTTAGTAACTAACTAACTTAATACACTCTTTTTAAACTTAACTACTTACCCCCTTTATTTCTCTACTATAAATATTAAATTTTAATATTTATTATTATATAAAAATATTATATATATCTTTAAATATATCTTTAATAAAAGTAAAACTATATATAAGTTAAAGTTAATTAGGTCTAGCTAGGTTAAAGAGTTTTTCTAGTAAAAAAAAAGGGGGGGGATTGCTAAGGTCTCATCATCAACAATGTGACTCCAAAAGTCCGGAAGCCGGAAAGCGCTTGCTGCGTCCCGATACCGAGTACTCGACCGGGTCCCATGGACGAAGTAGGTAAATAGACCGAGACAGACCTGTACCATATCTTCCCAAGATGGTCTCTGCGATCCTTGGTCGACTGCGCCAGCAGCATATCTTCATTTTCGTCATTATTACTATCCTGAAACTCTCCCAGGAAGTCCAGATCAAGAGAAGATCTAATTCATCGAATTTATCCATTTTGTGAACCACGAGAACAAGCAGGAAGCCGTGAGAATATCCGGTGATCTTTGCGTGCAGGACGACACAGTGGAATGGAATACGGACGAAAATGGAGCAGAAGAAGACAGGGAATTCGAAATAAAGGGGATGGGGGGAAAGCAGCATCCTCGCATGGGGGTCACGGCGGCCTCACAGCTTGCTTTAGTTCAATTTCGAGACCCGAAGAGTAGAAGGATGCGGTTGCGGGGCCAGGAATCAGATATGTACTGACGAAGTACCTCGTGACCCCGGGTATATTTTGCGTTGGCCGGCTGGCAATGTGGCTGAAATCATGGAAAAGGTTTGGTAAATACCGTTTCGTGATGTCCACTTCCTCGTGCTCAGATCTCCGATTCCGATCTCTAGCATTCACGATCCCCAATTGCCTGCCCCTCCCCCCTTCTCATCCTAGCCCCCCCGTTTCTCCCTGCCATTCTGACTGACCGATCTCTCAAGAGTGCCAACCCACCCATGGCATCGCAATGATTGCGGTTAGTCGAAAAAAGACTTTGGGAAAAAGGAGAAAATAGTGCCGATAATCGAGAGGATAATAGACATAGCCAGCATGATACATATATAAGCCTTCTTAAGCGGTGAGATGTCTCTACCAAAGAGTTTCAAGTAGAAGGATAAGGGCAAGCTGTACGATTCGTCAGTCGACGGCTAGATGTGTCTATTGCCTCCAAATGGGCTCCAAAGTGGACGGGAGGGCAGCCGAGAGAAAGGGGGCAAGAACGGGTGAGAGGGAGACGGGAAACGGGAGACTGAAGTTGGAAAACTGGAAACAGGAAATGGAAAGTGGCGATGGGGTGGGTATCCGACTCACGTGACGCAGATGGTAAAGCAAAGTGCAGAGCCCATGAATGCCATGATGCTGTCGAAAGCTGGGAAAGCGATGGATATGGCCAAGAATATCAGGATCGTCGCGATGCGGATGACAACCTTTGCTATGCCCCTGAAGTAGCTGGACATGCCAACTATGGTCGACGACTCGGCAAGGGCCTGCTGGTGTACACCAAGCAACACTTCAAGAGTGGCGACAATGGGTCTCGCGTTGAGTGGGATCTTGGTCAACGGAATGATGGCGATGGCGCCGCAGAGGATATATGAGATGCCCTGGGGGTACCCAGACGTAGTGAGGATATTGGAAGTGACTAGCATTCAGTTAGCAGGCCGAAAGATCATATATCCAAAATTGCAGTAAGGGAGTGTTCACGGATAAACCCATGAGACTGATAACATATAGATGGAAGATGGTCTGTCAAGGTGGAAGTGCAGCATCGGTTCACTTACTAGCATCCATCACGTCGTCACCGAACATTAGGATTCCCACAACGGCGGCTGTAGCATCGAGCAGATAAGTGAAAGAGAACGTGACCTTCAACGCGCGGCCGTACTTGTGAGGATGTCTCATATCCCGGTCTGTTCAACCGAGTCAGCGATTAGGCAATGATACTGCCAGGGGTTGCTCAGCCCTCGCTCCGAAAAGGAGGGCAGAGACGGTCTGGGTTTCCACAACAATCTGGAGCACATGATGACGGAATGAACTTACAGATGCTAGGGAACACTCCATGGCCTCCCCAAGGGGACATCAAGAGCCCAAACGAGAGGGGCAGAGTTAGCCAGTTCGCAGGGAACAGGTATGTGGTCGCCGGTTCAAGAAGTGAGCCTGGGGAATGTGGCTTTATAAGACCATCGATTATAACAAGAGCAACGACTGTAAAAGTAGTGTTAGCCGAAGTAACCAGGGGCACGTGTTGGTTTACTGGTGTGTAGACTTACTTGTGAAACAGCACGCAATGCCAACGATGCTAGTGAAGCTGAGAAAGCGCAAGGGGAGGAAGTTGAGGGGTATCAAAATAACGGCACAGACCATCTTCCATTGTGTCCCTGACAATGTACCCTGGAAGAGCAACTCCATTGAGTCGGCGAAAAGGACCAGAAGAGCAACACAAGCCGCGAGAAGTTCCAAGGTGAACAGTATACTAGTGGCGATTCGCGCGTTTCTCCCAAAGGATATATAGGCGAGATCTGAGAAGGTGATCAGACTCGGGTCTAGGTCCATGCACATGGCAAGTAGTTTGGCCGTGTATGAAGTGACCGCGGCTGCTCCAAACAGTATGAGCATCCCACACAGCCAGCCAGCATATTTGATGCCCATTGGCAAGCTCAGAAGACCGACTCCGATCAAGACGCTGATGGGAAAGATGAGTCAGCATCAGCACCAACATCAACACCCAGAGCCTTGGGCCTCAGGGGGTTTCTTACTTTGTAGAGTTGAAAATGGTCTGAGGGAGTGTGCTCTGTCCCTCGACCGTCAAGACAATCTTCCCGTCACGATCCTCGACCTCTTTTACCAGGATCGGCTGAGTCTCCCCGTCCGGCACATTACCGCTCGCCTGCTGCTGCCGCCACATCTCAGCGGCCTGAGCCATGGACGCCCTGCTGAAGCTGTCGTCGCTGGCGACGGTCCCATAGGTGCGGTGGGACCCATAGCTCCCCACGAAATCGTTGTAGCTGCCCACGATGTCGGGCGTAGCCAGCTGCGGGGGCACGGCGAAGATGGAGTGCGATGTGGGAGTGCCGCTGCTGATGGAGATGGTCCGCCGCAGCTCGTCGCCCAGGGCCTTGCGCTCGCGGTCGCGGAAGGAGGCGATGCTGGGGTGTCTCCCGGGCTCGAGCAGAGGGCGGGCCTCGCTCATGCCCGGCTCGGGGCTGTCGTCTCGCACAGCTGATTCCGGGGCGGCCTCGAGGTGCTGGCGCAGAAGCGAGACGCGCGGGGCGGAGCCGTGGGGGTAGCCAGCACGGCCGACCTCCTCGTCGGGCGTGCCATATTGTAGGCCGTCATGGGCGCCGATTGGGTCCTGCTCGGGAGCGAGCACGAAGGACGACCGCTGGGGGATGACCTCTTGGAAAGCTGCAGCCCGCTGCCAGCTTCGCGCAAAGGACCGGATGCTGTTGACCCCACCAACATTGCCAAGGGCCGAGAGTCGGTTCGTGACGGAAGATCTGCGGAGCGACAGGTTTTTAGTATGGTATAGGCTGGTCAAGCAGTGATCTGGGGGGCGAGTCGCCGCCGTTACGGACCTTCTGCGCCGCGAGCTGCTCAGGTCCCGATCGTCAGGGCCTGCATTGGAGCTGCGGTCCAGATACTCGTCGTCGAATGCAACGCTCCTGCCGCCGTTGGAGGAGACGCTGCCACGGCCTGGCGACCCTCCACGTTCATACTGATCCCATGTTGAGGGGTTGCGGCTGCGGCTGGTTCCTGACATGGAGGATGGTGGACTGGAGGCGGCTCGTTGGAGGGGGCACACACGAGTGTTGTTGTCGTCGGGGAGAAAGGGTTTTGTTAGTCCAGGATCAGAGTCTACACAGACATGGCCGAGGGATCCTTTGAAAATATCTGCCCCGGCTGATGTTGCAGCGGAAAAGAAAAGAACCGCCGCGCAGGATCTGGTGATGGCCAGACTCTTTATCGGCCGAGTTTATCTGCAGCAGGGCAGCAGGAAAACCAAACCCACGGCCAAGGGCCGTGCTGTTTGTTGGGCTTGGGCAGGACAATACGTAATGATGCAGAATCGCGCAGCAGGGGAAATCAAGCCAACAGGCCGCGTGATGCCGCGGCAACAGGGCATGCAGGCCCAGCCCGAGTCCAATGCTGGGCTGGCTGGGCTGCTGGGCTGGCTGGGCTGGCCGGGCTCACTCGGCTCACCACTGCTGTTATCGACAGAATACCTAGGTAAGGAGCAAGTACCCACAAGTTAGCCCTCCAGTGGCTGCAGCAGATGGCTCAGCAGACGGGGAATGCCCTGAAATAATTCTGTAACAAGGCGGGAGTGGTGCAGGTGGGCCACTCAGGTTATCATCAGGGTGGGTTCGACGGTGGGTTCGACGGTGGGTTCGACCCAGCCTGCCAGCCCTAGTCGACGGGGGCAAAGCGTGCCAAGCCTGCACCTCCGCGAGAGCTCTTATCGCGATTGCAGGCCATGCAGACCCCAGTCCCTGCCAGGTCATTGGGCAATGGCAGCTTGACAAACGCCCCAGCGTCAGCGGGCCTCAAATATTGAGCCGCATGACCTCCAGACTGACTCTTGGTCCACAATAAACAACATCTGCCCTACTGCTGTAGTGTGATAATACCCACAACACATAAAAACTGGCCCCAGTCCCGAGTCAATTGGGCTACCGCGTATTATTCCCGATTGCTCAGGAATCCAAATGTTTTAATCCCGGTCTAGATTCGTTCCCAGTTTTGTTCAAATCCTGCACAACCCCGCGCAGCTTGACCAGCCTCCTCTCAGAACAGACAACAAGCACCAGCCCAGGTGTTTGCACCGGCTCCCCTCGGCTCACACAATTGTCCGAGACAGCAAAAGCTGGGCGGTGGGTAGCACAGAACGAGTCACCGCTGTTTGGTTCATGCATTCATGACTGGTCGTCTCTCCTCAACATCCGCACTCATATATAGTGGCCGTGCCGTACGTAAAGCCGCAACTGGGAAGTGACCCGCCCCCAGGAGTACTGTAACATCATAACCGTGCTTAGAACCTCGGTCTGAGGTTCTGGTGCTGTTTTGGGGCTTCAAGAACACTCTTTGCATACAATATTATTATGACGCAGCACATTGTCAAAACACATCATGCAAAAGCCACACACACATACGTGGTTTCGGTTCTAATCCCCATTTATTCAAAATGTATATAGCACCTTCATACATAGTTAAACGCTTAAGATCCAGTGTTTGTAAACATGGGGAGAAAATAGGCAGATTCCCTACGCAACTGACGATAAGGACTGTGCTAGGAATGAGCTCAAATTAATTTTCATATAAGGATCATATTGTAGATGACTATGAAAATGTCTCATAGACCATGCAGCAGTGAGATATTTACAGATGCTTTGGTAATTATCTGCCCTTAACGCATCGCCGGTCTTGAGCATTTACCACTGTGTAAAGGTGCCATATATGTCCTCGGACGTATGCGGAATAGAAGCAAAACTAGTTACAGTATCTTTTGGTTCTGAAAAGAAAAACTCATTGAGTGCTTATGGTAGAAGCACATTTAGTATCACCTTCATCTCAGGAACACACAACATCTCCTGATTTCCCAAACCGGAATACTACTTCTTGTGACAGGATTTCAAACAAATCTTATTTTATTATCATGGCTGGCGGGAAAGTAAAATTTATCTCGGTTTAAATCCATTTACACGTAAAGAGTGGGAGGGAACATAAGATGGGCAAAGAGCAATCTGTGATAAACCAAAAGAGAATCACACCTTGGATTTTCCGTGCGAGTTTGAAACGGTCGAGGGCTACCTAGGTATCTGCCAGAAGTCGCCTTGATTCAACTTCTTCGAATAAGACAGTATCCGTTATCATCTGCGTGACATGGAGCAATAGAGTAGTCGCCTGCTGGCTCCGAGGAAATTTATGCAAGTTTCCATTGCCAATACGTCCACTTGGACTTCCACACATCCTGTCCATTTCAAAAGTCAAGCATCCCTCTGGTCCTGCTCAACTCTTCTGTCCCTTTCTTCTGTCTGTCTTCTCTGAAATTGCCCACATTCCCAAGCTTCCTGCCGCAGACTTGAGACGTCTAAAGTACCCGGCACCAACATTTGCCAATTCCCCTGGAAAAGCTTGCCAACAACCTGCAGGCTCATCCTTACCTTTCTTGCCCATCCCTTGGAGAAATCTTGAGTCACATTTGGGTTTCTAAAACCCAAACATCATTCCACGTTGCTCCTCCAGAATCTGTCAGAAGCACTTGCGCTCGACCGAGATTGGCAGTTCTGAAAGCGTCCCCTTCGAGCAGATCACCCAAAGGCCTTAAGAGCTGCGCCACCATGTGGTTATTGCTCCTGTTTGGCCTGCTACTCGCAGGTGTCTCACACGGGGCACTCAATTCCAGTAAGCTTCTCATCACTGGTGATCCCGGTTGTAAACTGATCCAGTTATAGTGACCTTGAACACCCTGTGTGTTACACCTGTGACTATTCGCACCGACGTGTCGACTGTCATCCCCCCCGGCTTCTCCGAGTGCTCGATGACCACAGGCACCTCAGGACAAGACTCTCTTATTACGGCGCCTTTAACTCCTACTTCACAAGATGGTTGGGGCTTATTTAACGGTAGCACACCTGCCGTCTCGGTCACTACTCTCTCAACCACTTGCCCTGGAAGCACATCTATCTACGTCAAGACAGTCCTCTGTGTTGAGACCACTGTGAAGTGCGGTAGCTTTCAAACCACTTGGGCATCAGTGTCTACCTCGGGTAGCCAGCTTGTTCTGTCCCCTACCACTTGGGCCACAACTCACCCAGGATCAACTACTTCAGCTGAATCTGGCTTTCTCACGACAACGGTGACGGAAACCTGCATGCGTCCCAGTGTCACATCTCAGACATCTGCCAGCTCCACGGCTGGCTCTTCTGAGATTCCCGCCTCTTCGGACCCAGGATCTTTTACATCTATTCCTAGTTCAAGCTCGTCGATCTCTATGTGGTTTCGCTTCTATTCCGTAGACGTCCAAGGACATATATGGCGCCTTCATACGGTGGTAAGCACTCAAGACCCAGCGCTTGGAAAGAATACGATGTCGATAACAATAGTTATAACACAATAGGTGGGTATTCAGGTATGATGCGTTGTTTTGGAGCTGATACCTACTTACTTAAGTACTTGAGTAGGTATGCTCCTTGCAGATACCGGTAGCACGTACTTAGCAGACAGGTACAGGCAACTGATGCCCACCAAACCTAGCAATGAAGCAACCTACATCCACACAAACCTGAGTGAATCCAGCAGTCAACACATACCATAGTCTGGAAGGGATCACTGGTCAAAGACCCCGAGATGGAACTTGCAGTTGTTCCAACGCAGTTGTACGGAAAATATGGCGAGATGCTGGCTTGGATACAGCACCATTAAGACCATCACAATATGCAAGGTAAAATTTTGCAGTCTTCCCAATGTGGTATCGCTCAGCTTCTCCAAGCCGGCATGGAACTTCAATTCATGAATCGCTATCTCATGATTCCAAGACATCCAGACATGCCAATATCAACTTCCCAAGGCACCAGCGCTCCCTGCGCCGGAACGCCCCCTTGGCCCACTCTATAGCCCCCACGGCGTCGCCGTCGAGCACCCCGACTGCCTGCATCGCACCCGAAACGCCCTTGCGCACAAGCTGCCAGGCGATCAGGAACGCCTTGAAGGCAAAAAGTGCGACCCACGGCGGCTCCGACTCGGGGCTCAGCGTCGTGTCGAGGTAGCGCAGGAACCAGTCTATGTGAGGCTGCGTGGCGCGGGCCGTCTCGGCGCCAAACAGGATCTCGCTCGACGACGCCAGGTATGTCGATTCCTTGAGCACTGCATCCACGCTGCCCCCCACGATCCCGCAGGTGTGTGACGGCGACCAGATCTGCAGCTCGATCATGGCCATCTCCCAGGTCGCTTCCCGCGATGCCGCGAGTATTGATGAGCTGCCACTGCTGCCATCTGTGCCGCCGGCGTCGAACCCTGTCTGCGGCCGCGAGGGCCGGATGCAAGGCCCAAGGGCAACGAGGGATGACCTCAGGGGCTCCAGTCTCTCGAGGCTCAGCCGGCCCGTCATGGTGGACCAGCCTGATACCTCGCGGGCGCTGGAGAGCAGGAACTGGGCGATATTGATGGCGCCGTAAGGGTCGAACGACGGGAGCGACTCGAGGTCCGGCTCGGGCGACAGGACGCGGCGGACAGCCTCGGCGTATTGCACCGGGGGCGTGGACTGCCTCGTCACCAGCTGCTGGTACGCCCAGTCGGAGGCAGACCGCGCGGTCCAGCAGCCCTCCGGACAGGGAAGCTCATGTTTGATCTCGAGGTGCGAGAGCGAACGGGGTATGGAGAGGAATTGGTACAGCAGCGCGTCTATCTGGTGGACGGCGAACAGCGTCCGTTTGTGTGACTCAGCCTTGATGAATCCCCCCCAAAGCGCTTCCAAGTCCTGGCTCGCCGCGACCTCTGGCGGCGTCGGTTGGGTCAACCCGCTGAACCGTGCGAGCGAGATTATCCTCGAGTGCATCTTCAAGCCGTATGCCGAGTCCTTCCCACAGAGGTACATGATGGCGCAGATCTCGAGAAGCAGGTTTGCCTGGACCAGTGAGAGGTTGTGTGTGAAGTCGCCATCACTCTCTTCCTGAGTGGCGAGTAGGACCCGGGCTCTGTGAAAGCAACGTAGTGATATGCTGCTGCCGGAGCCGGCTTGATCACCCCGATCGGGGTCCTCGCCGTGCTGGTAGGCCAGGCATAGCATGCTGAGCACCAGGTAAGGGGCGGTCTGGGCAGCGTCGAAGGTCGGTTGGTGGAGGAAGGGGACAAAGTGTGAGATGTGGATAAAGTACAAGTCAAGGCCGCGGACTATCTGCGAGCCTGAGGGGTACCAGTCGTCCTGGACGTAGGTTAGGTCCCTGGGCGATAGACCGTCGGGGATATGTGTGTTGCACATGACAGTATCTGGACTGGCCTCGGGTGAGGAGGTCTGCGTATGCCCCGCCGCCGGTGAAGGCATCTGAACGCCGGGCCCATGATCATAGTCGAGCCCGGATGTGCCAAGCGACATGGCCAGGTCCAAGTCGGCGGTGGCATGTGGAAAGCAAACACTGGCAGCTGGTGTGGAGCCCGTCGCCAACAATCTCCGGCCATGAACAACGTCATCGCCCCCAGCACTCGTTGGTAAGCTGGTGGACAAGGCGATGCCTCCCCGGGACTGGCGGTACTGGTAGTCGTGCTGGAGGTGGCCTCGCCCGTCGTCCACACAAGACAGCTCGATGTTCCAAGCGGCGTCGCTCAGGTCCAGGTGCATGTCCTTGTCCCACTGCTGAGAGAGCAAGCTGTACTGGCTTTCTGAGAGCGAGGCTGAGGGAGTCTTTGCGTCTTCGGATGCCTCGCTACTGGAGCAGTCAGGGTCGGTCGAGGGCGCCGCTGGCGGGGAGCGGCGTGCTCTCTTTGGTGGCAACCCATCGTCCTGTTCCGGATGTTTCCTCTTTATGTGGCGTAGGCGCAGGTCCCTCCGGGAAAATGTGGTACGGCAGAAGCCACAAGGGAAGGAGACCTTCTCCTGCGAGCGAGTGTGAAGTGCAGCGTGGCGTTTGAGGTTCTCCTGGCGGGTGAAACGGGCCCGACAGTCTGGGCACTGGAAAGGCTGATGGGACTGCTCCCCTGCAAGCGATGCAACAAGAGACATACTGTGTTGTAGTAGCAGCCGGGTCGGTGGTTTACAGGCTCATCTGGTATGGGGAATGTCGATAGAGCAGACGGCCCTCAGCCCTCAGACAGGCCGGCAGCCGGTGGTTGTGGTCGTCACTGTCATGCTGTGCCTGCCCCCCGGGCCCGTCTAACTTCCTACCTCCTGCTTATCTCTCGTCTCTACCAATGTCCCAGCCATGTCTGTCCCTGCTGTCTCCCCCCCGCATTCTGCACCTGCTATCTGCATTGATCAACTCGCTTGCAAGGTGGGTACCGAATGGACCCTCCCGGCTTGCTGGGGCGCGTGCCGGGATTGTGCATTCAGTATCTAAGTGGGGTGGGAGGACGACGCATCAGCCTCTCTCAGCCAACCACATGCGCCCGGTTACAATCTAGTCAGCCTGTCAACCTGTCTATGGGACCCCTGCCCGGATACGTGCGCCAGCAGCCAGGCCAGCCTACATACGTGTCTCTGATATCCCGCCGGAATCCCGAGATCGGGTGTCGGGCTGCGGGTGGACGAGAGATTACGAATAAAAGAGACAGCCTTGTCACAGAGAAATTGTTGACTAGCTGACTGGTTTCGCTTCTATTCCGTATACGTCCGAGGACATACATGGCGCCTTCATACGGTGGTAAGCGCTCAAGACCACGATGTTGATAAACATACTTAAAATACGATAGGTGATTGATGACTAGGTGCTCAAGTATTTACTAGTTATTGATCGTGATGTATTGGGGATGGTGCCCTACTAAGTATGTATCTTTATGTACAATTGCTGAACCAAGAAAAGAGAAATACCACTGCTGCAACCTTCTTACACCGGCAGCACAACCCTGACACCCATATATTCTCGTTGTTGCATGAGCTTGCCGTCGACGACGATCTGGTCGGCGCCCACACGGTTGCGCTCTGTGTCTGTTGGGTCCGTGGCTTGCGCAATCTGCATTTCCCGCCATTGACGGTTTGTGGGCACAAGCTGTCCTTGCTCCGTGAGCCTCTTGAACTCCTTGTAGACGCCCTGCTCCTCGACGCAGCCTTCCCGTTGGATGAGTGGTGAGGCTGTAGATGGGTCGTAATGTTAGCATAAATTCCACTTCTACTCCTTGAATCTTGAAGATTGTACTCACAAGCTGCCGGTGTCATGCGCAGGTCACCGACTGAGCTGTTGAAGAGCACCAGTGAGAGTCGTTCCTCGTGCAGCTGATCGGCCGGGGGGGTGAAGACACGGTGGCGGGTGGCCTTGAAGTGTCCGCCCGAGACGATCTCAAGGGTATCGCCAATGTTGATGACAAGCGCGCCGGGCTTGTAGGGCACGTAGTACCACTTCTCGTCCTGTCCCCAAATCTGCAGGCACGAGATAGGCACCGAGAACAGCAGCGTGGTCAGTCCGAAGTCGGTGTGGCCGTGCATTCGGAGTCCCTTGGATTTCTCTCGGGTTGTCTCCTCCACAGGCCGGAAGAGGGCGTGGCGGAAGTAGCCCTCACCAGTTGGGCTGCCATGAGACTGGACATTGTCCCAGAGGTAGTCGTCGGGCAGCTCCAGCACGCGGGAAAAGAGTTTCAGGATCCGTCGGTTGACCGACTTGGTCAGGTAGTTGCAGAACTCCTCAATCTCATCCATGAAGGGGTGCAGGCATTTGGGGATACGGTTGATGTCTTCCCACTCGCGAGTGTACCAGTTGAACTGCTCGATGCCATCGGGGACTCCACGGTGACGCTGAAACGCGTGAGTTAGTGAGATATCCCAATGACAAGTGCATAAGAACACCAATTTCCTACCTTGAAGCCATATGGGTGCTTGTAACCAGACCACCGTCCCGTATCCGGATCGAAGATAAGCCTCTCTTTGTCCTCTTCTGTGATGTTGTTGTACAGGTACTGGGCCAGGGCGAATTGGCGGTGGAGCTGGGGATCGGACAGTCACGGATTAGCATGGGTCGCCCCATTTTCCCGGGGATTGCGAATGCTGTTGTTCTCACCTGCTCGAGAGAAATGCCGTAGTTCTCAAGGAAAAGGAACCCGTCCTCGCGAATGGCCCTCTTGACCTGGTTCACCAGGCCATCGACTACTGCTGGGTCGTCCGAGTCAAGCAGAGACAAGTCGATTGACGACAGCTCGGCAAAGTCATGCTTTTCCTGCGTGACCGGAGGGGGGATCCATTCTGGAACGGATGGCTTGCCAGGCAAATCAGCAGCCGGCGGGTTGAAGGGCGCAGTGGGTGCCATGATTGATTCTGTTGGAATTGTCTGGAGAAGGGTGTTTGTTGGGTTGATGATGAGCTATTTCACAATGTTCCGGGGCAGCGCAGCCTTGTCTTATAAAATTCGCAGACTTGACCGTGATGATCGGTGTGATCACTTCGGAATCAGGCGAAGAGGACACACGCGTAGGCTTCTCACCTCGAATAGCACGATGAAACTGCGGACGGTTGCTGAGGGACATCAAAGCTTGGCCGGAATGGTCTGATTTCCTGGATGCTCACTCGGGCTTCTCCAGGAACAATCGTTGCTCCCTGCTCTGCTTCGCACTCTCGCCTGACCTCCATCTCGACGCGGGTCCTCCACGTGCCGAGTGTCCTCCCTGTCCTCCCTGCGGCAATCTAATCTCATTAGAAGCTGGATGCAGCTTCCTGCTCCTCCCCGTCCTCCTCCGCCTCCCCCATTGCTGCAGATCTGCTTTCCTCCGAGATCTCCATTCTCTTATCAGATCTATGTGGCGATACGGCAGTCGAATCAATGGCATATTCGATCAAACCAAATTAGCTTGTATGCAGCCTTCCCGAACATGGGACACACCATGCTAGGTTTCGTATTAGACGCGGGTGGGAGGAGCTCCTCCCAGTCAGCCACGAAAGGTTAGACTTGGCATTGCAGGTGGGTCGGCGTGAATCGTATTGGAGATAGAGCTCCTCTGCCCTACCGATATGAAAATTGCCACTGTCTCTGTTGGGATACTTAAAATGAACAGATGAGAGCAAGACCAATGTATTTTTGACAAGCAAACCAAGTTACTCATTGTGCACTGTTTTGAACTATCTCGGGGTCTCTACCACACCACACACACAAAGCCCAAGCCCATATCCACATACTATTCCTTGTCAGAGCCAAAATGTCACGCCAACTTATTTCGAGCGAGAAGTTCCCCCCCAAGCCTCACAACTGTGAGTAATGACAACAATTATACACGCATATGCCCTGAAAACAGGTGGCTGACATGAACCAAAGGCCCTGCAGTCAAAGTCCCCGGTCTTGTCTTCCTCGCTGGCCAAACAGCCACTGGTGAGATCAAGCAAGCAACAGTGAGTTTGATACCTTTTCTTCTCTCAATCAAATCTTGGCTGATCTTGCGTCTTTTTCCCAGAGGACGGTTCTGCAAAATCTCAAGGAGGTCTTGGAGCTCTCAGGATCATCTCTTGAGCAGGTGGTCAAGTACAATGTCTACCTTGCAGACATGAAGGATTTCGCGGCGATGAATGAGGTCTACATTGACTTCCTTCCCAAGCCCATGCCATCGCGTTCGTGCTTGCAGGCGCTTCCCCCAGGAGACGGCACAGTCATCGAGATTGAGTGCATAGCGCAGGTTTAAGTTGGAGATGCCATTGCTTCCAGTTGGATCACGTATTCTGTTTTCTCAGAATTAGGGAACATGATGGGTTAGGCGTTCAACATGTAGAACCGCCACCTACTTTCGTCATAGAAAATTGATCCAATATTTACAATTTGAATTGCCCACTTGACTACGATGACACCCACAGAATTCAACATTCCGTAGAGTGCAGTCCGTTCGTATTGCTGTTCGTTCTTCCAGTCCCATTTGTGATGATAGTTGAGAGCCCGTGTCAGAACAGACACGAACAGATTAGAATATGCTTGCAACATTTGAAGCCACTGTGTACGAAGATAAAGGATAGCCCGCGTAACTCATTGAGGCATTCGACCACGGAAGCATGTATATGGTACCTAGGAGTATGAGACCGTAAGTACACCTTTGGATTCGTAAGATCTGCCTGTCAGCCTACCCTGCTACCCAGGTAATCCAGTATCGTGTCCACCGCTAAGCCTTCACCGTCTGATAAGTTCCCCTGGAAGATGGAGACACTTGCTCCTTCAGGTAAGACACTCCAGCCTTGTCTGGAACTCCATAGGCTCAGGGGAGGCTGAGCTTCTAAGATTTCGGTCAATTGATTGCTCTCATCCCGATTGCTAGGGATACCTGGGAAAGGATTGCCGTGATTCACTGCATGTGGCAAACCCCCATACACGATGTACACTGTGGTGGAGAATAGATAAAGTACTTGTGCGATTTATGTAATTTGATTTCTTGGAAAGCTAAAACGCTACAACTAACTAAGTCACAACCCCCATGCGATCCCACCTAGGTGATTCGATGTGTCATGACCGAGCAATATCGAGCTCCGCCATGTACCAGTTTTGTATCGCCTTGGTGTCGCCCGTCATGGCGACGGTGTCATACAATTGCCTCGCCTCCTTGGCTGTCGCACCGTTGTTGACCATGCGTCCGGCCCACTTGCCGTGCTTCCGCGCGGCCGCCACAATCTTTTCGATTGCAGCGACGAACTCTGGCTCGTCGCCACGCGCAGGCGTGTAGCCGAGCAGGGCCTGGGCGAGGTCGTTGGGGCCGATGAAGACCAGGTCCACGCCAGGGACGGCGGCGATGGCGTCGACGTTCTCAACGCCCGCCCGCGTCTCGATCTGGACCATGGTGATGATGGTCTCATTGGCCGTCTTCATGTACTGCGGCGTCGTCAGGCCGTGGCCGATGGCCGGGAAGGCTGACCCTTGGCCTCGCACGCCCTGTGGTGGGAACTTGGACGAGGCAACAATCTGGCTGGCCTCCTCGGCGTTGTTGATCTGGGGTACCATGATTCCGTGGGCCCCCGTGTCCAGGGCCCTCTTGATTATGTCGTGTGCTGGCCCGCGGATACGGATGATAGGTGACACTCCTAGGGCCGCGATGGCCGAGACCGAGTTGTGCATGGCCTCGTCGCCAATGTGACCATGCTCGCAGTCGATGATGACGCCATCAAATCCACAAAGGGATACTATCTGGGCCTGGCGCACCGAAGGAATGGCCATGAATGTCATGAGCGGGTACCTCCCGGCCCGGAGGCCTTCAAGGAGCTTGAGCCGAGGGTTCTGGACATTGGTTGTCTGAGCAGTCGGCCAGACCGTAGTTTGTGCAGCCATGTTTCCACAGTTTGTTGTTGGTGGTGTTGTTGATGTTGTTGTTTATTATAGGGGTCAGATACAATCAATCAGGCTTTTTGTGACAAGCAGTGTACCCAAATCAATTATAAAAAAAAAAAAAAAAAAAAGAGTATTATCTTGATCGACTTTCCTTAAATAGTATGAGGCTCACCTTAGGTATCATGGAGAACTGCAGTTTGCATTCAGGCTATTTAACTTGAGTGTTTTGTGCCACATTGCCGCTTGTTGAGCATCCTCCAATGAATTGCGACATACACCCATTGTCCCTCCAGTGCATGTCCCTTGGGAGGAGCATCCAGGAGGAGCGCCGTCGTTTTACGCGAGACGATCACGTCCGCCAGGCTCGTGTGAGGAGGAGGACAGGGGAGGCCGTGCGTGTAAGCGGGAGGAGCTCCTCCCAACTATCTTGGGGTCCCACATCACACAGCATCTTGACTAAACCCAACACCCGTGCCAAGATTTCAGGGCGGGCCGCGGAAGATACCCCAGATTTTGGCAGATTAGGAGATACTGCAACGCCTAGAACAACCCCCAAAGGTCAGCAGCACGCTTATCGGGGTAGACAGCCTCGGGCAGCCCCCAGGTTCCCATGAGAGCCGAGCCGAGCGCTGCAACTATGTAGACCAGGTTGCAGTTAAGACCATGGGAGTTCCTCACGCCACAACTTATTAGACAGACACGGGCGTGTTCTGTGACCTTGCACCTTCCCTGGTTCTTGCAGGAAGCAAAGCAGTGATTCCTCCCTCGTACTTTCTTTCTCTGCATTATTCCTGGTCACCATGGACGCAGACAAGAAAATTCCCGTCGGCGAGATTGGCGATGGTCATTCCTGTGCCGAAGGCCAAATCGACATTGGCGACACTCAGTTTGCAGGCGAGCGCAGGCCTGAGTCTCTGGCAAACCTGGGAGATCATGAGATTGCAAGCCTCAACAAGAAGCTTGTCCGCAAGATCGACCTGCTCATCCTCCCGCCAATCGGTATACTGTATATTCTCAACTATATCGACCGTCAAAACCTCTCGGCTGCGAAACTGCAAGGCATTACCGATGATCTCAACATGACCACTGAGCAGTTCGCCACGGCAATCTCAATTCTATTCGTCGGCTACCTTCCCTTCCAAATCCCTAGCAACCTCATCATCACAAAGATCTCTCGACCAGGATTGTACATATGCACGGCTGTTGTCATTTGGGGTGCGATATCTGCTGCCACGGCTGCCGTGCACAGCTACGGACAACTTCTTGCTGTTCGGGCCATTCTTGGAGCGGTTGAAGCGGTCTTCTTCCCTGGTGAGTTCATTTCGTCTGTTCTGCCATATTGTTCCCCTAGCAGGTTCTTGTTAGTTCTTGTTTCGAGGCCTTCTGGAAGGTCAATGTATTTTGATGCTTTCGATAAGCGAAGCTCCTTGACGAGGCTACATTCAAATATCATGTCTTCTATTCTCCTGATCAATCCAAATATTACCGCATACTATTCAATTTCTAATCAAGTACTAGGTGCTATCTACTATTTGTCCGCCTGGTACACAAAGAAAGAACTCGGAAAGCGTCTTGCCGGTCTCTACATTGCACAGCAAGTTGGTAACGCCTTTGGTGGACTATTTGCCGCAGCCATCCTACAACTCGACGGAACACATGATATAAGGGGTTGGAGATGGCTGTTTATCATTGTTCGTGCCTCCCCGAAACCCATCCCCACAGTCGTCTTTGCGTGTCGCAGTAGAACTTCAAGATCTCAGCCCAAGTTGCTAACATGTTGTTCTCATCTTTGTAGGAGGGCACTGCTACAGTCGGCATCGGTGCTATCTGTGCTCTCATCATGCCCGAATTCCCACATAACAGCCGTGTGCTCTCACAAACTCAGCGCGACCTGGCCGTGTGGCGTGTCGAGTCTGAAGCTGGAGCAGCTGAAGGCAACGAGGGCGAGGGCACGATGAGCGGCTTTGTAAAAGCCCTTTCTGACCCCAAGCTACTCCTTCTCATCTTCTGCAACCTGCTCTCACAAGGACAAGGCTCCATTGCGAACTTCTTTCCCACACTTGTTGGTGCCCTTGGCTATTCTCGGACCATCAGCCTGCTTCTTACCGCCCCCCCTTACATCCTCGCTGGCTTTGTCTACTATGGCATCACTTTCTACTCCGACCGCAAGAATACGGTGTACCCCATTATTCTTGGCTGCATCGCCATTGCAGCAGCCATGTACATCATCCCGATGGCAACGGACAACGTCGGTGCACGCTACTTCTCCATGATGATCCTGCCCTTCGCTTCCGTCGGCCCTCAGATCCTCCTTTACAAGACGATGAACCTTCATCTCGCGCGTCCCGTCTCCAAGCGCGCAGCAGCCTCTGCTCTGATTAACGCCATCGGCGGTACCTCCAACATCTGGACCTCATATCTCTACTACGCGCCTCCTCGCTTTTACGCTGCTTTCGGTGCCCTTATGGGCTGTGCCATCTTGTTTGCGGTCACCATCAGCGTCTACCGCCGGCTGGTACTTCGAGAGAACAGGCGTCTGGACTCGGGAGACCCTGCCGAGATTGCCAAAGCTATTAAGGGAGGTGTCACTGAGGAGATGGTTTCGCTTGATTGGCGGTATGAGATGTATTAAAACTCAGACGGGGTAGTTCTATGTAACTGTAGTTTTCAGCACGGTGTACCAGTCAACTCTGATAATTTTCAATAGAATGTGGGCTTTCCCTGGCCCATCACAGGATGAAATAGCGTGGTATGGCTGTGTAGTGAGTACGTGCATGTAACGTCGCCCATTTGTGTTAGCCACTCCAAGTCCCGGATGGGGCGGAACCTGATGAAAGGCTTCGCGATAATGCAGTCGCAGGTCTTGATGTTTCTCAACGGTAGGTCTTCTGGCAAGCACCTGATCAGAGGGCTCTGAAGACGTGTTGCAATCACATGCGCACTGTTCAACGTATTCACATGATCGGCAATCACTTGTTGGCATCCGGCAGATATTGACTATTAGAACCGCGTGAAGCCGTGGCCAGAACACTGTTGAGCTTCTAAGAGGTTCTTTTCGTTCTAATTTTCCAGTGTTTTGGCACTGGGGTTTCTGTCTCGTCGACCTCTTGGGAGTGAGTCTTCACAAGTCCCAATGAATGAATGATCTTTCTGAATTCGCCTGTCGAACTACTATTATCTGAGCACTCGAGGCGGTTTTCGAAGACGCTAACACGGGTACTTCGAGAGCACTTACCTAAAAACGAAATGGTCTTGTTATGAGGTCTCGAGCTGGCCAATCGAGTCGGATGCTAAGCCGGGCTGAGATCGCCGCCATGCCGCGAACCATGCTAGTCCCAGGTCAATCCACCGACGAAGGGCTGCAAATATGTGACATGCGCTAAATGACCTTTGTTCATGGATTTTTAGAAATTCCCTGAGCGTTCGTTTCCGCGTAGCTGGTCCAGGGCGACATTACTTGCCCATCCGTCATTTGATTGCCAGCCGTCTCGACGCCTAATTCTTGCCTGCTTTCCAGTCCCTAGCTGCAAGGCACCCCTCGAACCACAATAACGGAATTGGCACACTTGCTTTCCACCATGGACCGGGGCCATTCCACTGTTGCCATCATTTGGGTGATTTTTGTCGTCTCGGCCATTTTCCTTGGGCTGAGGATCTATTGTAGATGCCGTGGAGGCGGCAGGCTATGGCTGGATGATTGGGTGATGTTAGCGGCATTTGTCTGTTGACCCCCTTCGATGCCATTGCAAACAGAAGCTGGGTTATCTATTCTTACTGATATCTATATGCTCCTAGGTTATATCAGCCGGGGAGCATGCTGCTACTGTGGTCGGGGTCAATCTCGGAGTCGGAAAGCACATCAACGAGATTGACCCAACGAATCTCCCAAGAGTCCACACTTTCAGCCGTGTGGGTTTCACTCTCGCTATACTGGCTTGTTCTCTAGCAAAGACCTCGTGGGCCCTTACGATGTTGCGAATAGTGAGAGAAACGAGGGACTGCATGAGAATAATGGTGTGGTTTTGGTTGATATCCGTGAACGTTCTGATGGACGTTGGGATCATCCTCAACTATCTGGAATGCGATGGGTCGGGTCTCACTGTGTCGCCGAATCAAATGTGGTGCTGGAGTAATCTCATCGCGGCCAACTACAATGTGTTCTCGTCGGGTAAGTACATCCGTACAATCAGTCTCAAAATTGCATCGATTGACTTGGACAGCCTGGTCTGGAGTTGCGGACATTGTTCTCGTCTTCCTAGCTTGGAAAATCATCCTACCCATGCAATTAAAAACCAATGACAAGATTGGGATTGCAATCGCAATGAGCCTGGGATTCATGTAAGCGATGCCCAACGAGATTCTGAGGAGAGATAAAAGAAAACTAAGTAATATTACTGAGCAGCTCCGGTGTGATAGGTCTGGCTAAGACAGCTAATGTCCTTCTCATGGCTAAAATGGATTATACTTGTCAGTGCTTTCGTGGTATGTTGGTGGTCCCATGCTGACATGCCACAGACGAGGTCACGAACCTCATTATATGGACAGCGGCAGAGATAACCGCTCTCATCATGGCTGCAAGTGTGCCATTCATCCGCCTTTTGGTGAAGGGAAGACTCCACACATCACGGTCGAATGCGAGCGGAGCTCAGGGACTGAAAGAACAACCATAAGGAATAACACCGTCTGGAGACTCTGCTGGCTGAAAGGAACCTGCCGCAGACAGCCGACAACGTCGGCACTCCTGCCACTTCCGACGGATCTGGAATTTTGACGCGACACACGTGTTGCTATTAACCTTTATGTGGTAGCCCAGTATGAGCAATATTGTTTGGTTCCATTATGTTCCTAAGTCATGTACGACCAGAATGATGCTATGAATATGTTGATTGCAGTCCTCTGGCGCTGCAATATGCTGGACAAGATTAGAAAAGGTGACTGCTTTCCCGATGATATCAAAAATTGGTACATCGGTTGTAACACGACGACATCATGAGCAAATACACATGTAGAGCAGCCCCCTAGGTACTTAGTAAGTACCTAGGTATGCACATTCCCCCTTGTACCTAGGTACCTAGGTATTGAGTGGGGCCGTGAGCTCCACGTTCTGTTGACTTTTATCTCCCAGATATTCCTGCACACCCTGAATGAAACCAGCTCAGAGATCAATCACCAAGTCTTCTGTGTAGCCTAGCCCCACAACTCTAGCGGTGTGAACAGATCTTGGTAGCCCACCTCCTTACATAAAATCTGGGGAGGATTGGGGCAGTCTGGGGCAGTCTGGGGCAGTCTGGGGTACAGTACCCCGCCTGAAATCCTAGTCGCCCAATCCACATCTACTTGTGACGGACGCGGTGTATACGGGGAACGCCGACGCGACGGCTGAGCTCGCGAGGTCCTTGCCGGGTGCAATTGCCGACGGACGTCGTCTTGGATCGGCTGTGTGCTTCTTCGACTACGCGGAAAGAGTGAGACACACGAGAAGATCCCACAAAGGCCGACTTCAGGAGCGCCAAGCCTGAAAGTTGGATTCTTTACCTTGTGGGTGTAAGCGTCGCGCGGAGATTATGCGAGGCGGGCACCTTGGCTCCAGGCATCCCCGCTATTCAAGAGAGGGTGGTATTCGGTCGTTGGATATAGGGAGATGAGCGACTTCCAGTTTCTTGGGCCCATGGCCAGACTTGTGGACTTTTGTTTGTCTTTTGTGGTTCAGTCGGCCTCCACGACCAAGATGGCGTCTCCCTTGCTCGCGACTGTGTCATCAGCCCCATCGGGGGCGGCCAACACGCCTGGGCCTGCTTGTGATGCGTCGGCTTTCCAGCTCTTGACCTTGGCCAATATTGAACTGCTGGCCCTCGACGTCGTCGTGAACACCACGGTCTCATCAGAGTCCTCAGCCGGCCGCGAATTCTGCCAGGTCACGGTGCGATACACACATCCTGGGCAGAATGACGCAGTCAATACAATAATAGGCCTACCTCTGCTCGCAACTGACTGGAACGAACGCTTCCAGATGGTGGGCGGCGGCGGTTGGGGGACTGGCTACACGAGCAGCCTGATAGAAGCAGTCGCGGACGGTTATTCCTCGGTAGTCACAGACGGTGGTCATGACAATGACGCGCCAGTGGCCGATTGGGGCCTCGTCAGCGAGGGTAATGTGAACTGGCCGTTGCTCTGGAACTTCGCTGTGGTCTCGTTGGATGAAGGAGCGTCCCTGGGCAAGCTAGCCACAGAGCTCTATTACGGCGCGCCCGCAAAGTACTCGTACTGGAATGGCTGCTCAACAGGTGGTCGCCAGGGGCATATCATGGCTCAGCAACACCCGGAACAGTTTGACGGCATTCTGGCTGCGGCGCCCGCGATCAACTGGCAGCGCTTCATCGTGCAAGAGTACTGGGGTCCTCTGATGGCGAACCTTCTCGGTACGTGTCTACACTACTACTTGCAAGTGCAACTGGATGTAAATACTAACGGTTGCTCGCAGACACGAGGCCTCCTACGTGCGTGCTGGAAGCCTTCACTCAGGCGGCGATCGACGCATGCGATGGCTTGGACGGCGTCAAAGATGGAGTCATTGCTCTTCCAGACCAGTGTGACTTCGACGCGGATTCCTTGGTTGGCTCTACTATCAGCTGCACTGAGCCAAGCGGATCCATCGTTGTCACAGCGAAGCATGCCGAGCTAGTCAAGGCTGTCTGGGCAGGTCCGACATCCGTGGAGGGCAAATTCGAGTGGTACGGGATGCCCAAAGAAGCTCCTCTTACCAGTCTTCTGAATACGACGTGCGAGTCCGTGGACAACTGCACCCTCGTTCCGTTCTCGATCCCCGAAGACTGGCTCAGGGTGTTCGTAGCCAAGAACACGTCACTGGACCTGAGTGGCCTGAGCAGGGAGGACTATGATCGGCTGTACCGCGCATCTGTCGCTCAGTATGCATCCGTCATGGGAACAGACGATCCCGACTTGACAGACTTGAAGAATGCCGGCACCAAGCTCCTCACCTGGCACGGCCTGGCAGACCAGCTCATCACCTATCACGGAACGGTCGACTATTACGACCGGGTGGCGGAGCTCAACTCAAACGTTACGGACTATTACCGACTATTCCTTGCGCCCGGAGTAGAGCACTGCGGGCTTGGGCCGGGTCTGGACCCTCACCTCACTATCTTTGAGTCCCTTCGGGCTTGGGTTGAGAACGGCACAGCTCCCGAAACTGTACCCGCCACAGGACCGGCTGTGGGCGGTACCAATGCCACTCGAGAAGTCGGATTGTGCTTATATCCTCGTCAGCTTACTTATGTCGGCTCGGACCCAAATGACGCAGCCTCTTTCGAGTGTCTGTAAATGTTATTCCAAATGTCTGATCATGAGCAGGTAGCTCTGTGAGACGATGAGACCTCGTGTTATGGCCGCATCGGGCTGGAGGCTGAGGTGGGCTTTGGCGTTGGAATCATCGAAGGCTTCCTTCCTCCCTTCCTTTCTTTCTTAGACAGACCAGGTATTATTCGAAACTCTACAATTCTGAGCAAGACTTGAGAGCTTCGCCTCTCTTACGTCCCTCCCGTGACACCTCGCCACAGGCGCGCCTACCAATTCCATTCAAAAAATAATAATAAAAAAGCATCCGTCCAAGCGTGCTCCTGCTTGATTTGCTCCGTGAGCGGTCTTCAACTGTGACAGATTTGCTTGCTACCCAAACAATGCTCGTTGGGCTATGACAACACTTGAGATCAGAAACTCCGAGTCGTTATTACTGCCTGTTTCAGTCGCATTTCTCAGAACAGACCCAGTTCCTGTGTGAACAACGTCCTTGGTACACATGCAACCCCATAGCTCAGGGGTATGTTCCTCGGCATGGCTGCTCCTGAAAGAAGGACTCTGGTAAATCGAAGCCTGGTTCTGCTTTTCTAAGAGCATTGAGAGTGTCTCTCACAACGTCATACCCAAAGTTGTAATCAAAGAATTCCTCAGGGGATTCTGCTACAAGTCAGCCACCCTTACAAGCTCGTGTGGGTCAGGATCAATTCCACGTACTTGGTACCCGTTCCAGGGGGATGAACTGAGACGCTTCTTTCTGGATCAACTCCGGCTCATCTTGCCCAGCGTTGCTGAAGATTTGCATCAAGCTCGCTCGGCTTTTTCGAATCTTTTCATAGAGCAACAGACGCTCAGCAGCGCACTCTCTTGTGACATTGCTTAGAACCATGCCGAGAACAATGCCATCCTCGATTCCCTGAGCACCACCCTGTCCTTGATCTATTTCTGGTCAGCAGCGTAATTGACATGTCGCCGGGGGCCCTAAACTCACGGGGCAGCATAGGATGGGCCGCGTCGCCTGCCAGTGCCATTTTGCCCTTCACCCATTTGAAAATGGGCGGCCGAAAAAGCAGTGCCCATTGCTTAATTTCAGTCGCCTTGCTGTTCACGAGTCAGCGTTGAAAAGGCATCCAACCGCCTTGTAGTGGACATCTGGAGCTTTTCAGCATACTTGAGTACTGCCAGAAGTCGTGGGTGAACGTCATGGTATTTTTTGAGTAACTTAGACTTCTCAATGGGGGCTTGCCAGTCTAAGATCAGACGTAAGAAAAGCTTGGTTAGCAATATGATTTCTTTTTTGGTGCCACGGTAATGGGGATCTCTCAAACCTTCTTTTCGCATCTTCGAGATGTCATCCTCGTGGAATATTGCAACAAAATTGTGCACCTCATTGCTACACGTTTGTCAATCCTCCGACCGCATGAGGTAGATGTCTGGCTTTGGGGAGGTGACTCACTTGCGGCAAGGGTACGAGACCAGCCTCTTCATGTTTCCCACGAAAAGTTTCATGCGGCCATCATCCCCTTCATTCCAGAATCTTGTTTCCGGGTCATTTTCAATGTCATTGGTGGATATCAGAAACCGGTAGCAGAAATTGTAGGCGTTTCTAGATGGTTCAAGAGGATTTGACTTTCCGGTCATGACCTCAACGCCCAGGGAGTGTATCCCATCTGCTATTATGACAACGTCGCCATGCACCGTCTCGCCATTGGCAAGGGTGATGGACGGAGTCTCTGCATCCTACAAATGGCTTCAGGAATGACGCCCCTCTAATGAAAGGTAGATACCCCACGCGCATCACGCTGACATGGGCTGAATCTGGACTCGGAGTGCCCAGAGGGGTTGGAACTTACATATTTGACCACCTCAGACCTTAAATTAACCTCTGCAGGCTTACCTTGTCCGTTCTCTTCCGTAGCAAGCCTCTTCAGCTCTTCATGCAAATCAACCCGGTGCGCAAAGTACCAAGGCGAGCCATACTTTGTTGGAACCTCGCTCTCTGTGGTGCCCACGTGGACGCGCTCAAGCGTTTTGGCATTGGCACGAAAGCTAGACTTGACTGTCACAAACCTGGCGCCTTCGGGATTCAATCCCCAAGCAAGTAAAGCCCGGGATGCATTCGGTGGGACGTGAATAGCAGCGCCGATCTCATTGTTGAAGGAGGACCGCTCGTATATCCGCACGTTGTGTCCAGCTCGGCGGATAGATGTGGCGGCTGTCAATCCTGCTATGCCTGCTCCGACAATGATAACTTCCAAAGCCATTGATGCCAGAGATATTGCAGTATTTCGGACAAAAGACGAGTACTATCCAAGGAATTACCAACGTAACTGCGTCGCAGAGCATAACAGGTCAAGCGGGGTCACTACGGCTGTTGGAACACCTATGAGGTTGGAACGATGCACCAAGGTGCTGAGATCTTGTAGGATGAACTAGTAAGCTTGGGGACAGCAATGGAACCAGCATTATAGCATAGCTAGTAAACCCGAGGATGGCTCGATCTCGAGAGGCCAATCAGTCGTAAGAAACGTCACAGATGCATGCATGACTATGGGGTTTTGCTGCTAGCTTTGGCGAGGAAACTCCACGGTGCAACGCTGACTCCCAATCACGGAGGGGCAAGGCTTTCCGTCTCAAGCTGTAAGCAAGGTTGTGGCATTACCGTACCGATCGTTCTAGGTGGCAATACACGCTCGAACCAGTTGCTGGTTAGATGGCAGCATGCTTGTTCGGCCAGCTGGGAGTCGTGAGGAGGAGGTGCTGGTCCATTGCAATGTCGCCGAGTAACTGATACACGAACACGTTAATTCCAACTTAAGCCGGCTTGGAAGCTTCGTCGGTTGCTCAATGCAGCTAAATTTGAGGTTCCTCAACTTTCACCGCTCGTCTTCAACTGGAGAACTATTGCATTCCTGTATTGTTGAAGAAAACATCTTTCATTTGAAATTGTCATTAAACGCCCCGAACAAATGCTCGGCCGAAACCAGGACACTGAAGGTTCTCAAACGGAACTGCAGTAAATTTCAAGGGAACTTGTGATAAATCCATTATACCAAAAGCTTTAAATATCAGTGACTCCAAGATGCATGTGGTGAGAGTGCATGACCATTGTTCGTCAGTGCAGAACTAGCAACACTATGGTGCAACTGATCAGCTTCAGATATATAGGAGACACTTAGTTAATTGTGAGATGTTGAAATTTGTAACCTGATGTTCTCGGGGAGAGCAGTTTCACGAAAAGACCTCAACGCATCCATAGCAGCAACAGAGTACCAACTGAAGGCCGCTTATACAATCGCTACAGTGCAGTATTTTCCGCCTCGGCGTGGGAGGCAAGCGAACCTGGAAGCGAACAGAATGCCAACAAACTCGGTCGCAGGCACATGACAACAACATGCAAACTAAAGAGAGAAAATCAGTCCGAAAACTCGGAAGAAATACCAGATAGACATTACAGGGATGACTTTTTCAGGATCAGGCCTTGCGACTTCCCGGCTGGGCGACGAGGCTGATGATTCAAGCTGTGTCATGGAAGAATCTGGGCCTCAACACACTCGCCACCGTGTGAAGGCGCCATGTATGTCCTCGGACGTATACGGAATAGAAGCGAAATCACATATGTATATATAAAATCTTTTTTTTTTCTTTTTTTTTTATTGTTCGCAGAGAACGTAGCGACGCGCAATTTCGGATCTACGGCCTCCAGTCACTGATCAACCTGAAGGCAGGAGTTACACCACTCTCCGCCCATTACACGGTTTTAGAGGAAGATCCTACGACAGAGTGGTTGACAAAAGAAAGCACGGCCATTCAAGCGAATTTCCGATTGGAGCAGGTCCATGAAGCAGTCAACAGTTGTATCGGACAGCTCGTCGTGGCATGCTTTCAAAGCGTCAAAACTGCACGAGATGCCCTGCGCAGTTGATAGAGAACTAGTTTTTTAAAGTCTGTATTTCTCGAGTCAGCCAGTAGGAAACAACCTGTTCGCGACATCTTTTGGGAGAGAGGCTAAACCTGCTGCCAGGAAGTGATCCAGCTGCCTATAGCTTTCCAGCGAAGCAAACTTGAAGCTTCAACAACATTCAGACGTGGCAGCGATCCGGGCAACCTGCTTCTTCTGTAGTTGCATGTCCTACCGAACGACAACCGCCCCAAGCCCTCCCTTTTGAAAAATGATCAGTGTGATGGTGAGATTAAATCAAGAGCAGTCATAGGAGCAGAGCAGCCTTGAGACCGGCTTGTTATACTTCCAAACATGTACATATCACATGCACTATCCAGTGACACATAGAGCAGACACAATCGGAAGTTGTTTGCCCCAATCGTTTGCTTTATTGGCAGTCATTATAGGGTGCCTACCTATCGCAGTATATGCCACAGGAAGAAAAGAAATCCTGTATACCTGTCCCGTGGAAGGTTACCCTTGAGGAGGTATTCCACAGAAGGTCAATCAATAATTACTGCCTGTTCTGTGTTGACCCTGTGGCCATATAGCAGATAGATGTCCGAGAAGAACTCCTTGAAATCTTTATCTCAGCCTCGTGTTAGCAAGTCCAACGGAGAACACCGTCGAGTGCCTCACATTCAGGAAACACGTTGACAACCTCCACTGCCCACCCACTAGACATTTTTACCCGGGTTCCCAAACACATGCACAATTACACAACCAAAGTGAAAGCCAGCCACTGGCGGCAGTGGCCTACATACCTACGTACCTACCTCAAAGAGCCCAATATCATTCGACCCGTAGCACAAACACCAAGCAAGCCAGCCCAACAACCGCCCTCCCCCACCCAACATCCTCCATCAAAGCAAGTAGAGAAAATCAAACCCCACCGAAGCACTGCACCAACGGTCTGCAACCCACCCTAATACCCCCAGGCCCGACCGGCCCACCCCGTCAGATGCAATGACACGATAGGACAACAGACCCGGGCGCAGTCAGCACAGCCAGCCATCACCCATCCACCCATTCAGCCGAGCAGCCAGTCCTGCGACACGGTCCGGTAGCACGGCATGCGACGTTGTGTTCGGTGCTGCGGCACAGAGGGGGCGAGTACACACACACACACACTTGTGTGTGGAGACCCTACACAGACACAACTACTGCCATTGCCATCATCCAAGACATGGTTGCAGACATGTCAGCGTTGTACTCAATGGGTGGGACGAACAAAGCGATGTTCAGTAGGCTAGGTTAGAATGATGAACGGTTGGTCCAACGGCTGGACCCTGATGGGTGTGATTGGGAAAACCTACAGGCGTCGTCATACCACCCCGTCACGGTGGGCAATGACAACAACGGGCGTTGCACGGTGCTACGAGCGGCGACTCCTTGTCTTGGGCTGGAGACAATGGGCCGGCTGGCTCGTGTTCGACGCTTTCGTCCGATCCAACACATTGCATCACTTGTGGGCTTGGACATGCGAGGGAGCTATGCATGAGTGGGTAACTTCTGGTATTGTATGAGCGATGGTGTGGAGATATCTAATACACAGAAAGCGAGTTTAGGCAAGATCATGTTGCCTCCTCTGGTCCCATGCCCCCGTTTAGTATGCTTGTTGGTGTTTGAGCTGGTCTCTTCTTGCTCCGTAGTTTCCAAAGTGCCTCGAGTTTGCCGCTGCGCCGCCTTTCCCATGGATGACTTGTTTTTGTGGTGTTTTCCAACCAAAACATATGTGAAAGAAAAAAAAGATAAAACCAAAACTCCCAATGCTGAGCAATATTTGAATCCTCAACCCCATACGCGATGCAGTTTACGACGAGCCTATCCACCCTCGAGAAACGAAATAGAAAATGCAACTTCCCAGAGCAGCAAACACCGAGGCGAACCTTTGGAAAATGAAAGGAGAGAGACCAAGCAGCATGCTAGACCAACCGTTGCGTTGGCTGGGGACAACAGAATGAGGAAAAGACAAGTGATAACCCAACTACAAGTGGTGAAAGCCGGCTATGCCGGGCTAGCGCCAACCCACTCTAGGCGCCTCTCAGAGCGCCAATTCCAATTGAAATCCCGTCCTTTGTTCTTGCTCCAAGGACATTCCTTGACCCGTTCCCGAGTCTGATGCTTGTTGTTCGCCGCATGGTTGTGATGGTTGGCGAGCGTGAAATTGTTGTGATGTGAAGCACCATCAACGCTGAAGAGACCCTGGCTGAGGAAGCTCCCGCCATGGTGACCCGTCTTCAGGGTGAAGTCCGGCTTGGGCATAGTCTCCTGAGTGCCCGTGTACGCACGGCGTTTCTCCCCTAGCTTGGCCCATTTGTCCATGGAGTTTTGCTTCTGAGGCGACTGACGCTGGAAGTCCTGAGGCTTGACCGGGCTGACGTCTTGAAACAAGAACGTGTCGGGCAGGTCTCCATCCATGTCGATGGCGTCCTCAATAGCTGAGACCCGAGGCTTGGCGTTGATGACAGAAGACCTGACGTTGGGAGACAAGCCCTGTCGGGGCGTGTCATCCTCGTCCTTGCTGTCTTCGCTCCAGGTCCGAGAGTTCATCCTCTTGAGAGCCCGGAGCTGGCGGGCCCGCTCCTCCTCTTGGTGCTCTTCCTCTTCCTCCTCCCAGAGGTCGCTCCAGCTCTTGGAAACGCCACCCTGGTCACCAAAAACCATGGACATGGCAGGCACATTGCGTGGCTTGGACATGGTGATTGGTAAGGACCCTGCCATTGGTGACACCCGTGCAGCCGGCTTCAACATCGGCTTGTTGATGTGAAGAGACTGCATGGAGGTGGGGAAGCTGGAGTCCATGATGGAGGAAATGGAAGGGGTCTGCGCGGAGAACCAGTCGGTCGTCGCCGCAGACTTGGAGAACAGGTCCTCGGAGTAACTCTCGTCGTCCGGGATGGCGCTCAACTGGCGGATTGGAAGCATAGCACTGGAAGTGTGCAGTGCCTTGGCCCAAGGGAATGCACCCGTGTCGGCCATAGGACTCTGGATCGACGGTGTGCGTAGCGGCTCCCGGTTGGCCGAGGCGATGTTGGCCCGAGATGAGCAGAACTCGTCGTCGATCTCTTCGAGGGTGGTGAAGCTCAAGACGCGGTTTAGCGCGCGGCGAGCGCCAACCAGAGACCTCTTGCTCGGGTCCATGTTCATGCACTCGACGATGACCTCGTAGGTATCTTGAGACATCGAGGGGAAGACGTCGAAGAGGGACTGCTTGTCACGTGAGAAGTCCAAGAAGAGGGGGTCGGACTCAGTCGGAGTGGTGAAAGGGTTGCGCGAGAAGAGGATGTTGAGCAGGCAGACGCCGATAGCCCAGATGTCGGCCTGAGCAGGAGAGTAACCGGCACCAGCAGAGTCGTACTGCTCTGGGGACATGTACCGGTCACTGCCGACGCCGGTCTCATATGTCCACTTCTCGGTGGTGGCCAGGCCAAAGTCACCAAGCTTCATTGATCCGTCCTTAGCAAGAAAGATGTTCTCCGGCTTGATATCGCGGTGGTAGACACCCTTCGAGTGGATGTAGGACACAGCGTCGACAAGCTCGAGCATAAACCGCCGGACGTGTTCGGTCTCGAGGGGTCCCTGGTCGACACGGATGGCCTCGTAAAGGTCACCTTGCTGACAGAACTCGAGGACCAGATACATGTGAGCATCCGTCTCGAAGGAGTTAACCAGGCTGACGATGTTGGGATGGCTGCCGAGGTGCTGGTGGAGGGTGAGCTCCTCCGACTTGTCGTCGATAGCGAACTCCAGGCCGGCATCGTCGGCAGCCGCCTTCTTCGTCAGGCACTTGATAGCCACAACATCGCCAGTGACGAGGTCTCTGGCCTTGAAGACCATGCCGAAAGAGCCATGGTTGAGGGGTGAGATGGTTTCATATCGTCCACCCAGGACGACGCCGCCGGTAAACTCGTCTCGCAAGCATTCCATTGTCGTAAAGAGAAGTGTCAGAAATTAGAAGAGATGTAAATTGCAAATTAACAAGGCCGCGTGGTGACAAAAATCCCCGGAACGCTTTTGTCGGGAGCCCAAGGCCAGTCTATGTCGATGAAGAATGATGATGTTGCCTAGCAGTTTTTGTAATCCACGATGAATAGTTTACCAGTTGTGTACAGCGTAGAACAGGTTGCGGCGGAAGGTGTGGTTGCCTCGAGGCGGAAAGTCGTAGTAGGTAGGAAGGTGCAAAGGTGGTCGAAAGGCGATGTACAGAACGCGAGGTGGAAAACAAAAGCAACTCCAGATCGTTCAACTTCGGAGGCTCATCGATGGGTATTTTCGGTTGGTCAAAACAAATGGAAAGAGTCTGGCTTGAATGGTGCTGATTGTGTCGGTCGACGGTGCCCGGTAGAGCAGAGGTAACAAAAGGAAGGTCGTCAAAGGTGCATTGAAAAAGATGTATTGGTAAATAAAGAGCGACGTTGTTGTAGTAGGGTCCGTTCAGCGACGGCTGGGTGGCTGGGCGTGGATGATGGAGGACGAGGAGGGATGATAATGCTGTGTCCTCAAAGATACAGCAGGATCGTCCCGACGGCGGAAAGGTCGTGTTCCAGAAGAGGTTGTCGTGGACGGCCGCGAGGGGGTGGGAAGGTGACGAGGTCCGGACACACGAGGTGTGAGTAATCGTTGAGGCACGGCACTGCCGTCAAGGGAAGCGGACCTCGGGTGCTGGGAGGACCCTGGAATGGAGTGGGTAAAGGATGAGGGAGATGTTGGCACTTATCCAAGCACCGGTGCCACAGAAGTCGTTATCATCCGGGGGTGGGTATTGTGCGGAACAGGCAGGCGAAGAGATGACTCTTCAAACCTTCCTCGTTCAGTAGCCGACGTCCTAACAAGCTATCCCCTGGGCGTGCGGATCACGGAGACGGATTCGCAAGCAGTGGTTTGGGCGGTAGATTTGGGGGGGGGTGCGAGGTGACCAATATATCGCCAAGGGGTGGTGTGATGCAAGGCAGGCGGAACAGGCAGAACAGCGCCGGGTCGAGGTGTCCTTGGGGCCGATGCACACGCAGCCGTGGTAGGCAGCACAGAGGCGGCGTGCAAATGACTTCGAGACAGGTCGAGGTCGGGTCGGTGGTCGTCGAGGTCAGCGGTCCGAGGCCGAGTGTGAGAGCTGGTTGCTGAGCGAGTCACAGAGATGACTTGGCGGATAGGACCGACGTCACAGTATTCCTTTGGTGGGAACGGCAGAGTCGGATGGGCTTGGTCGATCGAGTCTGACGTTTCGACGGCTTATCGACTTGAACAATTGGCTGGGAAGGAATATAACTGGACTTGACTTGACGTGGGAAGAGGGGACGCTGTGAACGGGAAAGAAGAGAGGTTGGTGGGAGGGGATGGCGATGGTGAAGTAGGGAGAGATAGGAATAGAGGGAGGAGGTTGGGTGAGTCGAAACGAAGATGGCGGTGGAGGGATCAAGTGACGGGAAGAAGGAAGGTAGAAGAGGATTGGTTGAACCTGGACCTGGGTGCGCAACTGAGAGAGGGACTGTGTGTGAGTGCGAGCTATGAGTTGTGCAGCACGGAAGGCCTTGGGGGGGGGTGTGAGGACGAGAACGAGAACGACAAGGACAAGGAGCTGGGCCCGGGGGCCGGGACCAGGGCCAGGACAAGGCGCCAAGGAGCAGCAAGTGTGCATGCAGTATCTATGCAGTGACAAGAGAAGGAAGCCCCAAGGCCCCAAGGCCCTGAGAGAGAGGTGCCACTTGGAGGAAGGGAGGGGGGTGTGGGAGCACTCACTGCTGGGTGGGTGTGGGTGTGGGTGTGTTTGGGCGTGTGTGGAGGGCGTGTGGGAGGGAATGTGGACACATCGAGGCTGCGAGGCCAATACGGAAGAGAGGGGGGGGCGTGTGAACGGCGTGCAGCAATGGAAGCCGAGGGAAACGGATGGGCCAGTCCAGCACCTTCTGGTGCTGCTGGTGTGATCAAAGAAAGGGCAAAGAGTCAGGCCTGGAGTGAGATTAGCAATCTCGCCTGGGGTGGTCCTGGGACTGGCTGGCAGCAGGTGCCAGGGCGGCAGGGGTGGGCTGCAAGCGTCAGGTCTGGGAGTTATCGCGTGGTCACAGTGCCGCACAGTGCGCCATGCAGCCCATCAGGCCCATCTGCCGCCGTGGGCAGATCGGGCTGTGTTGGCTCGGCCACGCCCTGCCTCTCCCGACTTGGCCGTCAGAAATGTCTGGCACTGGCCTACACGTCAAGATGCTGTCTGCACCTGCAGCAGTTGGATTCCAGTCTGGCCAGTCGGCGTGTAAACATGCCAGAAGAGCTGCTCGATGGCACAGTGTCCCCGGGCAACCTTGGAACAACGCCCAAGACATCGCTACTGTGCCGTAGGAGATCTGCACTGGGTGTGACGGGGCCCAGAGAGATGACGAGCTTCCGGCTATCTTGGCGGTAAATTGAACTGCCAGCATTTCACCGTCGACGGGCGAGACGGGCGAGACGGCAGCTGTACGGGCGGAACAGCACGTCAGGAGCCCTCGTGCTTGGACTGGCTGGCCGAGTGGCCGAGCGACTGACTGTCAGGACTGTGTGGGATCCGGTAGATGGGCCTCGATGCAGTACCTGGTCGCATGCGCTTCGCCCTGTGGCAACTGTTGGTATTCTTGGAACGCTGGCTATCAGGAAACAGGGCAGAGGCGCCTGGCAGGCTGCCGGGCGATACCTGGGACCCCGAGCCGACCAGGGCCAGATCGGGCTAGCGTCACAACAAGTCCACCCCCAGCCCGGATTGCCCCTCTAACCCCGTTGGGAGTCACACTCTTTGGGGCCCTCCTGAGCTTGGCCTGCCCTGTTCGGGTCTGGGTCAGGAGGACGCTGCAGTAGGCAGATGCACCGTGGTGCCTGGGTGCCAGGGTGCGTGGGCTGGTACACACTGGCAGACTGGGTGCAGCTGTCCTGCATAGGCCTGCCTCTGCTATCGCTTTCACCGCCAGTTACCTGCTGCCGGCGTACTGCTAAGGCCACCCTAAATGGCATCGCGACCACGGCTCTTGGTATCGCTCCGGGCCCAGAATTGCCCCAAGGCTGGGTCTGTCCATGCTCAACCCTCCTGCCCTCACGGCATGGCCTCGAGGCATCGCGTGCTCCCCCCGTACTCCGTAGACCCCATTTCTGTCCCTGCAGATCAGGAAACAGCAGAAGAAGCCACGTTATCTGGATCCATTCTTGGCTACGCGTGCTGCGATGGGCTGGGGCGCCGTCCGGTCCCTAGGGCCCCCTCAAGGCCCCCAAAGATGAGAGGGAGCACTGGGGACCTTCCACCCCCCACCACGCACATAGCATCCCCCCATGCCATTCCGTTTCACTTCGGTAGGCCTGGGTCCCTTAATTGGCTGAAGCTCAGGTACTCCTTTTCCACTGCATGCGTTCCAACCGCTTGAACATGACCACTAGCACGGCAGCTGCTATGTCAGCCGTCTCAGATAGAGATGGGCGATAGCAGCAGACATGGTTTGAGTTTCCGTCATGATGCGACTTGATGACAGTCACCCAGGCTGGCAGACGGCGAAAAAAACCGACCGTAGCTCGAAGTACCACCAAAACCCTTTATATTGGTATCTCAATTATTCCACAACAACATCATATGTGGATGATTTTAATTATATCTCCATCTTCAGAAAAGGCCTCTGGTTTGAAATATACCAAAGACTTTCTTAGAATCCAAGGTCGTGGATGAAATTCAGGTGGAAGGGTTGTGTTGTGCTGATTCTGGTACAAAGCTGCGGTCGGTTTCTTTTGCCGTCTGCCAGCCAGGTCACCGTGCTATGTCCCCCCCCCGTGCTTGGCCGGCGGTTCGCTCAAGAGAGACGGTCGAAGAGCAACAACTGGCCAGCCGTTGCAACAAAAAACATGAGGGCAGCCCCCCAGTACGGAGTACGTCATCGCCAGCCAGACAGTAATAACAACAGGTGGCTGAATTCAGTCTCCATCAATGCACTTCCAGGCGCAGGAACCGCAGAAATCAATCAAACTGGGCCACGTCCCATCGTGACCTTTAATGGACCCCACTGCAACTCGTAACTCATCGTCAATCTTGTCATGCCAGGACTAGCGGCAATAATGCGGACTGGGATGGAGCTCCGAAACGCTGGCCCAGGACGGCCGCCCGGAGGCGACGCTCTCAAAACGGGCACCGAGCTGGGCCAGCCTCCCCGTCCCTGCCAGGGTTGCCAATTAAACTCCCGAGAGACGCGCTTGCTGACTGGCGATGGACCATCTCAACACTGACCAAAACGTCGAGCCTTTGCTCGCGGCCCCGAGGGTCACCAGACGGGTCGAGGCGGCGAGGGCTAGGGCGCCACAGCGGAACTGCAAGTGCACACGTTGTCCTCTGCCATGTTTGTACGTTGATGGCTGGCGGATTGGACGGCAAGTGCTTTGCTTTCATTGACTGTTATGCAAGTCCATGTTCCCAGATTACCCGGTTCCTTTGTCCTTGCTGGTCAATTGCGCCGTCGTGCCGTTGGTCGAAAATCCCGGGCCGCCACATTTTGCAAGAGTGAGACTGGCCCAGCGTCTAGACCCCATCCTTCAGGCCGTGTGACAGGCGCCGGAGCCGCTATCGGATCGATGTGGACGGTCCATGCGGGCGATGATGGCCCCATGCCCCGTGTGTGCAGTGGGTGGCAGCGTGCCTTGCCTTGCGTGCTTAACCTACCTTCAGCTCCTGACAGGCTGACAGGCTACACGCCATAGGAGCAAGCTACCGGAGACTCCTGCGGTCGTGACCGTTCTGCTCCGTACTTTTGTACAGTAGAGGAATGCAACGGCGTCTTGGGTATCGCAGAAACGGCTGTCGTGGCGTGCACCCAGGCACCGCGATACGTGCGATCTGCCCGCCGCTGCGTTTGCTGCGTTTCAGCCCCCCACCTGTTTTGGGCCCTCTGATATGTTTACTCGGTACGGAGTACTGTTGTGTTCCTCGCATAATTGCTAGCCGGCCTTCCAGCCAACCAGCCTGCTGCTGCGGCCGCTCAGGGGCTTGCTGCAAGATGTCAGCCCGGCCGGCGGAAGACAGGCGGCGTGGTATTGCAACTGCAGGAGCTTGTGCTTGACGCTTCGGAGGGCGGAACGGCTTCATTGGCCCTTGAAAACAGCTGCTGGGTCCTACAATGGGCCGTCTCGGGGCGTGACGAGCGAGGCAGTCACAGCTGGGCCCTGTGGGCTTGGCTGAGAATGGAACGGGTTTGACGTTCTGGCGGTCAGGGTTTCTGGTCAGAGCCGGGCATTCTGGCATTGTTTACATGCTGCTCAGATTCCAACCCGGCCCGTGAGTTTGTTGATGTGCGGGCACCGCTGCGTGCGTGTGGTTATTGGTTGTCTCGGCCGCAGGGTCGACCAAGCACGCACGCAGGCACGCAGGCTGGCAGGATACAAGCGCATCGCCTGTCACACCGTATCGTCTGCAACCTGGCAACATTGCCTGGCAACCTGGCAACCTGGCAGACCTCACGAGCCTTGGCCCACTGGCCACTGCCCATTGCGGGTTCCTGGTTTGGCTTCGTGCACATTGCACATTGCGACGCCGAGTGACCTTGTTGACTCGCCACCAACCCGTCTACCTGTCGCTGTCGTTATCGTACAGCGGACAATCCTGAAGATCCGGGCCTGGGGTGCTAGTGCTGTACGCTTGGATGCCTGGCCAAACTATCGAGCTGTCGAGATGCCAGGGCGGGCCGGGATTGGCTGAGTCAGTTGAGCCTGCAGCAAGCCGGGCGGCCGGGCAGCAAGTGGGAAGGCTGGTGATGTCCGTTACCGTGGCAGTGGGCAGTGGCAGTGGCAGTGGCCGGGAGAGCGTGTGTGGTGGCCAGATTTGCTCGTTGACATCTCGCCATCTCGTCCTCGCTTCGTCCTGTTGCGCGACGGCCTAACTGCCGTGCCACATGAAGCGGCTGGACGGACGTGGGAGTGCACCAAGGCGGCCTAGCTCCGCCGACGGGTTTATGCATAGATCACTCGGTGCACCTGGCAGCTGCGAGACTGCGAGACTGCGAGACTGCACGGTCCCAAACTTCTCGGCCATCTGTTCGCCATCGGCCTCTCAGCTCTCTGCTTCCACCCCTTGCTGGCTCCTGGTGGTGGTGCGGCAATGCGGGTGGTGGTGGTGGAGGTCACTGTCGTCAATGTGCACGTGCAGTTCCAACATGGAGAGTGATGCTGTGCCTGGCTTGCCTGGGGTACTGAGGATCCGTTTTTGTGGGGACAATACGCACGCGGTACTCCGTACTCCGTACACTACACGTACACTACAAGGCCTTGGATACCCATCGGGAAATTCTCATCGTCTACACTATCTGTTGACAAAGAGGTTGCATATCCGTGCTCCATTTCTTCCCCTGCCACTCCTGTGCCAGCTTGCCAAGCCGTGATAGTGGGGTTGGCAGTTACAGTAGATCGGCACTACCATCCCAAGCCACCCTGGCACCCCGACCTCCTGCCAGGCTCCTGGACAGCACTGGCCTCCCTCTGCTCTTACCGCTCGTTGGGGGCCAGCCGTGCTCCTGCCCTGGGAGGCCAGGAAGCCTGCTGTGCTGTGCACCTGGAGCTCCCCTTACCCATGGTGGTGCCAACAGCTGGCGCACCGCACCGCACCCTACAACGGGCAAGGTCTTACGAGGCTGCACAGCTGCACTAGACACACCAACCACCACACCCTCAGCCCAGAACGCCTTGGAGCGACGCGTCTGGCGCTGCACAACGACGGAAAATTTTTCTCTTCAGGCAGCCCAAGCAGCCTAGACAACACTACTCTCCATACTCGAGCCCTCTTAAGACCTTTCCTGCAAGGGACCTGTCTTCTCACCGCTCTGCGTGCACCCTTCACGACAACCATCTGTCTCATCGGTGTTCGGGCTGCTCACCTGGTGTAACGCATCTCGTTAACTTTTTCACCGCGAAAAGCGCCAGATCCAAGGGGCAACTACTACCTAGCGCGCACCACGCCGTCGGACCGGCACTATGGCAGAACTAGCCCCCGTCAAGGTCGCCTTACTAGACATCGGTAAGGAACAAAGAATGAAGAAGCAGGAGCAGCAGAAGGTTGGGGGGGATCAGACGAGGCACCGCATGGTCCCAGACGCCATGCGCCCAGTCCGGCAGTCAGGAAACCTGCACCATCCCGCCGATGCCAGCAGCAGCAGCAGCACTGCAAATCCTGACCCTCATTGAGCTTCCTCCTGCGGGCTCATGACTTGCTAGATGCTGTCTCCCACCTCCCCGGCGGCCACTTTTTCCCATCCGGGCCCCGTTGCCAGTCGTCATCACCAGGCAGGCGATGCGGCCCCAGATTGCCAGATGTAGCAGTGCGTTAGCCTGGACAAATGAGCTGATGAGATTTCTTCGACAGAGGGTACCGTCTGCCCGATCTCATTCGTGAAAGCTGTTCTGGTGGGCACATTGATCTTCCCTTTCTCGTCCCCAGCCGACCCCATTTCCCTACTCCATCTGCATGCATGCGACCTGTCCCCGAGACACCAGGCCTATGGGATGTCACCCATGCTTCCCGCCGACAGACGGCCGGACGGGCAGTGTTGCTAGGGAGTCTTGGGGTGTGCTCCCATCATCTTCTTTGTTCGTCCATGCGACGATCTCCAGTTCACTTTGGCAATGTGGCAGCAGCCGGCGATCGTCTCACTGACGATTTCACCATCTCCCATCTAGTTCCCTTATGCCTTGGAGGCCCTTTCTGAAACTCTCAAGTCCAAGTGGGACGACCCAGAGTTCGTTGTCTACAGAGATGCCTTCCCAGAGGAGCACAAGGCATCGCCCGAGGCCCTCCAGGCTCACGTCCAGGACCTGATGGCCCGCGACGTCAAGATCTCGTACCTCAAGGCCCTTCAGGGATACTTGTGGGAGAGCGGCTACAAGTCTGGCCAGCTGAAGGCACCCCTCTTTGACGACGTCCCGCCCAGGCTTCGGGAGTGGAAGCAAAAGGGCATAGATATCATGATCTACTCGAGCGGGTCCGTGCCAGCCCAGAAACTCTTGTTCAGATATACCAACTCGGTGCCAGCCGACCTGAACCCCCTCATCTCCGACTACTTCGACACGATAAATGCTGGCCTGAAGACAGAAGCGTCAAGTTATGCCAAGATCGCAGCCGCTCATGACCGCTACCCCCCCAGTAGCTGGTTGTTCTTGAGCGACAACGTCAAGGAGGTGGAGGCGGCAAAGGCGGCCGGCATGAAGAGCTTCATTGTCCAGAGGCCAGGGAACTCGGACCTCCCGTCGGATATCGAGACAGCGCACAAGGTGATCAGCAGCCTCGATGAGATCCCATCGTTGGGTGCTTGACAAGCCGGCAAACTGGACACCCTCCGGGCTAGAGAGCTCGCTCGGAGCCGTTCTTTAATCATCCGAAGGACCAGCGCGACGTCACTAATAAAGCCACCCATTCAATAGATGGGACCAATTGCGCGGCAGACAGACTATCAAGGTTGTAGGTGATGTTATCTGCCACCACCCTCCCTCGCCAGATTCGATGATCTTGCCCTTGAATCAACTGCAACGGAATAATGTGACACTGCCCTTAGTCGCGGGAAGCCATTGATGCCAAAGATTGGTGAATCAATGCTGCGATGAGTCAATATCAAACCAGACCGGATGTCTACACAAATTGATAGACGCTGTGATACCCATGAAACCAACTCCCGGATCTGTCGTACTGCCTGACTAAGCGCCATCCGACTTGTAGCCGCAGATTAGCAACACCGACAGGTATTTCGAGTCTTGGCTGCCAATCTCGACTTGGACACACAAGACCCATCATCCCCCAATCTACAAAATAAGCAGCCAGGACCTTGATATCGAAACGTAGCCCAAGGCAAGGACAGCAGCATCTGGACAGCCCTCCTCCCACACGCCCCACCCCTCCCCCCGCCCCGCCCCACGACGGAGGGCAAAGAGATCGCCGAGCACTGTTCCAAGCCAATATCCGGGGTAAGACAACTATGATGTCCCCAAGTTTCCAATTCTCCTTCAGCTCCCCAGTTCCGGTTTCGATCGCCTGGTCACCTGCACCACCATTACTCGCCGGCCACGCCACCTGATTCGCCAATTGCCCCCAATCACCCCTCGACGCGCAGGATGGAGTTATATTGGGGTAGGACAGGGTCAGAGCTCCCACCCAATGCGGGACCGGGGGGCTGCAAGCGTGCCCTCCCATCGTCCCATCATCGTGCGTCCATGAGGTTATCATCGTCTGACCCCCGGGACAGCCAGAGAGAGACGGGCCTGAAGCAGCTCGCTGGAGTCGTTCAAGTCAATAGTGTAGTCTCACGGGCCACCCAACCCCAACCGTCGTCCCCAAGGTCCCCCGCCTGGTGCCGGTAGCCGCCGCGCAAGCCTGGCACCTGGGTAGCGGGGAGCTTTGGGGCCCCGGTGCTGTCTGCTTTGCTTATTGCAGTGTATCCGTACTGGACGCTGGCTGGCCCTGGCTGGCCCTGGCGCACCCCGTCCGAGGGGCTGGAGCCGACCGTCGCTGATAGCCGCAGAGAGGTCCCGTGCTAGGGGTGCTGGCGCGAGGGACGGCGTCTCGCCCAGCTCGGCGGAGTCGCAGAGCTTCCCATTTTACCCCCTGATTCTTGCAGGAGTCTAGGAAAGTATGGCTTTCCCAGCTGCCGGGGCCTTCAGATGAAGGTTACGGCCGAGCGAATGGCAGCGTCGCCTATGCATTAAGACCGTTGCCGCTGTGATATACCCAACGTTGGACGTCCGTCCGTCCGCTCCGCAGGCACGGGAAGTATCCGCTCTGACGGTCCGCCCTGTGCCCTGGCCAGAGCGGGTTGACCATCTATCTACACTATTGAACGACCGCCCGGTGGAGTTGAGCTACCATGAGATAACCACTTGGGGATCACACTCTAGGACTGGCCCCTAGCATTAGCACATGCCTCTGATATCAAGACGGTTACCAGTCCTGCCAGTCAGAGCACATCTCTTCTCACCCTGATTTGCGAGACGGTGAAGCCGAACACAGACTGTAAAATCGCCACAATGCACGTCACGCGATGCACGCATGCTGTATGTAGTATTTGAAAAGCACGGCCAAACTCGTCAACTGCATCGGTGACGCCAGCAGCCAGGTCCGCCCGGAGAATACGGAGGAGGTCCTAGAATATCACCCAGTAAATTGCCGGTAGCGGTAGCCTACGCGATATCCGACAAATTACCTCATTCTGCGGCACATAAGATGCAGCTGACGATACGCTCGTCTTATTTTGTTGCTCTGCACCCCCCGAGGTGAATCCATTCCGTTCGAATTGTCTGGACGTCACATCCGGATTTAGACTTTGCGTCTGTGCTGCAGTTGAGCACGTCGCTTCGCCCGTCTTTGCAAAGCCCCAATGACAAGCCCTTGGTAGCCACGTCCCAGGCCTCTGGGACTGGGGGACCCAAGACTCTCACGGCCCTTGGAGAGCCACTACCCTCTCCCGTTTGCTCGATGATATCTCGTCGTACTGTGCGGACTGTACGGGACAGTGCAAGGAACGGTATGAAACAATTTTGAGCTTGGCTCTCCGATCTGGTAGCTGATGTTGCTGGCCACCACAGAACAGATCAAGACCAATCTTGTCCAATGCTCTTATTCGGATGCGAAGAATCCATGGCCATCACGGCAGCCATTGAGAAGACGTCGACCAAGACCAGACGACGGCACTGGCAGGACTGGATGCTGCCATTGACCCTGACATCACTTCTGTGAAGTCCGTCACAGTCGGCTTGCTCAAGCCCTGATGATGGGAACAGCCAATCAGGTCGGCCCGCCCGTTTTGCTATGCGACACTGACTAGGCGGAAACGCTCTGTTCTGGGCTAGCTAGGACGAAGGTTTAGCAGCCAAGCTTTCTGAGCTGTTGAACGCGGAGAGCAAATTACGCCCGAAGGTCTATTGGCAAGGTTTGTCTCGTGATAACCTACGGTGGTGGTCTGGCCAAGGGTCCGTGACACTGATCCGGGTGGCGGTGCGAACTGCTCTTCGTCTTATCAGGGTGTAGAGGATGCCCGATAGCTCACGCGGCGCGCAAGAAATCCGAGAAATACTGAGGTGCGACGAGGTGATCGCTTCCGTTCATTCCGGACGAGGTTTGAGGACGATGGCGAAGTTATTTCGGGAGGCACCCGAGCGCAGCTCTTTCTTGGTGAAAGATGCACCTGACCGCAGGAGCGGGGCGCTATCGGCAACCCGCGTCCATAGATAGTAGACAAGTTTCTGGGTAGTCTTGGATTCCGTCAGCTGGTAGCCAAGGGACGACATGATGGCATTGAGTTTCCCCCCATCCAGGTAGCGCGAGTTCGAGACACAAGGTGCAGGCAGGACGAGGAAAAGGCTTGGGAAGTGCGGTTTCAGCCCTGCATTCGTCTCGTCTCTGAAGCGTGACGGCGGGTGGAGGAACTCAAGAGTGCGGAGAAGCATGTCACCTCTTCCACCGGCCTCAGGGACGAAATTCAGCACCAATGACAGGCTGATGATATCGAACCGTTCGGCCTCGTCCTTAGGCAGGGGTCGCTCCATAAAGTCCTGTTGCAAGATGCCCTCCTCCTGGCTGTTCAAATCAATGCGGACTAGGTCGAATAGGCCGCTCAGAGAGCACGCATTGGTCGTGCTCAGTGCGCCGACCTCCAGCATGCGCAGACGATGTGGTGGATCCGAATCTGCCAGCGCCTGTAGCGTGGGCTTGACGGGCTTCAGCCAGTCCAGCAGGATCTTGGAGCTGTCTCCTCCGCGGTCGTTGCGCTGTCCCTGGAGGCTTGCCTGCTGGTACTTCTCGATGCCGCCCAGCGAGGCGATTTCCGAGGTTATGGCTGCTTCTGCAGCTGCATCGCCATTCTGAGCAGCCTGCTTCCTTCGCTTCTCCAAAGTGTGGATTTGGTTGATAAGTGTCCTCGTAGCCTTCCTGGAGATGGACTTTGGTTTCTGGATGGTTGGCGGCCGGCCGGCGGTCAAATTGAGCTTGGCACGCTTCTTCTTGTGAACGACCATTTCCGCTATTTTATGACCCACGAAAAGGATCTGAGGGGCTCACAACCCTTCCTTGTGTTGAATGACAGGAAGTGTGGCCGGCGAAGTTTTGGCATGAGGCGCGAATCGACGTCGCGCCGGTCAACCACCTAGGTACTCAGACCGGCCGGACGCTAAGCTAGCCAGCCGGCGGCCAGCTGGCACGCTAGCAGCTCGGCCCACCATTTCCATCCACCCTTCTCACAGCCCAAAACTTTTTCCCCGGCCTGCTTCTTGACTACGATAATCAACGACCCTTCAGATCCCCACGACCCCCGAATTCAACGACGCATTCCTCCGCAGAGAATTCGAAATGGCTCCCTCCAAGACAGGTTCGACACCCTGAGATCGATTTACTTGGCTCGCTCGAGATGATGTTGCCGGCGCTTCCACCCTGAGGGCGAGGTCTCTACCGACCGCAGACGCACGACGAACCTCGATCACATGAACCCTCCCTCAGGCGACGATGCATCCCAGCAGCAGCAGATTTTGCGAGTTCTTTCACCACGGAAAGAGCGATTGCTGATGCATCACTTTACAAACAGGCACTTCCAAGGGCAAGACCGCGGCCAAGAACGCGGCCAAGGCTACCCTGAAGGGCGTAAGTAACCCTGCGTATTGCGCTTGCAGCGAATGCAGCCATCATTCCGAAAGACATGTCCTAACTGAACATACCCGTATAGGTTCACGCCCAGAAGAAGCTCAAGGTCAGGACCTCGACGACCTTCCGTCAGCCCAAGACCCTGTCTCTGGCCCGCAACCCCAAGTACCCTCGCAAGGCCATCCACCACCAGCCCCGTCTCGATGAGCACAAGATCATCGTCCACCCTCTCAACACCGAGAGCGCCATGAAGAAGATCGAGGAGAACAACACCCTCGTCTTCATCGTCGACGTCAAGGCCAACAAGGCCCAGATCAAGGACGCCCTGAAGAAGCTCTACGACATCGACACCGTCAAGATCAACACCCTGATCCGGTATGTTGTTGCGGGCTCCCAAGTCCAAGACGAGACGGATGCTAACACGCACTTTACAGCCCCGACGGCCAGAAGAAGGCTTACGCCCGTCTGACCCCTGATGTCGACGCCCTCGACATCGCTGCCACCAAGCTGGCCCTTGTCTAAACTTCTTCTAAGAAACTGGGGGTTCGCAATTATTTGGGAGGGTCTACGGATACCGAATGACAAAAAAAGTCGGCGGGGATTATGGCATACATCGGCGTCAAAGGGTTCTGAAGGGTATACCAATTGAATGAATTGACACGTCCATGTCCTCCCATGACCGTGCGCCTCTACATGCATGCTGCCTGAATGTTTTCCTGAACTCAAGTGATGCTCTGCCTGCGCATTAAAACACAAGTACAAGTACAACACCTGTAGCTATTGGTGTGGCTGACAGCCCGTGATTTCAATGTCCGGCGCCGTTCCCAGCATTGTCCATGTCCCCATGTATGATTTGTAGCTTGACCGGCATTGCGTCACTGTCGCAGTGTGCCGACGAAATTTCCTCGCCAATGCCCTCCCTAGCCCTGGCGCATGCTTTGCAGGTGCTTCACGGCCAGCAAGCTGACGTCCATGAACCGGTCCACACAGTTCGTGAGGCACGCCTGCTCCCCCTTGTCCAGCTGACCGTTCTTGAACGAACCGGTGACGCACTTCTTGAAGCAGGTCTCTGTCAGATCATGGGATTCTGCCCATAGAAGAGGTCGATTAGTTTGTGACAATCACAACATAATGTAGCGGCAAAGAAGAGGGGGGCGGTTTGGTCGCCTACGGGCCTGGATGCGGGTGCGCTGCTGCTCGTTCTGGATGAACTGGCGCAGCTCCTGCTTGTCCTTGTCGGTGAGCCTGTCGAGGTCGGCCTGGTCGATGTTGGAGGCGTCCATGGTAGCTTCCGTGGTTGCTCGTTCTTATGCTGCAGGAGGCTTGTTGCTTTAGAGGAGGTCCAGGCGCGGTGACGAAGCTTGGGGGGGGGGCTGGTGAAAATGAGTGACGCTCAGAATCTTTACTCTGTCTTCGGCTTTGCGCTATCTAATCGGGTGCTCCCCGATTAGAAAGCTTGGACCCCTGGCCACTCACTTCCGACAGGAGAGCAACCTCCGTCCAGGTGTCATGATCCATCAACAAAAATAGCATCACACAAGAGAAGTCTTGTCCAAATAAGTAGAGAATAAATGTGTCAACCCTTTTCATGTCCTTGGCTTACATGATATCTCTTCCCGAGCATCTGAGGGAGAGAGCTCTCTCCAAGACTCTCTTTGAGAGCCAACTGGGCTTGAGACAGCCCGGCCCACCCACCATCAGGCCAAACCCCCCAATATTGACTCTGGACAATGATGAGCGGCTTGCAATTCCTGGATACTACTCGAATCGTGCGAAAGTAATTCCGAGACTTGTAATGGTCGCTGTTCTCTGCCTCGTCGGGAAAAGCCCTCTGCCCATTCAACACCGTAGTAACGGTCATCGAATACAATGGCGCATCGACACCATCCACTCGGAATAATATATCTACTGTGATCCATCTATGTCAAAGTAACTCGGAGCCACCGTGCAATGTACTCCGACTTATGGCGAATATCCTAGGCGACTGCACGCTAGGTCCTCGTCCCGGACCGGAATTATACACCACGCAGCATTCACCGGCCTTTATGGCTACCTCTTCTTATTTGGTCATGTGCCCGCGGTAGCATGGAATACTTGTGTTGCCTTTAGCTGCACATATGTCTTATTTAATCATCTTACTGCAGGTCGGCTTCTCCGGCCGGGCCATGATGATGTTTCTGATATGGCCCGGAGTTTTGATACTCTCTTTGGTTATCTTCCCAGAACGAGGCACAGAGGCACAGAGGCACAGAGGCAAACATGTTTCCAGGAATTCTCTTAATCGTTATCCATACGCAATGATCCAATTATTCTGACGCGTGAAAGCTGTGCTCGCAATTGATGTTTGTTCTCGTCATCTAAAGACTATTCTATTAGTTTATTTTAAACTATATATTTTCTATTTCTTTTATATTTCTTTTTTAAATCCCTCCTTTATTAAGTCTTTTTAAACTTTTAATTTTAAAAAGATTCTCTCCTTTTAATTCTAATATTTTATTATTATTTAAAAGTATATTTTTCTTTATTTACTCTATTAGTTATTTAATATTTATAATAAAAAGTTTATTAGTAAAGCCTTCTTAATTACTATTAAATATTTAATACTTATTAAAATTATATTTTATATATTAACTATTATTTTAATAAAAGAATTTATATTTAATAAATATTTAATAATTAATATTTTATAAAATAGTTAATTTAAACTTATAGTTTTAAATATTAAAATTCTTTTTTAAATTAAATATTTATAATTATTATATAAACTTTATAATTAAATATTTTTAAATAAATTTAATTAAATTTTAAATTTAATTTTAAAATTCTTCATCTTTTAATAATAATAAAGAAAAATTAATAATATAATATTAACTAATTTAAACTATAAAATAATATTTAATTATTAAAATAAATAATTATTTATTTAATTTCTAATTAAAAAAGTTAGAAACTTTAAACTTATTTATAAAGCTTATATTTTCTATTTAATTATACTTTTTAAATATTTTATTTTATTATTTTATATTTATATATTAAATATAAAAGCTTAATTTTAATATATTTTAATTTAAAGTAATTTTAATATTTTATTTTTAATTAAATATTTTATTATTATATTTAATAATTTTAACTTTTATATTATATTAAAGTTTTATTATTTTAAAAAATTTAAATATTTTAAGTATTATTTTACTATTTTAACTTATTATATAATAATTTTATATATATTTAAAACTTTATATATAAATAATAGTTATAAATTATAATTATAAATCTTTAATTTATAATTATAAAAGTTTAATATTATTTTTACTTTTTTATTTAAAAATCTCTTTTAATAAATAATAAATTTATTTTATAATTTTAATTAAAGTATATACTTTATATTTAATTATTATTAATTTATAAATTTATACTTTTAAAAAGTATTTATTAAGTATTTTAATACCTTAAATTTAAAATATTTAAATTATTTATATTATAAAAAACTTTATTTATTAATAATTATTTTTAATAAATATTATATATTTTTCCTTTAAATATTAAATATAACTTTTAATTTATAATTTAAGTATTTAATAATATATTATTTATAAATATTTATAAGTTTATAAAGGATTATTTTATTTTTTTTTAATATAATTAAATTTATTTTATTATTTTAAAAATACCTTTTAAAGTTATTTTAAAATATTAATATAATTAAAATCTTTAAATATAAAATAATATTTTTATTTATAAAATAAATTTTTAATATAAACTAATATTATATTATATATTATAATAAAGAGTTATTAATTATTTATTTATAAATAATTATTATATATAATTAATTTTAAATTAAATAATTTTTATAATTATTTATAATTAATATTATAATTATTAAATTTAATATAATTAAGTATTTTAAAAGTATTTTTTATATTTATAATAAAAGCTTTTTTATTTTTATATTAACTATATAATATTTTAAAATTATTTTTAATCTTTTAATTAATTTTTTTAAAAGTTATAATATTTTTAATTTAAATTTTAACTTTAAATCTTTTATAATTTAAATTTTTATTTATAGGTTTATATTATTTTAAAAGTTTTATATACCTTTTTTAATAGTTTTATTTTTTAAAACTTTTAAAAATTTCTTTAAAGAAAATATAATAATAATTTATAAAAATATAAATTTTAATATATGTCTTATATAAATTAATAGATTCTTTTATTTTAAATTAATTATATTTTTAATTTATATAAAATCTATATAGTTTATTTATACTTTATTAATTAGAATTTTTTTAAATAATATAAATATCTTTTATTATTATAATCTTTTAAACTATTATAAATAATTATTAATATTCTTTTATAGTTTTTATAGGTTTATTTTATATATTTAAAGTATATAACTTTTTTAAAAACGTTTTTAATATTATAATATATAAAGTTTTTATTTATAATTTTCTACTTTTATATTTACTTAAATATAATTATTTATATTAATAATATCTTTTATAAAATTTATAATAAATTATAAATTTAAATAATAAATTATTTTATTTTATAATTTTTATTAAATAATTTTATTATAATAATTTTTATTAATTTATTTAAAGTATAATATTTTTAAATTTTATAATAATTTAAAAATAATTATATATATATTTTTATTTTTAATATATTATTTAATTATAATTATTTATATTTTTATTATAAATTTTTATATTAATTTTAAAAGTTTTTAAAATATAATATATTAATTTATATATTAAATTAATAATTTATATTATTTATTTTTAAACTTTTAAACTATAATTTATTTTTTATATTTTAATTTAAATTATTTATATTTTTATAAATTTAAATTATAAAGTTTAAAGTTAATATTAATAAAATTAAATATTTATTATTAATTTTATTATTTTTTAAATAATTTTAACTTTTTTAATATTATTATTAAATTTATTAATAATTTAAAAAATAATACTTTTATAATTATAATAATTTTTATATATTTTTATAATTAAAATTAAGTTTTATAATTTTAAAAAGTCTATTTAATAATTAATATAATTTTTAAGTTTATAAATTTTAATTTAAAAGAAACTTATAGTTTTAATTATTTTATTTTTTATTTTTATAAATATTATATTTTAAATTTTTTATTAATTTTATTAATTATATTAATTAATTTAAAGTAATAAAACTTTTAATTATTAAATTTAATATTATATTATAAATAATTTAATAATAAAATTATAATTTTTAATAATATTATATTATTTATTTTATTTTATAAACTTTTATATTATAAAATTAATTTTATTATATTAAAAATAAATATTTTAAATATTTATTATAATAGTTTATAAATTTATTATAAACTTATAATAACCTATTATTTAATAATAAATTTATTATAAATTAATTATTTATTATACTTTTATAATAAACTTTAATTTTTATATTTAATAATTATATTAAATTTTAATTATACTATATTTTCCTTTATATTATATAATTATCTTTTATTTAATTATTTATTTCTTTTTAATTATAAAAATAAAGGTAATTACAACTAATAGATAGTTTAAGTTATATAACCCTAATTAATAGACTATAATAAGGGACTTACAACTAGCCCTTTAAGCCTAACTTCCTCCCTTTTATATAATTTAACTTAATTAACTAAATTACTTTATATATATATATATATAATAACCTATACTAATACTAATTAATAGTTACCTTAAATAATTATAGATAGTAAGGTATAAAAGATAGTTAATTACTTTAAAATAGCTAAATTCTTTATAAATCCTTACTATAATATAACTATATTAATACTTTAATAATAATAATATAGTTAAATATAATAAAGTCCTTATATCTATTTATTATAAAACTATTAATTTAATAAAGAAATAGTTAAATATATATTAATAAAATTCTTAAACCTTTTTATTACTTTATATACTTTATTATACCTTAAAGAACTATAAATATCTTTAAAACTTAAAATCTATTTATAAATCTTCTTTTATTACTAAACTTTATTTATATTTCTAGTAAATACCTTATAAAATAAACTAATATTTCTAAAAATTTAAAATCTACTTATTTAATTTCCTTATTAATAACTTTATTTATATTTAAAATAATATTTTAACTAAAAATATAGCTTATATAGCCTATAAGTTACTTTTATTAGTTAGCTAACTTTTAATAAATAAATAAACACTAAATATTAGGTTCAACCCTATTTAATCCTCCCCCTTTTTTATTTATTTACTAAACTTTACTATAATGAAAAGGTTAAAATATATTATATTTATTCTTATATTATTAGGTAGAATATAATTATATCCTATTAATATAATTATAATAATAATC